TACCATATGCCAACTAGGGGTGTAGAAATGACAAAGCATTTATTGACGGGAAGGATTTGAATGCTTTTTGTGCAGTTCACATGGAAGGTGCTAGCATAAGATGCTAAATTCTTACAAGGTCCTTTTTGTGGATCTGTCCTGAGAAGTTCTGACAGCACAATGGGACTTTTTTGCCCTCTTGACCTCTCCACATCTGTCCTGGGGATTCCCTCCTAAGCAGATTTGGGGAGGGTAGGCAGTCCTGTTGCACAAGCAGATGTCATTCCAGTTGTGCATTTATTTAGTTGAATGCCACCCCTAATATTTTTGTTTTGATGATGGTAAAGTAAAGATAAAGGGACCCCTGATCATTAGGCCCAGTCGTGGCTGACTCTGGGGTTGTGGCGCTCATCACGCTTTACTGGCCGAGGGAGCCAGCATACAGCTTCCGGGTCATGTGGCCAGCATGACTAAGCCGCTTCTGGCAAACCAGAGCAACACACGGAAACGCCATTTACCTTCCCGCTGGAAGGTATTTATCTATTTACACTTTGACGTGCTTTCAAACTGCTAGGTGGGCAGGAGCAGGGACTGAACAACGGGAGCTCACCCTATCGCGGGGATTCAAACCGCCAACCTTTTGATCAGCAAGGCCTAGGCTCTGTGGTTTAGACCACAGCGCCACCCGTGTCCCTTGATGATGGTACTTCAAGGCAAATGGTGCAAGGATAGTTTACTATAGGACAGCAGCACTACTAAAGTCAAATCTCTAGTACTGCACTTGGACCCAGCTATGTTGCCTCTACCATGCAATCCACAAACTGCTTACACTGGCACTTTTGCATTTAAGATGGTTTGCAGCCCTTCCCTATGCATGTATACTCAGAATAATTCATATTAATATGTATTACTAGTATTACATAGTAATAGATACTAATACATAGCATTAGCCCCTTGCTCCTTTTCTGAGAAGATGCTTGGGTAAGTCAGAAGAGGGGGTGACGTTTTTAACAACAGTTATTTAATAAAAGTCATGCACTGTGCGATGTGTGCTGCTGATACAGTTTTCATTTAACATAGTATTAGAAAAATCAAACATATAGATTCCAACAGACATGTGGTCTCCATGTGCACAGGAAAACAATGGGAAGAGTACTGGCGAGTGCTTTACTCTGGATTATTCTCCCAGTACAGTGCGTTCTTAAGGATCGAAAGAGCATGCAAAGGGAAGAGTTACAGGACAACTGAAATATTGCAAGGCAGCGAGTCCAAACATCCATGATGGATATTTATTTGAAGCAAACCAGACGTGGATTAAGAATGGGAGCTGTAGTCAAAAGATCACAAATATCACACACACTTGTGCTGAGCAGTTTGGGTAACCAAAGGAGCAAAGGAACAAAGAAATAAATCACAGCCTATGATCGCAGCAGCACAGACATGTTGACCTTAATAGGTCATCCCGTCCATTCTCCTCCAAAGTAATACCCAAAGGATCTTTAATAGATATTTATCAAATCTTTTTTGAAAAAATGTCAGATATTCAAGATTCACTGTGTACTATGAGTTTATTCTACTATTCAACTATGTTTAGTGTAAGAAATCACCTCCCGATGCTCAGACTATTCCCCCGCCCTCCTGTTTGAACTCATTATCTCTTGGCTTACTCTCATTGGTTGTCCTATTTATAGCAGTCTTGGGATCTATTCAAGCACTGTTATTATGTGCTCTCCCTTTTGGGTGAGAACAATGTCCAGTTCCTTCAAACCTTCCTCACAAGATCCTATATTTCAAACATTTAAAATGGGTCAGCAACCCTTTTTAACCATGAGCCAGTCCACCGCCCTCAGACCATGTGGTGGGCTGGACTATATTTTGGGGGGGAAATGAACGAATTCCTATGCCCCACAAATAACCCAGAGATGCATTTTAAATAAAAGGACACATTCTACTCACGTAAAAACACGCTGATTCCTGGACTGTCCGTGGACCGGATTGAGAAGGCAATTGGGCCGTATCTGGCCCCTGGGCCTTAGGTTGCCTACCCCGATTTAAAATCTATTCAGAGTATATTTATGAGACATGCCCTGCTTGAAGTTTATGAACTGTTGCATACTGGAAGGATATCATCTAATGCATTGATTTAACTGGTGGACAGAGACTCATAAAAAGGTTGCCATCTGATCTAGTTGCCCCACCACCCTTTTCTCTTGTTTCATATGTTTGGTGCATGGGGGGGTGGGAATACAGTGCCCCCAACCCAGCATGGCTAGCATTCAAGGATTATGAGAGTTGTTCAGTACTCCAATAACATGTAGAAGATACTAACATTAGTTACTCCTGGATTAGGGCTTGTTTCTTAAGATGAGAAGCAAAAAACTAGTAGACACCATAGGACAGAGGGGGGAAAGAGAAAGGTAAACATATTTGATTTTATGAAATTTGGTCCCATTTTTCCATTTGGAGTTTACAATTAATGGAATCCCTGGTTCATAAAGTTTGACAGTTACTGTTCTAGTCCAAATCATTGCATTGATGCAAGATTTATCACAGGAAAATATTCTTCTCACAGATAATCCATGCACACAATAAATTAAGGTATCTAAAGTTAGGATTTCGATGTCATAATATTGGCTTGAATTTCAGTAGCCACTAGAAGTCAGTCCATGCAGTTGTTCTCCAGTGTGGTGATCTAGTTAGGTACTTCCATAGAGCTTATTTATAGAAGCATTCATTAGTTATTAGTGGAATGGATTTTCATAACAGTGGATTGGATTGTCATAACAGAGGTAGCTATTGACTATTTCCATTTTACAGAAGGACAAAACCAAGTCATGGGTTAAGTTAAATAACTTACTCAAAGCCGCATGAGAAATATAAAGCATTCTAAGCAATGAAATATAATTCTCACATGTCAACTATACCATTCAGAATGATAATTTCTGGAGTTTTAGACACGCTAATTCACTTCTGTTTAGATAAGAAGCTTTGAAAATATCGAATTGCTTTGCTCCAGATGGTAGCATAGAGGGGCTTGTTTCCAGAGCATGTCAGGACCAGAGACCTCTGAGATGAATGGAAAATGTGCCCCTATGTGGGCTGCCATTCATAAACTGTGCGGGGGCAGTACCTGCAAAAGTCATCAGTGAGTGGTAACTTCAACTAGCCAAGCCACACACATAGATCTGAAAATGCTGGCAACCTGGTCTTTGTGTTGTCCAGGACATGCAATCCAGTCAACCGTTCGTTTCCAGCAGCATGTGCTATTTTTGTTGCTAGCTCTCTCTTTCATTGGGAACAGCAGTGTTTTAAGATTCAAAGGCCAAATTCTTTATATTCTCTCTCTCTCTCTGCCTAATTAGAAGCTCAGTTTTTATTAATAACTTCTAAGGAGCTAGTGTGCAATGTGGCTTTGTTCTGCACCCTTTCCTAATTTATTGTAATTTCCTATCTGGTTGAATGTGTTGACTTCCTCTCTCTCTCTCTAGTAATATATCAAATTGCATGGATAGGAGCCCTGAGCTAGCTACACAGACACAAACAAATCCTTTGCTGAGTTTTTATTGCACAATCTTGATGGAGGCTTAATTTGGCTCTAATATTTCACTAGATCCTCCAAATGGCACTAAATAAGCACACTTTTATCAGCACAGATTTGCAAATACAATGTGAAAGGAATTTGTTTCTAATTTCAGCAATTACCCTCTTATTTGTTTCTTGAATCTCAAAGACTCACCCACCCTTTACCACTCATTGTTCATGTGTAAAAATCTTTAAATTTAAGCAGGTTAAAAGACATCCCACCATTGTCTTCTCATGGAGAAGGTGCTACCTTTGCCAGATCAGTGCCTGAATGACTGTAGATGACTTGGTCAGATCTTGGTCATCTCTAAGAGGTTCAGGGCACTGCTGTGGTTCAGTTCAAAATCATTAAAAAGGTGAGCTGGGATGAAACTGTTAAAATAACTTGGCGTCTTGTTTGTTGGCCTGTGGTAGGTGATGGGTTGGGATGTAATTGTCGTTTGACTAGCAGCCAGCTTTGTACTAATCAGAAAGGAGAAGACATGTTCTGCTGGAAGGATTAGACAGCTAAAAATAGTTCTGCCATAGCCACATCAGCAAGTGAAATGATATGAAATTCATTCACGCAGTCCCTCCACACACACACACACACACACACACACACACTTATTTCAGTTTCACTCTGAAAAAGCCATAGGTTAGTGAACGCCTCTCTTTGAGTGTGTCAAAAAAATATAGTAATGTGATCTGCCCAAATGGTGTTAAGCACTCTCTCCCAATAGAATGACTGTTAGCATGCCTCACTGCTTTGCATTCAGAAGCTGCCAAATCTTAAAGGGCTAAGGAGGAAGTAAGCACACTTGCCTTTGTGTAAATAATCATGTGGCTCTTTTAAGACCTAACGGCAGGATTGTTATGATTGCCTTACACAAGAAATCAATATGGTTTTGTTAAAACAGATGACCTCTGCCTATCCCTCCAAAGGAAACAGCCACAGTAACAGCAGCAGAGTCGGTTACCTAATTCAATAACCCCTTGGTGCCCAACAAAGCCAGAGAGATTGAACTGAAAAGGAGAAAGAGAAAGAGCCTGACTTTGATCACAGCAACTGCCAAAGCTGGAGGATATCCCTCCAAGCGAACAAAGAGCAACATCAGAAGAACTACAAATGACCTGTTTATCAGCCTGGAGATGAGACTGCCCTCCGCCTAACTGGTCTTCCAATCTATGAAATGTCACTAAGGGCTGAAACAGATGTTATGTGGGATCTTTCTCACTGTGTGTGTGTGTGTGTGTGTGTGTGTGTGTGTGTCTGTTTCTGTTTCTGTTCATAGAAGCAGCAGTCCTGCAAGCCTCTGTTTGTGATTGGAACAGTGGTGCTGGTGAAAAGGTGCTAACCTTTCCCCATTTTACAATTTTCTGCCTCTAAATCTATTAGACCCCCTGAAGCTGCTAAAATGCAGAGCCAATACAGGTACCTGCATTCCCCCCTCCTGCGCCCCCACAATGGTGGGGATTCTAGAAAACAGCAAAAAGGGGAGTAGATTTTTCCCACCTTCCCTAGTGTCACTGCTCTAATCACCCACCTCCATTTTCCCTGGTTGCATTTACCGTAAGTGCATTTAAGGTGGTGTGGTTGTTATTGTTGTTGTTAGGCTTCTTAGAGAGATTCAGTCATAGAATCAGCCCTGTCACGTCTGTTTTGGCAAACTTTATCACCCATAAATGCCCAGAAAATGTTTTGTTACTGGGTGATAGATAAATACTGAAAGTAAATAAATTTCTACAATAAAATTCTATAAACAGATCAAAGAAGAGAGTATTTAGGAAGCACATCAGTAAGGGTGTGTGTTGGGAGGAGGGGTGAATAAACTGGATCTGCTTTTGATAAGGTATGTCTCCCCTCAGTACTGTGCCTGTCTACACTGGACACACTAGTATTACAATTGCATTTGAAGTGAAATAGCTCGTGGCATGCTGCATCTCTAAAAAGAACATCGGGGAAACACTGGAATGCAACAGTTTGTCAGCACAGTCATCTGGATTCTCCATAATCACAAACCCCTGAACCAATGATGTTCATTCCAGAGGAGGAACATGGGTGGTGCTGTGGCATAAAGCACTGGAGCCTCTTGGGCTTGCCAATCAGAAGGTCGGCAAGTCCACATGATGGGGTGAGCTCCTGTTACTTTGTCCCAGCTCCTGCCAACCCAGCAGTTTGAAAGCATACCAGTGCAAGTAGATAAAGAGGTACTGCTGCAGTGGTAAGGTAAATGGAAATGGCTTCTTTCAAGACTTATTATTCCATGAAAAAGTTCAGGTGACCACCAACTGATTTAGCAAAACCAAAAGAGTGTAGTACTTTACAAATCTTATAAAGAACCATATCTTTATTGTGAAATGATCAAGGCTAGTCAACAAGTTTACTATTCACACCCTTGATTTGATTCTCTAGAAACCAGTTTACCTAAGGACTACTTCACACACATCCCCCCCCCCAACATAGCTATAACTCCATGAAAAATACACACACCATCATTTGCAAAGTGTGCTGCAACTGTTTATTTTAGCACGAGGACTTGGATTGTGCAAATCAGTTTCCTGACCCAGGTACTTCTTGCAAAATAAACATTTGCATCCCACTTCACAAATGTCAGTGTACTGCTACTTTTCTCGCTCCATGGAGACGATCTCCATGTTTTTACACACACAAACCTCAACAGTTGTATGTGAAGCTACCCTACAAGTTCTCTCATAATGCTCTCTGGACTAAGAACCTCAGCAGCATGTGGAAATGACCATTACTTCTTATTAATGCGCATCTCTTTTGAATCTGAAAATGCAGCTTCCTTTAACAACTTATTTCAGTCTTTAAATGAGCTCACACAGTCCTCACAACCTCAACACTTCACCCACACTAGCTCTCATATGTAATGTGTAGCACAGAATATGCAATCTACTGTTAAAAGTGAGCTATAAATAAGGACTTGAATTCCCAGAGCAGGCTAGAAGTCATCATCCCCATGAACCCCAAATGATCTTCCCAGAGCATCCAACAGCAGGTGGGGGGTCATTATCCTGGACACAAGAAAAATGTATTATTTTCCCACATGAATAAACATGTAGCTGCAGTTGTGTGTTAGGCATAACAAGATATCCCAGTTGCATCTTTGGGTAAAAAGGTAAAGGTACCCCTGCCCGTTCGGGCCAGTCTTGCCAGACTCTAGGGTTGTGCGCTCATCTCACTCTATAGGCCGGGAGCCAGCGCTGTCCGCAGACACTTCCGGGTCACGTGGCCAGCGTGACAAGCTGCATCTGGCGAACCAGCGCAGCACACGGAACACTGTTTACCTTCCCGCTGGTAAGCGGTCCCTATTTATCTACTTGCACCCGGAGGTGCTTTCGAACTGCTAGGTTGGCAGGCGCTGGGACCGAATGACGGGAGCGCACCCCGCCACGGGGATTCGAACCGCCGACCATGCGATCGGCAAGTCCTAGGCGCTGAGGTTTTACCCACAGCGCCACCCGCGTCTTTGGGTATCCAAGTCTAAAAGAGAGGGTTAGATGGACTTCTGGCATGGACTGTCTAGTATGGTTTTGTCTATATTAACTGACACAAGCTCTTCAGGGTTTCAGACATGAGTCTCTCCTCGCCTTACTGAAGATTTTTGGGATTGGATCTGAGCCCTTCTGCATGCAAAGCAGATCTTCTGCCATTGAGCCCCTTCCTGTGTTTTAATCCCAGTTCTTCTGCTTTCTGCTTCTGATGCAGCCAAATTCCAATGTTTCACCAGGATTACAGGATTAATGGATCCTGTAATCGGTTTGACTGCTGCTATAATATCTGGAAGTCATTTCTGAATTGAGTGGCTGCAGAGCATCTGCCTGACATTCAGAACCATCACATTGTCCACCCCGCCCCCCAATTCTCCCTTTGCTTTTGAACATCTTTACGTGTCAATCCTTCTCCCACTATGATTATTCAACCAAGCTAAACAAAATTATAAAAAGGATTGTTGCTTAGTTTTAACAATATGATCTGGGTCACATGAATAAGAACAACTAAAAACCTAGAAAAAAATCCCAATAATTAAAAAACAATTAAACATTTATAGAATTAAAACTGGTATATCTATCTATAAAACATATAGACAATCACAACAAAAACAGCACTGCCCCAGCCCCCTCAGTAAAAGAGGTCAGCTTCTGAAAGCCTGTTGGATCTGCTGGCAGAAGGATAACAAGGTGGGAGCCAGTCTAACTTCTCTGCGAAGGAAGTTCCAAAATCTAGGAGCAGCCACTGAGGTCCTGTCCTGCATTCCTACCAAGTGTGCCTCTTGAGGGTGGCAGGACAGAGATAAGGACCTCCCCAAAACATCTCAAAACCTGGGCAGATTCGTAAGAAAAAAAAAGGTCTTTCAGATAGCCTAGACCGAAGCCACATGGGGCTTTATAGGTCATAACCAGCACTTTGAATTGTGCCCACAAACAGACCAGCAGTCAATGGAGCTGTTCTAGTAAAAGAGTCATGTGATCCCTATAACCAGCCCTGGTCAGCAATCTGGTTGCAGCTTTTTGAGCCAGTTGAAGTTTCTGAGTACTTTTCAAAGGCAGTCCACCATAGAGCATGTTACAATGATCCAATTGTGATGTAACTGAGGTGTGTGCCACTGTGGCCAAATCAGTTACATCCACTTAGTATCGCTCTTCAGATAAAAGCCACTTCATGCCCCCGTTTCCGAATCACTGTGTAGCTATGCCTTGAAGAGTAGGTTCACTTCAATTCTTCTGGGAATTTGGGCGGATTGCTCAAAGGCATTCAAAAAGACACGTTCTGTGATTTCTGATTAATTAATCTCTAATGAATGTACTCTCATTCCTTTGTTACAATCTCTAATACGGATAAGAACCACTACTTCAGACATTAGGCTCCGTCACTGAGATCAGTCAACACAGATTAGTTAACTCAGAGTACTTCAGGCATCCTCTTGTTCATATAATATAATCACTTTGCCTTTCAGTTTTCATTTCATAATTGCATTTCTAGTTGCCCATATCCTACCATTCATACCCTGAATGCTATGTAAGTTTTAAGAGTTGTCTCCTGTCATTTTATTTTCCACAGAATATTTCCTTTAGACCAGAATACATGACCAAGATTCTAATCTAATCAAAAGTCATTCAGATTTTGGTGTTGAGTATTTGAACATGTTAATTCATGCATTTTTTAAATTACTAATTGTATGGCAATGGAGCTGTAATGGTTCTAGGGGTTGCTCATGCGTAAGCCAGTGCCAACACCTGGCTGGGTTGCCTGAGTGAACCTTTTCTGTCCGGACAGCCACTCACCCGTGGCTGTCTCAATCGCTGGCAGAATCCGTCAGTGGGCATTTCTTAAACTTCTTCCAGCAAAGAAGCTCTTTGACGCCTAGTCTCCTCCTACTCTCTCTGCGCGAAAGCCTTCTGCACAAGGAGGGCGTAGGCAGCGGAGGACCCTTACTCTCCCCGCTGGTCCCCGGCAAGGAGTCATGGGACCGCCTCGCCGATTCCCCCATCTGCCCCCCTTCTCCACTGGTGCTATGCTGATTCTCTTCCCCAGAAGATGGGCTGCCTCTCCCAATCCTGGGACGCTCTCTGGAATCCCTCTGGAGCTTGCTCTCTCCCTCCGGCAATGATGGCAGTTCCCTGACAGGAGCTAAGCTTTTTTTTTTTTTTAATGAAATAGGAGAGGTCAAATCAACTGAAAAATAGGCAGGTGTTATTGCAAGGTTTGTGTATTTCTGCATAGTAGAACAAAGCCCTGCCTGCTATTAACACTCACAACTGAGGAATGTGGAGATAATAAGCTTGAGCAATTTCAGTGTCACAGAGTTGTGTCAGCTAGGGACACACAGAGAAAGGATGTCTAGAGTAGGGGAGTGTGTTTAAGTACAGTAAGTATATTATGCAATAAACAGAGACAGACAGACAGACAGACAGACAAGCAAGCAGACAGTTTCTACCACAATCTAAAAGAGTCATTACAATCAGCCAGGGAGCTGGGAACTAATGCAGCAAAGAGATGAGCCTTTAGTAAACAATTCTTAGAGATGGGATTGGATGGAGAAAGTTGGAATGGGAAGGCATTTTAGTGATAATCTGTCCAGGACATGCATTATGAAAGATCCCCAGCCCACATCCAGATTCTCTAAGGAAGCAACAATGCAGAAACTCAAAGAAGAATGGGGAAACTCAGTCATTGCAAGCCAGTGCAAAAATCAATGCACAGAGTGAAAGATAGAGTCCATAGGCTGATATCACAACTAGCTTCATGAATATGCACATGGCTATGCCTATAAACCAACCAATTAGGTTATAGCAACAGCCAGGTATGAACCTACTATTCAAAACAATGAGTGTGTAAGAGGGTAAATTGGCAATATGAAAGAATGCTTGAAGTGTACAAAGCAGAGAAGAATAAGCAAGAGGTGTAGCATATCAGAATTCAGCACAGAACTGCCAATATCTTGGAAAGGGCCTCTGATGCCTTCATTTGCCAGCAACAGCTATGTTAAATGGTTGACAGGTTGACTTTTCTCGCCATGGCGTTGCAGCTGAAAGTGGCAATGGTACTCTTTGTCATCATGTGAAGGCTAAGCTCCTAAACTGTCTACCTGTTCCTTTAGAGAAAGAGGCATGATCCCATATAAAACAAGTAATCTAAGCATTCCAACTCAAAATTGGAAGGGCTACTAGCCACCAGGACTTATTTATTTACTTATATAAAATATTCCTGTCCCACCTTTCTTTGCACAGTCTAAGGCAGCTAATATGAGAATCAAAAGCATACAGTGAAAACCAGCAAACAAAACGAAAGCCCACAGGAAACCTGAGCACCAAATTCTGCATCTGCTGAAGTTTCCAGACCATCTTCAGAGGCAGTTCCATGTATAACGTGTTGCAGTAATCTAAGCTAGAAGTTATCAGACAGGGGCACAGCTGGGTCACCAACTGAAGCTGATTAAAGGTACTTCATGACACTCATGCCATCTGAACCTCAAGCGACAGCAAGGGAACCAGAAGGACCCCCAAGCTATATACCCACTCCTTCAGAGAGAGTGTAACCTCATCAAGAGCAGGTAATACCCTCCTTCCCATATGTCTACCCTTTTCCAGCCTGTAACAGCTTCCAAACATTGACAAAAGCAATGTGCTGCCACTCCTGGCTTCAGTGTAAATTGGATCAGGGTGGGGAGGCGTTCCTCTGCTTATGAAAGCATCCAGGTATAAATAAATTGACAGAATTTGCACAGATGCAAATTAAAACGTTGGGTTTGATCCACAGTTTATAGGAATAAAAATGGCAAGAGTCTGAAATTTAGGAAGAATCCTAAGTTATGATCCTAAGTTATGCTTAGCACAGATCTGTTGAATTCAATGGGGCTTGAATTGGTCGAGGATTTGCTCTAAGCACAGTTAAGTCTGAATACAACTGGTTGTGTTTTGGTGGCCCCAGTCACGTATGTCTACTGTCAGAAGCAGCCAGAGTCTGTCAAGTATGTTGCAATCACAATGATCAACTGAAAGGGAAAGACCAGGGGATTTAATCCAGCCTCCCATATCCCTTCGTGAATAACGTGGCTACACATCACTGGACCAGGCAATGGAACTGTACAAGCAGCTCCCCTTTGTTTAGGCAGTTCCCCATTTATCTAGGGATGTCCGTGCATAAACCTGTTTGCTAGATCAGACCATGATTTTTCTAAAAAAAAATACTTGAAAATAATTGTGGATTTTTCTGTTGTATTCTGTGTAATATTGTGGAAGTTTAACAGTAATGAAAAGGAAATTAATTTTCTTCCCCCTCCTTGTTTTCACTTATGCTACAGTGCAAACTGAATTTCCTCTGCAAGCTATGATATCTGAAAATCTGAATACACGATTCATTTTCAAAGCACAGGCTGTCATAGGTCGGGCCATTCCTTTGTCTTCATGTTAGGAGGCGCCTCATAAATTAAAGGTTTGATACTGTCACATTCATGTCATTAACACTCATCGTCGATAATCTTTCGGGTGACTTCGGCAGAATGCCTGGCTCCTTAGATAAAACCTCTGGAAGGAGAACAATGATGCTCTGAACTTATTATGACCTCTTTCCTTCAGTTTTGAGGTTTTATGTGGAAGGAGGAAGGCAACCATTATCTCTTAATGTACTGGCTCATTTTGAGATGCCATTTTTCTTCCTAAATTTCAGACTTTTGCCATTTTTATTCACATAAAGCAAGGCTTTGAAAAGACTCTCTGAAGAAAGAAAGGCATGTTTTTCTCTCTCTCCAGTAAAAGAAGCAATTTGATCAGACAGCAAAATTCAATACTTTATTAGGGTGCAGTACTACAGTCAGCAGAAGGTTGGCTGAGGAGCCATAGAAAATTGTGCTACAATGCCACTCTGCTGCATGTACGCCACTGTGGCCTACCTCCCAGTATACCTGATGAAAGAACCACCAGTGAAGATGGCCCATTGGCATGTGGTGGTTTTGATAATGAAGTGTGGCACTCCAGGGGCAGCTTGGGGGGGGGGATCTTACCCTAACCTAGGGAGGTAACTGTCATTTTAGGTTTCTCTGTGTTTCTCCTTTTACCAATCTTAAATTCAGTACTCCACATTTTTGCAGTGAAGTGCAATAAAAAAAAAAGCCTTATGGAAATTCACCTCAATGTTAGAGAACATTTTTCCTAATATACACATTTCAGCTCATTTTATTTCTTCCTGCTGGTCTTGGCTAAGGTGATGCATGATGAATGCCACTTGAATAGCCACTTTTAATGTCTCCAGTGTCCCTATTACTATAAGGATTTGAGTTACTGATTTTCCATTTGTTTCTTTTCCTAGTAAAAAAAGTGTCGTTTTGCTATTCAAAACTGAAAACAGAATATAATACAAGGAAATTTAAGTAAAGGAATCTCTAACCACCACCACCACCTCATTGCAAACAGGGAAAGTAACATTGCACGCTTAAGACCAAGGAGGAACTAACATGCTGCTCATAGCTCTGATTTAAAAAGTATAGAAAAAATGAACCAGTGACTTTTTCTGAACCGGTTTAAGATTTAAAATTTGTAGATGTATGGAGAGCAGAACAATTGTACATTTTTGGGGCTGCATGACAGGATGAGGCAGGAAGATGACGGTGGGTGCTGCGATCCCCTTGAGCTGATCTCCTTCTGGTGCCTTTCATGCAATGTGAGGGTATTGTCAGGATTGGAGGGTAGCAATCGAGTTTCCAGGGACACTGTTTCTGCTGCTGCCTTAGTTCTTGCTTCCGCACCTATTCCTCTGCTTTTTGCTTTTGTGGGGGGAACACACAAGATCACAACAACATGTGGCATAGCAGGGCAATAGTTTAGTAGGAGAACCCATGTTTTGCATACAGAAGGTCTCCTCCCAGGCTCAGGTCCTGCCATCTCTAGGTACGATGGAGAAAGGTCCCTGTCTAAAACTCTGCAGAGCTGAGACCCGCCTTTCTGCAGAGCACAAAGTAACATGGACCAAAGGTCTGACTTGGCACAAAGCAGCTGCCTTTGTTCTGCAAAGGACAGAAAATAAATGGTGGTTTGTTTACCAGCACACAAATGTCTATTTAACTTCTCCACATCACACAAAGGTGTATTAAATGAGTAATTAACTTCTGTCCTGATCCTGTTCACAAAACCTAAATGAAATTTCAAAAGTTCACGCAACCTTTGCTGTCATGTGTTGATGGTATTTTCTTTAGCATTTTCTACAAAAGTAGCAAAATATGATTATTAACTTCTACCACGCAGGATCTCTATTCAATTGTTACTTAATAAGATACTTTTTTATGTAAAAAGAAGGCTTGCTACTTTATCCCCAAATGAAACAAAGCACCCAAGTAAACTGAAATACTTATTTTAAGGCATTTTGTATTTTAAATGTATATATATTTGTAAGTAAGTAAGTAAGTAAGTAAGTAAGAATGAATGAATGAATAAATAAATAAATAAATAAATAAATAAATAAATAACTGATAGCCACCCCCTCCTGCCAGAAAGAAGTAACAGCTGAACAAAACCTCCTTTGTCTGATCTCCCATCCCAAGGCTTAAAAAACAATTGGAATAACACATAAAAGGAGGGATTTGTCTTGACCTGTTATCCCATTCCATCCTATTCTCAGCCCTACTACACTACTCCGAGTCATTCCAGTAGCACTCTGGCTGGACCTGCTCCACATGAAGCCCTATTTTGCTCTGGAGAACAGTATCCACTTGTTTTGATTCCCTTGTGCTGTGCTACTCAAACAAGGGCCCCAGAAATAGCTTACATAGAGAGGAACTTTGCCTCTCAACCCATTTACCTCAACCCTACTCACTACTCTCTCTCTCTCTCTCTCTCTCTCTCTCTCTCTCTCTCTCTCTTTAATACATTTTTATTGGTTTTTTAAACATATGTTAAATGATTGTTGGAAATGATAACTTCTTATCTTATACAATATTTTAGACTTCTGAAGATTTTCCGTTCTTTATCGCTTGTTCTGCATTTCTTAATTTCTCTATTACTTTTAATTGTCCTTAACCAATAATTCTCATCATAGTCTTTCTTGCAGTGTTTCAAATAGTCCTCCTTACAGAACTTCTTGCAATCCTACTAGCATAATCTGTTTATTACAGTTGCTTTTCAAATAGTTTACTCCAAATATTTACTCCAGTCTTCTAAGAATCTCTGATCCCATAGGTTTCGAATCCTTCCTGTTAATTTATCTAATTCTCCATAGTCCATTAATTTCATTTGCCATTCTTTTTTCGTCAGTAATTCTTCTTGCTTCCATTTTTGTGCCAATAATATTCTTGCTGCCGCCATTGCATGTAAAAACAACTACTCACTACTCTCTCATTGCCCATTGGTGTTGTGGCCCTGTTGCACATCTCTTGTCAGTCTTGCCATTGGAGCTTGCATGTTCCTCATACTATGTGCTAGGAAGAATCATAGAATTGTAGAATTGGAAGAGTCACTGAGGGTCATTTAGTCCAGCCCCCTGCAATGCAGGAATCTCAACTAAAGAATTCATGGCAGATGGCCATCCAACCTCTGCTTTAAAACCTCCAAGGAAGGAGAGTCCACAGCCTTTTTAAAAAAATCTGTGGTCCAATCATTAACAAGAAATATCATGGCTAATGTTGTGAATGGTCACTAGGCTTATTTTTCATATTTTATTTTAATTAATTCAGATTGCATTTGTTGCATTCTCTTTCTATTTTACCCCAGTGTTTATAACATTTTCTCATGTGTGTGTGTGTGTGTGTGCAAGCTGAAATATATCTGCAAAGTCAGGGTAAATGCAAAGAAGGCCCCGATTTCAATTCATGACATCTCTCAATACGGCTAGGAAAGAATTTAGATAAAGCTGAGCTAGATAAACCAATGACCATCTGACTCAGCACAAGGCATCTCCATGTATCTGTTGACGTGGATGATATGTCAGGAAAGCTTATAATAAATTAAGGTGCTTTGTTGTTTTCACTATGTTGCAATTCTGCCCATTCTTAACATACACCGGATGTTGCGCTATTGCCTTTGAAATGGGACCTGTAGACTTTCCTGGCAAGGATAAAATGTGTCACTGATTGCCTGGATAAGACTCATGTGTTTTGTCTTTGTCCCAATGGGCAGCAGACACAGAACAATCCATGTTCTTGCACAAGTTATGTTTCACATTTCCACATCCAAGAGCATCAGATCAATGGGATTAACCTCAGTGGTGTTTCTAAATTTTGGTTTGCCTAGCTAGTGAAGATTGTGTGTGTGTGTACACATAACATACACATAATCTTCAAACATTCTTGAAGTTCATCCATCACTCGCCTTATCTCAAGCAAGTTACCAAAAGACTCTTCACCACTGCAGGCTTAATCTATCCCACATGTGATAGTACGTGTGCAACTGGGACCATCTAAGCAACTAGCTGTGTTCCTCCATCCATCTCACTCTGTCTAGATTCATTAATTCAAGGTCATCTGCTTGGTCTCCTGCCACCTTAGTGACAGCTTCTGAACGTACAGGCGATCAGAGGGTCTGGCTTGCAACATGATTTAAAGCACGCAAAGGTTCCCGTCAGGATATTAGAGTTGCACAATAGCCTTGCTGGGCTCCTTGAGTAGCTAAGCATAGAAACACAGCCACTGGGGTTTGTAGTTTAGGTGTGATAGTAGCTGAACACTGCATCTAGCAGGCTCCAAACTGGATGCATTTTTAAAGGGCAAATCCACACCATACATTGAAAGCATAACCAACTCACATTTAAATAGGGTTGCCATACGTCTGGATTTTCTAGAACATGTCCTCTTTTCCAAAGGTAAAATCACCATCTGGGCAGATGCTTTTTTTATATATATATAATTTCTTTTTATTAATTTTCTAAGCCAAACAACAACAGAAAAAAGAAAAACAAAAACAAACCGAACACACCAATGAGAAGAAAAAAGAAAGACATCAACCAAAACAGAAAATATAAACAAACCAGAAGACAAACATCAGTTAACACAAATAAAAGTTGACTTCCCTCCATCTCGATTTTGGATTATGTAAAGTAGTAATTCTGTTCTGCAGTTTTCATTTTATATCATCTAAACATCGCAAGGATTATATTAAACCTACTGTGATTTTTATATCTCTAGAATTTGATTCCATGTACATTATAAATTTATTCCAGTCATCAATAAACTTTGTACCTTTTTGCTGTCTGATATTCTGTGTCATTCTTGCCAAATCCATATCTTCAAATAATTTAATTTGCCAATCTTTAACAGTCGGGATATTTGGGGTTTTCCAATTTTTTGCTAACAAGATCCTGGCAGCTACGGTTGCGTATTGAAACATTATATGATCCTCTTTTTTAATCTCGTCTCCGATCATTCCCAGAAGAAAAGCTTCGTGTTTTTTAACGAAAGTGTATTTACGTATTTTTTTCAGTTCATTATATATTGATTCCCAAAAATTTTTGATTTCTTCACACTTCCACCACATGTGGAAGAAACTTCCTTCTTTGGTTTTACACTTCCAACACCTATTATCTCCGGTCTTATACATTTTTTGCAGTTTCACAGGGGTGATGAACCAACGGTACATCATCTTTTCCATATTTTCTCTGAGGGTGGTGCAAGCTGTAAATTTCATTCCTTTAGTCCACAGCCTCGTCCATTTGTTGAAATCCAAATTATATCCGAGGTCTATAGCCCATTTTGTCATGACATCCTTAACCTCCTCATCCTTGGTGTCCCAATCTAATAGCTGATTGTACATTTTAGATAGCAGTTTAGTTTTACCTTCTATTATTTCTACCTGGAACTTGGATTTTTTTTCATTGATTCCGATCTTTTTATCTTCCTTCCATAAGGCATTGATTTGATGGTACTGCAGCCAACCTGATAATTTACTTTTTAACTCTTCATATGGTCTAATTTTCCATCCTCTTTCTGATCTTTCTAGGAGGTCTTCATAAGTCCATCTCTCACCTTCTATATTTGTTTTTTTAATAGTTAACATATCTATAGGCGATAGCCACCAGGGTTTTTTTTCCCAACAGTTTCTTGTTCTTTTCCCATGTTTCTAACAATGTTCCTCTGATAATATGGTTCGAGAAGCCTTTATGCACCTTTTCCTTATTCTGCCAGAGATAAGCATGCCAACCAAATCTTAAGTCAAATCCTTCTAGGTCTAGCAGGTATGTATTTTTCAAAATAATCCATTCTCTAAGCCAGCAAAGGCACGAGGCTTCATAGTACAGTCTCAGATTTGGGACAGATGCATCTGGGCAGATGCTTAATATTTTGCAATTATATTAACCATTATTACGAGGGCCACTCTGGGACTCGTGGTGGTGAGGCCTCATGCGGCCTTCTGGGGGCCACTCTAGGCCTTGTGTTGGTTCTGGAGGCAGTACCAGGCTTTGTGTGGTTTCTGGCAGCCATCAGACCTGGCACAACCTTCCTGGGGCCACTCTAGGCTTTATGTTATTTCCAGTGGCCACCAGGCCTGCCACGGCCTTTCTGGGACTTCTCAGCCTGGCATCGTCTGGAGACTCAGTGTCTTGTGAGCAGGAGGCCGAAGACAGCAAAGGTAAGAGAGGGGAGGGAAGGCGGGGGCAAGCTGGCAGGCGAGGAAGGGCTCAGCGCCAGGGAAGTGGTGAGCAATGGAAGCCCCGAATTTTCCTCACAAAATGTTAGCGGGTATGTCATTTTCATTTTTAATTACCATTATTAAATATTTCAGTACACCTGCATACACACTATTACTACTATTTTTCTTCCTCCCCACCTCTTCCTACAAATGTGTCCTGTTTTTTGCTCTTTGGAATATGGCAACCCTACATTCAAAGCACCCGACTTTCCCCAAAGGATCCCAAAACTGTAGTTAGTTAAGGGTGCAGGAAATTGTAGGTTGGCTGTGGGGAACTAGCTCCCAGGATTCTTTGCCGTTTTCTTAAGTATTTATTATTTTATATGAAAACTGCCTTCGAAATACCTATTTGGACCACAACATATATAAGAAAATCAATAAATAACATTCTAAGCAGAGAGGAAAAATGATTCAGCCATGCCAGATTCAACCAGTGGCGCTTGCCCTCAAATAAAGACTCCTCCAAAGGAGTCTCTTAAAATATAAACAGAAGAAGCTAAGGAAGACCAGATGTGAACAAAGCTAGCACATTGCAGGCACTATACCTTTAAATCACATTATTTCCCTCAAAGAATTCTAGGCACTGTGGTTTGTTAAGAGTTGCTGGGATCTGTAGATCTGTGAGGGGTAAACTAGAAAAAAGAAAACCGGTATAGCTATATTATAAATGGACTGCTTCTGTTTGCATTATTTTGAGATACAAATGCCTGGATGGAATCAAATTAATAAATATTGGCAGACATGACAAAAATATGTTCTGCTCTAGTAAAATCAAATTCTGCAAATGTTTTGAAATATTCACATGCAGTTCCTCCCTTTTTGCTTTTGCTCAAATCTTGTCATGCATACATTGCTGTTTGGAGTAATGTTACATTCCCAAACTGAAATTAGATTCTATAGCTATTACAATATTCTACCCAGATCTAACCGCAGAAGCATACAAGATGCAGGAAAGATTAGAAAAATGAAGTACACAGACCAAACAGAAATGCTTTTATTCCAAAATTTGCTGAAGTCTAAGTGGTTAAATAGTCTACCCATACTGTAATCTCCAGAATAACTTTATAAATCATTCCCAACTTGGATACCTTGGAAAACAATACCAAATTTACACCTTTCCTTCATGGAACTCAAGGTGGCTTACATAGTTCTCCCCATTTTATCCCCACAATAACCTTGTGAGGTACGTGACCGGCCCAAGGTCATCCAGTGAGCTTCATGGCCCCTTCCCCCAAAATACATTTAGGATACATGATAAATCTATGGCAGGCAAACCTCAAATAAACCTCAAACCTCAAACAACATTTGCCTCAGTATAGACCCCTGAGCAAATTCATTGTGAAAATAAAGCCTTTCTACTGGATGAGTTGGTTGTCTATTTTGGCCATAATTTTCCCCTTTTGCAAGCAATTTCCCCAAACAATACATTTCACCAATGTCTCTTTCCCCTTGTGTGCCATGTTTCTTTATATTGTAAGCCTGCGGGCAGGGGCTGTCTTGTTTTAATTGCTTGTATGTAAGCCACTCTCTGAGCCTTTTTGGCTGAAGAATGGGGTACAAACCTCCAAATAAATAAATGCTATGCTTTGGTTCTATAGTAGTTTTAATATACAACATGTTTTCCTATTGTTATTGTGATATTTCCCCTCACAATACGCTTCAGTTACCATTATTTCCAGTAGGCAGAGTGAGGTGGCTGGTTTGGGGATTCATGAGAGCACAACAATTGATACTTAATTTATAACCATTGTATTTTTACTGCCAGTGAGAGGGGAAAACGCTGGGGAATTTTCTGCCAAAATAACTTATCCAATATTATATGCCTTGGCTTGGGAAGGGGGAGGGGAGCTGTGTGTTGCTCCACCTCAGGCAGCAAAATGTCTTGGGTCGTTCCTGATTCCCATTTTGCAACCGAAAAATTTGCCAAAGACTATAGAATAATTCCATGACAAACATAGGACTTACACAGAGGCCTTCTTAAGCCAATCCTGACTTTTTACCAACTAGTTGTTGGCACCTGTCTGTCCCAAGAGACAACGGAAGAAGCGTAAAGTCAGAGAGTAACATCGCCTGCTTACACTGAAAGTAATAAACTTGCGTGAAGTGCTTCAGTATTGTTTCACAATCCAGATTATTTACTAGAGAAATTAGGCACAGAATGATTATATGGCTGCTAATTCTCCCTAATTGCGGGAGACAATCGGGAAGTAGCAGGGAGGCGGGGTATAGAAGTGAAGCTTCCTGGACACGGCTAATTTGTTTTCACATGATTGCAAAATTGGCAGCCTAGAATGGGAGGGGAGAAGGAAAGGGCATTGTCCAGGAGAGCTTGTTCTCTTCCCTTCAGGCTTCTTGTGCACTAGCTGATAAAGCATTTCCTAGAAACCTTCCCAATACTGAGGCAGCAGAATTGCCTTTTTCAGAGGTCAACAACCTTAATTGACAGCCTGGTTTTTAAATCGTCCCAACAGCACATGCTCTGTTCATTACTGTGGGGGGCATTCACCAGATATATGGTTTGTCACCCACTATCCTGTTGTCCAGGGGCGCGGGTGGCGCTGTGGGTAAAACCTCAGCGCCTAGGACTTGCCGATCGCATGGTCGGCGGTTCGAAGTCCCGCGGCGGGGTGAGCTCCCGTCGTTCGGTCCCAGCTCCTGCCAACCTAGCAGTTCGAAAGCACCCTTAAGTGCAAGTAGATAAATAGGTACTGCTGTATAGCGGGAAGGTAAACGGCGTTTCCGTGTGCTGCTCTGGTGCCGGTTCGCCGGAGCAGCTTCGTCACGCTGGCCACGTGACCTGGAAGTGTCTGCGGACACCACTGGCTCCCGGCCTCTAGAGTGAGATGAGCGCACAACCCTAGAGTCTGTCAAGACTGGCCCGTACGGGCAGGGGTACCTTTACCTTTTTCCTGTTGTCCCACACACAGATTTGGGGCTTGTCCACACCAGAGTTTACTATGTGTTTGCAGCTGTTTGCATTTTCATTTAATTTGTGTAGTCCGCATGAGAATACCCTCAAGCAACAACAATATCGATGCTTTGCCCCTGTTAATTAGTTTGATATAGGATAATCCAACAAGGTAGAAGGAACTGGCCTCCAAATTGCTCCACTTGGAGTTGCAGACCATTTGTTTCTGTGTTTTGGGGTGGGTGGTTCAGTTGTCATTTCCTGCTACTCCTCTTTCCATGTCCAGTGCTTTCATTACTGACAGTGATGATAATATTCTTTCTCATCCCTCCCAGCTCTTCTGCAACTTGGCCAATCATGTCATCTGGATCCCTCAAAACCAGAAAATTGCACAAGCAAGCCACATTAAAAATGTCTACACCAAAGCAATCTGAAAAGTGTATGCTGAAAATTTACAGTTTCATTTTCATTTCTTTTCCAGCTGGTGTGCTCCTGAAAGGCAGAGCATGGTCTTATATATTTATTTATTTATTTATTTATATATATTATTATATATTTTGATTCTTCAGATTTGCACAAAACCAGAAAATTGCAAAAGTGTGCACTGAGTTTTCACAACTGTCTTTGTGCTTTGGGGAACTTACTGGGTGGTGAAATAATAACAAGGTGTGCACGCAGGCTATCTGTGCACATGTCCTATCAGTATTTAATCAGCATAATGGAATAAACAAATAAGAAAGTGGGGGCAAACACAGAAAGTAATACTTATTGATATGCATGGGAAAGACTGCAGTTGCTCTTATTATATAAATATAAATATGTGCATGGGGAAAGTAGATTAACAGATTTATTATTAATAATATAATAAAATTATTATTACCATGAGGAGGGAACTAATAAAAAATAAATATAAAACATTAAAATTTCATACAGCATATGAAAATAAAAAGACCTCCCCCATAACTAAGTAGAACCACCTATATAAAATTGCATGTGAGCCAGTCTCAACTACCCCAGCCAAATTTCAGGATTTTGGTTGCTGGTGCTTCTGTCGTTCTGCAGCCCTGAACAGAGACAAAGCTGACCGCCAATAGCCATCTAGAATGGCAATACAGTAATGCCAAAGGGCTGGAGGTACTTCAAAAAAACCAGGGTCCTCCAATTTACATCTCCATCCTGCAACATTTCAATAGTATATGGAGAATAACATACTGATGGGAGTCATCATTTAGGCAAAGTTAGTCATTTATTGCGCTAAGACTGGTTAGAAACAATTAAATAAAGGGACATCTTATGGATTCTCTCCCTGTTCTTTATAACTTTCTTTATAAAGTGAGTTTCAGAATCTTGATTTTGAACTCTCACAGGAACTTCCTTTCCCCTTTCTTTGAGGATGCGGCAATTTGCTTCTAGAATTCTTCTCTAATGACCACATGAGAACTCCCAACTGGAATATTATTTGGGAAAGTCAGTGGTCAATATCTCTTCTCCCTACCTCATGGGATTGTTGCTGGAAAATTCTAATATCCTCATCAAATTTCACTGCAGACTTTTGCTCTAAAATTAGTAATAGGTAAAAGGTGTTTGCCATTTCCAGCAACCGTTTGTGGCACTGAGAGTACGGCAATTTGTTCCAGACTTCCATGCATGTATTAGAATTTCTGAAGTCCAATTCAAGTAGTATATATTAAGTATGCATTATATTAAGTAGTTCAAAACAATGCTCAAATGTGGACAAGCCCAAAGTTTTGAAACCCTGAATCTAACTGCCAGTAGCTTCATATAAGAAAAGCAAAGGATTTCAGAGACTGACTTAAGATTCTAAGAAGTTGGAGTCATTTTTCTTTCTTTTTGCAAAGCAAACATAAACACACCTGTGTTTTTCAAGTGTATTTTGTAACTCTGATGAAATTTAATCCTGCATTGGGAGGAACACTCCCCTTCATGTGGCTCAGAACTACTTGTGTTAAGAGTTTTCAGCCATGTGACCTGGGAGTATTTGTGGTGATGTTAATGCTTTCATATATATAGCAATGAGTCCTTTCAGTGCTGGGCTTTTGTTTCTAGCTCAGTTCATGTCAGGGCAAACTACCTAAACAGAGTGGGCATTCAAGCCACGCACAGTCCTACTCACAGCAAAGACCAGCAATTGGACAGGTTCACATTATCATTCCAGAGCACCATCACCACTTTTCAGAGTTTGATGGTCACATAAAGTAAGCCGGCAACTTACGCACATTTAAATTGTGCACATTCAGCTTTATGCACATGGCAAATTTTTTTAAAAGGGAGCAGGTTTCTGGGGGAAATGACCGGCAATCCCACCTGCCATTGAACCCAATATGTTTTGACCACACACAATTTTGGCTTTAGGAACAATCCCTGGAATGTAACCCCCACATAAGTTGAGGGTTTACCGTTTATGTATACTGGGGCAGCCCCAGAAGGATTAGCACTGCAAGAATTCCTTGACTAGTGCCATTCCAGGCTAGTGAAGCACTAGTCAAGGGATGGGCAACCTGTGGCCAGGTATCAAAGGCACTGCTATGTATCTGGACAGTGTGAGAGCAGGGTGGTGGCAAGATCAGGGTATGTGAAAGTGCACCAACAGGAGCACGGTATTGGCTCTACCAGCCCTGATTCTGCAGCTGCTCTGCCCTTGCACCATCCTGGTATGCAGCAGGAACACCAGTGTCAGGATGGTAGCTTGGCACTGGCTGCTCCTGCCTGTGGTCCAATGGATGCTATTGGGCTCCTGCTCCCATAAGTCCCAGCCAGCATGGCTGATAGACAGGGATGATGAGCGTTGTGGTCCAACAACTTGAGGGTCACAGGTTCTGCACCCCTGACCCAGTCAGGACAGCAGCCCATATCAGAGGCTGGTTTTGAAGTGAGCTGCAACCTGGTTGCAGGAAAGATCTTGGTATTTCATGTCTACTTCATTCAATTCCCTTTTATCTTTTTATCTGCAAATCAGGTACATTTTGCAAACGATTTTCTCATGATGAAATAGAGTTTTATTTATTTATTCTCAATCGATCAATAGCTGGAATTTTACAACTGGGCTCTTACAACTCTTGAATAGACTGTTAACAAGTTTACCCTGGTGTGCTTTTGTTTAGCTATAGTCCAGCTATGAAGTTATGACAACCAGTGAAGGATGTTCTGAGATGTTTCCCAAGAGTGCCCACACCCATTCCTGTAATAGGATTCCGTTTGTAGTTCCTGGGCACATATTTTAAACAAACTGGTGCTAGGAAGGCAACGGGTACATATATTAGGCACATAAAAGTGTGTTTTGGAAAGAGAGTATATGGATCCACAGACATAGCCTGCTTTTATGTTTAAAACCGGCAGTGTGACCCTCAAGACAAAAAAATTGCCCTCTGCCCTCTAGCCGATCTCGTTCTTAGATAGTTCCCTGCATTGGAACAACCTGTACTGAACTCAGCCTAATGATAGCAAAGAACCATCCCATAATTCAAATAGTTCTCATCCACAGTTTATAATTATCCAAATCATTGTAATCCTGTGTTTAAAAGTCACTTTTTATTGCAAATGTTTCAGTGGTCAGGATCCAGACTGGTGCAAGTAGATGTTTGCTTATATACAAGGGAGGGTTTTTGCAAGCTCAAGCATCCAAGCAGCAGCTTCCTCCTCTTTATCTCCACTCATAAGGTCAGGCCCTTCAAGAGTGGCACCTCATGAGACATGAGGGGCTATCATCGGAATAATTTTTTGTCCTTTCCCAGTGCATGGATGGACCCATGTCTCTGTTGCAGACCATTCTATAACAAAGGAAAATGTGCCCTGTTTATGTAATGAAAATTATGGAGATTGTGAACATATATACTGTTTATATAATTTTGTCTGGAGGAGATGCCTTTCCTATAAATCTAAGGCAGAACATCCTCAGATGGTTAGAAATATCTGTGGCAGCAAAGGGAGGGGTTCAGACTAGGAGATGGTAATGTTAGTCCCAGTCACACCTCTTTGAGGAGAACATTCCAGAAAAGGTCCTTTCCTCTGTACTTATAGAGCATACCTCTGCTCAGAAAGACCACCAGAGAAGGGCTCCAACCACAGAACTTGAGACATGGGTAGTCTGATACTATACAGGAAAATATGTTCCTTCGGCTTCAGCTATTTGTATCCCAAGCTGTAAGGGGCTTTAAATGTAATAACAGCACCAAGTGTCTAATACCAGGTCCCTTGATAAACCTGCTAACTCGCAACATTGGCTGCCCTGCATCCAACTACTGTAATATCCTCACAAAGGCAATAGCAAGTGAGGCCTGCCTAAATTGCAAACAGCTTTAGCTTCCCTTGTCTGCTGTATTTGGTGAGTTTCTTTCTGAGAAAAGTCTATTTATTTGGCATGCAGAGGATTGGCAAATAGTGCCCCAGGAGATGACATCATTATCCCTGCTTTGAAAGAAGTGGCAGAACTTTGTCCAAACCCACCCCTATTCCACTACACTACTGGTAGTTACAAAAGTACGTTGAATGGAAAAGATAAATTAGCAGGCCAGTGAGGTAAGCATCTTATGTTTTGGAACTTAATTAAACAATACTTCGTTGATAAAACTGGATGCAAGCAGGTTTAAAAAATGAATGTAGCTGTTGACACTGCAGACTTGTAGACTGTGAAAACACTGCCATGGTCTGTTGTATCAACTCTTTTTCACCTGCAAGATGGTGTCATTAGGAAACAAAAGCTAACTCACAAGTGAATGGATTACATTAGATAAAACAATTTTTTCTCAATGCTTTTCTCAGTTTCCGCCTTCCAGGTGGTGAGCCTACATAGTTCTTCACCAGCCCTTCCTGCCATTAGAAATCCCATCTATGGATAGACTGCATGGAGGTGCCCCTTTAGAATTTTGCATCTGGGGCCACGCCCCCCCCATGCCACTGCAACAGACTATTGGTCCTTCTGGCCTGCGATGTCTATTCTGACTGACTGCAACTCTCAAAGGCCTCAGGAATGGAGAGCTTACTTACCCAGCCCTCCTAACTGAAATCCTGTTCCATGAGATATGGAGCCTGGAGTATGCAAAGTACATGGCTTGCTTCTAAGCTACAATCCGTCTCTAACATTTGAACACTCCTCCTCACGGAGGAGAAAGCTATCAGTGGCAACTACCCAGGTGTTGACCCGAAAAGGTGAGCCGGCATGGAAGCCCTACTTGCAGCATATTGATGGTCAAGATGCCCCCCACCTAAATGGTAGCAGCAGTAGCACTGAACTCATATGTGTTTCACACACTTTGAAGTATCCACAGGCCCCATGCATAGCTAGAGGGGGAGTTAATGGTTAATACCAGTCTCCTATGTTCCCAGACAATGGTTAATACCAACCACCTGTGTTCCCATGTGACATAGCCTGCCTGGGCCTATAAAGCTTGTGTCTGTCCTTACTTGGGTGTGGAGAAGTCATCTTCTTCCTGTGGGCTGCTGTGAGCAGGAGCAAGGAGGGAGCTGTTGGACCTCTGCTGTAAGTTTATACTCTTCTTTAAAAGGCCTCCCAGGCTATCATTCACTGATATTGTAATATACGCAAGAGAGTAACAAAGTCAAGTCTCGTGAAGAACAATTGCATTCTGAACCTGTGGGGACCCCTTGCATTGAAAAAAAGTGAGCGTAATTTATCTATGTGCAGGATATAAGCATACAATTCTGTATTAATAATAAATATGATGATGCTGTTTATGGATTGTTTATACTGCTATTTACTGCAGGTTTTACTTGGAAAGTGCTCCTACGTTTATTTTAACTGCCTATATCCTGCAGTAAACTTTCCCATTGAGAGTTCTGAATTATTACAGGCATCTCCTGTGGTTGTTTAAGGTACTCCTAATCTTTTTTATTGTGGAACACACTTTGTAGTACATTTTCTGCCTTTGTCTGTTCTGGCCACCTGGAAAAGGCAGCCTGTTGCCTCGTTCCTGAGGTCATTTGTTAGGCTGGAACTGAGATTTCTCCCCTGCATTGGCCAACCACCACTTGTTCCACAAGAAGGCTGGGGAAGTGAATGTGAGTTGAGAGAGAACCTAACCCTGTGGTGTTTTCCATCCATGGGAGACTAGGAGAAAGTAAAGTGGGCCAACGCCTAGTGGCAATTGCCTAGCGCCAATGACGCAGCTAGGGCTGGGTGTCCAAGGCTTCATGACTTCCAGGTGCCATCCAATGACAACCCAGAAAGCAAAAGGTGATAGGAGCAGCAGAATTAAACTCATTTTTTCCTGGAGTCATGGTACTGCTGTGATTTAAGTGAGTTTTAAATGTGAAATTGCACATGTTCAAAGTAGTTCTTTTAATCAGAGATGGTAAACTGGTTGGTTGTGTTTTTTTGCTCTAACGTATTGAAACAGAAGCAGTTGCAAAAGCATTTGATGGAGGAGGGAATGGAAAGAAAAGAGATGGTGATTATGCGCTTCACAGCTGAAGCCTATTCTTCTTTGGCAATCACTCGTAGCTGTGTAAGATTGTCTTACACGGTCTTAATAGTGAGTCCATAAGTGACTGTGGAGGCAAATTCTGGATCCACACGTCCTTCCACAGTGGGGACATAGGTTTCCAGGGGGGAGTTGATCACGGTGAGGGTTTGCCAAACATGCCTTCCTCTTAGCTTGTTTATCCTTTTCACCCTGAGTTTGTGCATCTTCAAATCCATGACACCTTTGGTAAAGGCTGTTCTCCATTTGGAGTGTTCACAGGCCAGTGTTTCCCAGTTATCGGTGCTTATACCACATTTTTAAATATTTGCCTTGAGAGCATCTTTAAACCTCTTTTGTTGTCCACCAGTATTTCACTTTCCATTCTTAAATTGGGAATTGATTAGTTGCTTTGGAAGACGATAATATGGCCATCAAAAGCCTCCCTCCGCACCTCCATTAAGTTCAGGGTCTAATAGGGAAGGGCTGTAGCTCAGTAGTGCTAGATGGACCAATGTTCTGACTCAGTATAAGAGAACTTCCTCTGTTCATAAAGATACCAAGCTGCATCACTGCAGTTTAGAGATGGAGATTTAGACTATGATTGTCAGGCAGCAAGAACTGAATTGTAGAAGTTTTTGTTTTGAGTTTGTCGGTGCCAGACCACCATAATCCTAGCAAATGTTAAAAGCTGATCAAGCCAGCCTGGCTTTCTGATGAGGTGATCACCTGGGTAATGGGCCATTAACAGAACAAAGGAAAGGGGACTTCTTGCCAAGATAATAAATGGGGTGGAGCCTCTCTTCCAGTTCTTAGATAGTTAGAAGGACAGAACCTGAGTTGGAGGCCAGAATTTGCTGTAATCTCACACTGCTCAGAGACTTGGGTGCCGCACAACATTATTATAAACAAGTTATACAGAGAACTGCAGAAAGGCAGAGGGCAGAAATACTTGAACATGGAGGGGTAAATGATGTCCAACATTGAGTAACATCAATATTTCTTTAACACTTAATATTGAAAAATATTTGTGCGTTCTTGACAACATACTGATTGTGATCTATAACAGAATGAAAAGCACCAATAATGATTTGATCCGTAGTAACACCTCTTTACATAAACAGAAATGAAGGACCAAAAGTTCTGCCAGGATTAAGCACTCCAAAATGTGTTTCTTTATGAACTGTTTGCTTTAAGATGAAGGAGCACATGCAAATCATAAGCATAACCCTTAACACAACATAAAACATTATCAAACTAATCCCTTTTAAAAGATGCTGTTCTACCCTAGAGCTAATTTTGAAAGATTCACTGTAACAGAGAGACCAGACACAGAGTTTAAGTCATCAGTGAATCATTTAAACTATGCTTCAGTGGGCAGTTCCACACTGTGCATTTAAGGACATAACTTCCTGCAAATAGTCCTGGGAATTGTAGTTTCTGAAGGGTGTTGAGAAGTGTACCTTTGTCAGGGAGAAACTACAGTTCCCATGATTCTTTAGAGGATGTGATATGCATTGAATGTGCTTTAATAGTATGGTGTAGAACTAGCTATATATTTCAATCCATTTAATAATACGTAGCCCAAAAATAATAATAATAAAATACATATACATACATACATCAGTTCAAACTGTTGTTTTAACCATATCTGTCAACAAATCTCAGTAAACTAAATGTTGCAAAGTAAAGTCTGCAGAGTTTACTTACGTTTCCATTTTGGTTGGCTGTGTGTCCCACTTTACACAGGACATTCCTCAGCTTGAAGGCATTCTTCTGTTTGAAGATGTCTTGTGTTAGAAGGGCTGTCTGGTCCAAGTCCGGTTTTAAGATAAAAAATGATAAGACAGGACATATGGGGCTTTGAAGTTGCCCATTATCAGTGAGCATCTGGAGAGCAAACTGGGCAGACAAACAGACCACCTGAACACAATCATTCCCACTATGACAATATATATTTCTATTTAAATTATAGTAATAGTTATTAAATTTGCAGATATTAAGAAGCATTTAAATTTTATGCAAATTTTTCTAAAAAGCTGTATCCTCTTTTGTCCTCTATTCTGGTCATGCATTTCCTCGTTTGTGAGTGGTCACCCAATTTCCTTTTGCATCTCTTTTCAGAGAGACCAGGGGTATAGGCAGTATCCAACAAACACATTCCAACCACGCAAACATGTTTGCACAACAGAACTTGCCCCCCTCTCCTCTCCCCACACCCTCCCCAAATCTCCTCCAGAGGGTTAGGCTGGGCAACCCTCAGAACAGATTTAGAGAGTGCATGGAGGGAGTTCAAGCTACACTTGAGCATAAATCTTTGCACTGATGAAATGAGTTACTTAGCACTATTTTGGATACATCTCCAGGGGGTCTTTTTTCACTTACTTTGCCTCTTCAAATTTACAACTTCTTCAGACATTAAATTAGATCAAGTGACTCTATTCACACAAAACAAATTTGTATAGAATCAACATATGATGCAGGGATCAGGATCACATCCACTGGCTATGCCCCTGACCTCTGCACATGTATATAGCCCTCTGTGCAGACATATACACTGTACCAAGAATGTCATCTAAGCAGCTGTAATGGAGAATGGCCCAGTTCTCTCTAGTCAAGTGTAAACTTATATTGCCTGAAATGGACAGAGGCTGCAAAGCAAATCATGTATATGGCCAATAAAGGTATTCTGGAAAAACATTTTTAATGTGCAAACATTGCATTTTAAAACTTGGTGCAATTATTTTTTTTAAAGTGCAAGGAAAAGCAAATCCATCAATAAAGCCTGGTTCCTATTAAAATTCTATTGGCTCGAGAAATGCTCTTTCCCATAAACAAGGTTATTTCTTTAGCTTCTGGCATGCAAACGATAGGCATCCTATCCAAAACTCGGAAACTTGTTTCTTTATTCCTTCAGCTTTAAAAGATGACAGAACAAGTTGGTTTGTTTTTGTTGTTGAGATTCATTTTGAAGCTGAGCCCTTGTAGTGCCAAGTTTTGACCCAGAGCAAATATTTATGGCGGAACGATAAATCCAGAAAGACAACAGCTTGACTTGAAATCCTAGCCAGCTCTCCCTGCTGCCTCAGAATCACTTCGCGCATTATGTGGCAAGTGTGTTCAGCCACCTGTAACGTTCAAAGGGGATATAAGTTGGTTCCTTAACTTGTAACGTGACTCTAATTTTTGTTGAAAGATTTGGCAATGGAGGGGAGGGGCAAAGAAGTACTCGTGCATCTCCATATTTGAATTGCTAGCACGGACCCCTCGGCACCTGCTTGCCATTGGAATTTATGGTTTCTAAGCATGCCATTTCTTTCATAAAGCTGGAAAGGAGTTTGAGGGGCCAGCAGTCAACATATAAGCCTTCTCCTCGGGAACCATAATGGGATAAAACCTCAGCAATCCTGAATGCGTGCTTGATTACTTTGCATCCATAGACAGTAAACCTTTATTTTTTTAAAAAGAAAGTTATAATAGTCACTATCTACAGTGCCTTGATGGGCTCCACCTCATGCATTAAAGCCTCATCCTGTGACTTCGCTTCTAAATTTGTGCAACTTACTGCCCGAGTGAAGTCCAAGCTTATTCTCAGACTGTTGCTACCTCCTTACCTCCTCAGTGCTTGCTTTGTGCCTATATAGCTTAACACAGGGGACCTAAGAGAGGATGAATGGATAATTGGGAATGCCATTCCCTCCCATGCAGCAGGGAGAAAACGATGACAAGGGAGAGATGAAGGCAGAAATTAATATCTGAATGGTGCAGCATTGAAGTCTTGGGAGGAGGCACTATTTGGGTTCTGCTTCCAGCAGCAAAATATCTTGAACCATAATTGACTGGGAGGAGGGAAATGGAAGCTGCAGCAAAGCCCGCTGAGAACGGAGGAAGGAAATTTGGAAATGACACTCGGGCAGCTACTCTGCTACATCTTTATCCCTGTGTTTTCATATGAGCCAGTGTAGTGTAGTGGGCAGAGTGTTGGAGTAAGGAGTCCAAGCTTCAAATCCTCAATCAGCCACAAACCTCACTGGGTGACCTTTGGCCTAGACTACCTCACAGGGCTGATGTGAGGATAAATTTAATTACTCCATTTTTATTCCACCCTAAGGAGGAATTGTGGGATGCAGGTGGCGCTGTGGGTTAAACCACAGAGCCTAGGACTTGCCGATCAGAAGGTCGGCGGTTTGAATCCCTATGAAGGGTGAGCTCCCATTGCTCGGTCCCTGCTCCTGCCAACCTAGCAGTTCGAAAGCACGTCAAAGTGCAAGTAGATAAATAGGTACCACTCCGGCGGGAAGGTAAATGGCGTTTCTGTGCACTGCTCTGGTTTGCCAGAAGCAGCTTAGTCATGCTGGCCACATGGCCAATAAAGCGAGATGAGCGCCACAACCCGAGTCAGTCACGACTGGTCCTAATGGTCAGGGGTCCCTTTACCTTTACCTTTAAGGAGGAATTGGGGGAGGGGAGCCGTGTGTGCCTCCTGAGCTACTTGGAGGAAATGTAGGATATAATTGTAGCAGCAGCAGCAGCAACAACAACAACAACAACAACAACAACAACAACAACAACAACAACAACAAACACCTTAGCAGAAGGGTATTATTGACCAAAGCTGGATTAAAACCTAGCGACTGAAAGTTTGTACTGAAAATCAGTTACCCATACCTTGGACCACCCATTTCCTAGCTAACAGATCAGTTGGCCAGGGAGAAAAAGGTCTGCAAGGCATAATGGAGGTATTAGCATTCAGTAGGCATTTGGCATGTTTCTCAACTAGAAGAATTCAGTTCATGTCCAAATTGGACGTCAGCTTGGGCTGGCTGGGAAATACTACACAGAATCCTTTTGAAAGGAAAATATATATAAAAATGAAAGTAAATAGGAAAAAAATACTTCATTTTAAGAAACACGGTTGAGTGGCTAAAGTTGCTTTTGTATCTAGACTCTGCACAACACACTAAACCCCATCACCCATATGCTGAGAAATAACTAAAATAAGATGTTGTCTGTCAACCGTCCAAGTTCTGCTTTATTGAACTCAGAGTTTTGGAATAAGCTAACCAGATCAAACCAGGAAAAATAATGATGTGTGAAAATTCACTCTAATTTTTCACTTTTTTTTCTTTTCTTTTTTTTGAGGCATGGGGTGTAGTAAGGGACTTTACTAACACCATATGAGGGAAAGAACAATTTTTAAAAAGAATGAGGCATGAGTTGAGATTTGTAACACAATTTTTACTGTTGAATTTAGAGTAGGTTTCTAAGAAATGTAACAAGTGAAAAAGTAAAGCAAGTCTTTCTTGGTTCAGGAGAAAAGAACATATTGCCAAGATACAAGTTTGGGGCATGTACTCTTTAGTGAGAGAACCTTAGCAAAGATGTAAAGTCACAAAATATGCAGCAACGTAAAGCATGGAAATCTAGGCTGTAAAACCTTTAAAATATCCCCTTTAAAGTGAGTTCCAAAAAGCCCCTTAAAACATTTTTTTCTGAAGTTTCCCTCTTCCCACAGCATAGGAGAAAACCACACGTCTGGTAAATTTAAAAATGGTTTACTTAGAAACTCTTCAAAAGTCAGATTCATGTGCTTTTCTGTACATCAGTCAGAATGCATAGGTAGTAAAAAAAATAGTTTAACTACATTTCCTCTTTACTTCCTATCCCCTCAGGAGTGGAGGTGGTGTCAGGCCTGCCAAGAAGTTCAGAGACGTGCCTGTGGGGTAGCCAGATGATTTAATTTTTGGGAGGAAAGAGATGCCAAAGGTGAACCAGGTGTGCATTGGGACCCAACAAATGGCCAGGAAGGGAGAGCCATCACAGAGGATATAAACCTTCATGTCTCTCCTGGGTCTTTGCTAGGATAATGATACCCAGTTACAGGAAGCTGGTGATGGGCAGCCTAGGGCTCATCCACACTTTTCCTGGATCTGCATTTTTATCATATTGTGTACCAATTAATTCTCCCAAGCCCAGAGCTTATCTCATTCTTCCATCTCTGAACCTTATGAAATTCCATTATTTCCCACTGAATTGAAGCTCATTTAGCAAAATTTCTCTTCAGATTTTTCCGCACATCTAATAAGATCTGACTCAATGAGGAAGACCGGATTTTTGCAAGGCACAGCTCCAGAACAACAAAATCAACAATATGATCAAAATCTGGGGGTGGATGAGCCCTTAGAGGAGGTCAGGCAAATGCAGTAGGGGTTGTAAAAATGATACCCCTTTAGTAGCTTTTGGGAATAATTGCCTCTCCCCGTCCCCAATATATAGAATGAATGGATCATTCAACAGAATTCCTTCAGAATGGTTTACCTATCTATAAAATGAAGTAGTGATGGGAAGAATATCCTTGGGGATAAAAAATGCTAGTTGATATATTTCTAAAAGTAGAAGCTGATGAGGAGATTCTTTCTTTGAAAAGTGCTGTTCCACAGAAACATTCGCCCAGAGTGTTCGGAAAGGCTGGTTGGTAAATTGCGGCATACTGTAACCTGATTTGTTTCATCTGTAACCGTGTATTGGGAAAATCATCTGAAGTCAATGTCTCACTGACAGGGGGATCAAGTGGCAATGAACATTGCGGGGGGCGGGGCAGTCATAGTGTTAAGCTCCAATGGGTCTTGCCAAGATGCATGGGCCTTAGCAAGATGGTGCTGACATTGGAATTAGAGAGACTAATGTATGCAGCAGCAAGTCGTTGGTGTGCACCAGGATTTCTGAGAAAGGGCCAGGATATTTTCTTCAATTGGCAGTAGGAATACGTGTCCCAGTTCTGGGCAAAGTCAGACAAGCCCCATTGTCAACCTCTTTTAAATGAGCTTTGAAGACTTACTTTTTTAAAGCATTAAAATGTGAGGTCAGATGTTGGATTAGAATGATTGGGCCGTGTCTGATGCTGGTTTACTCCTATGATAGTCTAGGTTTGTTTTAATGTCTGGTAGTAGATGGATGCCCCTAGTGTATTTCAGTGATTGTAAACCATTTTTTGAGACAATTTTTCTGAAAAGCAGTTTTTAAGCCTTTTAAACAAAAAGAAAAAAAATACAAATAGATGAGTGTTCCATCCTTAACAATGATGGGTGCTAAAAATGGCATGTGGGGAAGGGAAGTTTGTTGTAAAGGGGGTACATTTAATAAAGCTCTTCTACACAACTATTAAAGGCATGAGAATCCTATCCTGGTTTACACTGGATATCACTACTGCTAAACCAAAATCTGGTGTGATGATAGTAGGACTGAAAATACTGGTTTCTTTTGTGCACACGCCCCATGAGAGATGAAAATTCTGGTCCAGTAATTTTCCTATTCCTCCTACACCCCATCCTCTTGGCTATTAACCCAAGAGAGTCCTTTGGCTCCCCTATGGAGCCCATGTGCTGATGGTTAAATTCTGACCATTCTGGTACCTGAATCTTCTTCTTTCCATTACAGAATAAACCTGTAGAACTGCAGCTATCTTTAGCCTGGAGGTGCACTGACTAATAATACAAGCATCCTCCAGGGCAATCCTGAGCCATCTGGGTGTGTTTTATTAAACTTGCTCTTCCGCACCATGCCCCAGCCTGTAATACTTCCTGCTATCTGTTTGTGGCACATTGCTAAGGGGATATTCATCTGTTAGTCTGTTGTGGAGGTTTTAAAGTAGACGAATCACTCACTCGCTCTCAGATATCGGTGAGAGGAGAGAATCATCAAGGTGAAGGTGGGACCCAGGTGCTGCCAACAAGGCAAGGTATGTGGCACTTCAAGTAGGCATGACTCAGACATAAGAAAGCATTAAATCTGAAAAACAATGAAACCATCATAGTCTTTGGTATTTGGCCAAAGTTCACCTCCAGTGGCATTGTAAACAAAGTGCAAATGCTAGCATTCCTGTTTACCTGAACTTCTGGTTAATTTGCATTAAGGCTCCAGTATGATCTCTAGGGTTCTATATTCTCTAGAGCAGGCATAGGCAAACTCAGCCCTCCAGATGTTTTGGGACTAAATTTCCATCATCCCTGACCACTGGTCCTGTTAGCTAGGGATCATGGGAGTTGTAGTCCCAAAACATCTGGCAGGCCAAGTTTGCCTATGCCTGCTCTAGAGATTCTGATCAAGGTCTTGTAATTAAAAACAATCCACCATGAAATCCATGGTTTCCACTACAATCATTTTAGTTATTTCCCCCACCCCTTGTGGAAATTGTGTTTGAGTAAAGCCTGCAATTTTCTTGTACCCCTTGCAATGCCACGATTTTACGGACTGGTAAGGTATAAGTTGTGAACTACAGATTCTGAGGCATAGCTGAAGATGAGCTGCCATTTTCTATACATCTGAATACATTTCTCCATAAGGACAAAGTGTGCTCTACACTTAATGCATGTATGTGTTAAAATGAGAGTGAGTAAATAAAGATGATGGAAGAATCTCCGTCTCCCAGAGTAGCTTACTCCCCCCCCACCCCGGTGGCGGTGCTCCCATGTAGAAATGGCTTTAATAGTTTTGATGGGGTTTCTTTGGTATTTTGTATTCTCTTACACTGCTTTGATGGGCCCAGGCTGTGAAGCAGTTTATACATTTGTCAAATAAAAATAATTAAGGAGCAGAACTTTAGCAGGCGAAGCTTTTCCCCGCTATGCAGATAGAAACGCAAGAGTCCTCACTACAAGCTATTAAAAGAGAGCGGAAGAGTCGCTACCATGAGTTCAAAGAGGCTGCAAGTACATCTACACTACACCTTTAAACTTGGGGAGGGGGCTCCTGCGTCCCTTTGACAGAGGACATTTCAGCAGGTACACCTTTTCTGACCCCTGTATGACAAGCTGCACTTGCAGACATTCATTTTCTACACAGCTCCCTCCAGTGGTTTTGTCCTCCTTTATATCCCACTGCCCTAATTTAAGTCTGGTTTAATTGCCCTGGTTCCCAACAATGTCTGCAGGAAAACTTCAAGGTGTCTCGTCTGGGGATTTCTAAATGCTACCAAGGAAATTAATTCCCAGTGCTCTTTGGAGAAGCCCATGGCCAGTAAATAGGGTTGGGCTTCTGCTGCCAGAATGTTCTCCATTTTATCTAACCACGATGGCTATATTATCTTACCTTATCTTATATTATATTACCACAGTTCAAGAAGGACACTGACAAACTGGACCGTGTCCAGAGGAGGGCAACCAAAATGGTCAAAGGCCTGGAAACGATGCCTTATGAGGAACGGCTAAGGGAGCTGGGCATGTTTAGCCTGGAGAAGAGGAGGTTAAGGGGTGATATGATAGCCATGTTCAAATATATAAAAGGATGTCACATAGAGGAGGGAGAAAGGTTGTTTTCTGCTGCTCCAGAGAAGCGGACACGGAGCAATGGATCCAAACTACAAGAAGGAAGATTCCACCTAAACATTAGGAAGAACTTCCTGACAGTAAGAGCTGTTCGACAGTGGAATTTGCTGCCAAGGAGTGTGGTGGAGTCTCCTTCTTTGGAGGTCTTTAAGCAGAGGCTTGACAACCATATGTCAGGAGTGCTCTGATGGTGTTTCCTGCTTGGCCCTTGGGAGTTTGGACTCAATGGGGGTTGGGGGTTGGACTCAATGGCCCTTGTGGTCTCTTCCAACTCTATGATTCTATGATTCTATGATCTGCTGGAGGCAGGATGCTATACCAGTTGCTGTAAAACACAAGTGGGGAGAGTTCTGTTGTGATCAGGTCCTGCTTATGGCATCCCATAGGGAACTGGTTGGCCACAAGATCTGAGGAAAAGTAACAGGGAGGAGGGGAGTATCCAAGTGAAAAAGTAGTTAAGCAGCTTCTTTCCTGCCCTGTCCTTCTGCTTAAACTTAAGCTGGTGTGTGTTTGTGTGTAGAGAGAGGTGGTGTATTGGTTAGAGTGTTAGACTAGGGCCTGGGAGACCATGGTTTAAATCCCCACTTGGCTATGAAACTCACTGGGTGATCTTGGGCCAGTCAATACCTCTCAGCCTTGCCTACCTCACAAGGTTGTTGGGATTAGACGAGGAGGGGGAGTACCATGTACATAGCCTTGAGCTCCTTGGGTGGTGCTGGGAGGTGGGATATAAATGCAAGAAATAAGTTACAGAAAGGGTGCATAAGGCTGATTGTTAGTTAGAGGGCATGGTGGTTAGGGAAGAAGCTGAGGAGCAGGCAGATTCTTGTGCCCACCTGCACATTTGAGGAGGGAGGAGGGAGCTCTGCACCAGCAGGGAGCTCTCGGTGTCACTTCACAGGTGGCAGAAGGGTGTTGGAGGCTGGGCTGACGGGCAACCTCCACCCAATCCAACACACACAGCCTGGGGCAAAGGGAGGGTTGGATTCCTCTGCCAGTTTGGCCATCAGAGAGAGAAAAAGCTGACGAGCTTCCAGTGTAAGGAGGGGATCATGTCAGTGCTGGATTTACGTATAGGTTAAACAATCTATAGCTTAGGGCTCCAATCTCTTGGGGGCCCCCAAAAAATTTAAAAGGGAAAAAACTGGATGTACATTTCTAAAATAGATAAATAAAATCAAATCTACATACAGCAACAGTGTTTTGTGTTGTGTAGGCTCCTATTTGTTATGTGCAAATGGCTTTAGATACCTATTAGGTCCATAAATTACTATATAGCATTTATTCAACACAAAAAACACTGACAATTTGTTATTGACAAAGGACAGCTGGACATATAAAGGGCCCCATTACCTTCGGTAGCTTAGGGCCTCATCAAACCTAAATCCAGCCCTGCATGTATTGTATATAAATACAAAGTGGGGGGAGCTCCTATTCTTAGCCATAGTTGTGATGAAATCTCAGCCGTTCTATGCATAGATACACAGAGCTGTGGCTCCTCAATTTCCTATTTCTAAACAACTTATCCTGCCCATGTTTACCTGCTGGTCACCTTACTTCACACGACGTCTGGGCAAGGAAGAAGAGCTATAAAAGGAAGTCAACTTGTGTCCCATCGCATTTTCAGGGAAGGCCCGCCCTTAGGCAAGTCTGAATGCTGTGGTTTCTGCCTACTCTTCAGACATGTCTAGAGGGTGTGTCACATTCCAAATAAATTTGTTTTCAGTCACAAATATTTGGCATACAAGGTAATTCAGGGGAGTTTTCATGTTTGTAGGAATGAAGCAAGAAGTGCAGGGTCCTCCATTTAGTTTTAATATATCACCTATGTACAACACTGAACAGAAGTCTAATCCTCAAGCTGCTGAAAGGTACCGCTTATGATACTTTTTTGAACTGTATTCAGATACTTGAGTACGAAGTACACACGTCTCAGCAATCCTACAGTTCTGTAGGGACTAGAGGGCAGCTCTGATGATATTTTATATTTATCTGGGTAGATACAGTTGTGTGAAATGCAACTAGTGTAGGATCCTGCTTCCAGATATTTTTTTGAGGAAGTAGATGGCAGATATGTGTCTTCTGCATTTAAGTCATCTTCAATCGGTGTCCAAGTACAACAGCTGTTGTACTTTACTAGACATTTACCACTGAGCCCTACATCAATACATGACGCAAGGTCAACAGAGGTCATTCTTACACAATCCAAACTCCCAACAGTGTAACCAGCAAGACGGAAGAATGAAAAGAATTCATGCAGGTGAAACCAAAGTGACATGTATTTGCAGCATATTATTAAGGAATTAAGTATTTGAGACATCATAGAAAACATGTACCCATTTTATAAATGAGGAACAATGAGGCCAATAGTATTTTGAAAGCCAGTGAATCCATGGCAAAGAACTAAAAGCCCATGAAATGAGCCAAGATACAGACATTGAAATCAAACGAATCCATGAAAGAACTCAAAATTGATGCAAAAGTAGGTAACCGAATGAAATTGTGCAAGTTAGTCACTATAAAACAAATCAGTAAATGAATTAAGGATCTAGGAAACAATGCCCATGGCAAATTCCCTATCTTATAAACACCCCTCTTCTCTCATCTATCCAAACACACACACAGTCTCCACCAAACAGGCATGCTCTCCCTGAATTATCTTCAGTTGCTGCTTCAGGCAGATTCCAGTTCCTCACTGGACTGAGCAGGAGACTCAGAGGGTAAAAATGTGTCACGTGAAAGCACCACCACCACCACAACAACAATTTATTTGTACCCCGCCCATCTGGCTGGGTCTCCCCAGCCACTCTGGGCGGCTTCCAACAAAGATTAAAACTACATTAAAATGTCACACATTAAAAACTTCCCTTCAAGGGATCATCTGAAAATGATGGCTTCAAAGGTCAAAAGAGGTGATATCATAACTACTGCTATTCAGAAGTAGTAACACCGGAGCACTATCCCTAACAGTGGAATTTGTCTACAATGACCTTAAAGAACAATAAACTTTTAAGGAAAGAACAACACAACATTTCTGTGCATGCATGACAGTTACTTGTAATTCGGTTCTGCTGACATCAGCTTGAGGTTTTTGCTCTTATTGTGCAAACAGAAATGAGTTGATAGATGGTGAAATCATTGTGTTCAGGGAGCTTGCTGGAGATGAGTGAGCTCGATCAGCAGCTGCCTGAGTTTTATGGGTGGGGGGGTGTTAGATGTTGAAATGATCTCCTATCTGTACTTCATGTACTTGGGCAGCTTTCACATTATGGACAATGTCCATTACACAGTGCACATTGAGGTGAAGCAGTCCATACTGCTTTCTCTAATGCTCCACTATGGATGAACAAATCTGCCAACTTCTCATATTCCCAATCTTAAACTCATTTTTTTTTTTTAAAAAAAGAAAGTACTCAACATTAATCAGCACTTTAGGGCACACTTCTCCAAATACATTAAATTCATGTATGCAGTTTTCTCTAAGCTAATGCATTTTTGTATGTTATTTTCAGTAATAAAGCCATTGTTATGAACACTTTCCTTTAATTTGCCCAATTTAATTTTTTCATGTATTTCACAGGGTTTGTATACCACTTACTCATCAAAGCCCCTAAGCAGTTTACATACCGATTTACATTAAAATGTACACATCTTTTTGGCTCAAGAACCAAAACATTCAGAAGTGTGCAGATTTTGAAGGGGAGCTGCATTTTGTAGGTTCTTAAAATGCAAACCAAAACAAATCCTCCCTCTGCCCAATTTTCTATCTATCCTTGACTTCTGTTTAGCACTACTTATTCAAGCAGCGCAAACCTTGTATTGGTTTGGGCAGACACATTGTCCTGTCATTCTTCCTGACGACCATCTGGGGAGGGGGTGTGACCTGAGGACAGTCATGAGGGCCCCATAGAGAGGCCTGGAGGGCTGCATTTGGCATCCAGGTCTGATAGTCCCATTTCTGGATTAAAAAATAATAATAATAATGCAGCAGATGCACTAAAAAATCCCCTTTCCCCTTTTTCTTCACCCGTAATTCAACAATTAAATAAAAAGTGGTTTTATGGGTGCTAAAGGGAGCCAAATGTTCTCAACAGCCTCATTGTCATACTGAAGATAGGAAGGCTATTGTTTCCGAGTTCTGTTCTACAGTTCCCGAACCTCCGATTGCTTGGATTTACCTAGGACACTTCCCTTTTCTCTAGCACCTGTTGTGTAGATGGTTATGCAATTTACTTGCAGGTATTGGCAAGCTGCCAAATTTGAGGATTCCATCCATGCTCTAAACATTGTGGTTCTCTGATCTGTGTTCCGTACTTGGCAGTTCACAATCTGTTTGGGAAACTGCCATATATTTTTAAGAAATCTATTAAAACAAGGCTGCCACTTACCTGGGAAGCCAACCTGTGGGGCAAAGCTAGTGGCGTTTGTCTAGGCAGAAGGAAATTCTACTGTTTATTCCTGTTCCCATCAGTATATTATGCCGTTCTTAAAATTCCTTTAATGTGGCAACCTCTCTTCTTTGGAACTCCTTGCCGATTGACATCAGGCACACACCACCACTGTAGTTTTTAAGGCACTTGCTGAAAACTGTTCTGTTTCAACGGGCCTATCCAAGGGATATGATTTGGTTACATCTGTTCTTAAATTTATTTTAGATGTCTGATTGTTTTTGTTTCAAATGCTTTTGTTTTTCATTTCATTTTATTTTTGCCACAGGAGTGTTTGCCTAAACTCATTTTGGAGGAAGAGTGGAATAAAAAAAATGAATGAATGATTAAATCAAATGCCTTGGCTTGCTTTTTAAACATGTCAAGAGCAGATTGGGAACCTCTGATACTTTTCTGTGAAGATGATACAGTAAGTAGCTGGAACTTTCTAGAAGGGTTGGAGGGGCTGGGGTGGGACTTTTGAGGACAGAGTTTCCAAAGAAATTGGGTGCAGCTGTTACCAAGATTGTGACCTGCAAGGTGTGGGTGGGAAGAACCCTTCTTCCCTGAACAGGAAGGTGGGAAGTTCAGCCCATCTCATAAAAATAAAAAATAAAAATCCCCATTGGCAGTGGAGCAAGGAATCTCTTTTGATTAGGAATCCCAACCCTGTGATGTTTGCCGAGTTGCTTTTTTAATGGGGAAGTGAATACCACTGCTGCTGTTTTTATATTGTTCTTCAGGTCATCCCTTGGGACAGCTCATTTGTATCTGATTCATGCAATAAAATGGGCTGTGGTCTCATGTGCTGGCATATTTACACATAATTCAGCACTTCCAGTAAAATACACACAGAGAGAGAGAGAGAGAGAGAGAGAGAGAGAGAGAGATTGTATCTTGGCAGTACAATACCTGCCAACCATCCCAAGGTAGGATAAACTGTTTGTTAGAAAGCTGTAACATGAAGTGTTTGATGAGCAAAAGCAGACGGGTTAATTGGCAGAATATGAGTGTTTAGAACAGAATAAAATAATTGTAGGGTTGGAAAGGGACCCAAGGGTCGTCTAGTCGAACCCACTGCAATGCAGGATTGGAATCTCATTTCCTGCAATTTGAATCCATTGGTTTGGGTCCTACCCTCTGAAGCCAGGAGAATAGCCGTCCTGGTCTTGGTGTGGAGAATATTATGCACAAATGCAAGGAAAACATTATCTGGCACCTTAACAATTAAGAAATAAGCTTTTGAGGACTGAAATTCATTTCATTAGATTATGTATGAAGTGCTATCCTGAGTTGCAGGTAGGGGCAGGGGTACACATGCGTACACACACACACACAGAAAATCAACATATGGGGTAAGGAAACAGTGAAGTCAGAAGGAAAGAATATGCAAAAAAAGTTAATAATGCAGCGCTACCACCAAAAACTATAGAAAAGACTGACAATAATAGCACCTTTGTACTGAGCCTAGGGCTTGCCGATCAGAAGGTCGGCGGTTTGAATCCCTGCGACGGGGTGAGCTCCCGTTGCTCGGTCCCAGCTCCTGCCAACCTAGCAGTTCGAAAGCACATCAAAGTGCAAGTAGATAAATAGGTACCGCTCTGGCGGGAAGGTAAACAGTGTTTCTGTGCACTGCTCTGGTTTTGCCAGAAGCGGCTTAGTCATGCTGGCCACATGACCCAGAAGCTGTACGCCGGCTCCCTCAGCCAATAAAGCAAGATGAGCGCCGCAACCCCAGAGTCGGCCACGACTGGCGTACAGAACAGTCAGGAAAGCAAATAAGAAGGGATGTTCTTCAGGAAGTTTCCTACAGGAGGAATTTGCATTTGAGCTTTGGACTCGGCTTTGGTCATAGTTCTAATGGAATGGTAGAATGGAAACTGTAACCCTACAAACAGAATCCACAACACAATGTTGCAATGCATCTTCTTTAAAGGAGTGCCCCTGTTCAGTCATTCCATCCAAATGGGGCATTCCACTTCGTTGGCATAAATCTCTTTATTTATTTTCATACTGTCCTTCTGCATTCCATGACTACTACAAAGCACACTTAATCCTATTTGGACTGTTTAGGGGTTTTAAAAATATTTTTTGTACTTCTGCAAACCTTGGGATTCTCCCCAAGTATCCTGAAACTTCTTGTTTCTCAGTGGCCCCACCTTGGCTACAATCCTGGCAACATGTACCATATGAGTTAGCTCTCAGAAGGAGCGATAGTTTAAATTATTGGGAAATTTTGTTTGTGAGGCGTTTTCCAGTATTTTAGCAATGTTTGTATTGATGTAAAACATGGATTTGAAGTCATTCTGCTTAGTTCACACAAAAGAGAATTATTTCTGAGCGTGTGGGATTTCTTTTTTGCCCTTTGCTGACTGTTGCTTTGTCTCCTTAACAATGGTAAAAGCATATCTTTGGTTGATAGGAAGGCAGATAAGAAGAATGCATGCCACATTTATAAAAGCATAGAGATTAGGTAAGGTGCTCTCCCTGTTAAAACTGATAATGAAATGACACGAAACGACACAGAATACATACAAATCTTACCAACGGTCTCAGCAGCCAATAAACCTCATAAGAGCTGCAGTTTGAAAGGAGGGACTGGAATCTCTAATGGAGAATTATTATGGCCATCATCAAACTACAGTCTGCAATAACTTAGAGAGAGCCTCAGCAGTTAAACCAAAATCATAGGGCTGTGCAGTGCTTTTTATCTTAAAAAAAAATGTTTAGGGTTACTCTCATTTTCCTACTCATATTGAAATACTGCCCCTCAATGAGGCCAAACTTAGATTCACAAAATGTTTAGGGGTATGTGTACCCCTGATTCCCCCCAGGAAAAAAAGCACTGGTGCTGCGTACACACAAAGTAGTTAAAGCACCCCCACCAGATTGTAGTTTACTTCACACAGTTACGATTTCCAGCACCCTTGACAGTTCCCAGGATCATCTGCGGGTGGGTGAGTGTGCTTTAAATGTATGGTGTGTATGCAACCAGATAGATCCTTATTAGGCCACTTCCTGAGAGAGCCAGAGGATTTGCTTTGGGTGCCACCATACCTGCCAGACAGGCTATGCTGGTGAATGCTATGCCAACAGCCAGCTGAGCCAACCGGGGTTTAATTGGATCATTGGAGTGGCAGAGTCTAAGAAAGTAACTGTTGTGGAAAACCCACCAACACCTCAACATGCCTCTTCAGTTACTTTTCTTTCCACTTTCTCTCAAATTCTAAATCAACTAGAATATCTGACATCTCGATACAGCTAGATTTCAGAGGTGTAAAGACATATTCCGTCACCCAGGACCAGATCAGAATTCTCCCCATGACTACAAACTTCAGAAAAAAGTCCACGAACTAGGCTAATAACAACATGCTGAATCCAGCAGTGACGCAGCTAATTTCTCTTCCCCGAAAACAAACTGTGGTGCAAAAGATAAGGCTGCCTTTCACGGTTCTATTATCAAACCACTTTTGCTGGCCCACAAACGGTTACAGCTAGTGAACAGGTTTTGGCACGTACACACAGTGTCTCATGTGAGGATCTGCAAAGGCAAGACGGAGGAAGGGGGCACACTATATGTATATGTGTGTGTGTGTGTGTGTGTGTGTGTGTGTGTGGTTCGGTATGGCTTCTTCGGCTTGGGAACTAACTCCCAATAATTGTTCTCCTTCTCTTAAACCTTTCTACTTTTATATTGGCCTATTGGGGGAATTAAGTCACTTGATATAATCAAAGAGACCGGCACTTCAGTCACAAGATTCTGAATTTTTAGCACCATGTGGTTTTGGGTGAAGCAGTCTCATTGTTGAAGTGCAGAAGAAGTGTGGCATGCATGGGAAAGGAGCATACTTTGCTTTGAGATCAATTTGAAGGTCAGAACATGCTTGGAATTCCAGGCCGGGTGATGGCGGATGATACTAATACTATATATAAACTACTATTGCCATTGTTTTGATAAACTGCCTTTAGAAGGAACCAATATAGCAATAACTGTTTTACAGGCCACTTAGCACTCTCATGGGCAGAGATAATCAGCTCTGGAGGAAGTAACAACAGTAACAGAGAAACGGATCAAATAAAGGCATATGATATATTTTAATTTAACCGCAGAAAAATCTAAATTTCTCTCTTGAATGATCAATTGGACAAATAAAGGCTTTCCTGTCAACTTGTGTCAAGAATCACGTTCAGAACCTGTGAGCTGAGGGAGACTCACCTTATGTGCCACCACTCACTTCTGGCCAAAGTAAGCCTTTTAATCACAATACAGTAGGGCAGAGCGGATAAATTGATATTCACTGCCAGTTTATAAAGGATTGCAGGTTAGGCTTGCTCACTACTCTGAGCAAGCAGAGGACACTGCTGATCCTGCTTTGCCTTGTCTACATAGGGTTGCCATACGTCCGGGAATTCCAGGACATGTCCTCTTTTGTGGGTCCTACATGCTCGTTTGGGAGGAATTTTACATTTTAAAGCAAATGTCCTGGAATTTGGGGGTTGTGTGTACGTGTGCATGCCTGCATGTGATTCTGGTTCAGGCTTGGGCTCTGGCGACCTGGGCTCTTGTTCATGGGCTTGATGGTGGCAGAGGAGCTATCGGGCAATTGCCCTAACAAAGCTCAGCAGATTTTTACCTCTTGAAATAAGGCAGTCCTACAACCCATAATTCGTGGGTATTTATTTATTTCTGAAATGTTTATTCCATCACATTTCCAAAGAGTTCAGGGTAGTGTTAGGGTTTCCTGTCCGCTCGATTTTATCATTACAACCCGCTATAAGGTTAGGTTAGGCTAGGCTTAGAGAGAAGAAAGAAGAGGAGTAGTAGTAGTAGTAGTAGTAGTAGTAGTAGTAGTTTGGATTTGATATCCCACCTTTCACTCCCCTTCAGGAGTCTCAAAGCGGCTAACATTCTCCTTTCCCTTCCTCCCCCACAACAAACACTCTGTGAGGTGAGTGGGGCTGAGAGACTTCAAAGAAGTATGACTGGCCCAAGGTCACCCAGCAGCTGCATGTGGAGGAGCGGAGACGCAAACCCAGTTCCCCAGATTATGAGACTACCACTCTTAACCACTACACCACACTGGCTCTCACACCACACTGGCGCTCTCTCTCTCTCTCTCTCTCTCAACTGCTCCAAGATCTCCTGGTGAAGTTTGCAGTTGCGTGAGGCTTTAAACCTGGATCTCCCTGGCCTTAATCCAGTACTGTAACCACTACTCACACTAGCTCTCCAGGAATATGCATGTGTGGCAAAGAGGGGGAACCCTGCCCTCCATGCCTTCATCTGACTCTCCTTGTTGCAGGAAGATGTTCCTCTTCCTCTGAGACGTAAGTAAATGTCCAAGCTGGAGATGGTGTATCCTGATTTTATGAATATTTCCTCTCGAAAGCTTTGGTTGCTTTTTTGTGATCAGTTGTTGCCATCTGAAGCAGGTGACAATTGTCAACACACAGAGAAACAGGGTAGGTATGAAGCCAATAGGAACTCTCCGGTGTGGCCTCTTAAAGAGATAGAAGAGAGACCAAATCTGCCTTCACTGATGAGCCCTGCCATTATTTGACACGTTTGTTTATAAGATGCAGCAGGGGTAGGGAAGCTGTGGTTGTTCTGATGATGTTGGGAATGATGTGGAGGACCACACCTCTGGAGATAGAGAGCTGCTTCTGGAGAACAAGCAGAACAAGAAACATCTCTGTTTCAGTGAATGTTTATATTGTACTTTTGCATAGAAATCACCCCAAAAGGAAATCCATTTCGACATACAGAGAAACACATCTGCCAAGTTTAATTGTGCCCCTTCTTGGTTTTGCTCCTGTCTCACAAAAAAGCAGATAGAAACAAAAGAGCCCTGCCTGATCAGACCAAAGTTCATGTAACTCAGCATCCTGTTCTCACAGGGACAGTATCCAACTTTCTGTTCCCTCTCTCTGTCCTTATTACTACAGGTCTTACACTTATTTGAAAGCCTAGTATCAGGTAAGTAAGGTAAAGGGACCCCTGACCATTAGGTCCAGTCGCGGAAGACTCTGGGGTTGCGGTGCCCATCTCACTTTATTGGCAGAGGGAGCTGGCGTACAGCTTCCGGGTCATGTGGCCAGCATGACTAAGCTGCTTCTGGCAAACTGGAGCAGCACACGGAAACGCCGTTTACCTTCCCGCCGGAGCGGTACCTATTTATCTACTTGCACTTTGACGTGCTTTCAAACTGCTAGGTTGGCAGGAGCTGGGACCGAGCAACGGGAGCTCACCCCGTCGCGGGGATTTGAACCACCAACCTTCTGATCAGCAAGCCCTAGGCTCTGTGGTTTAACCCAGTATCCCAAAGGAAATATGCAGAAGGCAGAATGCATTGTGTCCACTTCCCCCAATATTCTGTCTTCTTTTTCTACTGATAACATCACCCTTCAGCCTTCTCAACAACAGTTTGGGTGTTGTCTTTGAGCCAACGTATGTGCAATTGCATTTCTCATATCTGTTGTTAAAGGAAAAAACGGAGTCGTGGAGGGATCTGGGACCCCGCCTATCTGTGTTTCCTTTCTGTTCTCTTTAGTCCTTCCATTCACCAAACATTAAGCTTATCAAACCTCCACTTCTCACGTGCACCATGTGCTCTGTCTTATCGCTCTACTTCCTCTCTCACGGCTCCTTAAAATATTTTGCTGGCTGCCTCTGCAGGTTTCACTTTCAGGTGGCATCCTGACCATTCAATCTGGGGGATTCATTCAGGCAAGTGCTGCTGCATTGCTCCAGCGCTTGAGAGCAGGACCAAAGCAAACAAGGCGCTGTTTGCTATGATCCTGCCAGCCACCTTTGCCTTTTGCTTTTTTCCTTTTCGTCTCAAAGCTCAGAGATATGCTTTGAGAGTGCAGAAGGCAATCCAAGGCCTCAACAGATCTTCGTTCACCCAGAATCCTCAGTGGGAATTCTGCACATTATTTTTTGTCATGGAGACTACTCACTGGCGCCTTCTCCTGGCCAAAGAGGAGTTTTGCAAACACTGAGAAGTTCCAGTTGTGAAAATAAAAAGCTTTAAGTAGGCTTTTGGTGTGAGCAGTGGAAAACTCGTAGGCTAAGAAATTATTAGAAACTAATTGTTTCTCGTTTGCTTTACACTCCTGATGGACTGACTTCTGTTTCTTCCTCCTCCTATGATCAGTAGCTTGTGCAACTTCCCCTTTCTCCAAATTGTCTTTTCTTTTGGGTCATGTTTTCAGATTGTGTGCTTTCGGTAAGCAACTTGTCATTTTTCTATTCTTATACAGCACCTGGCATCTTATTTATGAATAGAATATGAACTCTGTTTAGAAATTGCTCCCCGGTTGTTTTTGATTTTATTTTTGTCCATTATTTGCATTTCAGTTATTCCCCATAACAAGCACTCTTCAAAACTATGGTCAATGCAATGCTCAGTCATAGCAGAGGCTTTTAATCAAAGTAGCACTGAAATGAGATGCTATTTAGAGCCCACCCTTCCAATACCTAGCAGATTAAGCAAATAAAATATTTTTGAATAACTTAAGTACTCGAGAGAAAGGCAAGAGAAAGGTGATGTGCTGTTGGGATGCACAGATCTGCCAGTTTCAGTTTCTCTTTTTTCCAGTCTTTAGTTTACTTTCCCCCATTTCTGCATCAGTTTGTTTGTTTTTTAAGTTGGTATGAAGTTTTGTGCACATGCCTCCCAATATACACATTTTTACAAGCAACTGTGCTTAAATGTGATCATGGACATTATTTCACTATTACACATTTCTCTAAAACATACATTTCTGAATACAGTGGTACCTTAGGTTAAGAACTTAATTCGTTCTGGAGGTCTGTTCTTAACCTGAAACTGTTCTTAACCTGAAGCACCACTTTAGCTAATGAAGCACCACTCCTGCTGCCGCTGCGCCGCCGCTGCACAATTTCTGTTCTCATCCTGAAGCAAAGTTCTTAACCCAAGGTACTATTTCTGGGTTAGCGGAGTCTGTAACCTGAAGCGTATGTAACCCAAGATACCACTGTACATTTTCTTGGGTTGCAGAACTGCAACACAAAATTCAGAGATGTGAGGATTTCAAGGTGATATCAGCATTTCAGTTCTGGAACTACAAATTCAGTAGGTTTGGGATTAGCACATGAACTGAATTAATTTCTCCCTTATCCCTCACTGTAGTGCAGTGCTTAGAGGGGTGCCCTAGGTTTAGGGACCAATGTTTTAACGCGTACTTGTAGCCACCAAGGTTATGCAATGTGCTTGGCATCCATCTGTTTCTAGAAACACTGGATTGTCCCTCTGGGGGTGAAGTCAAACCACTGTGTTAGCAGCACCAAAGAGATTATAGGCTAATCTAAGATACGGTACTTGATAAATCTGTTAGGAAGATGGAGGAGGGACCACATTCTTTGTATTGAGCTTTGGAAGAAGGAAAGGTTTTTAAAAATGCAAATAAAATGTTAATGCAATTTACAGAAGAAACTACAAGGATAAAAAACCCAGAGAACATTTACTGCCAGCACCTCCCCGCCCCCTCTGAAAACAGCATCTCCGTTGTTGCCTGTATAGCGAATTAAGACTTAAGCTGAGCTGCAAGCTTTCTACAATTGGCAGTTGCCTTAGGTTAATTCAACATTGACAAGGTTAATTTAATATTAACTGTTTTTCTGCTTTAAGGCATTGCATACAACATTTTAAAAAGAAATATAAATGGTGTGTCCCATTCTCACCTGCCTCCGAGATCCAGCTGGTGCTGTAAAAAGTTGAGAACTCTAGACAGGAGGCAGAAGGCAAAATAGTTGCGTGTTCAGACCGAGACCTCCCCCCTAAATAAATTCACACTTGACTCAAATTTTAGTTTGGTTTTTGGCAGAATTTAGGCCGCAACTTTATTGATTACAGTAGGTGAGTGGTTACATAGGCTATGGTCGACTAGCTCCCTGCACCCTTGCAGGCAGCGCTGACCCAGGGCACCAGCATAGGTCAGCCAAGGGTGAACACCTGGGTAGGTGAAAAGCCGGGAACAGACTATGTTCACCACCCAGATGCCCCCCTGGACTCAGGCACGGGCACAACCCCCTCCCGGGGGTTGAACAAACCAATTGAGTCCCTGGATTCCTTTAATGGAATACCCTTCACATAGGGATGGTGAGACCACTCTCCCATCTCTATCACCTGAACCAGTGCCTATCCGCAACCTTACAAGTTGTGACGATTTGCTAGGCGGCAGGCAAAGCCCAAATGGCAACAGCCAATCAGTCAAGTGGGGAAATTCCTGCCGTGCCCTGTCCCAACGACAGACGACGACATAGCAAGGTCAGTCGCACAAAGCCCTAAAATTAAGCAGAGGTAGGCGGGTGTTCCGAATGGACGAGCCAAAAGGAGAAGCTCTGGGTCACGCGCATGGGTATAAATAGGTCCCTTGATCCATTCAGACTGCGCCCCATTGGCCAGATTGAACCCAACAATGAGGGACCTACTAATCGGGTGTTGTGGCTAACCAATCCAACCCACCCACAACACAGGAGGTCAGTCTCCAGATCTCACCCCAACATGTGCCCTCTTTTAGGGAGGACACGATTTATCATTTCTTTCACACAGCACATGCACCAAGGGACTTGAAGATACCATTATGACAAATCCCCAGAAATCTGATATTCCGGCCCCAGCAGGGCTGCCCAGTCAGCTTCAGCTAGCCAAGTTCGGCACTGTATTTGTTTGTGCGCTTTCTGTCTGTCTGTGTGTCTCTGGCAATACAAGCGTACGATTCATCCTGTTGAAACTCCTTGTGTCCGGCTTAAGAATTTGGTTTAGGCACACCTGGTGTACTCCAGCCTTTCTTCAGAGAAATAGGTTGTGATTACTCAGACAATCCAGGACATGTTTTCACATACAGGCCAATTTGTGTTTGGGAAGAATGAGGCAATAAACAGGACACTATTAAAAAGGTATGCTGGGAAGTGTAAATTATAGCTTTCAGCTAGGATCATAGAACCCCTTTTTTTAAGGCAAGTTTTTTAGGTTTCACACTGTCAAGTGGAAAGTGGAACTGCGCTACTGTTCCCAATATCGTTCACTGTTCTGCCCCCACCTCCCTCCCCTTAAAGGTGTGTCTGCCATCTTCATTTATATACCGTATTTTTTGCTCTATAAGACTCACTTTTTCCCTCCTAAAAAGTAAGGGGAAATGTGTGTGCGTCTTATGGAGCGAATGCAGGCTGCACAACTATCACAGAAGCCAGAACAGCAAGAGGGATTGCTGCTTTCACTGTGCAGTGATCCCTCTTGCTGTTCTGGCTTCTGAGATTCCGCATATTTTTTTTCTTGTTTTCCTCCTCCAAAAACTAGGTGCGTCTTGTGGTCTGGTGCGTCTTATAGAGCGAAAAATACGGTAACTTCCAGTAAATGCTAAATACGTTACCCTGGGCTTTTGACACCTGAAACAGTGTTTGAAACTCCCATTGTTCTAGGCGCATTTTGCGACAGAGAATCTCATTAGCGCAAAGAGTTCTGAGCTCTGGGCACAATCCTGTGCCTAAGATTTCAGATTAAAACAGCAGAGTAGAAGGAAGGGAGGACCTTTTTCTGCCTCCCCGCTTCCAGCTACTCTCTGAAGACTGGAGAAGAGACCCTCTTAAGAATATTAGGGTGGTGAGCAGGGGAAGGACTACTAGACCATGTAAAAAATGTATATAATACTTCAGAAATACTTTACTACTACTTCTTTTTCTGCTTTGTATTCTTCTTATTTAAAAAGCATGCCTAGACATTTCGTTGTTGCACCCATAACCTAGGTTTAAGGTGTCATTTAGCTCCTAGCTTTCATATCTGTTTCTAACACTGACCTGAAATGCATATTTATAGGACCCACCTTTCCGTAATTAAAACAGCTTTGTAAACCGTTTTAATGGTTGTATGCCACATTAGGCCTTATGGTGAAGGACAGCTTACAAATCATCATCATCATCATCATCCACCAGGCGTACACCTAAAGGAAATGTGTATATCTCCAGCCTCATCAGATCCATTAATTTAGTCAATAAGAAGTGGGTATGCATTGCAATGAGGGTATATAAAGGTAAAGGTAAAGGTACCCCTGCCCGTACGGGCCAGTCGTGTCTGACTCTAGGGTTGCGCGCCCACCTCACTTAAGAGGCCGGGGGCCAGCGCTGTCCAGAGACACTTCCGGGTCACGTGGCCAGCGTGACGAAGCTGCTCTGGTGAGCCAGCACCAGCGCAGCACACGGAAACGCCATTTACCTTCCCGCTATAAAGTGGTACCTATTTATCTACTTGCACTTAGGGGTGCTTTCGAACTTCTAGGTGGGCAGGAGCTGGGACCGAAAGACAGGAGCTCACCCCGCCGCGGGGATTCGAACCGCCGACCATGCGATCGGCAAGCCCTAGGCGCTGAGGTTTTACCCACAGCGCCACCCGCGTCCCTAATGAGGGTATATATACGTACATTAATTTTTTGCAGGAGGAAGGTGTATAAGTTAACAAGAACCAATTGTTAAAATGTCTTTTAAAAAATCCATAAATTGTAGGTTATGTACAGAGGGTCAAAATTAAGTATTTTCCCAGACATGTTGCTGTCAGAAGTACTAAACAGAAGCACCCGCACATTTGTTTGTGGCATTTATTATTTCAAAGTCCAATATATACATAATGTATATCCATGTATTGGGGGGGCATCATTTATACAGAAATATCTACAGAATATGATTTAGTCAAGCCATTATTTTCTATATTTTTGTCATAATACACATACATACAAATGGAAGATTGGACATAATGAAATTATCAGCACTCAAAGTAGATAAATAATATAATCATTTCTGGAAAAATATGTTCAGCACCTGTAATGAACTGAGAGATCCACACAGATATGGCATCGTTTTCCCTTCAATTTGTTTTCGCTAGAGGATATGAAGTGTTTTCTAGCACCACCTACTGTTGTTTCAAAATATTAAACTACCTTGCTTTAAAAGGATTATGAATAAAGTAACATTCATAGGGGCTTGTTTACTCTAAAATTATATTATGAACAGAAAGAACACTCCCACCCCTCTATTCTTCAGGAACAAGATGCACTTTTAAAGTAGAACACGTCTGCTGTCTTAGAAAACAGGTGGTTTTGGTCCTCATTACTAAGCCTTAGTACTATTTGCAAATGATTAACTTGAAGGAAATAAGTTGCAAACAAATTAATCATCAATAAGAGCAGAGTATTTTTTATTTTATTTTTTTGCTAAGGATGGCAGTCAATAGTAACTGGAGGGGAGCTACTAACCTCAGTGGGAACATCAAGTGATTGCTTGCATGTATGACTGAGCTGCCACAAATGTTAATTCCAAGTTAGAACCATCACCCAACATCACCTGAAATACGACACTCTTCAATGCAGTCAAGTGATGTACATACTTGGATATACCATCTAATTTGCGCACTCTTTTAAAATTCCATGAACATTGTCTACGTGCATATACAAGTCAGTGTTCTAGGTCTGTCAGCATTCCCTCTTGCATGACAGATGTCCTCAGATGACAGTAACCCTGCCTCTAAGTATGCATATTTTCTATTACAAAAATATCTGATTTACCACTTTCATGTACATGCAGACAGCCGCCAAGAGGAATTACTGTCATTTTTCTAAACAAAGAATAATGTGGGTTGCCTCACAGATAGATGTCAACTTGTTAACAACCAACACTGTGATTTTGACACTGGGTAAAGGTTGTTGCTCTTCAGGAAATGGAATTGAAAACTTGCTGGGGCATACTAAGATTTTGAACCCAAATCTGTGAGTAACCTCCTCATTTAGAACAGATATTGGGACTGGCTGCCAAGCTGACCTGTGTCTAAAAACCACGTAGCACTTGAATTTAAAAGCCTAGAAAGAGAAGAATAAGATACGAAACCCAAGTCATTCTGTTAACAGAAGATGGAATCTTAAATTCTGATGGAAGGAACAGCTTTGTCCTTTCAAGAATGCTGCCGATATCTTTGTCTCAAAATGAAGAGAGCTCGTTCTTTTATCTCTAACACTTTCTGTGAATTGTGCCATGGTCATTTCAGACTCTGCTTTTTAAGAGGCTCCTATGAGGCTAGAAAGATTGGACAACCGACTTAGCATCTCAGTCCTGGTTATGGCCCATCTGCGCTCTTCATGTATCATGCCACTTAACAGTCATGGCTTCCCCCAAATAATTCGGTGACCTGAAGTTTGTTAAGGGTGCTGAGAGTTGTTATGAGTCTCCTATTTTTCTCCCAGGGTTACAACTGCCGGAGCTCCCTGGAAGGAGGGACTGATTGTTAAACTACTCTGAGAATGAGCTCTGTGAGAACAGGGATTTCTTTACAACTTTTGAGCACCCTTAAAAAACCTAGTGTTTCCATGAGTCTTAAGGGGGTAAATCATGATGGTTCAAAGTGGCATGATGATGATGCTTTAAAGGTATGGTGCAGAAGGGGGGGTCTGTCTATAAAGCTTCATGGGGTTCAAGGGGAGGTTAATCCCAGAAAAGTGCAAAGGTCTGCAGCCAAAGGACTGGGTTACTCTTAAATATACTTTCTTTCTTGAACAGGCTTTGAAAAGGAAGAAAAGTAATGTGCAGTTTATTTGGAACATCAGAAATGCATTAGATAGTGGTAACATCACTTTATTTTTTCTAATTTCTTTATTTTCATATTGAAGCAATTTCCTATATATATTTTCCCTGTTCATAGCATGCACTAATCCTTGTATTACCATTGTCTGACGAAAACTCCCTTATTTAATTAGTTTAAATTATCAGGAATTAAAGACCAATTAAGACGTCATGTTGCGTACTGGGGACATACAATGCTGCAAAACATGTGCCATTCCTAGAGCAAGTTTTCTCCAGATACTGCTTGATAATATTTCATGCATATGAAGACTCAGGCCCATGAAAGCTTCTATGCCATAACAAATTTGTTAGCCTTTAAGGCGCTACAAAACTCTGTTGTTTTTTTTATTACTAACCCCTTCTATAAATGGCTGAATCACCATTATTATCATTTGGACGGTTTGCTGCAGGTAGCCCTGAAGAGGTCTCTAATTAAGCCTTCTGAATATTCAAAAAAAAGGTGGCCTAATATGCTGACCTAAATACCTCTGATGGTAAAAGAATAGCATTAAGTATGCCTGCTTCCTCTGGGTGGTCTAAGCTACTTCTACTGCACAGAAAAGTACGGTAGGTAAGCAGAAAACTATGGCAGTGGTAAAGTAAACTCAATATTGATAGAGTCGTGCATACTCCACAATTCAGTGCAAACACAAAGTACAGTGCTGGCCATGAAGATGCTCTGGTCATGGTAATAATGATTGGCTTGCCCATATAAAATAGCAAATTCAACTGTCTGTGACAAAGATTTGGATCAGGAGGAAGAGGTGGTTAACTGTTTTAGGGGTGGGGACTGCAACCCAGGAAGATAAAATCTTATTTTTTAAAGAATGTGTTTGTGGGAGGGGGGTTTTGTTTGTTTTTTTGGGTTATGTCTTTTGTGTTTTTATGTTGTGAACTGCCCTGAGATATTTGAATGAAGGGCAGTATAACATTTATTATTATTTTTTATTTCCTTCTCATGCTAACCCTTTGCTCCCACAGCACTGCTATTTCTCACCTGAATCTTCCCTGGCTACTTTTGTCAATTACAGATCTCCCCTCATCTTGTCAAGTTGCCCTCACAGCATTTGCAAATTGCATCTATGAAAGAATGGCAAAGATACAATCAAATTAAATTGCTCTCCAATAATTCTACCTTCAAAGTGATCTTAAAATGCAAAGGGCTGATTCAAATTGGTAGTCTGTCTGAACACTTCCTTTAGAAAATACCTTGAGACATACTCTAACAATTTGGGGTGTGCAGTCTCCCGGTTGTACAAAGTACAGAAGTTGTTCATGCAGCAGTTACTATCCTGTTTGTTGGCATATTCTGCACAGAGCACTCGCTCAATACAAAAAGCTGTTTTTCATTTTGCATGCCAATGAAAACAGATGGCTTTGTGGCAAACCTCTTAAGTGTTGTAGCCATCTATGTTTTACTCAGTGTAGTCCCACTGCAATTAATGGTGCAAAGTCATCCATTAATTTCAATGGGTCTGCTCTGAATATAGCTCACACTTGATACAGCACCAAATATCCAGTTCTGCTTGTGCCATCTACCATCACACAATTGGTTTACCACAAGCTGGGAGTTGCTGTCCAGGCATATCACACACACTCGAGTTTATTGATATCCTCCATTCAGAAAAGAATAAGCAATCAGGCCTATTAAAAGGCTTATCAAAATAATGGCTTCCACCACATCACCCTTCTCTGAGCTCTTTTTTCATCTTAATAGTCTAAGTCAAACTCTGTCCTGGACCAATTCACACAGGTGAAAGGGAAGTTCTTCCCTTCCAAAACATCTGTGTTCCTCATAAAAGGAGAAAAGGAGGTTCACCCCGGGCTGGATGTATTTTAAACAAGACTCAGTGCAATTGCACATATACAACTTTTCAAGCATATATAGTAGATAGGCTAAATTTGTGGTGCGCAGTGATGCACTATTCTGAAAATAAATACACTTCTGCCATTAAAAACCCCAAGAAATTCTGGGCTGGTTGGTTGGTTGGTTTTGTGTGCAAACACTCCTTAATTCCTGATCCTTAAAAACAAGTAATTGGTGACTAACAATGACCCCCTTGAAGGAAAAACTGCAGACTTGTACAGTTTCAGTTACTCCAGTTCTAATTTATACACAATGAAGTAACACTAAACAGGGGAAAGTGTCTAATTTTGTATGTAGAAGACTGAGGACAGTTCTTTCTCCCCAGCATCATAAAGGTTCCATTTGGAAGGCAAACATGTTTTGCTAATGTGATGTTGCTACTGTACATAAGTATGAAATGCATGGCTTTTTAAAAAATACAAACTCTAGCAGTATATACATATTTGTACAAATACATTTGTTTAGGGTTCCTTTTTGTTTTTAAAGAGCAGTTCTCTCAAAGTGAGACTCAATCCACAAACGTGAGAAGAGGAATGGAGCCTCCACATGCAACTATGTAAGAAGTTCAAGTTGAGATTTGTATTTCAAACAAACAAATTAAAAGAAACGTTGCAACTTGAAATAGAGGCTGCCTTCCTCTCAAGCCTCCACCCTTGGGTGGGGAAGGGGGGGACTGAAGGAAGAAAGTTAATTAAACTTGAATGGCATATGTCAATTTCTTTTCATTACCCTTAATTTTTGATGCAGTGTAGCTTTTCAAAGCTGCTATATTCTAATAAGGCAAAACAAAGCAATGACCTAGTTGGAATAATGCATTTACCGTACACCAATGACTTCCTGAAAGGGCAAGGCAAGCATCTGCTTCATCTTCCTCCTATCAGAACAAGCTCAAGCCTGAACATGCACTGCCCTCTTCTCAAAAAGGAACGTGAAAAACCACATATTATCACTTCAAGGTTTAAAGCATAAGAAACCAGAGCCTCCCTTTTATTGCTCTGCTCCCTGGAAACGCATGCTAGCGCTCGTCAAAGCAAGAGAAAGAGAAAAGCCTGAAGTTCCCACCAGCTTCTTCTCTTCCCAAAACAGCCTCGATAACTTAATTTTACTTGTTGCTCTTGAGCTTTTACTAAGTACATGCTATCCACCAGCAAGACTACTCAAGTGCTCAGTTTTTTCCAATGCTTTGCAATTGGTATTTTAGGAATCGCATAGCTCACATACATATTTTTGGCAGAGATGCAGCTGTTCATTGTCTCCTGGTGGTGCCTATCATTTCAGCAACCAATAGTGGGTAGCTTTTTCTGTTCATTCTGTGCCAGGCTTGTGGCCCTCCAGATTGCAGGGCAGATCCCATTGCCCCCGACCACGCTGACTAGAACGGATGGAAGTTAAGAGTCCAACAAGACATGGAGGGTCACAAGCTGTCACTCACCATTCTTAAGAAAGCTTGTATGTAGTCATTTCTTGTAGCAGACTACCATAGTTTTGTAGTGTATAGACAACTTAAGTTCCCTAGTAAATACCTCTTTTCCTTCTTCCACCCACGTAGAAGTATGGCCTTGCCAGTACATGGGCAGATATGAGACAGGCGATAAAGTAGCAAGAGTATATGTTTATGCCACAGCACACACATGCAACTGCTATTTCCATTTAAATTTACAAAGCCTTGCAAGGGTTCAAATAATAAATAGCTCTGTATTTTATTAGCAATCTCTGTAGGTGAAATCCTGGTTTCAACAGCTCACATCAATTAGCTGCAGAAGTTTCTCTTTCAATTATTCTCTTTAATTAAAAAATAATAATAATCCAATTCATATCCAAGAAGTCAGCAGGGATTTTTAAAAAATTCTCTCGTCTCCAATTGATAAAATATGCAGTGCCATGTCCTTAGAGAACAGTCTACTATGAAAGTCTTTTCCAATGCATGTTATAAATAAAATCAACCAATTTAAATAAATCCAAGAGAGGAAGTGCATGTGTGTGAGTGTTTGGTTTTCCCCAAACATATATCCTCTAGAGGGCAATAAGTTTAATATGTCCAATGGACAACCCTCTCCATCACTACCCACCCCCAAGAACTGCAAAACCCAAGAGTCTTTCCTTCCACCAAGCTTCTTCATTAACAGGGTACTGTAGTTGCACAAAGCAGAATTATTATTTTTTTCTCTCTCTCTAAATATAAGTGCATAAAATGGTGCATGTTGATATCTTGTTTCAGTGAAAAGCAATATGGATGCACACAGCGTTCAGAAAAGTTCACCAAGAGTTTTCCATCACTTCAGGCAAAGCAAGCGCTGGGCCTTGGGCCTTGTAAACCTCGCTCATAAACATACTCCAGTTTGCTTTATTAAAGCTTCATGGGATTGACAGAAGACACTGGCGGATATCCAGGTTATATACCAACAGGGTATGGAGCACCTGTCTTTTCTGCCTCCTTGGTCTTGCTCTCAGCTATGTTTGCTTCAGTCTCTGTTCCAGTTCATGCTGCTGCTTAATTAGCCGTTCTATTTCTGTTCCTAGTGTTTGCAGATTTTCCTTTGAAGAAAATAGAGGGGGATATTAGCAGACTCTATGATACCCAATTAAACAAAAAAACAGTGCCTTGTCTTCAAGGTTGAATGAATTCAAGTCCACTGCAATTTGAAACCTGCACACATTAGTAAGAAAGAAAGTAAGATAGATTTACTCAAAATTATTTCACTTCAGGGTACACATGACAGTCTGCCTAGATATTTTAACTTTGTTCAGAGCATGTCTAAAAGGCTTTTTTCTATAATAGCTTGCAGTCATATACCATCACTTAAAAAACAACAACCAAGGTGCGATGAAAACCATGATGTATTCTAATTTTCTATTTCAAATTACCTTCAGGGTAATATTCTTCAATAAAGTGTCCTCCAGGACTGCTTGGAGCTTCCTGTTTATCTCCAGAGAGAGTTCCAAAGTGAGCCCACTGTCTGCTGGGTGAGATGTGTAGAGAGAGGCCATAATCCCACCACGCCTACTTAAATGCACTTTATTGAAATCAGAGGCCTCAGATGACAATGTGCCAGCTTCTTCCCTCAAAATGTAGCTCTGGATTATTCTGTAGAAAGTAAAACAGTGTAAGATAGTGACAACATGAAAGAACACAGGCAGCTAATTTGTACTGTCAGAAAATTAGTCCATCTAACTCAGCATTGTCCCTACACGCAGAGTGTCGCAGAGTGAACTCAGTGGGAGAAATGCTATTATTGTTCTATAAAAATGTTACATTGGGAACACTATCTTATTAAGAATAGTTTCTAGGTAGAGCAAAAGTTTCTAGGTACTTCAAAGCATGCTGTTTTATATATTTAAACATAAAGGCAACTTTCCAAGCCGAAATAGCTGTGGTCTTTTTCCAAGACACAAGAGCAGCTCAGAATTCCCCTCAGACAGTCTTGGCACCAGCAAAAACCTCAAGATATTTAAATTGACAAAACTGCTTTTAGAGGTGGCATCATGTCCTAGCAGTTTCCAGCTGGGCATATAGTCCCCAGAATCACCATCACCGTTAAAAGGAAACAAACTTGGTCAGACGTCAAGCAGTGGCCTGCAGAGCCAAACTCTAACTGGTGTTCCCAAATTTTGTCCTCATTGTTAACTCTAAGAGCCATCATATGTACATTTCTTAGGGAGTTTCGCTGAAGGGGTCTCCAACTGATGAGAGTTGGCTATACAGTGGTACCTTGGGTTAAGTACTTAATTCGTTCCGGAGGTCCGTTCTTAACCTGTTCTTAACCTGAAGCACCACTTTAGCTAATGGGGCCTCCTGCTGCCGCCGCACCGCCGGAGCACGATTTCTGTTCTCATCCTGAAGCAAAGTTCTTAACCTGAAGCACTATTTCTGGGTTAGCGGAGTCTGTAACCTGAAGAGTATGTAACCCGAGGTACCACTGTATTGTTCTCATTGTGAAAAAGAAAGTGAGGAACTCACAAAAAAAATTTGACTTCATGACACCAAGTGTCACCAAGTGCAAATAGATTCCAGCTTATGTCTTTAGCAATCATGTACTGTATTCTGAAAGTAGGTGTACAGTACACTTTGCTGGGGAGATGTGTGCTACACAACTACTTAGCAGCTTCAAACTGAAACAGCTCGTGCAAATTAACTGTGCCGTGTGCGTTTTTTTTCTTTCGCAAAGGTGAAGAGCTTAGTGTCTAACATCTGCCAGCGTAAGAATAGTGAAGGAAACTTTCGGCTTAATGCTTCCCAGTCGGTAATTTGCTAAGATTCAATTTGCATGAAAGGTAGTAATTAAAGAGAACAGCAAATTGCTATGGAAGCACTTTCAGAATTCACGTTCAAATCGGATTTTTTTAAAAAACAGCACAGACTACTTTACATACGTCAACACACATAATTAGCTTTGAATCACTACAGTTTAATTAACATTGCTATTTTAGTTTAATTCAACGGTAAGTTCTGTTTACTATTAAGATATTTCGTTTACCAAATTAGTGCCTATATATAAGAAATGGAGGAAACTTTCATTGCAGAAGCGGGCCCTCCACCCTCACCCTGAAAAACATGGAAATACATGGGGGCTATATTGAGGTGTCTGGCACCATTTTCATTCCCGATGAAGTTATCCAGCTACCATACAGAGTACCAGTGTTAACTTTAAACACAGTGCCTTGAATTGTATTTTTTCAAACTGATTACCAAATGGACCAGATGTTGCACATACTTGGTTTTTTTCCTGATTTCTTCAACCAGCTGTTTGATATGATCCTCCATGAACTCCATCTTCTCATTTTTCCGAGCATGGGCTTTCTGTAACCTTACTATTCTCTCAATCAAGATGGTCTTGTCCACTTCAGGGAAATGATCCACAGCTACTGAAGAGCCACTGTTTTCTGGCGAGCGATCTTCATTACTGCTTCGAGCATTAAGCGATCCTGTCAAAACCAATGACATCTTAATTGCAATGCATGGCTCTCAGTCAAATAAAGAAAAGTTATGGATTATAAAAGATTTTAATCTGCATTTTGACATAATATTCCACAAAATGGCTAACATATAAAATGCAGTATGAAAATCTAAAATACACATTTCATAATAGTACTAAAACCTAAACTGCCCTGAGATTGTGAATTGCCTTGAGATCTTCTGATGAGAGGTGGTATATAAATCTAATAAATTAAAATAATCAAGACTAGTACAGACAAGCTATAGAACTCAGACAGACCTCAGCAAAGCAACCCAAATTTATAATAACTATTAAAAATCACAGGGGGATGGGTTCTGCCAAGGACACTTAAAGGAGGCTACCCAATTGCAGAAGCTTTTGAGATCCACAGTTGTGGCCCACTGTAAATGAAGATCCTATTACAAGTGACTACCACCCTGATTGTTAAACAAACATATTCAGAATTGTGCCAAAGCTTTACCATGTAAAGTGTTGTTCCAGTTTAGAATCTGGTCAAATTCAAGAGTGCCTCAGCTTTTTGACTACTAAAATGGAAATATGATGGAGGTTGAAAAAACAAAACATTTAGATTTGTGCAGAGCCTTTGATGCCACTTACAGACCTTGTAAGATGATGGCAGGCCTCTACACGGACAGATAATTCTACTCCATGTTCAAAGTACTAGAGAAGCAATGAATTTTAAAGCAGCAGACTCACTGTTGTAAAACATGAATTGATTTTTCATTTGTGCACTGCCAGCTTCCAAGGAAGCAATACTAAAAAGGTAACTGATTTGTATTTGCCATCGAACACATAGTCAGGAAGATATAAAAAATCAGCAAGCTATAAATACTAAGGTTAAACTCTCCAAGAACTATTCCATTATTTCATGGTAGCCTCACACAACTGTAATTGTATTCAAGATTCAGAACTCTCAGAGAAAATTAATGGTTGGAACATTACAGCAGACATTTGAGCAGTTAAAGTTGCCCAATGAGTTTTCTTTTTCCAATTGCCTGATAAAGTGAAAACACAAGACCTGTTCTAGATAAATTATTTCTGTAATAAAGTATGACTGTCAGCAACTACTGCAGTGCAGTTATTGTAATCCATTCCCTGTATAAGTCAACGTGCTTTTTTTCACTGAAGAAATAAAAGTTACCATTAATTACTATTTACTATAAATAATATAGAACTGGTTGGATAAGAAATCTCAACAGATGTGGGTTCAGGTATATTATAATCTGGTGGGGGATAACTGTTAGTAACTGGCGTGGTTGGGGGAAATCATGTTGGTGAAAATATACTTTGAGAACTACAATATGTTTTATTGGCATGATTTTGGTACAGTTTTTTAAAAAGAAATAATTGATGAGACTAATCATACGACCTACCTGATGAGCTAGAACGACTCCCCATACTGCTGACATCTTTATCGTAGTTGCCGTTTTCAAGCTGATCTAATTTTCTTCGTGCTAAGGGAACAAACCATAAATTATTTGATGCAGTGCTAATGTTTGTGGGGGAAAGCCATACAAACCAAGGTCTGAGAAATATTAACCTTGCTGAAGTTGCTTGGTGAGGTCTTTCAGATTTGCAGCATGCTTTCGCTTCTGAGTAACCAACTCATCTTTTAGTTCATCTGCTTTAGTGTTGAGGTCTGCTGATGCTTTCTGTTGAGATGCTAATTCAGCCTGCAACGCTTGAACATTGTTTCTGTGAAGTTCCTCTTCTTTCTGCAATTTACTTGCCTGAATTTATAAAATGAAACACATATTTATACAGTCCAAATTATGATGTGTTATCATTTGCTTTCCCCATTGTCCACTGAGTATTTCATACAATTTTAAAACACATTGCAAAAAATAAAAAGAAAGACCCAATATACCAACTGCTTATATTCCAATCCACTATATTGTTCCTGGGGGCTTTGAAGAATACGGTTGTCATGGAATATAAGAATCTGTTGTGAGGAACGGGAAGATCAGATTAGTTGTCCCCATGTGTCCCCATGTACAAGCATTCATACTTCCACAGGCCATATTTCCTCCCACAGTTATGGAGAATTTGGAGCTTTGCTGCCCATGTTATGCTATACGTGATTTCAGTTTCCAAAATCTGAAACTTAAGCTTGTATATATTCATTTCACATACTGCAAAGAATTTATTTAATGCTTCAAATTGGCTTGGACGTTGCATAGAAGCCAACCTGCCAGAAAACTTGCAATCTACATTAGGTGGCCAACAAGATGCACAGCTCAAGGAAGCATCAGAGGACTGCACAAGGCATACAAGACTTTCAGAACTCCCAGTAACCAGGCTGGAGAACCAGCCACCACTTCCTTAAAGTGAGATCCATACTATTTTGATTTACAGCGGGAGGCACAGCCTTCAGTTGTTAAACCATTTGTGGTGCAATGCTTCTTACCCGTCATCCCCAGCCACTACCTAAGTCAAGCTGGTTAATAATACAGTTATAATGAGCGTTATGCATGTGTCTGGCTGTGTTTTTTCCCCTATTCAGACTGCCCCATGTTTATTCAAATAGCACCCCCCTCCCCAAGAAGAAATCTGCCAAATTTGGCTTCAGCAGTGGCACACGGAAGCAGGGTTTCTCCTATTCACTATAAATATAGTAAAATGCATCTGCCTTTGTGCCGAGTGGATGACTGGCTCAAAGGCAGGGGCTGATGACATTTTCAAGGTTTTCTTGAGGTAGGCAGGAATTATTTCATCGTGCTTTGGCCCAACTGTAGCATCTCTATTTTAATTATGCCATTTATTGAGCAACAGCAGAAGCAGCAGGAATACATCCAGGCTTATTCCAGGGCTTAGGGTTTAATTAAAAACATTAATTACATAAGCCTTAACAAATTAATTGAAATTCTGATTTACCAGTTCATCTCTTGCTTGCTTCACTAGTTCCAGCTGATTCTGAGACTGACTCTCGCTGTAGGTGATCTTATCTACTTGCATTTGTAGGGAGTTGGTTTCCGACTGCAGTTGGGCGTTCTTAGTACTCAGCTTTTCAGTGAAGACCAATAGCTCCGATTCTCTTTTCCGGCTGCCATCAATGTCCTTCTGGAAGTCAGTAAGCAGAGAGTTGAGACTGCCCACTTCTTCCTTCAAGGAGTTAATCTCTTGTTCATCTCTGAAATCAAGAGTGGACATCATTTTGAGATGTGAGAAGAGGAGTTCAAACTAGACAGGCAACTATCAGTTTCCTAGTTGGCAGTCCGCACAATTCATATACACTTTGCAGTTAAAGCTATTGTGCTCATGGCTGCTTTGGTCCTGGTGTTGCCTAGGCCTGCTCTGCTATACAAGATACATATTTTTGGACATTGACTGTTTACTTGAGCAAATCATTATTGCAAAGTGAAATAAATGCTAGAAACCAGTGCTGTAGCTCACAGTCACGATGGCTTATAGTTAAAGCTTTTAACTTCAAAATGAAGGAATGTTTCATTTTGGGATTCACTTTGATCATTAAGATGTTACTCATAAGTTGCAAATTGCAGGCACTGTGATTGCACATTTCCAAGAAAAAGCCAATGTTGCCATGTTAATTGGAAGAAATGCAAATACTCAGTTCTGCAAATCCTAAGGGAGGTTGAGAGTTGTTGAAACATTGCTACATCTCAGATAATTATTGCTTACAAGTGCCCTGGGCTGTGTGGGTGGTTCTCTATTTATATGATGCTCTCCTATATTCAGTATGCAACACATTTAACACCAGGAAAGCTGAAAATATACTCAAGGCCCTAGTTCACCAGCACCATATGGAAACATGATTGTGCACAGATGTTTTTGTTCCGGTCGCCCATAAGTTAGTTTGTTCTGTAATTTCCAAGTCTGAATTCTAGAAGTAAATCCACTGTAATTAAATGGAGTCTTGCTGATGTTAAACAAGGAGCAATTACACAGTCTGTTATTTTAATTGACTGTTCTTTTAAGGGAGACAAAAAATTGTGACTGGGACCCAGGTCAAAGTAAAAGACTGCATGGTATGAAAGCAAGGCACTTCTCAAGGAGATGAAGAGGATGAAGGGATGCAGATTAATTATTGAAGAAAAATGCAGAGAAATGGACGCTTTTATTTTTTTTAATAGGGGAAATTTTAATACGCCCATGCAAACAGTTAATAACAAGCCAAACAGAAAGAGACTCAAAACGGAGAGAAAGAGGTGGGGAAGTTCTTGAGAAAGTGGAGACAATGTGATGGACCTGGAGCTACAAATTCACGGTGATCAAGTGAGGCGTAACAAGGAGAAGGATGTTTTAAACTATTAACTATAGGATAATTTATTTTAAATCAGATTTGCAGTTACCACATTTTTATTGTCACAAGTAGTCTGCAAAGATTTAGACCAAGATAATGACCTGCATAGTATTTGGGTTTCTGGGTTTACCATACCTAAGCCCCACTACTCTAGCCAGCATGCCACAATGATTGGGGGAGGGCATTTCAGAAAATAAATCATTTTAAATTTTGTTGTTAAAATTTGTTTTGTAACAGTAACGCCTTGTTGCAACTAAAAACGATAATATGTATAGGGCAGGTGTGGGAAACCTTGAGCCCTCCGGATGATGCTGAACTACAACTCCCATCATCCCTCACCATTGCCCATACTTGCTGGGGCTGATGAGAGTTGTAGTTCAGCCACATGGGGTGGGCCAAAGGTCCCCGCAAAAAACCTGAACAAAGGATGTTTCAAGGTTTTATCAGAGGACTGATAAACCTGGTTAACCTTTCAGGCTGCCATGAGGGTGTGGGTACAACCACCCCAATATTGTGTCACGTTTTCACTAGCATTGTGTTCATTATTTATCAAGAGTGTAACATTTGTTGCCAGCATTGTAATGTGGCTTAGTTATGTGGTAGGGTTGTTGGAGCACCATATCTGTCATAATATTATTGTTTGGAGTTATCCAAAAGTTTTATACTTCTTACTGCCCCTTCCAGGGTGAGAGCCTCCTGCCCTGGTTTCGAACTGCCCACTCACCCAGGTGAGAGGCAGGAAGGTGTACCTGTTAGTTCAGTATGGGTGAACTAGGTTTATTGAAGTAGTTGAAATGTGGAGAGTTTGATTACTATTGGTTGCTGGCTGTTACTTTGATTATTAAAAATTGATGTACTGGATTATTACTGGCTGTTCAGTGTAAGGGATTGATTAAATGATGTGTGCTTAAAAAAATAAACCTCATTAAGCTGGATGTGGACGTGATTGATGAAAGTGAGAGATTATGAGAGCAGTTGTGTGACTAGCACATTTTTGAGATTTAGGGTTAAAAAATTTATGCAGTTATTTCTGTTTTGTTTTTTTAATTCTATACTGATATGATTGTTACATACATCAATATTGTGCTTTGCTGCATATCTAGACGCTTTTAAAAAAATGTGGAGCTTGTGTTTATTGTATACTGTACTATGATTTTTTGATGTTTAACAGTTTTGAGATCCATTGATAGTAAGTAAATGACTTTAAAAAAAAAAAACTGAACTATTTTATTCATTTTAAGAACATGGACTAGCCAGAGTCCACAGACATCACCAGGTGAAGACTTTTGTATTTTCACTCAGTCACTATGAATCTGGATAAGGGTCCAATAGTTTTCTTAAAATAGCTTAAAATCCTATGCTTTTAACACAACATTATACATAAACATGTAGTTTTGAATAATCAAAGCAAATTACTACTTTTTAAAAACTTTCTTCCCCTGACATAGTCATTTCCAGGGTAATAAATATTAAGTTGGACTGAAGTTGGTGCTAACTCTAGAAATGTCAAACAGCAACAAAATATTATATGCCATGTCCAAGGTTAAATCATTCAGTAAGGTTTATACCACACAAAACTTTGCTTGAATTGTACCCAAGTTGGGTGGCAGCATCAATTATTTGTTAAAAGAACAGTACTCTCTAAGTATAATATATATACTTTAAATATATATATTTTTAAAATATATATCTATAAAACCAAAATGTAACTATCTTACCTCTGGTGGTGCTCCTGGAGCTGATCTATGGTTTTCACTTTGTCCAGCAGATTCTGAATCTCAGCCTTCTGGCGATTAATAATTTCTCTGTATTTTGATAATTCATCTTCTGTTCTCAATCGTTCATCCTCTAGACACTTTACCTAAAAACAACAGAACTTGTTAAAGTAAATGGCACATTTCATTCTTTCTGGTAGATTTTCTTAGTTTTTTGAATCACAAACACTTTACCCAGTGCTTCCCTTTGTATCTGAGAATGCAAAGACCAGGCTACAGTACTCACAGGAGCAGATTACTGGCAACATTTTACTGCTTTGCTGAGAGAGCTGTACCAGTTGCCAATCTGCTACCAGGCTTAAGGACCACCTGATTCCTTATGTGCCACATCACTCACTGAGTTGTTCTGATGGGACACTTCAGTAGTGCCCCATGCCCCTTGACAAGGGACCAAGCCATCATCATGGCAGGCCTTGTCTGGTGGTACACCTTGCCACCAACATACCTGGTGCCTTCTTTTAGGTGCAGAGGTCTTTCAAATGTGATTTCTTTTTACCAGCCAAACTTTATTGATGATATTGTAGCATTTTGTATTTATTGTGTACATCCCCTTGTTATATATATATATATATATAGAAACTGTGTTGTATAAACATTAAGCTTTCATTTAACTTGCACAGACACAAGGTACCTGAAACTTAACCTATTTCTCCCCCATCTTAATCCTGCTTTTGTCATCGACTTTTTCATTTAAAGAATTCTTTCCCTACCTATCTGTTTACAAGAAGGGACATGATCTGTTTGGGAAAGTGCTCTGACAAAAGTATAATTACCTGTCATTTTCAGGGTTTGGGGTTTTAAAGTTAAGAGAAAAAGCCACCTGATCTCCAGGCATTCTTAGTTACAGTTACCGTAATTGGATAGGCCGTTTTAACAAAGTGTGTGGAAAGTATGGCAAGGAAAGACAAAAGAACCACCATCTGCCTGAACTCACCAGAATCGTAACCAGCTTTTAATATAAAGCAGTAAGTTTTCCCCCCTCCTAAACTTTTGCAGAGAGAGGGGAAAAACCACAGATATAGCTCTGCATCCTAAAAGCTTAGGAGATATAGTGAAATGCAAATGTATTACATTTTAACATCTTGTGAATTGGTGGCTCTCTAATGAAAATTAGCAACAGACAGGTTTCCTACCTGATTTTAGGGGAGTTTGAAGGCTCTACTGACAGATGATGCCATTTATTACATTTTTCAGAACAACAATTGAAAACTAAAGTTTTTACATTTTATCACGATATAAATCAGCAAATAATGCACATCATATATCCTTATGGAATTAATCAAATGAGACTCCAAATATGATACCTATCTCCACTTCCCTTCTCCCTCCTGGCCCTATCTGCCTGTTGCACAAAAAATAAATTTTGTGGTAGTACTGGAGCCATTTCAGTGGCAGTACTTGAATTCAAAGTCGAAAGAGCTGAGCATGGCCCTGAAGCAACTCTCTTATCCATTCAGGAACTCTTTCATTTGCTTGGGGAAATTAAATCTTCTCACAGCTGCCATGTCAACTCCAGAAGGAAAACTTCAAGGTCAGGAAAAGGATGGTGGCACCAGAGAAATGCCTGCTGCAATATTTTTTTTGAGAGACTATGTTTGGCCCAAATCCTCTGAACTTGTTGCCAAGTTCAATACTTCTTACTTTAGAAGGGCACTTGAAAGACCTCTTTTCAACCACTAACAAGCAATGCAGGAAACAAGAGATGAAGTGGTTGTACCACATCATTTTAGTTCTTGGACTTACTGCTAGTACAATGCCATTATATATCATACAGAACCATCAGGTCCCTGGAAGTCAAATTTGCACTGATCTATCTGGTCAAACTATCCAGGTAAATAATACAGTTAGTTTTCCTTCCCTTTGCTTTCATTCTTTTGGCTACAAGGAATTCTTCTCTCTCACCTTTGTCCTTAGAGTTCGTAGCTCATCCATACCCTCTTTAAAAGTTCGCTTCACATCTTCAAGTTCTTTTATTTTGGCATGATGTACCTTTGAAAGAGAAAAATGACAATTCTACATACAACATGGAGGAAAATAGAATCCAGTCCTGTCCACTTCAATCTAGACAGCAATTAAAATTTGGACCCACCGGACTTCCGGGTTGGTGCGAACAGCTAATGGCGGATTCTCTCCGAGCTCCGGAGGGAATCGGCTCCGCTGGGGACGGGTCTTGCCGCGACGGCGACGCGGAGACCCTCAAAAACCGCAGGCGCGGATGCCTGCGGACCTGGTGACTCGGTGGGCACCTTAAGCGCCCCCGACCCACGAAGAGCCTTTTTAAAGGCTACGGAGAGGGTACGGAAGCGGCGTGGTGCTGGGAGTAGACCGCTACCCCAGCGGAGCGGAGCCGTGTGCCATGGCTGAAGAGCACTGACTTTTTTCCTTAAATTCGGAACTCGAAAAGAAGCAACCCGTGAGTAGATTGGAATTCGGACTTTAAAATATCTATCTGTGAATTTGATACGACCGGGGGATGTGTTAAAGGGAAGTCCGCACCCCCCCCTTCTGCAGACGATTTAAAGCAATAGCAGGAGAACTAAGTTGGAGAGTCTACCCCTTTGGGGTGAGTTAAAAAGACATTAACTTTCACGATTTGATAAAAGAAGTTTTGAGCTGGAGTGTAAGAGTGGAATTTTAGAAGTTTTTCTCTTGTGGTGTGTAACCCCCCCCTTCCGGGCCCGGGAGCGTCCTGCCTTTGAGCCTGTTGAAGAGGAAAGGAGTTTGACAGCTGTTAAAGCTGTCAAACGGGCAATTTAAAGTAAAAAGCGTGTTATTTAAGATCTCCTGGACTAAATGTGATACAATTGAATTAAAGTGGTTCGAAACAAAGAAACAAAGAACGAGGCAAAGGACTGTTGGGAAAAGATTACTAAGTAACCAGATTCCCTCTAGGGGGAATTCTGAGACATTACAATGGCTGCGGATGGAAATTTACTAGCTGAAATAGAAAGAATGTGTTACTTTGTGGGAACTTTACAAGAGCAGAGTCTGGCTATGAATAAACAACTTACGACCTTGACTTCTGGAATAAGCAGCTCTGCTGAATGTATTGAGGATCTGAATGAGAAAAAAGCTGCAGCTGAACCGGAACAGATATCTCAAGAATTGAAGGAGACTAAACAAGGAAAGGAGAAAGCACAGATGGAAAGTACCAACCAGAAGCCTACACATGTGGATTATAAACAAGAAGACCCTTGGATTACATGGATTACAAATCTGCAAAAGATGCGAAAGATGAAGGAGGAGGCCCCTGGAGTACTTGGAATTCAAGAACTTAAAAGAAAGAAGAAATATGATGGGGGCCTCCATTCTGAATATGAAGGACTGGTGGAACTTTTGCAGCAGTTGTCTCTAAGTTTTCTTGTGGGAAGAAAATCTGGCTTGACTGGGACAGAACTCCTTCGAGATCCGAAGACCAACATAAAGGACTACCAACAAAACCGGCGGAGAGGGACTGAAAGAGACTTGAAGGCCTCGGATGTGAGAAATCCAGGCTAAGAACTGTTATTGTAGAAATGTACTTGGGAAGGGACGAACCGGGGATGGGAGGGGGAAAATAGAATTTTAAAAACACTTACGATTTTTGGGTCTAGTCAATATGATTGATGCTTAATAAAAATGGGAAATCGATGGAAGGGAATCTGAGCCCAACTTAGGATAGAATTTAATCTTCTACAAAAGATGTAATATTAACAGGGTAAGGAGGTAAAATAATAACTTGCTGACATAATTATGGGAATTGGGATGTATGAAGGGGGGGTGGGGGGAAGTCAAGGACCAAAGTTAAGAAAGTAAGATTTTTGAAATTATACATGTTTTTTGTCTTTGTCTTTTACGTGTGTGTTATGTCTTTATAAAATGTGAAAAACCAATTAAAAAATTATTAAAAAAAATAAAAATAAAATTTGGACCCACCACTATACTCTTTCCCCCCCAGTATGAGCCTTAACCCTCATTAAAATGCAACCACTGAAGTGAGTAATATATTTTACCTCTAGATGGTCAGACTTCTCCTGCAAGTGCTTTTCCAGCTCTCCTTTTGTAAGTCGGAGTTTTACATCCAACTCATTTGATTTAATTTCTTCAGACTCCTAAGGAGAGGGAATGAGCACTATTAAATCTTCACATGCCAATTCATAAACTGAAAAGACCTTATTTATTGTACAAGTTATGTTACAATCATCTATCCCAGACTTACAGTCCAAACACTATGAGCTTATTTTCTTCTAAGTCAAGCTTGGAAACAGATCACTGCTTTTAGCACTGTGGGTAACATGCAAAAGGGAGAGACAATCACTCTGAAACAACAAACATAAGATACCAGATGTGTGTGGACTATGTGCAATTTGCCACGAGGGACATGCATATGCTCCCCCATTCAGATATTACACTGGGAAAGCATATGCGTGGTCAAGATACAGAATGGCTCTCTCCTGCAATCAATATCCCCAAGGATAAATAAGGAAGCAGAGGAATGACATCAGATGTTATTGCCACTCAACAGACTCTCTTTCTTTGTGTAATGTCACCCCTCAGTCTCCCAAGAATAAGCAAGGGCATGCTTATTGAAGGCAGGAGAGTTATGAGATCACCTGATCAGGACTTGTGTTTTTGAAATCTAAGTGTGTGATATTTAAACCTGCACTCTCTGGATGTGAAAGCAAAAAGGTTATACTATTTCTAGATGTAGCATATGTTCTGTCATATAGAAAGATTAGAACCAGTGCCCTCCATTAGACTGGGACTGAAGATTTCTCACCTGAGAGGAGGAAACTCAGCCCTGAGAAAAGCTGGGTGGTAGCTATGGCATGCCACTTAATGAGTCTTGGGCATAATTTAGTTAGTATCCTTGGTCCCTTACCACACACATGTGTTCACAACACCTTAGGTCAGTACCTCTGGGTTGTATGGTGGCTAAAAAATAATATTATGCACACTCAGCAGAACAGAAAGATCTTTCTATTGGATGCGATAGTGCAGAAGATCAGAACACATGGCTAGAGTAAGATGAAATAGCAAGCGATGTATCTGGATTTGCCTGTGCCAGGACAATTAATTAATTTAGAAATGACATTAGATCAGATAGGTTTTGGGAAAGAATTGTATCATTTCAGCTATAGGGCTAGAGGCGAGTGTGGGACATGCAAGAAAAGAAAAGCTATATGCAAGTTCAACATCTTAATAATAATAATAATAATTTATTATTTATACCCCGCCCATCTGGCTGGGCTTCCCCGGCCACTCTGGGCGGCTTCCAAAAGAATATTAAAATACTATAATACATCAAACTTAATTTTGCTTCATGCAACATTATACCCACTTGATATGTTTTTATGATTTCTTGGCAGTTCTTTCGTATTTGCTCAGCTTCCTCTTTCGCTTGAGTGACTTTTGCTGTTGCCTCTTTAAGCCGATCTTTGGTGTCCTGGAAAACCGATAAACAATGGTTATCTACCATTAAATGAGTACAGTGGTACCTCGGGTTACATACGCTTCAGGTTACAGACTCCGCTAACCCAGAAATAGTACCTCAGGTTAAGAACTTTGCTTCAGGATGAGAACAGAAATCGTGCTCTGGCGGCACAACAGCAGCAGGAGGCCCCATTAGCTAAAGTGGTGCTTCAGGTTAAGAACAGTTTCAGGTTAAGAACGGACCTCTGGAACGAATTAAGTACTTAACTCGAGGTACCACTGTATGTAAAACGACAGTAAGTTCAGGACTGCATGGAAATGACAAAATTCCTGCTTAATGCCAGCAGCAGTGGACGAAATTAAAAATCCAATAGAAAAATAAATAAAGCTAAATTCTTTGGAAGCGAAGGAACATAAAGGCTTAGATTGTAATCTCATTTATACCTATTTTGAGAGTAAGCTTCAGTGACGTCAGAAGGACCAGTGTCTGAACAAACGTGGACAGGATGGGGTGGCAGCCTTCACTGCTTTCCTTAAGCAACCAAGGGCTTATCTGAACATCACAACACTACCACCCCATACCTAAGATATGGTTGTTGAACATTATATTTATTAACCGGCAGACACTGGCTGAAGAGCCCATTATTATCCAAGAGCAGTCTGTGTGAAACTGTTCGATGTGTTAAATTCTTGACTATTGGGTCACTATGAATTTGAAACGTTTTTTAGCCTCTCAAAACTAAGAAATGCCTACTTGTCCATCCCCACCAAGTGAAGTGTTTAAAAAGGTAAAGGTAAAGGACCCCTGACAGTTAAGTCTAGTCACGAACGACTCTGGGGTTGCGGCACTCATCTTGCTTTCGTGGCCAAGGGAGCTGATGTTTGTCCGCAGACAGTTTTTCCGGGTCATGTGGCCAGCATGGTGAAACCAGAGCAGCGTACGGAAATGCCATTTACCTTCCCACCAGAGCGGTACCTATTTATCTACTTGCACTTTGACGTACTTTTGAACTGCTAGGTTGGCAGGAGCTGGGACAGAACAACAGGAGCTCACCCCGCCGTAGGGATTCGAACTGCCAACCTTCTAATCAGCAAGTCCTAGGCTCTGTGGTTTAGACCACAGCGCCACCCGCGTCCCTAGTGAAGTGTTTAGTGCAACCCAAAACTCTATCACCGGTAAGTCGTCTGATCCAGAAGAGAAGGTCTCCTGCGCAGAATTACAGCAGAACTACACTGCTAAGTTTATAGGTTTTCATTTCATGCCAGTTCTCAACCTTTTACCCATTTTCCAACTTTCATTGCTCCGATTACATGCAGACACTGAATAACACCATTAAAAAAAAACCACTCTCATTCCAGTTACGCTCCCATTGTGTTAATCAACTTGTCCTACATTCACAGCAACAACCAATCAAACCTTGCACCACATGCTTTACAAAAAGACATAGGAGCTGCAGTGAAAATGTCCCTCTATAACATTAGCACACCTACCTTGTGTAAATCCATTTCAGCCTTCAATTTGTTTTGGGCCCATTTTACTTTGATCACATGAGAGTTCATTTCTTCTTTTAATTTCTCTATTTCTCTTGACATTCTGGTGGCTTCAGCTTCCTTGAAAAGAATAATTTTAGATTATTAGGTTTGAAATGAAGCCTTTTAAATGGATAGGCCCAGAGCGGCAGAAATACAAGCGACCTTTCTGCAAGCAGTGGGGAGTTAAGCATGCACACAATGATTTCACTGAAGTGGAACAAAATGTATTTGTAGTCTTCTTGTCTTCAGGGAATTCTGCTTGCCTGTCACTGAACTATGACAGTCACGCTGAAAAGGTCTCATCTCTGGAAAAGTCTTTGAACTTCTGTTTTGCAATCTAATGTGACTATTGATAATGCAATGCTTCGTGTCATATATTATGGCAACAAATATATATAATAAGGTATCACATCTGAATTCCTGAGAGCTCTTCAAATCCTGTGTTTGCCCTGCCCCAACTTCTCACTTCATCTTTTCCTCCTCCTACCTTCCTTGTCTTTCCCCTCATCCTTCTTCCTTCTCTTCCTTAATAGCATCTAGCTTTAGAGGTCATTTGTTTCCTCATTTGGCATTGTAAATACACGTAATGTAGCAGAACAGAGAAAGAAAAAGCAACACAATATCTGTACTGGAAAAAATCTGCTGAATGTAGGTTTTGCATTCTTCAACTGCTTTATAATAAGACAGAAGCATTTTAAACTTAATGTACAAAAATGCCTTAGACATGATTACACAGTTTCCAGGAAATCCAGTGTCGAGGAAAATATCAATATCACCATGTGGGGGCAGCAAAATCTTCATATATTGAAGTATTGAAATCATTCTCTGAAGCGACAAAGCAGTGCAAAATCCCCCCCCCCCAACCTTCCAGGGCCCACTTGTCCAGTCCTGAACTCTAATGGGACTATTTTTCCTGGAAAAATTATTGAGTAATGGAGGCAGATCAGCAGAGAAGTGCAGTGCATGAGATTTTCCAGCCCCATTGCAGCACTGGGCTAGACAGAGAGAGGGTTAAACCAGCTGCTGTCAATTGCAAGCAACAGTCATGGGCTGTGAAAGGCTAGTAAAAGAGGACTGGTGGACCAGATTAGCCGTGTGGGTCAGCAGTTCACCTCTGTCTTAGAGTTCACTTTCAGGAAAGCTCAATAGTCAGTATATGCAAGTAAAAAACATATAAGAAAATAATTATTTGGGGGGGACGGCCTATATTTAAAAATTTATGCTAGAAACCCAAAAGTGCAACCTTAATTTTTACATGCAACGTATCTTAATTCTAGGTAGTTAAAGGTTTTCTAGGCAAGGAGACCTTCATCTTCCCCCACCACCACCAAAAAAAGAAGAAACGAAGATGCCACATATTTATTTGATCATGCACCATACAAATTTGGGATTAAGGTCTATAGAAGTGTAGCTTTTTGCCACTGTATTCAAATCAGCCCCCTTTCTACTAGAACTCTCAACTTCATCTGACTCAATATATTCTATTTCCCATTCACTTGAAAGAGATGCCAAGTCATTTCAGCATTTTAATCCCATTTCTGGAATTCAAGGTAAGCCGCAGGAATACAAAAGAAACTCAACATGAAGTGGATATACCTTGGTTTCAAAGAGCTGGTGCAAACGTCCTTTCTCCTGGGAAAGCTGCTTTATTTTGTTAGTTTGCTTTTCAATTTCTTTATTTGCATCTCTCAATTTTCTTTCAAGTATTTCTTTTTCCTTTCGGAGGTCTAGGGACTCCTTCTCTCCTCGAACGTATTTCATTACCATGGCTTCTTTTTCTTGGCGGGCTTCTTCACATTTCTTGTTTGCCTTAGAATATCAAACACTACAAGTTTACTTTAGGTAATGAGAGTGAATATATGCCTCCCCTCTCCATTCGTCAAGATAATAAGAATACAAAATCACTGCAACTGAAGCAATGTGATCTAAATTCATGACTGAAGAATGCCTAGCTTCCAATGAAATGTTGAAAAGGAGGTGGAAGAAGAAAATGAAAATATGACTCAGCCTAGGACTTTTAATGACTTTTAATCCGAACCTTTCAAAGCCAGAACAGATAAAATAAATGTGTTGCTGGTCAAAGCAGCTTGCAGTCTAAAAATAAATTAAATAAATGGAATGGAGGAAAAAAGGGGGAAACAACAGGGAACAAGAATATACAGATAAATAAGTAAATAGTATTTTGTAACCCTTATCACATTTGTGTCTTGCCCTTTCTTGACCATTTCAGAGCAATGGGGTTATGCCATTTTAATAACCTTTAGAGCAGGGATGAGAAGCTCTCTTTTTGTTGTGGGGAACATTTTCCAGGAGTAATCTGTAGAAGACCAATGGGTAGGACCATCCCCTTTCTTATTCTGCCACTCCCCCCACCCCACCATTTCTATCCATGTAAAATGAGTACAATGGATTCAGATTGCGCCCTACAGCGTAAGAGTCGTCACTCTTTCAGCCTCAACACTATGCTGTACAGTGGTATCTCTGATTGCGAATGGGATCCGTTCTGGAGCCCCATTCGCAACATGAGCAGAATGCAACCCATGTCTGAGGGTTGCAATTCGCCACTTCTGCGCATGCGTGTGATGTCATTTTGTGTATCTGCGCGAGCGGCGAAACCCGGAAGTAACCATTTCCGGTACTTCCGGGTCGCCGCGGGACGCAACCTGAAATTGCGCAACCTGAAGCAAACGTAACAAGAGGTATGACTGTATTGGTAACTGTGAAAACATAATTACTCTGTCTGTCTGGATAACAGTACAGTCATACCTCGGGTTAGAGATGCTTCGGGTTGTGCAATTTCGGGTTACGGACCACGGGAAACCTGGAAGTACTGGAACAGGTTACTTCCGGGTTTTGGCGCATGCGCAGAGGTGCTAAATCACGCTTTGCGCCGAAGCGCCAAATCACGACCTGCGCATACATGGCGCTGCGGGTTGTGAACATGCTTCCCGCACCAATCACATTCACAACCCGAGTGTCCACTGTAATAGAACACCAGTAGTAATGGAATGCTGAATACTGTCTCACCATATTAGTTTTAACAGGAGGTGTCTTATTACTATGCACACATGGGATGGTAATATATCTCACCTTGCCTTCAAGGTTCTCTCTACCCCCAACTTTTATCCTTATAACATTATAACCTATGGCTGCAACAACCGAAGCTTGTCTCAGAGGATGTGTTCTGGACACATCTTCAGCAACTGCAAATTCCAGAACAGAGATTATATGAGTGACTTGACATCCATCTACAGTCATGCCTCATGTTACAGACACTTCAGGTTATGTGTTTTCGGGTTACGGACTGCAGGAAACCTGGAAATACCAGAACGGGTTACTTCCGGGTTTCGCCGCTCGCGCATGTGCAGAAGAGCTAAATCACGTTTTGCACATGCACAGAAGTGCCGAATTGCACTGGCGTCGGCGCAGACGTGGCACTTCAGGATGCGAATGCTGTGGACGTGCCTCCGTCACGAATTACGTCTGCAACCCAAGGTTCACTTCAGGATGCGAATGCTGTGGACGTGCCTCCGTCACGAATTACGTCTGCAACCCGAGGTTCCACTGTACAGTCATCAGCACCAGCCAAAATATGTTTAGCTTTCAACTAAATACTTGAAGATATTTAATGCATACGGTGCCTATATCATCCTTCACGTTCCTACAGAAAGCACAACAATAACTTTTAAAAAAAGAGTCACCTGATCTGTACGAAAAGCCATCTCTTTGTGCAGTTGTTGTATGGCATTTTTCGCAGCAGCATCTTGGGATAGCAGTTTATCTTTAGCAGCTTTAACTTCTTTTTGGAGATCCTCTATTCTGGCCTCTAACTGCAAAGAGAACATTATGTATTTCGGCCATGAGCCAAAAAAGTGATCTGCAAAATTTGCAACTTGAGTAGAGGTTTTTAAAAATGTCATTGCATTTATACTTTGGGAGCAGTTTACAAAAGATCTCGACAACCTAAAGCAGCAATATGCATCATGTGGTGCTGGTACTGCAAATCAAACCATATCGCCATCACCATCATGGTTCCAGTGATCATGGTTCCAAGTTCTGACAATAATTTCAGCACAGCTGTGATCTTAAGTATTCATCTGGTATGCACAGGCAATAAGGAGTGATCTGATATCTAAGGGACAAAGCACTCCATCCCTCTTCCCAGTCAGGCCAAACACAGAAATCCTACAGGCTGCTAGAGAGATGGTCCCTCTTTTGACAGCTCCCAGAGTCTAGCAGTTAAAAAACACAAAACATCTGGCAGGGTAGTAATTTTGTAGCCTTGTTTACAAGGCTGAGTTTAACACACTTTTACTTCTGGTAAGCATGGGAAACTAAACAGTCACATACAATGCAATATGATGCTCTATTAAAAAGAGAATCAAAATATTGCCCCAGGGGCTTCCATGTACATCTCAGTGCAAATAAAATATATACTATTTCCCTTGAAAACACTCTAAAATTAAGTATTTGCTGCCAAACATAAGTTCAAGGCAATTCAGGCAGCAACCTTCCTATACACAGCCTAGAGTTAGGACTCATTGAACTCCGTGGGACACTTCTGAGTCAACAGGTATATGAAGAAATACGAACACTGAACCAAGTATCTGAAAGTACAAATAGAAATACAAGTTTTATGTGAAATATCTTGAACAAGGCATGAATGTGCATAAAACTCCATACCTGTTTAATAATGCCAAGGTGTTGTTTTTCAGTTTCTGTTCTTTTCTTCAATTCGTCTTTTAAGTCGTCTTTTTCTGAACAAATGCCCAAAATTAGTTCTTGGTGCTTTTTGTTTTCTTTAATCAATCTGTCCAATGAAATAATTAAAAGAATATCCGATGAAGCAGAGCCCAGTGTGTATGACGAAAAGATAACTACATTGCCAAACCCTGGATTGCCACAGACCCAAAATTTTCTCAAGGGCTTCTTAACGCCCCTGCTCTCAGGCTGAGGCAGAGTCCACCTTCTTGGTCCTCAGGTCCTCCCTCACCATTACACCCCCCCAAATTGACTAGACTTCTACCACTTCTGCCCCATCCATTTTACAACTGTTTCCACATTTTACAAGAAAGATTTGGATGCTTTTCCATGTAACAATCACCTATCACACGACACCACTTGAGATGGCCACATGGCAAGGTGCTCTTAAACGTCACAGTAGCTGATGACCAGGGGTAGTTTTAAACTGCTTCCATGTAGCTTAAAGAAAGCATAAATAAAGTCCGACATTGCTTCAGAGGAAAACATAGAATCAAAGAATTGTGCAGTTGGAAGGGACTGAGGGTCATATAGTTGAATCCTCTGCAGTGCAGTAAGAACATAACATTAGAGGAGTCCCTGCTGAACTGGCCCGCTAACCTATTTAACCCAACATCCTGTTCTCAGTAGTGACCAACCAGATCTCTATTGGGAAGCTTATAAGCAGGGCACAAATGTAACAGACTTCCCACTGTTTGTCTCCATTTAGCTAACAGTTACTGAGAGACAAATTCAATGAAGGATAGTTCTTTTTAAAAGCACAAAATGCTTAGGTGTGCTGCTCATATATTAGTAGAGCACTTTGTGTGCACAACTGGACACACACACGCAAAATCTCCAGTGAGCTGGAGCCACAGGAGCAATCCTCAAAATACAAGAATCTCATTTGTTTAACAAAACAAATCACAAAGACTCCTATGATACTTTGGTCTGAAAGTTTGAATTAAAAGAAAGAAACTGAGTAGTATTTCAGATCAAACTGCACATTTAAAGCATACAAAGCACTTCACTGTTGTCTAGGTAATAAAGCCACAAAGAGAAAGAATAGGCATGTGTTTAATTTGCTGGCTCCATGCCTTCGAACACTACAGCCAAATCAAAATCTCAAAAGATTTACAACCCTGGCAGCTTTAATAATACCCTGGCCAAAAGTTGCCCAAACTTATTCAACTCTGTTCAAGGTGCCCTTTAGAAAATTTGCAAATGGCCAACAGCAACCTCCCAACAAGACCTCAAACAGCGACAGGCCAGGGTTTTTTTTTATAGTCTCATGGATGAAACAACATAATTAAATTAAAGATGTGGTCAGAAGGTCCAAGGCTGCCTAGGGAGAAAAGAAAAGCTGGTTTGCCTGTAGCACATCACACAAATAATACTGAACTGGCACAACAAATTCAGCACTGGTTCAACAAAGGCAAGTGAAGCCCAGAACGTTCATGTGAAACAGTTCTGAATTATTGCCAACTCCAAACTACTGCACAATTCACAGCACAAAAGTTCTGAATCACAGCCAATTTGTACCCCAGAAGCACATAAGTCAGAGGTGGGAAACCTGTGGCCTCCAGATATTGTTGGTCTGAGGTTCCCATCCATCTCGGCCAACGTGGCCAATTGTCAGGGATGATGGGCGTTGGAAACCAACAAGAAGTAGGTGATTTATGCACGCAGGCTGATAAGGAATAATTCTTCAAAGGATCTAGTCAGAATAGTTTCTGGCAAGGTTCCCATTTTTGTGAAACTCCCTCCTGGCTGAGATCACAAGCCCCCTCCCCTGGTGCACGTTAGGCTCTTGGTGAAGGACTTTAAAAAAGAAACACATTCAGCAGGCATTTTAAATAAGCTTTTCTGACTTGATGGGTAATGTTAACTGATTTTTATCATCTCTACCTCTTTTGTAACCTCACTGTGTACTTAGAAACTATGTTGTTAAATGGTATAGACATTGTTGAACTAAAGAAAGAAATAAAGGTTTTCTTAGTGGGACAGATCTAATGGTAGCGGTTGCTTAGCCATGATTTTGGAATTACAGTGGTACCTCTGGTTACGGACGGCATCCATTCCGGAGGCTTGGCCGTATCCTGAAAAGTCCGTAACCTGAGGCACCCTTCTGCGCACGCACAAGAGGCGAAGATTATGTATCCAGAGGGATACGTAACCCGAGGTACCACTGTACAACCTCCTCTCATTCTCCACTCACCTTACTGCCTTTTACCATCATTTGTTATTGTACGGACACAGACATAAATGCTGCAATCCTAGACTCACTTACCTGGGAGTAACCCCACTGAACTCAACGGAACTCATTTCTTAAGTAGGCATGTGTAGGATTGTCCTTAGCACAGTAGCCACTAAATGTCTTGGTAAAAAAGGATGGGTTAAGCAGCCCAAGAAGAAACATCAGTGCATGTATTACAACAAGGAACAGGGCAGGTTTACCTCAAGATTGGTGGTAGAAGGAGGAGGCTATGTATGGGAGGGGAGCACAAAATCCTGTGGCCTATTCCTAGTTCTTTAGCCATAGTTTAAAAAAACCAAAGACTGCTGAACTCCAGCACCAGCCTACTGAAATTAGACTGCCCAAGGGCCACCTTTGATTCTCAGTGAAATTCTGTTTCTTTTGGAAACGGAAGTTTACCTCAGTTCAAAGTGGACCAAATAAAATTTACCTAAAACATACAGTAAGCATGTTTCCTGCAAGATTGGGAAGTTATTACATCACAGAGTTTGGCTGGTTTAGACTCACAGCAGAGGACATTTCCTGTAACTGCAAGATCCAGTGATAGCTTATGTATAAAATCAATATTTTTAAGAACTTAAAAAACACAGCTGTTTGGAAGTTTTTCACACACCATCCTGTCATGGCTGGAAAGTCTCTTTGTAATCACAGACATGCTCTGGGAAGGTCTTTGCGGATAAACAATTCACAAGCAAGAGTATAGCTTACTCACTGGGGCAGGATACTCTACCTTGCCCCAGAAGCAGCTTTAAAAGAGAAAGAGAAAGAGAGAGAGAGAGAGAGAGAGAGAGAGAGATTAAAAAGAGTATTGGGTTGCTATTTCTTTGCCAAGAAAAAAATTAAACCTACTGCCCTTACTATTTTCCATATACACAGTTAGTTTCCTATAAATAAGGTAAAGTGTTAGGATGGTGACATCAGCATGTTTTTACATGTGCAAGTGAGCAAAATATATATTTGGACAGACTGGCACGGCCATTATCACATTACAAAATACACATCCTCATACACAGAGGCCCATACATACGTCAGTGTGACATGGAAATCTGCCCTGCCAGCTGTCAGGCCACTGCAGAGGGATGAGAGACATGGACCAGAAGAGCAGAAGAGATAGATAATTTATTTGATTTTGGTCTCCCTTTTAAGTTTCTGTGGCATCTATTTCTTCCTTCATCAGAAGATTCTAGTGACATTATGTGTTCTAGTGCACTTTAATGTGCTTCTGATTATTTCATGTTATTAGATAACCTTGTTCAGTAGCAACACATTCAATTAATTATTCGTTCTCTCTTCTTGCTTCAGTTACTCTGTGATGTAAGGCTTCAAGCCTGGAAGAAGACTCAAAGGAAGGAGGGTCCTACACAGCTTCTCAAAGGCTGTTGGAGAACACCTCAGGCTTCCAAGCTCTGACAAAAAAATAATAATGTTGTTGTCCAAGGCCAAAAGTTCCGATTATCCTCCTGATCTGCATATTAGTCACCATATTTGTCTTTTCTTTGGTAACTACATTAAAACATGCACAAATACTATGGATTTCAATGACGTCTGCATGCAAGAAACTGTGCTATATCATATGCCTAGTCGATAAGTTCTAAAAATTGCTGTACTAAGAAGCAACTGGTGTGTTTAACCCTACATCACTGCAGGCCTGTTTCAAACCCTCGCTAAAAATAATTCAAATGAGGTAGCAAATAAGCTACTACGAATGACTGCAGTCTTCCTCTAATATTAAAGTACCAGCGGCTGTCTTCAATAGTGGCTTTGCCAGTAGTGGAACCCACTACCATTTGGGCAAAGCAGGGGCATCCGATTTTTGCCACAACCCCTATCTACTGGAGCCCTCTGCACAATATCCCATAGTATTCCAGAAGGCCCCCCCCCAACCCCACAGAGCTGCTTTTCAGGGGGCATGAGGAACTGCAGTGGGTAGAGGGGTTTGGTACCTGATGTACCCTGCCTTGTCCAAGCAGCAAAGTGATCCTTGGATACAAGCTGGGGACAGAGGTAAACTGCAATGAGATAAATTTGGTTTAACCTGAATGAAACACAGTTAAAAGAAAACCAAGGAAAGAAGATAGTTCCTGCCAGGTTGGTTTTTTTCCTGCCCATCAATGTTCTCGATTTAAATGTACTACAAACATGGTTGTAGAATCCAATTGTGGCAGTGAGAATAAGGAAACACCTCACAGGAAAAAGGTTTAGCATTCTGTCCCCCCATCCTCACTGAAAAGTACCTCTCTGTAGAGTGTTTTGCAATGGAAAGGGGCTTTTGGACTAACATACAGTAACCAATAGTTGGGTCCTCAAAGGCATTAGAATTTACTCTTATCCATTAAACAGAAGACCCGCATACCGAACCCCAAACTGTTTTTGAAGCTACTCAGTTTCAAACACACCATGTCTGAATCCATCAACTGAAGGAGAGTATAAAAAAAAAACCAGAAATCTAAAACCCCACAGAACACTTGACACACAGTTATGTGAATTTTGGCACGTGATTGCCTTACCTAACGTACGCTTTGGAAACCATATGGTCACTTTATGGACTGATGAGTTTATATATGAATTAATCTCTCTGCCTATTGAAAACTGAAAATGCTCCTGCAAGCAATGTTGTTTGCCCAAGCTGACCATTTAGCCACAAAGACATCGCTATAGTTACACAGCACAAAGCTGTAACTCCACAATACGTAATGGATAACATTCATGTTTAAAGATCTATGTGCGGATGTTCACCCAGTACTCACTTCTTTATTGTGTGTTCTTGCTGCAGATATTTATCTTGCATGCATTTTTCAAGTACAGCCAACGTAGCTTCACTCTTGCACACCCCATTTGGAAGTTTATGGTCTTTCAACAAACCCGTCGATAGTAGTTCAGACTCTATTTCTTCTAACAAAGCTTCCTGAGAAGAAGCGTTCTGAATAGTTGAGATAAGATTCTTAGTACAGTCTGTGTCATAAGGGCTTTCTGAGCAGACCCCGTGAGGCCCTTTCATATCGTCATGCAATAGGTGTACCAGGGATCGATCTGTGTCATCAGTTTTAGAAACTTGTCCTTTACAGTCTCCCATAGGTAAACAGTCCTCTTTGGTCTGCATTTCGAATGGTTTAGCACAACAATCTCCACCTCCATCTCCATTAACGTCTGGTGTAAGCTGTGCATCAACAACATCCCCATTTCCACTTGCATCAAGAGCTGTTGAACTGGGATTCAGTGTCAATTGTTTATTTTCTATGCTCAAAGGGCTTTTTTCACCTCCAGTGTCTGCAATCTGTAAACTATCCTGAATTCCCAGTGTTTTCTCTGCTTCTTCAACAGCTGATGAGCTGGAAGATACGTCATCAGTCTTTGAAAGGTTGACCGGATACAGAGGACTTTGCTCTTCTTGTAATTGCTCATCCATCTTTCACCAAGAATCTGGGAAGAAAACGTAAGAGTAAAATAGTTTTGAGTCATAAAACGTTTTTTTCCCTGTAATAACCTTGATCGCTTTCAACAACTACCAAAGATAAACAGATAAGTATCAGCACAGATTGAGTCATAAAACCTAAAAAAAGGGCAAGTTAGATACTTTGGGATTTAACTCTTTAACCAAATATTTTTAATGCAGTGGTTTTCAACCAGTGTGCCGTGGCACCCTGGGGTGCCTTGAATGATGGTCAGGGGTGCTGTGGGCAACACTGGCCTCTGTCCCTCTTTCCTTCCCTCCCTCCTCGGATACCCTCTCACATCTCTGCCTCCCAAAGTCTTGCACAGCTGTAGACTTGTAGGTGAATGGTACCTCTGGGTCTAGTCAGGGGGTGCTAGTTGCCAGGAGCTGAGACGGCCTCAGAGTAAGCAAGCAAGCAAGGGAGGGAGGCCAGCCAGTCCGTCTGCCAGCCCTTGCTGTTGGGAATGGGCAGACAAGTCCCAGATTTCTGTGGGGCAGTGTGAGGAGGCACTTCTCTTTGAGGGTGAGGGGGGCAGCTCAGATAACAGGGGCAGCAGCAGTGGCTGCCCAGAGGACTCCCAAGGAGAGGAGAGGAGGCTGAGGGAACATTTCACAAAAGAGCGTGTTCGAAAAAGGGTGAGAGACTGCCAGCTCTGCGGGCAAGGGGTGACATAACTGCGCTCCTGAGGCCCACAGGGGTGCTGCAGAAAGAATGTAGTTGGTCAAGGGTGCTGTGGGCTCAAAAAGGTTGAAAACCTATGTTCTAATGAACTATGTCTGTACAAACACACAAGGCAGTAACACTTTGCACTACCACTCCCAGAGGTAAGGTTTATGCTGCATGCCGCACCCAATCCCCACTCATCAGAGTTGTTTCACAGTCCTATATCCATGCCGGGAAATGTGAAGTATAAGAGTATTTTGCTTCCAGTACTTGGTAAGTCAGTGGGTAGCTGGGTTCAAGTGGCATATTGAAAGCCAAATGATCAAGCTGCAGCATTCAACTGATTAATCAACAAAAAGCTTAACTGCACACTGAAAACTTGGCCTGCCCTTTGCCGTGACTAGTCAGTGGGGTTTACTACAAGCAAAATGTCTTGATTTGGGACTCCTGAAAGATCTGCTACTGGGCAGGTCATATAGCTGCGCCATCTCCACCCACCCTCCTGTTACCAGATATGATGATGAAAAAATGTAAAAAGCTTTTCCTGCTTTCTACCCTATGAAGGGACAAAGTCCATGGCTTTTCTTCAGACAGTATGACTTCTAGGCGATAGAAGCAGATTGTACTCATTGCAATTAATTGATCTTTCACAGAACTGATGGACATTGTACTTGTTTACATTTAAAGGCTCTTCTGGAGTGTTACTAGATAACAGGGGTTACTGCATATATATTTAAGGCATTGCCTTACATGTGATATGGGTCTCTTTCCCAGAAAACCTATGTGAACCTTTTTCTTCTTCCTTCAAATGCCAACTTAAAACATCTTTCCTAATAAAACCTGTTATCACTCTGCCTATCTGAAACACATATATTATAGGTGTTGTGATTAAACATTTATCTCATAGTAACTGATTAAAATATGAACGTATCTGACACACTGATTATTTAGATCCTTTCCAATCTGGGCACAGACCACAGTACGGGACTGAAATCAGCCTTGGTTACCCTTATGGATGACCTTCATTGAGAAAAAGACGGGAGGAGTACATCCAATGGTATCCAACCATATACCAAAACCTAGTCCTTGATCTTGGGAAGTATCATGTAAAACTGGAATGACAGTATCTTTAAAGGCATCCCAATCAATGCAGTTTGGAACTGTCCTGCCAAATTGGGCAAAGTTACATTTTGGTACGCCATCTTGATTCAAAATGGCACCTGGCATTCAAATGTGGACTTAAGACTGCCTGTTCCACTTCAGGAACCCTGGTGCCAAATTGGGGTATATCTATCTATAAAGCATTAGTAGAATTATTTGGACTCTCCTTCATTGGAGGTTTTTAACCAGATGTTGGCTGGCCATCTGTCTTGAATGCTTTAGTCGATATTCCTGCATTGCAGGGGTTGGACTTGGGGTCACTGCAATTCTTTGATTCTATGAATTAAAATATATACATATAAAATATCACATATAATGAAAACATCACAGCCTAAGTGGCCTTAATATAGAACATTCCAAAGGGCTGATTTTGACAAGCTGATGATTACACAGGTTCATCCTATCTGTACTTAAAAACAGTTGTAAAAACAGGAAGAATAAATTTACAAGATAATAAAATAATCATCATCATATAAAGCTTAAAAAGAATGAATGACATAAAATATATTTCATGGTGCAATGCAAGGTTCATATTTCTACCAACCATACCAAATGTTCATGAATGTTGCTAAAGAAACTTATTTAGTGGGACTGTGCCAACCGTGAGATTGTTTGGTCATATAAATCACAAACGACTCCGAAGCAGAAGCAAAGTATTTTTTTGAGTCAGTTTTTCAGAAATGGCAATGAATATGACTTTTTTATACCACAAAATAACAAGATGCATCCTTCCACCCTTGAGAGATCACTAGATGAGCAGCAGCCAACAGATACAGAATTTACTGTTGAGAAGTAAGGTCGGCATTGTCACCATCAAAAATAGATAAGAGACATAGCTTAGCATCCAAGGTGACCTGTTTGCCAACAATACTACCTATCTCCATTGGAACCTGCTTACAGAATTTGTGTACATAATTACAGTTCCACCACATATGCAAATATGTTCCTCGTACCTTACAACCCCGCCAGCATAAGGGGGAACCAGATCTTACAGTATGAGCTAGTCAGACCAGAGTTAAAAACCAGCACTGAACCTCTCCCTAATGTTAGCAGACGTGGACCTAGAGGGATAAGTGGACCAGATCTTAAGCCACTGAGAATCTTTCAGTTCGCCTATAGGGTTCATCTCTCACACTGATTTCAAAGCAGTAAGTGGAAAGACCCTGCCTTTTTGGGTGCTTGCCACAGCTAGATGCTCCTAAGTTCCAGGGCTCTAGTGGCTACACCATGTAACATAGGATTTTTCAAGATGATGCCGATCTGATTGATGCGTAGCGGATCTACTCCTGAATCTTTCAAGTATTCCGAGAGTTGTGATTCTGTAACTGGCATGTTGTTCTCATAACAGTCTTGCAGGCGATGCAGTCCCGCTTTGGAAAGAATAGTTAGATACTGTTAATTTATCTTGAGCCTGAAATTGTGGTATATAAGGAAAGGGGATTAAGGATGAGGGGTATGGAGGCTAGTTTCTTACACCTTCTGTTCCACATATCTATAGTGTAATAAAGACTTCCATATTGACCTCTTTGGGAGCAAAAAGGGGATCACAATTAGAGGGAGAGAAGGAGAATCTTGTGCATCCAGTGCAACCCAAGATGTTGGTAGATCTGCTAAAATCATCAGAACGATTTGCCGTAGCTGAAAGGCATCAAAATATGTTGGTAAATAAAGGACTTCCCAGCCTCCCTGGCTGGATTTAATTTTGCAGCAAAAAATAAGAAGAAGAGGTAAGGGTATTATGTGAAATCGACAGGACTTGAAATAGAAACAAGATTCTGGTCTACCATTTTTACAGTAGCCACCCTCCTCAGAATAGAAAAAAAAATCAAAGCCTGCCAAGCCTTCAAGTCCTCTACAATATGTTTGGGGGTGGAAGTAGGGTACTTTAAATGAAGCAATTTGTTCAGATTCCTAGGAATTAGAACCCCAAAACATTGCAAGGAGGTAGAACAAGTTTGGTGGATCATCTAATATCTGGTTGAGTCTGCAAGTTCACATTCCAAAACAAGGTCTCTGATTTGTCATAGTTTATAAAGAAACCAAACACCACCCAACAATAATTTATAGTTTTAATTACCTCTGGAAGAGCAGCTTTTGGGCCTTGATGATGGCAGTGTCACCAGCAAATAAGCTAATAAGGTGTTTCCAGGTACCCACTGTGAACCCCTGGATTAATGGATTGTTACGATGATATCTTGAGAGGTCTCCAAACCCACAAAGGCCAGAAAAATAGACAAAGCACTTTCCAAGACATATAGTAAGACGCTTCCTTCTGTACATCTGCATATTATTTTTATTTGTTGCTAGAAGAATAGTGCAGAGTACTCTCATTTTCTCATTAAATATATATAATTAAGACTTTCCTACAATCCAAATATAAAATCCCTTTTAACACAGAACATTAAGCAACTGAGCACAAAACAAATAGCTCATTTCCTCTCTTTCTTAGATGTCTTAAAGTCAAAAAAGCAAAGTAAACAGGATGCTCTATAGTCAGCACTTTATTTTATACAGTAGTGGGTATCTTCTAATTCTTGGCGAACAACGAATATTGCTTTGCCGTCACAGAAAGTGATAAAGACGTGTACAAATAAAATGTTGTTTTTATTCCAGTTAGAAGCCCAAGATCTGTATTATTTTTAGTTTAATAGTATTTAAAGTGTTATCACACAATACTAAAAGAAATAACATTACGCTGTTTAAGTGTAATCTTTGTGTGGACTATTCCTGCTCTCAACAGATAAGTGGGAGCTGCGCCTTGTTATAAAGGAAAAAAGATTCTAAAGCTTATTGTGAAAGTAAAGTTCAAGTGACTGTGCTATAAGGCCTGCTTTAGAAATTTGTTTAAGCTGTCCCTTTAAATGCAATGTTTCCTTTCAAATCAGTTAGTAAAATCAGAAGTCTTTGTAGATATTTTAAAATATTGTTAACTACACTTCAAAAGGACAAGAAACTAAACATAATAAATGAAATCAGTGTTATTTCCTTGCTTATTACGGTAGCATGTTAATAGCACTGATCACTCTCTAAACATCTGGTAAAAGATATATGGGGAAACAGGAACAAGATCTAAAGAAGAAAAAATTAACATATTTTATAGAGTGGTACTGACAAAATAAAATTTACTGCTAACAAAAGGGGGGCGGGGTTGAAGCTGAGGCAGTACCATACCATTTTATTCAATGTTGCTTACTTTCATCAGAATCTGTTGGTCCCAATTTTTTTAAAAAATGCATCAAAGCAAGATAAGCAAGGCAGATCACCAATGCAACTTGATAAAGATGTGGCAGCAGAAAGGGAAAGCACATACACAAACAAATTTGGAATGAAAGATGCCAATATCCTCCAAAGATGACAGTCAGCCATCAGTCTCAGGAACAGCCCACGACCCCAAACATAAATATATATACTGTAATTCACAACAAACACAATGAACCCTGATGTACAGAATAATAAATAGGGGTGGACATTTTCAATGTCCTTCAGAATTTTTTGGGGCAGAAAAGCAAACACTATAAAGAATTGCCCTTCACACAAAAACAGCAGAAATATTAAAGCTCACGGGGCAATCGGCAACTGACTTCTTTTCCTGGCTGAACCTTTCCAGTCTTTTTTTAGAAACCTTAATAATTGTACATTCTTAATGGTTGTTTGGGATCTCAATGTCTTTCCTAAAGACTTATCAATTTGCCATAGAGATGTTAACATTTTCCCAGTACTCTAGCCACACTCAATTCAGATGTCACATGTACCAAGCTGCCATGCCTTCCCCCTTCCTCCTTATATACTGAAATTATCTCCAGCCCTATCTGGCAAACTAGCCATAGCATGGCTCTAAACTGGAATCGGAGTCATGGTTTGAAGTGGACTTGAAGCTAAACTATGGCTAGTGGTAACCAATTCAGGCATCACAAAAAAACAACAACAACACCTATGGTTACCACAAACTAGGAAGTGAAGAAGGAGGATGGGCAGGCAAGGAAGATGCTCCCAATATTCAAACCCTGGTCTAAACCAAGCAAATAAATTGACAGGAAAATATGTTATTCCCCACTGCTTGTTGAATGCCTGTGTCATCAGTAAATAAATAATCCCAGACAGACCACACTTGACTATATTTGCTGTCCTTTTGCTATTGTAGAACATGACCTTGCCCAAATAAGTTCTCCAAGTTCATTCTTCCACCCGCATGCAACACAGCCCACACTGACAGCAGACAAAATGCTATACTAAAAATTACCCAAGTTTTAAATTAATAGACAGCCTTTTCTTTACATTCTTTATTTTGTTTCATTAAAAAAGAGAGAAAGACTAAGGTTGCAAATACTCCATTTTGGTTTTAAGATGAAATGCCTGAAACTATTTATCTAGTGACTAATGCTAAACATCAACAGCAGCTATACACCTTCAGCTCAGCTGTAGATTTCTTTGCTGCCAATATCTCACTATGTTTTCAATATTTAATATTGCTTTCCTAATTTTATGTCCTCCATGAGTCATCCCATAATAATTTTCATAGAATGACCTGACCTGCATTCTGTTCTGGATTTGCTTATAGATGATTTCCAAGGTAAAGTTCACTACACTATACTGCTTAACTACATGGGCTGTATTTTTACCAATCCAACATTAGGTAATAGTTAACGAAATGGATTAACACCAGGAACAAGTCAACTGAGCATTAAATAAAATAGCTGGGGAGGAAAATCTTCGGTAAACTAAAGTTATGCGACCACACAGATCTGTGAAGATTTAAGGGTTTGCAATCAGAAATACAGCATGGAAGATAATATACAAAGCTGAAAGTCACATTCTTGTTACAAACCAAAAATGCCTTTTAAAAAAGGTCAGTAGTGGTGTTAGAACACTGCTCATTCTCCATGAAATTTCTCTACCTTTCCCTCTTTCTCTGTCAATCTCTTTCTCTACTGACTTACATAGGGGAAGGCATGAGAACAGTAAACATAGTTTTTAGTAGTTATTTTAGCATCCATCTCCTAAGTCAATGTGATCAGAGTGCCTTGGAAAACTAATTCACTGTGGTTAGAAAATCTAGACTAGAGGGTCAAAACAATACCCCACCATCTTCACGCAAGTACAGAGCAGTCCCTTTGTCATTTAGGCTTTGCTTTAATATATAAGCACAGCAGTGATTTTTAAAATGCAGTATTTCCGGAGGGCATCCAAATCCAGAGAGCACAGGAATATAGGGAATCCTGGACCCAGAACCAACTTGAAATCATTGTTATTGTACTGTATATTTAGTGGCTTTTCCATGGCCTTGGGATCAGGTGCTGGCTGTTGCTGGTTTTTAAACTTATTTTGGCTAGAAATACATATGATGTACCAATAAAAGTTTTGACCAACGGTCTGCATCCAGGTCTGCCGTCAGTACAGTGATACCTCGGGTTACAAATGCTTCGGGTTACAAACTCCACTAACCCAGAAGTAGTTGCCTCGGGTTGCGAACTTTGTCCCAGGATGAGAACAGAAATCACGCGGCGGCAACGGGAGGCCACATTAGCGCAAGCGCACCTCAGGTTAAGAATGGTTTCAGGTTAAGAACGGACCTCTGGAACAAATTAAGTTTGTAAACCGAGGTACCACTGTATCCTTGTGGTGGTGTTTAGTATAATCACACCTTTCACCAACGACCTTTGAGATAACACGTTCTTTCACCTACCCAAGTCTTGCTTATCCATGTTCTTCTTTTCCCCACCCCAAAACAGTGAGTTTGTATTTGCAGGAGAGCCACTGTAAGCAATCATTTTGAAATTTAGCAAGCTTTCTCTTCCTCAGAAGAGGCAACCATGTCTGTAAATTGCATCCAATTCTGGCAGAAGCTAATTTCCTATAAAAAATTAAAAAAAACAAAAACCTTGGTACTCTGCACAAAACTTACTATTTGACAGGCTCAATCCACTCTGGAGGGACTCCTATGCCTGAAAAGTCCATCCATTTCTGGTGAGAGGAAATAAGTTACAGTCATTTATAGATTCCCCATTATAGTAAATTGGACAGCCAGAGTGGGGTGGAGGGGTAGGAAGAGCACAGCTTCATTTTTCACATGTCTAATTTGGTCCTGAGTAACTAGTCGAATTAGAAATACACAGAGCAGCTGCAAAATAGATTGGGCTGCTTCCCCAAGCTACAGATACAAGTCAGATTTTGTGGCTGGTGTACACCTCTGGCAGCTGGGGCATTGCCCATTCTGCACAACACAACTCTCTTATTATGCAGTTTAGGCTTCATGATCCACTACTTTTCAGGTTTGCAAGACTGGAAAGAACTAGTCCCCCCCCCCCTTCCCTTATTGTGGAGCTACAAAGGTTAAAGCTTGTTTCTCATCACCGCCCAAAAGCCGACATCAGAAAAGATAGCTAAGAGGGCAATCCTGCACACCCTTACGTGGAAGTAAATGGCACTGAAGTCTGTGCAACTTCTGAATAGACATGTGTAAGATTGCACTGCACAGAAAGTGTTCAACCCTCTGCTTACTAATAAAGGACAGCACCTCAGAACATAGGCAGAGTGACTTTTCCTCACCACTCCGTAGCCATAGCCAGTCCTCCACACAATTGAGAATTAAGTGTCAGGGCTTTCATGGCAGATGACATCACTTTCTGGCAGGCTTCAGTTCTTGCACCTCTCTTTTTGTATACATAGTCATATTATCAGCTACATCAGGATATTGAAATAACTGGTATCCATTGCTAAATCACATGGTAACAAGTAAATCACCTTCAGTTATTCTACTGACTGTTTGTGGACACAGCATTTCTACTGTTTGTGGACCCAGTAAGTATTTTGTCAACAAGCATTCCCTTGCAAATGAACAACAAAACCGACAGTCATCCTCCTTTGCCATGTTCATAAAGCACACTGTAGTATGGTCATTGCTACCAGGTAGCATGGTCATTGCTACCACCTCATGAGAAGAGAAGACTCCCTGGAAAAGACCCTGATGTTGGGAAAGATGGAGGGCACAAGGAGAAGGGGACGACAGAGGACAAGATGGTTGGATAGTGTTCTCGAAGCTACCAATATGAGTTTGACCAAACTGCGGGAGGCAGTGGAAGACAGAAGTGCCTGGCGTGCTCTGGTCCATGGGGTCACGAAGAGTCGGACACGACTAAACAACAACAACAAACCAGGTAATCTGCTACTGCCTATTCTAACTTTGATTGCACATATGGACCCAAGACTGCAATCCTATATGCATTTACTTGGGAGAAAGTACCATTAAAAAAACAAAACAATGACATATCAATACATGACACGCAAGTTCCAGTGTTGTAGAAGTACCCAACTGTGTGCTCCCAAAGGGGTTGGACCTTTCTGAAAATTCTAAACAACCAAGTCACAAAGATTTGAAGGTGCTCACAAAGCATCCACTCTCTTCCCTGATTTCCTAAAGTTCAGGAACTCAGTTTGGGACAGGGGAAAGATGTAGGTGCAGGCAGTAGATACTCCTAGACCCTGGCGGAATATCATTTCTGATCAGGGACTCCTGCAGGAAAATTACGCTCTTCACATTATTTCCACAAGGGAATGCCCTCTGGGGTGTTCTCATTAGAAGAAATGGTGAATATAGTATTTATTTCCTGCCAAGGATTCTGGGGCTTGTAGTCCCAGTCGTCTGTTGGACATGGGAGTGGAGCATCTGCCAGCATTTCCTCTGCCCCAAAGTAAGTTTCTGGACCTTTGGGAAGGAGAGGCCCATAGGATTGATGGGAGTAGAGTTTGGTTTGTTTTGGGTTTCAGACAAGGCTGTTCTTGCCTGATCATGCTTGAGTCTTTGCTTGAAAACTCATGACACCACCACTTCAATGCTTAGTTCAGGGCACTGATAATGACTGTGAAAGCCCTACATGGCCCATCTCTGTATTTCATTTAAGTTTAAGAGCATCTAGGAACACAATCTTATATTTACCACCCATGCAACAAATCAGAACTAGCATGCACAGAGGTGTTTTCCCTGAACTTTAGAACTTCATTTCCCAGGAAAATCCAAGTCAAAGCATCTTCCAGAAACTGGAATTGTTATTCATGTTTATTTTGGGTAGGTTGGGATAGGCAACATCAGGATTTACAAACTGCAGTCAGGGTTTAACTGAAATATCAATGTAGAACTTTTAATATGGAGCAGCCTATAAATTTAATAAAGGTGGTATTTCTACTGAAAGTATTCTTTACATGGTTATTATCATAAATGATATTTAAGTCTCTACACAGAGCCAAATAATAGCTTGATAGGAAGCAGGGGTGTAGTAGTCTGGTAGAAAAACTCAGAAGCATATTTCTGAGAGGCAACTCTCTTCCAATATTTTTTGCTCCTTTCCGTCAACAGGAGAATTACAGCTCAAAATTTAATTCCCATTCATTTCTCATGTTGGGTTATAGCACAGTAAGGGGGTAGCAACCGACCAATCAAGTTCCAAAAGGAACAGGCATTAAAACAGTTTATTGACAAAATAAATTACTATATCCAATCTGTTCCTTTTTTCAATCTAAAAATGGTTGCTTAAAACTGAGAATGTATTTTTAATGTAAGACATTAGGCAGAGATATATTTATTATTCAGACACTTGCCAAAATGTAGTTAACCTGTCAACCTGATCCTATACATATACATGCATAGCTGCAACAGCTTGAAATAACGACAGCTGTCAGAGGCAAATTAAGAGGAGCTGAAGGCCTTACACTAAATCCATTTTGAACCCTCAACTGTTTGAGTCCAAGCCCTCCACTTCCAGCAGGACAAAGCGTGATAAGCAGTAGTGCACAGCTCTTTCTGCAAATACCTACACTGAGTAGATGAGTACTTGACAGCAGCACCTGAAACTTTGTAGATAATAAGTTTTGATCAGTTATCCTTTGGGCACACTGAACCCCATTATGTAAACACATAGAAAGGCAAAGAATATAGAGAAACTGGCCTGAAATGCCAATAGAGTATTACAGATCACGACACTGGAATAGTGCAGTAGGTGCTATGAAACATCTTACACACTCATTCTAGATGTTTAAGACCAATCCTAAATACCTTTGTTCTGCCAAGTGTTTTGAGGTCAGATGATTATGCTATTTCAGCTATCAATATTGTAGGCTTACTTCTTTTTCAGTATTTTTTTTTTTTACATATCCTTTAATGTTAATAAATGTTGCACTTTTTTTGCTATTTTGGGAACCTGGCTTGAATATCTCTTTTGCCTAGAAAGATTTTAAAAATAAACAGATCTAGTAGCAGCAGCTCATACCAGCTGGCCTTAGAATCACATCACAGCAAAGCTTTCAAATAACAGTTCTTTTGTTTGCATGGCCCACAACAATTATCAAGTGTACAGATCAAAAATGAAATACAAGACAACCCTAACCTTTACCTAAGCTATGTGGATTCTTATACATCAAAAACCAAACTCTAATTTTAATATATATAATGTTATTAACAAAGGGAAAGGCACCGACCCACCCCAAAATGAAAAAAGGCACTTTACTGAAACAAATGCTTCAGTACATAGGATTTTATCTCTGTCACAGTCAGCCCAGGAAGACACTTGTAGCAGCATTAAAATATACTGTGGAAAAACTGTGTGGAATGGTTTTGTGAACAAACTGCTTTCTGGGATAGGGCCATAATGTAAGTGACCATTCATAATGTTGTATGGTTTTACAGGCAATAAGGCCTTCTGGTTTTCCAACATGGAAGCCATAGAGCCCATTGTTAATAGCTCAAAATCAAAGACAATAACAAAGGCTGCAGTCCTATGCACACTTACCTGGCAGTAAATGCCTGTGAATTCAGTAGCATTACTCCTAAACAAACAGGGATATAGAATCAGGCTCTAAATCTCAGGAGGATGATTAGCAAAAACACTTGCTGTGCAATATCTAAAGGCTACTAACTGATAACAGAAGAAAGAAAAAGCAGAAACCAAGATAGAAAAAAAGCTTTCCTAATCTCAATGCTTTGAAGCAAGTACAAATGGCAAGAAACATTTTCCATTGAGAAAAGCCTCAGATGCAAGCTAATTATGCAGAACAGAAAAGCACAGCAGATGAACCAAGAAGAGCTACGATGCTTAACTGAATGAAAGTATTGCATTGTCTGCTCCTATACTACATTTAGACAAATTCCACATCTCACAATAAACTGACATCAATAAAGCTGAAACCAGTAAATACAATCCCTCCCCAAGCTTTGCATGGGACAGAACAATACTTTATTAAGCAATTCTTGTTAAGACTGATGGTGTGTATTCATAAAAGGTGTCACATTCAGAGAACAACCGTAAGTATTTGGGGTCAAAATGTTAAAGGTCCTGAGCAATTTGGCCACCTGACAACTTTTGATGTATAAACAAAAAGCCTACCAGACAGACAAGCTTTCTAATGACAGCTGACACCCACACACCTGTACAAAGGCATCTCTGAAATGTGAACCAGCAGGGGAATTCAGACAATATGATACAATGATGTGTATGTGTGCGTGCCTGTGTGACCTTGAGGGCAAGGTACTCACCTATTATTTCACTTCCTGGTAAAGCAGGTACACCAGTTTTGTATTTCAATTTCTAGAGGGGGACTCCAGTCCATCTTTTAGCCAAAAATGTGGTTAAATAAAAGAAATGGAAAAAAACAAAAACCTAACACGGACAAGCAGCCTAGTTTTACTATGCTAAGAAATGTTCCGCAGGGAGGGAGGGAGGAAACATGCCGGGAAGCACCTTAGAAGGTTCAGCATCGGGGGCATCGAAACCATTCCAAACTCTAAAGAAGCAATTGAGAAACAAAACACACCAAGCTAGATCTGCCATCCCCACCCCACTCCTCCTGCCTAATAACAGGTGCTCTCGCAAGCCACATCAATCCACATTGCTTGTGTTTCCAAAAAACCACGTCTGAACACCCGCCCTGCCAGGATAGCTCTTACCAGTTTGCTAGGAAGCTGGAAAGCAGAAGATCTTGGGCGAGCGTAGCTGCCCTCCCATTGCTAATAGTAACGAGGGGTCGTCCTTCCCTCCTCCCCTTGTTCCTGCTGCAAGCTCCTAAGAGGAACTGAAAGCTGACACATCAACAAAGATGGCTGCCGCAGACACCAGAGTGGTTTCAGCGGAGAGAGGAGGAGCGGAGGCGGGGCGAGACTTGGTTTATCCGCCTGCAAGGAGGAGGAGAGAGAGGAAAGAGGGCTCCGGCTCGCGCACTTCGCCTCGCGTTGCCTAACAGCTTGAGTCACCGGAAAGCTCTGCAGCCTTTATCGTCTGCCACGGGCGTGCCATCGACAAGAGAAATAGGGAACCGGGAGGGGAAGGGATGGCTCTCCCTGGTACCTGGCTGGGTGCGTCGGTTCCGGTTCCCCCCGCATGGGGTTCAGGGGATTAGAGCTGCTCTTTACTGAGTCAGGCTGCAAAAACTTTCACAGCCCCACCGCAAGAACCGATTGCCTGTTAAATTAAAAAACGATTTTATAGTATAAAAAAGGAGGAGGAGGAAGTAGTGCAACACTGGAGCCTAGTACAAAATCACTGTCATTAATATTGCCCTCGGGTGCGCGCAGTTTGCGACGTGCAAAAGGCGGTCCATAGAACCACCAGGAGGGCCCCTTTGCAAACCTAAATGATGCAGAAAACAGCAGATCCAAGAGATAAAATGTTTTAGAACTTCCAACATGACGCTTTTTTTATTAGCCCCTTCGCACCCAGAACAGACGGCCGGATTTTGTTGGTTTGGAAAGCTGCAAAAGATGTGGCGCGGGCATGCGTGCGTCTGCAAAGCAGAAACGGCGCGAACTGCCTTTCGTTTTAACTTCCCTGCAGCCCCCACTTCTGGCTTCTCTCTCTCCCCCCGCCCCGCAAGTCCTTCCCGCTCAGGTTAACCAGAGCGCATTGTCGCCCGCGAGGCAAGCGCATGCGCCCTTGAGATTACGCGGCAGTTTTCGCGAGGGAGGGGAGTGGTGCGAAGCTAGGCATAAAACTTCGGAGGCCGGCGCACGAGGCGCCCGGAGCGGGAAGAGAGAGCCGGGGAGGCGTCGTCGTCGTCGAGGGCGTTATTTCTTTCCTTTACGTGGCGGCAACGAGCTGAAGCGCGTTTCTAGGCTTCTGGCGGGGTTTCATCGAGGAGAAGGACCTCCTCCCTCCTCGCGTCCAGCAGCTGTCCTCGTCTCTCCGTCCCCAGGGGCGCAGGGCTGGGAGTAGGAAGGCCTCTCAGGTAACGCCCGCAGAGGGGGCCCCGCGTGGGTGAGCATCGCTAGGCCTCCTTCAGGGCAGGGCCCGCGGCGGTTTGCTGTTTAATTCGGGGGTGGGGTGGGGAACCTGTAGGTCTCCAGGTACTTCTGGACTCCCAACTCCTGGGCAGCATTGCCCAGTGGTAGTGCCGAATAAGCTAAACCAGCTATAGCTTAGGGTCCCACTCTGTTGGGGCCCCCAAAAATTTTTTAAAGGAAAATAACCTGGATGTACTTTTCCAAAATATAAGATAAAAAACAAATAAAATAAAACCTACATACAGTGTTTGTGTTGTGTAGGCTCCTATGATGTAATAATGGGTCCATAAATTACCATGTAGCATATATTCAACACAAAAAACAGCAACTATTTGTTGTTGACAAAGGACAGCTGGACATATAAAGGGCCCCATTATCTTCAGTAGCTTAAAAGGTAAAGTGGTAAAGGGACCCCTGGCAGTTAAGTACAGTGGTACCTCGGGTTAAGAACTTAATTGGTTCTGGAGGTTCGTTCTTAACCTGAAACTGTTCTTAACCTGAAGCACCACTTTAGCTAATGGGGCCTCCTGCTGCCGCCTCCGGAGCATGATTTCTGTTCTCATCCTGAAGCAAAGTTCTTAACCCGAGGTACTATTTCTGGGTTAGTGGGGTCCGTAACCTGAAGCGTATGTAACCTGAAGCGTATGTAAGCCAAGGTACCACTGTACAGCCGCGAACGACTTTGGGGTTGCGGTGCTCATCTTGCTTTATAGTCCGAGGGAGCTGGCGTTTGTCTGCTCTGCAGACAGTTTTTCTGAGTCATGTGGCCAGCGCCACCCGCTTCAGTAGCTTAGGGCCTCATTAAACCCAAATCCGGTTCTGCCTAATGGTCAGGGGGAGCTGGGAGTCCAGACGCGGGAAGAGTGCCGGGTTCGTTGTCCCTGGTTTTAACCGTGAACCCACATCTGCCTTGCCATTGTCGTCCCCCTTCATGCGTGGCTTGTGTAGTAGTTGATATTATGCCACAATCTTTTTCACATTTATCTGATTTCACAAAATCCTGGTGAAATCAGGTAGCTTGCTTCTGGGTTAAGGTACTTTGGGTCAATGAGGTAATATTCAGGTTTTACTCAGGGTAGACCCACTGAAATTAATGGGCCTGGCTTAAGGCACGCTACCCTTACCTGTCCTTGTGCAAAGAGTGCTGAGTGATCAAAGTTCACTAAGTTCTACGGCATGCACAGATTTGACTCACCAGTGTGCACTCTGCACGACGTAAAATGATCAGGTGGTATTTGGTTAAGGTTAACTTGGAGTGGGCTCATGGAAGTTAATGAACATGACCAAGTTAGGTTCATTAATCTCAGTGGTCTACACTGAGTAAAGCTTAGTTACATGCCAGCCAGTTGTTTTAAGACGTGTAGAATGGACATTGGAGGGCCGTATCTATACATGCAGTAGAAGAGTGTTGAGGTGATAAATAAGGTTTTCTTTTAAAGGCTTCTGTACTGTAAAGGAAAAGGGGAGAGAGAGACAGATTTTCCTGCAGGTAGAAAATAAGAACAGCATGGAAAGGACTCTATTAGCAATGCTCTATTGTAAGTTGCCATTTTTTCTTGCACAGTTTTCTCTTATTTTAAATAATGAGAAGGGGATTATCCAAAAGCTGTATCAAGTGGGAGGGATTCAAGAACTATATATTGAAATGAAATTATAGCCCCTGCTATCTTGGGTTTTAATGTATTTTCCCACTTATGTGCAGACCTAGCCGTATACAAGAGGTGGATCGGTGGGGAGTTAGGAGTACATGTACAGCCCATGTAACAGCTGGTGCAATTGTGTGGGTTGAGAATCCATCCTTTCCAATTAAAGATTAAACTTTGTATTTTTTGTAAAGTTGATTTGCAGTATCCAGTCACATTGTGGAAGCATCACCTTCTGCATTTCTGCTTATCTGCTGATGACTTTTGTCCAAACTTTGATGAACTGGATTGGTGCATATAAGCCATTTGACAGCTATGGTGTTTATTGCCTTCTCCTTATTAGAAAACAACAGGATAACTGGCTTTATATGCAAGATAGTTTACTGGGAATTGCTCCTAAATGCCACCTCAGGTTCTGCTTTCACTTGTTTCAGCAAGGACATTAACACAGCAATGCATACCCCTTTTGTTCTGGGCTGGTTGACTTGAACTGAGTTCCCTGTTCCTCCAGCTGGAACACTGGATCCCAAACTGGTTCCACTACTGTCACATGACTGCATTAGGCCTGATCCAGGATGCAGTTGTGGCACACTGCTCCATTGAGCCCTGATGCTACCTGGCTGAGTTCTGGATTGTACCAATAAACATCAACATGTGGCTGTCCCTTGAGGACATGCGCCAAGGCTTCAGGAGTGCCAGCAGTTTTGTTAAATCCCTAATATGATTGTTTGAAGCTAGTGGGAAGACATTAATGCTAAAACTGGTTTTTGTATTTTCTGTAGAATAACTTATTTTATTCCACTTTTATTTTATTTTTAATAAAAAAGAATACAGAAAATTGAATGAAAATTTGCTTAGGACATCTTGGTCTGGAATATTTAAAAATTCAACACATTTTCTTTTAGCTGCTAATTGCTTTTTATTCTTTTCATCTTCCTCGTTGCTAAACAATAACTACAATAACTTTACAGCTGTCAGGGAATTGTTCTGATACGGATGCGCACAGGATGGCACAAAGTCGTTTTATAAGGAATGAAGAACTCAAAATTCAAAATGAATCACTGAGAAGTCCCAGCACAGGTCCCAACTTCAAAAGCTCTTTACCTGAAGAAGATAAAACTTCAAAATTTCTCAACAACTTCTCGATTTGTGAGCAGGCCAACATGTTTTTCGAAACTCGTAGCAGTAATTCAAGTGAAAGCAGTTATGATGGCTGCCATGGTAGCTTTAACAGACAGAGAACCACATCAGAAATGAATGGAGGGGAACTGAGAGGTAGGAAAATACGTCATTTTAAAATAGTTTTAATACCTTTAATCTTTTGTGTTGCTTTTGCAATTTCACTTATAGTACTTAAATTGTTTTATTGCTTTCTTTTTGAAACCTTTGAAAATGGAAATGGCTAGTTGTCCCAATTGTGCGCTTCCTCAGCTTTAAAATGTGTATTATATAACAAATGCTTTTCTTCAATAAACATTTTTGTGCTGTGTTTTTACAGTTTTTGTATCGTATGAGCAATCTCGGTCATTTTCCACCCACAACCCACCCATCCAGGCTTCAGTGTTGAAGCTCAGCTGTGCAGAAGGTTAAGTTTTCTTTTATTAGAAAATCAACCATTACTTGTTGATTAACTGCAACAAGTTAGTAAATATTAAAGGAAGTATGGAGAAGACAGGAAGTTAGATTTATATGTAAGAAGATTTATTGTCAGAACTTATGAGGTTACTTTTTGTTGATTTTGTATTTTTTGTAACAAATGATGTAAACACGTGGTTTGGTTTTGTTGGTGTCTAAGCAAAATAAAGGAGGGCCGGGAGAAAGAAAATCAACCATTACTATAGATGAAAAATTGGAAGCTTTGTTATCAAATCACTTCTCTGTAAGTGTTAAGAACAATGAGTAGCTATTACCGTATTTTTCGCCCTATAGGACGCACTTTTCCCCCTCCAAAAATGAAGGGGAAATGTGTGTGCGTCCTATGGGGCAAATGCAGGCTTTCGCTGAAGCCTGGAGAGCGAGAGGGGTCGGTGCGCACCGACCCCTCTCGCTCTCCAGGCTTCAGGAAGCTCTGCATAACCCTTGGGAGACCGGCGCGACTTCGTGGCGGTCTCCCGAGGGTTGCGCAGAGCTGCCTGCAGTCCCGGGCTTCAAACAAAACTAGGTGCACCCTATGGGGCAAAAAATACGGTACTTAATCTTGGCAGTTGCCTTCTTGAGTTCTGTTTACATATGAGCAGCTTTATATTATCTCATTATGAGCTTGCATAGGAATAGTCTACCAACTTTAGGTGGTGGTTAATGTAAATGTTTAATGATTAAGCATTGATTTCATGCTGTGCAATATTGTACTTAGTAAGTCCATCTGAATTCAGCGTAACTTACTCCTAATTGTGCATAGCATGCAACTCTAGCTGGTTGTCCAACTGGGTTAATAATTAGAAATGTATCTCCCTTCTACTACTTCTTGGAAAAACTAGGTCGTATCTAAACATTACTATTCTATATTGTAGGGAAATCAGAAGCCATGAATGGTGCCAGTACCTTCCTGCCATCCTCAGCAAATGAAATAAGTCCTGTGAGTTTGCAAGATTTGAGTCTGAATTTTCTTCTACATGTGTCCTTTAGTGCCAGTGTTATTTTCAGCTTCCTTTGTTAACCCTGATAGTACATGTTTTTTCCCTTGTGGATGTGACAATAGAATTTGGTGGGGCCGGTTCCATTTCTGTTATTTATGTGGCAGTATTTTACTATTTTAAGGCATATAAATGTTGCTCAAACTATTCTAAATGTATATTGCAGATGCATGCTTCAGCCTTACAACATGCAAAGCAGAGAAGACTGCAGAGCTCTCCTGACAATACTTTATCCACAGGCTGTGATCAATTACACCGGTCCACATGCCATTTTTGTAGAATGTCTGGTAGGTTTCTGTTATCTGATCTGATAGACCAGGGCAACCTCTTACCTTGCAAACTTTAAAAAAAATAATTGAAGTTAGGATTTTTTATTATAAATTGGAAAGTGAACTCAAGTGTCAGTTGAAGCCTGTGTCCTTCATCTACCATAAACTTACTTAGTGATCTTAGACACGCCATCATTTCTCAGCCACAACTGAAGCATCTGAACAAAAATTGTGAATTATGTATGAATGATTACTAGGCAACTGTGTGTAGAGTGTTTTGGATACTGTAAGTAAGATTCATGAATGAACTTAATTTGCGTACAAATAAAAATTAACCTATACTTATATTTAATATTTTATCTAAATGTAAGGGTATCTTATCCATGTTGATTAACATCTTACATTTTTCCATGTCAAAGCAGGGGAGAATTGATGTTTTCAAAATTATGCCAATGGATAATAAAGATTTTCAAACCTAGAGGCTTAGTATTATAGAATTCTACTATGTGCGGTTGACTTTAAAGACCATCAACTTAATGGGAACACAGAAGAAAATCTTGAATACTGAATCAGATATTGCTGACCACATACTGTAATGTCAACGCTTTGTGTTGCTGTGTTAATCTCTTTAGGATCCTTGAGATGCACACGGTGTAAGCAGGTCTATTACTGTTCGGTGGAGTGTCAAAGGAAAGACTGGCAAATGCATAGTGTTGTCTGTAAGCTAGTTAAACATAAGTAAGTTTATACGTAAAATTTATCCTCCCTCTGATAACTGGATTTGTATCTGTTTCCCTATAGACATCTGATTGGCTACTAGACAGGCTGGACTTGATGGGCATTTGATCTGATCCAGCAGGGCTGCTCTTGTTTATATAGCTCTCGTTAGTGGTCATGTTTCAGAAAGAGGAGCATATTTAAGCAGACCTCTGCTCATATTTTAGATGAATACATAGGTTCCCATTCAGATCATGATGCTCAAGCACTTTGTGTGAATTAGCATGTACAGTCATACCTCGGGTTGAAGTTGCTTCAGGTTGAGCACTTTCGGGTTGCGCTCCGTGGTGACCCGGAAGTAACGTAACGCGTTACTTCAGGGTTTTGCCGCATGCGCAGACGCAGCGAATCGCGATCCACACAGACGTGGGTTGTGTTCGCTTCTGGATGTGAACGGGGCTCCGGAACGGATCCCGTTCGTATCCAGAGGTACCACTGTACATTTAGGGCCACCACGGATTTTATGTGACTAAATACAAGGAACTACAGCTTGATCTTGTAACTTAAGCTATCTCACAGGGTTGTTTTGATGATAAAATGGGAAATAACCCATGTTATTTGCAGCATCTTGAGGTCCTTGGAAGAAAGCCCAGGGCTCAATTCAATATTATTTAGTTATTTATTTTATTGTTTTTTTATTCGGTTTATACACCACCCTTTATCAAAAGATCCCAGGGCAGTGTACATTAAGAACACATTTTATGGAGCATCAATAACAAAAACATAATAAAAAGCATAATAGCAGACAGCATAATAAAAAAAACATAATAAAAAATGTTCATAATAACAGTACTCCCCACCTCACCAACATCTTTAAAAGGCCATAGATTATTTAATGGCTAAAGGCCTGGGTAAGGTGAATATTTTTCCTTGGCACCTAAAGACATGTAATGATGGCGCCAGGCAAGCCTCTCTTAGGAGCATTCAGCAGTCAGGGAGCCACCACTTAAGATATATACTGCAAAGGGCTATAGAATTACAAGTGAGATCTGCAGCAAAATGTTGGAGTAGTTATGTTTGGGTTTTAGTTACTCCACTCCCTTTTCTTCCCCACCCACAGCAGTCCACATTCCACACATACTCAGTCTTCACTGGGCTAGTTTTTAGGGTATTCTCCCTTTTAGGGTCCTCCCCTCTTTTGTACTTCTGCACCCTGCAGAATTTACCCTGTCTTCTGATACTTCCATCATATGCATGGCTCTGTTGGCTATGTCAAGAATGGCACTCAGAAAATTGAATTAGATGTTATAGGATGAGTGTAATTCTGTAGTGATGAAGAGTTTTAGCAAGTATCTTCTAAATTCTGGTTATTGTTGTGTAGTTAGGTTTGCAGTATTGCATTTTTGAATATGTGGTCTATTTATTTATTTTGGAATTCCAGGTTGTATGTTGTCCCCAAAGAATGGAAGTGAAAATTGCTGTTACCATGTTTGAATATAACATTCTTAGAATGAATGTTGAGCCATTTTCTTTCCTCACCTTGTATCACACCACCTTCAGCACTACCATCCTAGTCTGTCTCCCATTATGTCAAAAACAATGTTAGAAACTAAGATATGAAAGCTAGGAGCTAAATGGCACCTTAAACCTAGGTTATGGGCGCAACAACGGAATGTCTAGGCATGCTTTTTAAATAAGAATACAAAGCTGAAAATGAAGAAATATTAAAATATTTCTGAAGTATTATATACATTTTTCACATGGTCTAATAGTCCTTCCCCTGCCCACCCCACTAATATTATTAAGAGGGTCTTTTCTACAGTCTTCAGAGAGTAGCTGGAAGTGGGGAGGCAGAAAAAGGTCCTCCTTTCCTTCTACGCTGCTGTTTTAATCTGAAATCTTAGGCGCAGTATTGCCCCCTGAACTCAGAAGCTGCTTGCGTTAATGAAATTCCCTGTCGCAAAATGCACCTAGAACAATGGGAGTTTTGAACACTGGTCACAAATGGAAAACCTAGTTTACAAACAGAATCAAACTGTGTCTTAAGAAGGGTTAATAGAGTCCCCCACTTTAAGCATAATGAGAAACTGGTTTAAACAGCCCAGGATTGAGGCACCAAGCCAGCATGCAAATAGGGTGAGTGGGAAGTGTACAGTTAAAATGCTCATTCTACCTTAATAAATAGTTAATTCAACCAGAGATATTAGGAGTAATAACGCCTTCAATGTTTATTGATAAGTAAGTCGTAAAGGGTTTTATAAACTGGCTCTACTTTGTCTCTTAAGCAACATATAAATGCTTACTGCTTTAAGTGGGTCAATTTTGAGTGTATTCAGGACTGCTTGACCTTTACAGAACAATTATACTAATGAACAGAATTCATTTTTAGTGCCGATAAAGTTGAAGATAGTGCAAAATCTTTGGATGAAATCAAGAAAAAGGTATGACTAGAGTTGTTCACTTGTGTGGTTGAGGAGGGGGCATTATTACCATCTGCAGATGATAGTACTGTGTATCAAATAGTATATTTTGCTAAGCAGTACAGTGAATTATTGGCATTAGAGAACTTGAAACTGCTTAAGGGATCTTCTGTCACCCTGCAGTGATAAACTGGAATCCAGAGAACCATGAGATTGCCTCCACATTGTGCAGTGAGCTTATTTTGGTTCCATTTCCGCTATAGTGCCTCCCCTTGTGTCTAAAAAACCTCTTATAAGGGTTATGGACCTCTGAACAGCATTCAAAGAGGCACAAACAACTCCTTTTGCAATTAAATTTATTTGAAGTTTTGTTAGAAGAAAGCATTTTAAGTGCAATCACTGGGTTTTGTATTCTAACCAATACCACTCAGTTCAGCCTTCATTTGGGAGCTGGTCACTCCTCCACCCATTCTTGTGATACCTTCCCTACTTCTAGAGAAAATTGGAACAGCCCACATCTTTATCAACATAGCAGTTACTGCACATTGCAAAATGCTGTGGCTACAGTGAATAGGCACTGTGTCCTATGGAAGTGTGCAGGGAATGAAATTTAACTACATGATGGCTAGCCAGCTAACGAGTGCTTAATTGCAAGCATTTTCTCGGTTGTCTTTTCTGCTTTAGCTTCAACTCTCACTGCCTTTTCTCTATTGATACGAATTTTAAACATGATAAATTCCTTTCTTTCCCACTTTATGTAAACTCCTTATTGTTTTCTGAACAGCCTCTCAATTTCTTGTCATTTTAAAATGACATGAAGTAAGTATATTCTGCTGTTCTTGCTGAAGCTGTTGCCTCTTGTAACTAGTGAATAGTACTACATTAGTGGTATCTCAAAATACCATTTATTCTGTTCTGTAAAAATACTGTGTGGGTGACATGACCATCAAGACACGTAATGACTTTAATATTTCTACCATAGTCTTCAATATTACCCTTGACTTTGATCCTTCTTACACTGCAGTCCAAACTTCCCTTGCCAGTGGGGTTTCAGTAGCAGTGGGGCCACTCCTTGAAAATTTATTTAGGGGAATATATCATGGAGAGCTGGTTGATGTAAAGTGGAACTTCCTGAAATTCAGCTGAAGTCTGCCTGACTCTGGTAGAGCTCTGCATGTGATCTAATACTCAGAAGGGTTTGCCATCTTCTGGAGATTCATTGCAAGGGGGGAAGGAGCGAACAGGAATCATTAGTTCCATTAACTTCCTTTCATTAACTTACCTCCTCCTTATTTACATGATTTAAGTATTTTAGATCACTGAAACGGGTTAATACAGTAGTTGCATATTCTGCTTAGTAAGCAAGCAAAATAATTTGTTTACAATAGGAAAATTTATGTATGAATACCAGCAAAACAGAAGAGCGGGGCAAGAAAACTATGTATTCTGATCTGACTACACTGGAGCTGAAGAAAAATATGAAAATAGTGGTAAGTTCTGCTTTCAACCCATTGTTTTGTTCTGCACTCTATCCTGCCCACCCTCCACCACAAGGTGGCAAACAACAAAGAGCAAACCTTTTTTTAACTTTAAAAAATATGTGTGTGAGAGAGAGGGAGAGAATATATTGCTTAAATAACACAGTTGGACTTGTTTATTGTTTTGATTGCTGAAGTTTTCTGATTAGAAAACGAATGCTTTCATTTTCTTCCCTTTATAACCTAAATTAAGGGTGGGGAACTTGATCCAGCAGGTGGGACCCTTTCTTTCTGCAGTCCAGCTTTGACAGAAGGAAGGCAACAACCACCTGTCAATCACCTGACATCACTGCGATGCCAGGTGACTACTTAAAAGAGGCTGTCATCAGCAACCATCTGATCAAAAGGGAGTTTTCAGTACCAAAGCGGATGGGTGCAGAGAGCAATCCCCTTTGAACTATGTAAGCCAGTAGGATCAAAACTGCTCCGCTAACTGTTCTAGGGAATTCCTGGGAGCTGATCCCATTTTTACCTGCCCCACACCTGGTAGCTGCAGTCAGGACAAATAATTGTCTGCACCCACCCAACCTAGCCACCAGCAGGTAAACAGCAGCGATGCTGACTGATGACATGTAGCATTGTAGACAATCTTCTTACTATATGACTTTCTTTCTCTTTAGGGAACAGTAACACAGTTCAATAATCCAAGTGAATTCTACATTCAAGTCAAATCTCCAGAAGTTCTAAGTAATATTAATAAGCTTAGTGTGAAATTGAAAGATTACAATGGAATTAACCAAGGTGAATATATTCCTGCCAAAGGTGAAGTCAGTGTTGGACAATATACCCTGGATCAGGTAACTTAATCATCAAATGGACTCAAGGACCAGTTGGTTTGTGGTTGGCTGTCCAAGAGAACCTGCAGCCAGCAACTTATCATTGTTGATTTATAGAAAGTATAGGTGTTCATAAATTGAGATATGTACTTAAGTCTTTTTTGTGTATGTGTAACTGAAGTGAGCAGCGCTGTATATCTTTGCCCAAGTGAGAGGTGGTTGGCAATATAATTCTATGCCAGTTATTTGCTCCAGATTTTCCTTTGCTAGATAAAGGTGATGAAAGTTGTTGGGGCACTTGAATAAATTATGCCTGGGAATTTTCATCAGGGCAAGATGGTTTTTCTGAAGTAACATTTTAAATTTTATAATGGGTTATGTCACCTGAGATCTGTCACATAGGTCAAATGTTTTTAAACTGATAAACTAAACTAAAATGGTAATAAAAGTGCAGTTTAAATGCTGTAGGATTGTTCAATAGCTTCAAATGACACTCCCACAGGCATACAATAAAGTACAAGTAGAGGGATGAAAGGACGTGGGTGGCACTTTGGGTTAAACCACAGAGCCTAGGGCTTGCCGATCAGAAGGTCAGCGGTTCAAATCCCCGTGACGGGGTGAGCTCCCATTGCTCAGTCCCAGCTCCTGCCCACCTAGCAGTTCGAAAGCACCAAGTGCAAGTAAATAAATAGGTACCGCTCAGGCGGGAAGGTAAACGGCGTTTCTGTGCGCTGCTTTGGTTCTCCAGAAGCGGCTTCGTCATGCTGGCCATATGACCCGGAAGCTGTACGCCGGCTCCCTCGGCCAGTAAAGCGAGATGAGCACCGCAACCCCAGAGTCAACTGCGACTGGACCTAATGGTCAGGGGTCCCTTTAACTTTAGAGGGATGAAGCCAAGGACTGTTTTTTAAAATCTTCCTCTTAGTTGTTATCTGTTAAGTATGACAGTTCACAACAAACACAAAATAATAGATGTTTTTCCTGTGATGTCACAAGTAGTAATATTTCGAACAATAAAAGGTAATAAACTGGTAAAACCTTCCCAGTAATCTCAAAAACCTCACCTAATAGAGGAGAAAATCTATACATGCAAAGGTAGACGAAAAAGCTCTGAACAGAATTCTAGGAAACCCTTGGGGTGGGATTTAATTTTTTTAAATTCTGCGGCACCCCGATATGCTGTGAAAACAATACTTTTGACAAATCTGTACTTCGGTGAGCTTTACTTTAAGTCCATCAACCATCTTCCTGCGGGTGTTGTTGTTGTTTAGTCGTTTAGTCGTGTCCGACTCTTCGTGACCCCATGGACCAGAGCATGCCAGGCACTCCTGTCTTCCACTGCCTCCCGCAGTTTGGTCAGACTCATGTTTGTCGCTTCGAGGACACAGTCCAACCATCTCGTTCTCTGTCGTCCCCTTCTCCTTGTGCCCTCCATCTTTCCCAACATCAGGGTCTTTTCCAGGGAGTCTTCTCTTCTCATGAGGTGGCCAAAGTATTGGAGCCTCAGCTTCATGATCTGTCCTTCCAGTGAGCACTCAGGGCTGATTTCCTTAAGAATGGATGCATTTGATCTTCTTGCAGTCCATGGGACTCTCAAGAGTCTCCTCCAGCACCATAATTCAAAAGCATCAATTCTTCGGCGATCAGCCTTCTTTATGGTCCAGTTCCTGTGGGTAACTGCTAGTAACTGTTGGAAAATAAATGTACACAGTAAGTGTTTGGGACAGAGGGGCTGTTGGAATCTGAAGACATGATAAAGATTTTGGCTTGGGTTAAAACTAGCATTTGTGAGGCAGCATTATAGAAAGATTAAAAACTACACACACGTGGGAGTAGGATCAGTTTAGGTGACTAGGGAGTGGACAATAAATATTTGGATGTGCTGCAACCATTGTGTTTCCCATCTCTGCTTGTGCAGTTCTAATGGTTGTATCATCTGAAGATATAATAGTCTGCACTATTGACATGGTTGCCATATTTCAAAAAGTGAAAATCCGGACAAAAATGTTGTTTTCCCCCCCAAAATCTCAAAGAAGAGTTTTTAAAGGTATTTTTTATGAAATTCGCCAAAATCTACAACGCCAACATGGGTGTCCCGTATGTTTGGATTTCCCCAGACATTTCATTGATTTCCGCCCAGACTCTGTTATTGAGAGCTGAATACCGACTGTGTCTGGGAAATTCTGGACTTATGGCAACCCTAACTTCACACACACATCTGTGATAACCTAGTGCAAATGTAGGGTAAATCTGTAATTCTGTAGCAGTAAGATAAAAACACCTGTGTTTTAGATTACTAGTAAGATGTGAACTGTAATAAATCAAGTATTAATGAATTAGCAGCTCATGGTAGAATTGTTTGACTAACTAGTATCTCAGTTAAACTGAACATTTTCAGTTCAGCACAATTACAGTTTCCTCCATTCCTTGCAGAAAATGAACTAATCATAGTAAGTCCAGCGTATTATTCTGTTTTCTAAATTACATCTGATACTAGCTTAAAAGCACAAAAATGTATTGAAGGATGTGGTATTAAAACTGCCATTATAGTTGTTCAACTGTTATGTTGAAGAAGAATCATTTTTCTTCTTAAAAAAGAATAATAAATCATAATGTAAAATAACTTGTTCATGTTCAGACCTGGTACAGAGTGCTTATAAAAGAGGTGGATATCCTTAAGAAGAGTGCTCTGGTTTTATATATTGATTATGGAAATGGAGAGAATTTACTACTAAATAGAATTAAACGATTGCACCAAGATATTGCGCACATTCCACCCTGTGTAAGTATAAGTTTACACAATGCACCTTTACCACAGATATTTAGAGTGTCAAGAATACAGACCTGTGTATGCAAATGCTAAAGTGTGTTGAGACAAATAATACGCCAGAATATTGTTATTACTAAGTACTAGAGACTCCAAAACTGGCATCTTGACTAAGACGCAAACGGAAATCTTAAATGGCCAACATGCATATGTTTGAAGGACATGTGCACACATGGCCATAAAGACCAGCAGTAAGCCAGACATCCTTACAGTGTGTTTTGTTTTTGCTTTGCTTTCAGGCCATTAAATGTTGTGTTGCTAATGTCCTCCCAGCTGAAGAAAAATGGAATGCAAACTGCAGCAAAGCTATTGCTCCATTTCTTATAGGAAAGTGCTGCTCATTCACTGTTATTGATGTTTTGGTGGATGAGATGCCCTATTTTGTTGTAGATGTTGTATTGGCAGATTCTGGTAAGTTTCATTAACCTTAATATTCTTTGTTGAATGAATTGTTAATTAAGCAGTGACGGTTAACATCATTTTTTGTAATCTGACACATGAACTAGAAGGATGCTCACCGGATACTTCAGTTGTGATAAAAACACATCTTGGGGTGGATGAGTCATTGCACAGTGATTGTATTTCATTCCCTACATATCAGGGAAGACTTGGTTCCATCATGGACTGATCAATAACTAATTGCTCAGTCATGCTTGCCTCAGATCCTCGGTGGGCCTGGTGACACCAGGCAGTACCAAGAAATAGTACAAAAAAAGTGCTGCTTGAAAAGCCTGGCACCATGTTTTTGTTTATATGTGCAGATTTTTTTGTAAGCTACTTTGAGGACCTATTGGGACTATAAAGTGGGATACAAATATAAGTAAATAAAATTCAAGTGCATCTGACCCTGTATATAACTTGGAGAGGTGCTGTTAGTCAGTCAGTATTGGGTTAAATGAGCTAGTGGCCAGACTTGGAAACAGATTCAGAAGTTTGGAGTGCTTTATTTTTTTCCTGTTTGACCAAACCCCTGGGTAATATGTCAGTGCCCAGAACCAAAGCATTGGAGACAAAAAACTGTTTTGAGAAGTAGCTGCTCATATTGACTTGGCATAATTTACAAGAGATGAGTGTAGTGGACTCTGGTTTTTTGGCAGAATGTTTGTGTGCATGGCAGATTCCTTTTTACTAGTCTTTGTGAAGCTGTCATTCCATCAATTTATCTGTAATACTGTATGTGTCGTAGGCCTATTTACAGTAGTACTTTAGAGATAAATTTGGTAGATCTGATGTGTTTCTGTTGGCAGTGATTTGTTTTTGAATGGATATTAACAAATGTGTATGTTTCAGGTAAACACTTGCATGAAATACTCTTGGAAATTGGATGCAGTTTAAATTCAAAGAGTAGGAGTAGCAACAAGGAAAACTCAGTTACTGGTGAGTCCTTATCGTTTTATTTAATTCATCTTGATTAATATCTTTATGAAAGCAAGGCACCTTTAAGCATGCACTTGCTAAAGATACTAAAATAGGTTTATTCTTATTGGTGCAAAATGTGTGTCATCTTTATGAGGCTTAGGAGTGTAGCCATAAGTTAACGGGTTCATTACAGCTGGGTTATCCAGGTCCAAAGGGCTGTTTTTGCTTTAATTTGGAGGGTTGAGTTGCCAGAATCTTGGACTGTAACACTTGAGGTTATGGAAGATGCAGTGCCTCACACTAGAGGTCATCCTAATGGGCGCTGGAGGAAAGGGAGTTGGCTCTATTTGTGCTATATTGAGCTTGCCTTTCTGGTAATAGCCCCAAATGGGATAAAATTTAATGTAAAGCTGTACCTGTGGGTTGCTGCCTTGGTCCTTAGCCTTTGAGCAGAGATACAGCTTCAAGGGAGCTGGTGGTTCTGTGGCTCCTTTAAGCTGTGCTCGTGGTGTCCTAGTTCACATGAGAGGTAGTGCATTATTGAGAGTCTTCTGAGTCTCATTTTGTTTATTACTACCATAGATGGATGAATGTGTCTATGAATGATATTCTGCATTCTCTTAAGGATGATAAGTTTTTAATACCAGTAAAACCTGCAACTCAGGTTTTGATAATATGTTCTTTTTTCTTAGGTTCTACTGTGGAAAAGATTTCTATTCAGGAAAAGAAGCTTGAGCATAAAGGACTGGATCATAGTGGCTGTCAAACTCGCAAGGTTATCTTGCCATCTATAGGAGATACATTTTTGGGTATGGTTGCCCACATACAGACACCAGGAGATTTCTTTTGTCAGCAGATGGGAAATGGCTGTAAGTCCTTGTTTTTAGTTAAATTAAAATGTAAACATGTATGCAGGAGTAGCATTTGAATATGTAACAGAACTTTTAAAATGTTAGGAAGCGGTGAGGTGTTGAGTTTTTTTGCATTGAAGTGGGAGATTAATACTTAACATCACTCTTAATTTATAGCTTCTAGTTTGCACTTTATAATCCACAACATGCCTAGACTTTCTGTGTAACCTCCAAACAAACAACCATATTCAAATGACAGCATTTGCTGGCAAATGAAAGTACAACACTTTTATATTGCTTACTTGTGGTTTGGGTACATTTTGGTTTATTATTTAACAATTTCCACATAAATACCTGTTTTGTCAGGCAAACTTACTGAGCTTCAAGTATCCCTGGGTGAATACTGCGACACAATCTCTGCTACTCCAGATTTCTGCCCAGCAGTAGGAGACTTGTGTTGTGCGCAGTTTACAGGTAAATACTACTTGTCGATGATGGTGATTTACTGTTGTTGGCCTATATCTAACAGAGGTTACTAGTTCAAGCCCATGGAAATCTGTGGGCTTAAGTATGCCTCTAGTGAGTGGTGCTTTACAGAATGCAAGAGGACATGTCCTTGTCATAGGAGTTTGCAGCCCACATGGCGAAACTTTATGGGCAAAATGGGAACATAAAAGGTGCCTTATGCCAAATTAGACCATCAGTCCTACTAGCTCAGTATTGTCTCAGTGACTGACAGCAGTTGTTCAGGATTTCAGACACAAGTCTTTTTCAGTTGTAGCTAGGGATGCCAGGGATTGAACCTAATTCTTTGCCACTGAGCTACAGCCCTTCCCTTAAGTTTTGAAGAGGTTTTTGTAGGAAGTAAGAGTGCTGGTACAAGCATAACGGACAGCAGGGGGGAAAGGACAGTCATTTGAGGAAGCCAGGTGTCTTCAGGCAGCTGAGAGTGGTAGAACTGGAAGGGTAACAGTTGTGGGTGAGGATATATTGGTATAAGAAAAGAGCTATAATGGAAGAAGGCTATGGAGGGCTTTGAAGATAAAGGTGAGGAACTTGTTCTAGATCTGTGTGGAGCTCTGATGAATGATGTTCTGTGTCAGAGTAACAAGAGGTCACTTTTTCTGGAGAGAGACAAGGCAACAGAAGACCGGAAATGAAGGTTGAAGTCAAGGAAAGATATTACTAGAATGTGAACCAGAATTCTTGCCAAAGGGGCAGATAGGAAAGGCTGTATCTTCACAATGCTGTAAAGTGACATGGCTTCAACAGACAAAGTAATGTGGAGGGAGAAAGGTTGAACATAAAGCCAAGGCTTTGTGCCTGTTCAGCAGGTTGGATGTTGCAAGTTGGGTAAAGAGAATATTCAAGGAAAGAAGAGCTTTGGATGAAATATGAGAAGTTTAGTCTTCAGCATACTGGGAGAAATTCAGTGTAGGGCTAAAGAGATTGTTCCATCTGGCAAGCTGAAATACTTCTGCTGATGGAACAATCGTCCCTCTTCTCCTATGTGCAGTTCTGTGTATCCTCCGGACCTACCTACCTACTGTGCCAATTTGGGTGGGAGCGAAAAGCTCTGTTGCACTAGTGGAAGACCTTGTGCTGCCTTCTGCTAGTGAGATTCATTAGTTGAATCCAACCCACTAAGTTCCAGGCAGTGTTAAAACAGCAGATTAGAAATAACAAAAGAGACAGTTAGAGATGTGAATTTGGGTAGAGGGAGAAAATTCTAAAGTACATGGTAGAGCTGGGTGAAATCAGCGCTGAATGTTATAGGATTGGAAGAAGTTGCCCAGGGGCAATGTAGAACAGTATTCTTCAGCCTTGGGTCCCCAGATGTTTGAGCAGATTGAAAAGCAGTGGTATAGGGCAGGCTTCTCAAATCGGGAGCCCTCCAGATATTTTGGAGTGCAGCTGCATTCAACCCTGAACAATTGTCATGGGAGTTGTAGTCCAAAACATCAGGGTTTTGACCCTGCAGAAGCCAGAGCCCAGTACGAAAAGAGTATTACAACTGATAAATGACTTTGGTCGGGTGGCTGGATTTAAATTAAATAAACAGAAAACTAAGGTTATGGGGAAAAATTTGACAGATACAAAGTCAGAACGGTTTCAGAATGAGACGGAACTTAATGTGGTTAAAAAAGTAAAATACCTAGGGGTAAACATAACAGTAAAAAATCTAAGTCTATTTAAGGATAACTATGAAAAATGCTGGTCAGAAATTAAGAGAGACTTAGATAGTTGGTCAAAATTTAAACTTTCTCTGTTAGGCCGAATTGCTGCTATTAAGATGAATGTATTGCCAAGGATGTTGTTTTTATTTCAAACACTTCAGGTTTTGGACAAAACGGAGTGCTTTCAGAAGTGGCAGAGAGACATTTCTAAGTTTGTCTGGCAGGGCAAAAGCCCAGAATTAAGTTTAAGATATTAACTGATGCAAAACAAAGAGGGGGCTTTGCCCTGCCAGACTTAAAGTTGTATTATGAAGCCGCAGCGTTCTGCTGGCTAAAAGACTGGCTACTTCTTGAGGACACTGATGTGTTGGATCTGGAAGGGTTTAACAATGCCTTTGGATGGCATGCATATTTATGGTATGACAAGGTTAAAGCAAATAAGGCCTTTAAGAACCATATTGTCAGAAAATCATTGTTTAATGTCTGGATAAAATATAAAGACTTGCTGGAAAATAAAACACCAAGGTGGCTTTCACCTCTGGAAGCTAAGGCCCGAAAAAGACCCAATATGGAGGCTAGATGGCCAAAATATTGGGAAATACTAGAAAGGATGGAGACAATTGGAAATTGCAGAGTTTGGAGAAAATGAAAGACAAAGTGCGAGATTGGTTACACTACGCTCAGATTAAAGAAGTTTTTAAAAATGATAAGAAATTAGGGTTCCAGGTGGAGAAATCGAAACTAGAAACAGAATTGTTAGAACCAAAGATTAAGGTACTTTCAAGGATGTATAACTTGCTGTTGGAATGGAATACACAAGATGAAACGGTTAAATCGGCTATGATAAGGTGGGCACAGGACATTGGGTATAATATTATGTTTGAGGACTGGGTAAGGTTGTGGAGTAATGGATTGAAATTCACTGCATGTAACGCTTTGAAAGAAAATGTAATGAAAATGATTTATAGATGGTATATGACCCCAGTCAAACTTGCAAAAATTTACCACCTGCCTGATAATAAGTGTTGGAAATGTAAAGAGTGTGAGGGAACGTTCTTCCACCTCTGGTGGACTTGCCCTAAAGTGAAGGCGTTCTGGGAAATGATTTATAATGAATTGAAAAAGGTATTTAAATATACCTTCACTAAGAAACCAGAGGCTTTCCTTTTGGGTATTGTCGGCCAAGGGGTGGCAAAGAAGGACCAGACATTTTTTATGTATGCAACAACAGCAGCAAGGATACTTCTCGCAAAACATTGGAAAACTCAAGATCTACCCACACTGGAAGAATGGTAGATGCAACTGATAGACTACATGGAACTGGCTGAAATGACCGGCAGAATTCGTGACCTGGGAGAAGAGAGGATGGAGGAGGATTGGAAGAAATTTAAGAACTATCTACAAAAATATTGTGATTTGAGTGAATGCTAAATAAGATGCTAGATTAAAATAACTGAGCACCACTTAATTTAGAAGTTTTTAAGAAAACAAGTAAGACTGTGAAAGTTTAACTCTTTTTGAGAATTATAAGACTATGAAATATTGAAGGGATATAAGAATTCAAATAAGATGATAAATTGCTGACAAAATGTTATAACGATGAAAGTGGGAGCGGGAGATGTGAGGAAGTCCAAAGAAAATGTGAAACTATGTTAAGACAAATGTTACATTGTTTATTATGTTTATTTTTATTGTAAAACCCAATAAATTGCTTTAAAAAAAAAAAAAAAAGAAAAGCAGTGGTATAGGGCAGGCTTCTCAAATCGGGAGCCCTCCAGATATTTTGGAGTGCAGCTGCATTCAACCCTGAACAATTGTCATGGGAGTTGTAGTCCAAAACATCTGGAGGGATTGTGGGGGAAGGCTGGCATGGAGAGAGACCAGCTATGAGACAACAACAGGTCCATGAAAAATGCCAGCACAGAAGGGAAAACCAGAGTAAGTGTGTCCACTTTTTGGAGCCACTGAAGGAACAATCTGGTAGGAAGAAAAACATCTAAAGTCAGAATCATGGAGACCTAGGTCATTGTGAGTTAAGCAGGAGTGAATGGTCAGCGGTTTCAAAGGCAGCAGGCGAGTCAAGAAGCAAGAGGACTGGAGAGTAGATAAAGGATAGCTTGCAAGTGTACATAAGCCTGTATTAATTTAAAGGACCGTTGAGGTATTTATTAAAGATGAGGTCTCGGTTCTTTCTGTTGATTTACATAGGTAGTTTTGGGGCCTTTCCAGCATTTTTACCCATATGCAGAAATTGGAGGCTCAGTTCTTCAATGGTGTGTTGTTGTTTTTTGTTGTTGTTTTTTTGTATTCACACTTTGTTGGCCTAATGGCCAGTGTCTGGCATTTTATATAAAACCAGAGCATATCAGAGCATTTTTCACTTAATCTTGGACTTTTAAGTCATTAAAAGTATTACATGGTCGTTGGCAGTCTTGCTCTTTCTACAGAAGCAGTAGGATCCCTTTTGGCCCTGAACTGCAACATCCTTTGAGACTGGAGACCTTTGCAAATCTGTGCCCCTGATGTTTTCTAAAGTAGCATGTGTACTGCTGTGCAGGGAAGAACTAGTTTGGCTAGTATTGGCTCAGACTTCTACTGCCACAATGAAAGCCACCGCTTGTGTACAGTAGCTGCAGTAAAAATCAGTTTGTAACATGGGGTTGTTAGTTGTATAATTTTTACGTGACAAATGTATTTTTATCTTCCAGAAGACAAACAGTGGTACCGTGCATCAGTTTTGTCCTACATCTCAGAGAAAACTGCTTTAGTGGGCTATGTAGATTATGGTAACATAGAAGTCCTTCCATTAAATAAACTTCGGCCGATCATTCCAAAATTAATGGAGTTACCAGTACAGGCTATAAAGTGCACCTTAGCAGGTATGAAACAGAATGACTAAATACATCTGGAGAATAGCACACACAATTTTTTTTGCAACTTAGGGAAACAAAGAGATTAACCTGTGGAGACAAAATGGAAATTGAAGCTGTACCATAAAATTTGTACCAGGTACAGCTTCTGAATTTAGATATAGAATCATCCCAATTATGCCTCAATATGATGCAACCTGCACCAGGCAGATCAGAGATTCCTTTGGAAGTGTTGTGATAGTAAATAAAGTTGTCTGTATATTGATTACTGTATTAACTCCTTTTATTTAAAGCCTACCATTAAAAGCTTGCTGTGCCTGAGGCTCATAGTATGAAATACTTAACATAGTTCAAATTATTCTTTTTCCTAGAGTTGGCAGCTTTGTGATATTCTCTAGCCCTACCTTGTTCATATTGGGTTTTGGATTGTCACTGACCTGGTAATCCTAACTATGCCAGGCAGTGGCCCAGAGCTGTGTTCTCCCTGAGCAGACTTGCCTGACACTTCTTGCAAACGTAGGAAGCATAGCAGAAAGGGCAAAACGTTAGTAGCGATTTGGTGCTTCCCTAGAGGCAAGAAAATGTCTTGGGTCAACACTGCATAGATATTAGTAAAGCCTCTTCTGATAACAAAGGAACATTTTTGTGCCATTTTGTTGTTTCGGGAATATGAAATAGAGAATTATGTGCTGGGTATGCAGATAATTGGTTACCTGATCGAAAATGTTAGAAATATACTTTTATTGCTGATGGACTTATATCATTACAAAGAAAATTCTGTTACAAAGAAAAATAACTAACTTGTAAAGGAGTAAATTTTTTATTTTCTATTTTTTAAACCGTCTCTTATTTCAAGGTGTAAAGCCAGCATCTGGAACCTGGTCCACAGAATCAACTTCTGTTATGAAGAAGCTGGTGCAAAATAAAGTACTCACTATAAGAGTAATAAATGAGAAGGACAAAACTTTTGTGGTCAAACTTACAGATGAATCCAGGACTCCAACAATAAATGTGTCTAAATACCTTTTAGAGTTGGGATGTGTAGTGGAAGAAGCCACCACTGTCCCAGCAGTGCTTGAAACAAGCACTGGAACATTACAAAAAATGCGTGGTGAGTATGTGAAAACTAACCAGCTTGAGGACTTGAGCTGTATTAGTAATTTACTGTGAATATTACAACACTGAATAAGACTCAGATTTAGGAACAGCATTCATTATTTTTGCTGCTCCACTGTTACTAATTACATATTTGTTGTACCTAATCTATAATACTCAGACGTCTAAATCTCCCTGTGAAACTAAAAATGGGGAAATATATTAGAGTTTGCTGATGGGGATCTGTTAAATTTCCACCAGCAGAATGAACATTGAAAAAACGTAACTCCTAATGGTTATTTTTATATTTATCTATAGGTCAACAGCTGGACAAAATTGATTGGTCAAGGGTCACATTAACAGCCAAACAGGTGGTAAATGTGTTTGTTTGCGTGCTACACAACCCCAGCAAATTCTATTGCCAATTGTTAGACAATAACGGTACATCTTTCTTTTTTTCCCTTTGAGTGTTCTGTTCCTTGTGTATCAATTTTTATATTTCAACCATCTATAGCTCTCTTTCAGTCACATGCCCCAACACTCAGCCTGTTATTTACATATCTATCCAGTGTCCTCAAACAAGTATGATTCAGAAACCTGGCAGGTGTGCCATTGCTTTTTTCACTCACGTAGTTGTTTGTGCAAACAACTTTACTTAGATAGCATTCATCTTGTGGAGCAACCTCTTCCATTTTGCACAGTGAATATTAAGAGGGCATAATTCTGTCACACTTCTGCATGCATCTTGTTTGGTCCCCCCCCCCCCAAAGTTAGTGCAATAATGGAGAGGAATGTAAACAGTAACTCTAGCTACATTTTGTCCTATTGCTCAATAGCTTTATACAGCAAAACCTCGGTTCCAGAATGGCTCCGTTTTGAAATGTTTCAGCTCCCGAATGCCAGAAGCCGAATGTCCGACACGGCTTCTGCTTGGGTGCAGGAAGCTCCTGCAACCAATCGGAAGCCACTCCTCGGTTGTCAAACATTTCGGAAGCTGAACGGGCTTCTGAATCGGATTAAGTTTGACATCCAAGGTTTGACTGTATTTATAAACTGTTTTCAAACTCAGCACCATCATTGGTACACTTATTCAAACTTCCTATCATATGGTTATGTAGCAATTCTGTGGCAGCAGTATTGCTTGGTGGAGTTCTTCCATATTAGCTGTTTTAGAAAAGGTTGAGATGTTAGCTGACTTAAGCCATATATTGGAAGGAAGGCCTCTAGACTTTTCTCATTAAACTTTTGACAGTGGTTAGTGTTGCAATTTCAATCTTAATTTTGCAGGCTTGAATGCTTTGGAAGAACTCAATATATCTTTAGCAGCATACTGCCAGAAAACAGCCCCAAACATTTCCAAAGTTACAAAGGGAGATGTGTGCTGTGCTTATTTCTCTGGTGAGTAAGTTTACTTATAGCTCATAATCTTCTGTATTGCATTGATATTTTATAGAAATCACATTTCTCTGTTTGCTGTGGAAAGTATCCAACTGAGTACTTCCGACACCTGGTGCATTTAGACATACACTGAGCAATTGAAATGTCGTGCAGTTCATGGCCTTGGCTCCTTTCACCCCAATCCCCTAGAAGGAAAGGCATCCAGCAGAGCAATGGAACAAGAACTGCATTGTCGCGATTTACGAAACAGTAGATTTCATTCCATGCTAATAATGCTAATACCAATACTGCTCAAGACAGTTTGCAAAAAAATAAACAGTAAAAATGCAATAGTATAATGATGGTAATACATAATGTGATAATTCTTAAGAATTAACAGTTCCTATAAAATGTATCAGAATTGAAGTAAGCACACCACTTACCAATAGGTCAGTTATTAATATCCCAAAGAAGCCCCAAAGCTGATACCATTTGTACCTAGACAGCACCCCAGGCACCCAGCGTTTATGCCTAAACTCAAAAGGCCACAAATACCCTCTCAGTTCTCCTAGCAGCTACTCCCTTAAAAATATTCCTGCGGCATGGCAGAGGGAAGCTGCCATCTTCTGATGGCAAAGAAGAGTCTCCTCACTAAGCTGTTGCCAGGGCTGAAGATAGGTCTTGATATGTATATTATTTTTTGATTATTATCCATTATCCTTCAATAGGATATTAGTACTTTTCTTGCAATATGACAGAGTAACTTTAACGTCTGACTAAAAATTATATCGCTTTGAAATAGGGGTAGCATGAATCTGCTGTATCTGTCTACGCCCAAGTAAGACATGAAGCAAAAGATCAGACTACTGTTTTTAATGAGAGAGTAAATTACTTGTATGCTTATTGGATATTACAAGATCTTTGTCTCTGTCTTATTTTAATTTAGGTGATGGTAGATGGTATCGGGCTTTGGTGAAAGAAGCCAGTTCATTTGAAGCTTTTAAAGTTCTGTTTGTAGATTATGGAAACTGCGAAGAGGTAACTCTGGACAAAATCAGACAGATTACATCTACATTTATGAAACTCCCATTTCAAGCAATTAAATGTTCATTGTCAGGTACAGTTACCTTACTTCAGTAGAAATCTCTTGAACTGCAAATAAGATATAAAGTTACACTGTTTTAAACAATATTTCTGTTTAAGGTGTATTCCTAAATCTAAGATCCAAAATGTTAATCTGTTAGGCACTTGAAGCCTGTATCTCAGGCTATATTGTCCTAAGGGAATAGGAGTAAGAAAACAGTTAAGCCACAACCAACAGAGTAGTGTAGGATAAATATGACCCAGAAACTGTTCTAAATTAGAAATTAATAAATACTGAAACTGTCTTTATTCTTGGATATTCCTAAGTTTTGCATATGTTAATCTTTCACATATTTATGTAAAAGATTTTAAATTTATGATAACAGGTCCCCAAGGTTTTCAAAATCCTCTAATACATTTATAGTACAATTTATTCATTTTTACTGAGATACAGGTTGTCTAGTAATGATAAGGGATTTGCAGCCTTAGTAACATCAAGAGCATTGTCTAAAGAGTCCCTAATGGCTGCTTAAATATTTTTTCCCCTCAGGTGTAAGACCCATAAATAAGGAATGGACAGCAGAAGCTACAACAACACTTGAGACGTTCACAGCTGGGAAGAAAATTCAGGCCAGAGTAGTTTCTTTAACGAGAAATGGTGTTGAAGTAGAGCTTATTGACAATTCTGAGAGTGGTCCCATAGTGATCAGCGAATATTTAATTAAGAATAATTTAGCTTTGAAAAAGGAAATAGTGTCGGATCTGAATGTGCAGCCAGGTGAATTGACAGACAGTGATTCCCAAGGTAATGTTACTAACTTTTAAAAATGAAGAATCTGCATAATGTTTGTCTGTTTTGTGTAGGTATAGGGAATGTGCTGTGGCGTTAAGCATGTCAATTAGCAAATGTGATAAATTATTAACTCACCAAGTACGTTTTGAACTTTCTGTTGATGAATGTTATCACATTGATGGAAATGGGCATAAAACTTGGTGGTTCTCCATAGATGAGCTGAAAGAACTAAAGCAATAGTACACTTCAATAACAGTATAGATTTCAAAATTAAACATCACGAAATTCATTACCTGTGTAGAGTTGTTCCCTTCACAACAGGCTATGTAACATATCTATTTCTGTAAACTATGGTCTAACTCACACATCGTTGTAAACCACAGGTGGACAATCAAAGGGCAGCATGCAGCCCTTGGCCATTCTCTCTGAGGCCTCTCAAAGCCCATGGAACCATGACAACCTTTCCACCAGCTGGGTGATGGGGGAAATGAGAGCTCTTCCCATACAGCTTAGCAGCAGGAGAAATGTACACATTGCACGTGCTGAGAGGAGCCTTTAACTTCCTCCTCAAAAGCTTCTGATCCAGACAAGATTGGTGTTCCCACACGGCATCAAGAACACAAGGGGCAGGGATTAACATCCATTCCCCCACTACTTCCTGTGCAGATCAGCTAGTGGGGAGATAGTGTGTATAGTGTGCACACGTGAATTATGCATTGAAGGTGTATGAGAGTGTTGTGTATGTCTTATTTAAAAGCACTGTCCAGTGCTGACTGTGCCCATCCACTGGCTTCACATCTTTTATAAGTGGCAGCATATAATTGTCAGAACAGTTAGCACATAAATAATCTGTTTTGTAAATCTTCAAAGGCAAAGATGCATTGTCTGGCAATATATGTCGGTACATATACCCTGCTACTATTTCCGTGGCTTTTTTTGGTCATATCTTCAGCAATATGGATATTTAATTGATGCCTACTAAGGATCACAATCTGATAATTGGGATCACAATTACTGATAATTGCAAAGTCATTCTAAGAAAAAAAGAAATGAAAACTGATGAGGGGAAAGGAAACTTACAAAACAATGCATCCCTTGGGCCCAACACTGGATTTTTGCCATTATGTGGAGGATTCCCCCAGCTGTTTCCTCTGTCCTGCTTGCATGCAGGTAATGCAAAGGGCGATTGCAGGGAGCGGAAGATTCATGCATGCCTTCCATAACCCTGTCCACTTCTTCTGTGTGCCATGTGGCTCCTCATGCTATTTGCATGCATGCATGCACAGGTGATGGGGAACAGGGATTCAGGCTCCACCAGTATGCATTATATGTGTCCATACTCAGGTGGGATAAGGTCCCACTTTTCTGTAATGTAGACTCCATCCTGAAACTAATGGCAGGTAATTTTCATAACCAAGGTCAGCCACATAAAAGTGCTTAGCAAATAATTTTCACTTGTGTGTAATATTGCAGGATGCATACAGTGGACAACAACAGAATTTCCGGTTGGTGAAACTGTGCCTATTCATGTATTAGATGTGACAAACCCTGGTTTATTCTATGCTGTACCCACAAAAATGAAAGGTAAGGGCTACAGAATGCTGTAAGTTGACATAGATTTTCTTTATGGTGGGCCCCATTCAGTCATAATAGAAAACAATGTTTTTCACTATGTAAATGACCATGACAAAATTTGGTCACAAATGATCATTATTCCCTTCCATTTTTAGTGCCTGTAAGAAGACTAGAAGCTTCTATGTCTTAATTTTAAACTAACCACAGTTTCCCATATGATGTTCAGATTTGGAGAGTTATGGTTTATTTATGAATTGTTGTAAAACTATTATTTATGACCCCATGGTGTGTTAAACTTCAGTTTAAAGAGGCCCATTGTTACGTATCTGCACCAGAAGTGTGCAAGGACTTAAAAAAAACCCTGCACTAGTTGAAAGTTTTATAATTTGGGAACTTGAGTTACTGAAGAAAGAAAGGCGGTACTGATTACCATACATATAAAAAGAAAACAAAAGGAAATACTTTAGGTTTGCAAATTTGCTACTTTATTATTCATATGTTATCCAAGGAAATTTAGCTTAACATGCTTCCAGATGCTAGAATGTATTTGCTCATAGACTTTATCAGGATAGGTGAGTGGGAGAAGATACAAAACATTACACTTCTTTTATGTTTTAGTGGATCTGCAGAGACTCCATAAGCTAATGACTGGACTTGCAGATTACTGTAATTCTCAGAATGATTCCAGTTTCAAGCCAAAAGTTGGTGAACCCTGTTGTGCCAGATTCACAGGTGAAAAAATGAAAAAGTGTGTGTGTGTTTGTGTATTAGAAAATGTTAAGATTACTTCATAAAAAGGAAAATATTTTAATTACTTTCTTAAAATGTCTAAAATAAGCCTATGGAGCTTGTAGCCTACAAGAGGGAGATGATGGCTTGGGTGAATTTCACACTGTCAATGTTTAAAATAGGTAACTCCCAGTTCTTGCATAACAGCTTAGTTGGATGAAATGGTATCACAGGAAAGAACAATTTTCTTGGGTAGCATACTATGGGTAATATGGTGAAGACCATATTATCAAGTGGTAACCTTTACTACTGGGACGCATGTGGCACTGTGGGTTAAACCACAGAGCCTAGGACTTGCCGATCAGAAGGTTGGCGGTTCGAATCCCCCAACGGGGTGAGCTCCCGTTGCTCGGTCCCTGCTCCTGCCAACCTAGCAGTTCGAAAGCACATCAAAGTGCAAGTAGATAAATAGGTACCTGCTCCAGCGGGAAGGTAAACGGTGTTTCCGTGTGCTGCTCTGGTTCGCCAGAAGCGACTTAGTCATGCTGGCCACATGACCCGGAAGCTGTACGCCGGCTCCCTCGGCCAGTAAAGTGAGATGAGTGCCGCAACCCCAGAGTCGGTCACGACTGGAACTAATGGTCAGGGGTCCCTTTACCTTAACCTTTACTACTACAGTAAATGAGTGACCACCCAGATGGATTATACATACAGCCCTTCAGTAACCTGAAGTATCTAACTCTTTTTGGAGGCCACAGAATTTGACAGCATACATCCTCGCTTCTTTCTCTGGGTCCAATGAATCAGTTGCCTCCTTAGGAGAAAGATAGTCCAGAATTGGGTTGCTAAACAAGTAACAGCATCTTTAATTGGTGTGGCTGTCTCTAACTGCATAGAGATCTCTTCTGCCCTGGTGGGAATAACATAAGGAGTAGCAGCCATACAACCAAGGCTTGAAAATCCCTACTGCTGTTTTCATCTATGTACTGATAGAGCAATAGAAACATATCCAGAACTACAGTGATAGTATTTCAGCATTTAGGGCCACTTTGTCTAGGTTCAAACTAGGGAGGCATGCTATTCACTCTGCAGTCTTTTTTAATCTTTTCTGGCCAAGTGGTGTGAACTTGTAATGTAAATTCCTCACAAGTAAGCTGACTTTTCTGGTTGCCAAATAATGTGAATCAAGTGGCATCACATCATCTAAAGGCAGTCCAGTGAATCATAATTTCTAAATCTCTTAAATTGTGAAAATCTAGCTTTTAGGGAAATGCTTACTGGTTTCAGGTTTAAGAGAAATCTCTTTTAAGCAGGATATACAGTTTCACATAATGGTAAGCCTCTTAAAACATAAAATGGTAAGTCTTAAATTTTGTTCACTTTTTTAGGTGATGACACCTGGTACCGTGCTGTCGTTCTGGAAGTTAGTGTATCAGAAGTCAAAGTGGCATATGCAGACTATGGAAATGTGGAAATATTGCCATTATCTAGGCTTCTACCTATAACTGCCCCCTACTTGGAACTACCTTTTCAGATACTCAAGTGCTCCATTGCAGGTAGCAAACCAGCTAGAGCAATTTGTCAAAAAACCAAATGCCTTAATATGGATATATATTCACATCTATACGGAGCCTTGAATTTTAATGTGTTAATAAGCAGTGCTAATGTTATCTTGTAATTTTCTTGTGGAAATCCCTTGGAGAATAAAAGTGGAATGTAAATATGAAATTAAAATTGTCAAATGTTCCATAGGGCACATGCCAGAGGTAAAAGCAGGTGCAAACATAAATGTTCTGTACTGTAGGGTAGTTTGCACACATTCACACACCCCTCTATCCTCCAACCAGGCAAGCAGGAGGCATCAAAGTTTCAAGGGTACATTCCAGCTAGGCAGAAACACTCAAGGAGAGGACAGGACAGGTTAGGGTATAGCCTGGGAAGAGGGTGTGTAGCTGAGGAAGAGGCGGAGCCTGGATAGATCCTAAGCGCCAGACAGAGAGGACTAGAAGGGCCAAAGTTGGCCTTGAGGTCTGAGGTTCCCCACCCCTGTCTTAAAAAATTTGCAAAAACTATTCTTGTGGTGACAGAGTTCATGTGCAGGAAGGATTGCAAATGTATTCAAATATGGACAGAGTAGTTTTCATTATTTTAATGGCACTGATTTTAAGAAAAGCAATGTAAACTGTCAGATTTGTAAGCACTAGCATTGTAAAATGTCAGTAGCATAGATTTGAATTTAAGGTTTATTTGTATTCTAGGAATTATGGAACTGGATGGAAAGTGCTCCATCTTAGCAGCAGAGAAGCTGAAAAGTTTTTTACTGAATGAGTGTGTGACAATTACAGTGAAAGGAGTTAATAAGAATATTCATATAGTAACTGTCAAAAAAAAATCTGGAACTCATACTATGAATGTAGCTGATGAACTAGTAATCGAAAACTCAGCAAAAGATAGCAACATTGAGAATCGTAAGTAATTTACCCTAAGGTAATTTCTTGCTAAAATGTAACCCACATACTTACTATAAAGATTTGAAAACTTCGTTAATCGGTACCTTATTTTACAAAATTGGAAATGCCTTGCTATGGGCAGCCTTATTGCTGTTCAGTGGTGTAGCAAGAAGCTATATATATTTGTTTTTCTTTCAGGATGTGTAAAAAACACTAAGTGCTGTTGTATGGAGCTGAGAAAGCAAGTAAGTTTCAATTTGGAGTTGAAGTTCTGTTTGTTTCCAAATCCTGATTGCTTGCAGAGCCAATGCAAGTTTGTTTTGGTTTGGTATTTTGTCTCCACCTTCAGACCAGAGCTGGTCTGCCCATAATGCGGGGTGAAGCGCTTGCCTCAGGCAGCAGAAGTGCCAGAGGCAGCGCTCCACCCACCCCACCACTTCTGCCACTGAGAGGGAGGTGTTCTGGCTCACAGCGTTGCTGCTGTCAGCCAGAGAAGTCAAGTGAGCAGCACCCTGGATCCTGCTCCATGCATGCCATTTGTGGCTTGGCAACACTTAGAGGAGCGCCTTGGATCCTGCCAAGTTCAGCAAGAGCCCGGGCACGGCAGGGGCAGAGGTGGGGTGCCATGGGCAGGAGCAGGAGGCGGCAATTCCCATTTTGCCTCAGGTGGTGAAACAAGACAGGCTGCCCCTGTTCAGACTGCATCATGGATGTTGAAAAGGTAGCAAGACTGTCAGTTATGGAAACATCAGACACTGGTATAAAACATGTTTTTTAAGAGGTTGCTGCCCAGCTCACTTTATTCTCCTAAATAAAACTTAAGCATTTGTTTTCTAGCTGAAATTTGGATGGCAAACAATATTGACTTCAAAATGTTACTGTATTTCATCAGCTTTCCAACTGATTTTCAGTATACTTCAGTTGATTTTGAGAGATGAGTTTGGATCCAAAAGCTCCCTTCTGACAGAAGGTGCATTTGCATTCAACCTGAGATCATGATGTAGACAGGTTTGAGTATTACAAACTAGTTAGCTTAGGTTTTGCTAAGTGTGCTTTTTCTTGCTTTTTAGTATGTGTGTTGTGTGCTTACTTATTTTTCCCGTTTTTTGTTAGGAGTGTTTTATAATAATAATAATTTATTATTTATACCCCGCCCATCTGGCTGGGTTTCCCCAGCCACTCTGGGAAGCTGCCCATGTTTGGTTTTGTTGATGTGTGCATTCTGCTGGCCTTGCCTGTTTGTGGGGGGGTTCTAATTGTTCTAATTTATTTTTTTGACTTTGTGTGACAGGAATACCTCTTTTTTGTTTTTGGTTGGGTCTTTTCACTGAGCATTACCAGTTTTACCTGATGTGAAATGCACCCTCCAGGCCTAAGACAAAATTGTTCCATTATAATGGCTGTTTTTTCTACCCTTTCATAGGTTACAAAGCTTGAACAGATTATTTATTTTCTCCTAAAAGATCGCTTTGGTGAAGAAAAAGTTCCTGAAATGATAAAGCTCTTTGAAGAAGCTGTGCTGGAATGAACAGCATAGTATAGTTGTTGAGTACTGTTGAAATCCATACTGTTCACTCTAACCAAAGCCTGTAATCTTAAACTATTTAGTTGAAAATACATTCTGTTGACACGTCAGAATGTAACTACTTAAGTACATAAATCAAGGTTTATTTCCTGTCTTGCATTTTGGATTGCATGCTTGCCTTCAGAGAATGGTCTGGGCAGTGTTTGTTTTCTCTCTCTCATCCCTTATCAGTGTAACCAATTGTATCTTATCATTACTCAAGTTGCAAAGATCAGCTTCCTCTGTGTTGATCTGATCAGAAGTTTAAAGGCATGATGCCTTCTGAATAGAAGGATTTTTACTTCAATCTCTTAAGAAATTATTCAGTCCAGACACGACAATTTATTTAAATCTTTGTCCCCATTAAGTAGCCCATAAAGGCCTCAATTATTTGGCTTAAAAATCTGTATTTAAGTTTCTTATGTGTCTAATTTTAAAATGGCTTTTCAGAGGTATTTAGGACTTCACATAAAGAAATAGATTTGTTTAGTTATTGTAGCTAGTAGAATTGTGGGTTTGTTTGTTCTTTTCATTTTTTGAACCCTTTTTCCTTTTTGGGGGGAATGTAAGTTGATTCTCTTTGTTTTTATTATTTAAAAACTACTCCTAAACTCACCCAGACTGCAATCCTCACCCCTCTCCTGATGATGATGTGCTGGGAAGGATTAGGATGGTGTGTGTTTAGGTGCAGAGACTGCTGCTGAATCTGGGCAGGTGTCAACTTCCTGCCTCTGGTTCTCCCACTGTTGATAGTTAGCACAAAACCCTGTTTCAGGTTGGAGGTAGGTGATGGAGGCTTTGGATATGGGATACAAAGCAGGAGTGGTCCCCTAAAGGACCCAGTTCCCAGGCACGTCTGTTGAGTCAACTCAGTGGATGCAGCAAAAAGCAGGAGAAACTCTGCTCTTCCCCCGCCCCCTGGCTGTAAGGTCTTCATATGCAGCTGCAGGTTAGAATTGCTCAGTTAGTCCTATTGGTCACAGTGAGGTTTACTTCTGAATAAACATCTGTAAGCTTGTGCTGTGAATCTTCTTTACATCGAAACATTTTACTCTTGAGCCTGTTCGTGCATGGCCTTCAGTCACAGAGAAGTGCAACTCCGAATTGATCATACACTTCACGTTGTGACTAGGTTACTAGCAAAGGCTAGAATTTAAATGTAACTACACAACTTCTGCAGATGAACAAGGTCCATGATCACTTAATTTAGTTCTCAGGATAAGATTACACTGAAGCCTGCTACAATGGAATCTGCCTGCAGGTGGTAATAGCCCACTCATATAGTTACAGAGTGTTACCTGTTCTCTGGTCTCTCAGCTGGTGGGCCCCTGTCACAAGGCAGAGAGCTGTGCTACATCTAGGTCAGTGGTTCCAAATTTTGCCACACACACCTGAGTCTTTGTGCACCAATTAATAGTTTTTCTGCCTGTTGTAGTAGTTGTAATGTGCTGTACTAGATGCAGTCAAATCTTTAATTGTAGTTTATTTGCTGCGGCTGTTACTGTATTGCAATCCGAATTCCATAGAATTCAAACTATAATAGCATATAAGAAAGAAAAGCAATTGAAATACAATTAAGAAGCAGTGTGAATACTTAATTTGATTATGCCCTATCTCCTGTCTTCAACCACCGCAGACCACGATTGTGAATCCCTGATCAAAATGGATGCAAGCCTAACAGTTTGAGAACCCCTTTGGTTTATTCTTTCCACAGCAATGAAGGTGCTTTCTAGGAGTAAATGTGTAAAGGATCAATAAGCATCTTGGGAGACTATGCGTGCATTTATGTATGAGCCATGGGGTGATTGGGGATTTGAGAATTGTGGCTGTAGTTCATGATAACATACTTGCGGGGACATGAGACTGGAATAGCTCCATCAAACGTTAGCCAGTGTTTGGTGAATGGAAAACAAGTCAATTTCCTTCAAATCAACTCCAGCATTAGTCGAGATAGAGCCCTCACCACAGGCAATGAATGAGGGAAGCACTTTAAATCCACGTTGTCTATGAGGAAGAAAGGGCTACTCGTGCTTTGCCCCAGCAGCCTGAAAGGGAAGCAAAGCAGGGTGGGTCTGTGCCCCCAGTCTCCTCTGGCTTTAGCTCTGACCCCAGTGTGTAATTGCTTGTTGACATTCCTGGCCGGCATTCCTCACCTTAAAGGTACATTCCTCTGGGTCAGGAAGCCACCCGCCCCGCCGCTCCTTTGGGAAGCGCCTCCCTCCCACTCTCGTTCAAATGGGCAGCAGCTGGAGTTCCGCCCGAAGCCTCGAGGTTGGCTTGGTTTGGAGGGCGAGGGGGGCGTCGATCAGCGCGTCATTCGCACCTCCTTCCGCGGGCACCCGGTCAAAAGTGTGCAAGGGGCGGGAGGCGGAGGTTAGGAGGGGAAGAAGGGGCTTTCCTGGGCTCGCCAGGCTGTCCGCTCGTAGTCCAGGATCGGTGCAAGCGCAACAGCCGTCGGAAGGCGTTAAGGCGCTTCGGCAACAGCTGTCTCTGCGCCTCGCCGGAGGAGGAGAGAATCTGCCCCACGGCCACTATTTGGGGTGAGCGGCCGATGCAAGATCTGCCTGCGCTGCAGCGCAGCCCGTGACATAGAAAGGGGAGAGAAAAGGACGGCTAGGTGTCGAGAGCACCTGGGGGTGGAGGGATAAAACTTGACCTCGCCTTCCGTCTTGCAAAGATTGCTCTGCTCTTCCATTGCTTCCGTCTGGGGACCCGCAAGGGAATCGGTAAGTTCCACGAGCGCCTCGTTCGCGATTTGCAAAGGGAGCAGCGAGTTTACAGTAGGGAGGCTGCAAACCCTAAGCAAAAGTAAAACGAAAGCTGCGTGCAGGGTCAGAGCAAGGGGGACACCGCGCATGGTTCGGCCCTGCGCTCAGCAGCTTGGAGATCTGTGGCGGCAGAGCAAGCAGCGCTTCGGGGACAGAAATCCGGCAGACCCATCCGATGAAGAAGGGAGGAGAGAAGTGAATGCCCCGGACGGTCCTGGCATTGGGAAAGCAAGCGCAGAAGTAGCAGAGGGCGAGCCTGCCGGCGGGGCTTGAATTTCAGCATCCTTTCCCTTTCGATCCGCAGCAATGCATTTGGGCGCTGGGACTCCAGGAATTGCTCTTTGAAATGAGGGCCCCTCCCGCACCAGCTCCTGAAGACGCGCAACGGTCCGAGTGCAGCCGGTGGCACGTTTTTGCAACTTTTAGAAAAAAAACAAACTGCTCAACGTAGGGCGGGGTGGGGGCTTCGGGAGTCTTGCACCATCCCTCCGCCCCCCAGTGTTTATTACAGTTGTAGACTTTCACGGAACTAAAATATCATGAAACAGTTCTCAAACTTTCAAGTTCTCCAGAACTCTTCTGCAAGACTTGGGTATGAAGTATGGGCGTAGCCAGGATTTATGTTGAGGTGGTGGGGACACGACACTCACCTACCATCTTCCTCTGTCTCTCTTAGTTAAGTATTTTTATTTATTTATTTGAATGGGGGGGGCAGCTGTCCTGCCTTCTCCCATAGTATGAAGCAAAATGGGCAAAACCCCAAGAGTTTGCAGTCCCAACTTCATTAACATGCAGCCTTAAAAAGAGTTCTGGAGAACTTGAAAGCTTGATCACTATTACATTGTATTTGCCCCCAGAAAGAGATTACTCTGTTGTGACTTTTAGATACTCTTGAATGAGCTGACATTGCTTTCTCCATTTTTTCCCACAGAACCTTGTGCACAGTTCCTCCCAGTCCTGGACTAGCTACCCGTGATGGTATGTTAATAGCCACAAGCAGTTTCCTAGTTTCAGAGTTACCAAAAGGGGGCAGCTGTTGCCTGCAGTGCAAAAAAGCAAAAGGTGATTTATTTCTACATTCAATTTTCTTTTCTTTTTTTGGTTTGAGAGCAGTGTCTTGTTTCTACTCCGTGCAGTTAGATGGGGAGATAGGTATCTCCTTTGTCTATCTGTGTGCCTCAGGAACCGTGCCAGCTTCCTGGAAGCATACCTGTAAATAAAATGGATCCCTTTCTGCAAATGCAGCCACGACATGATCTTATCAGTGACATGTGCTCATCTGCTTTGCTGAGGGCCTCTCAGGGGCAGGTTTCTGGGAGCAGCTGCGAAAAATGTAGTTGCTGGTCTAACTGAATCAGAACAGTGAGTCGATAGGATGAGGTAAGGCAGAAATGTGGCTCCCAGAACAAGGAAAGGGATGTAGTGGTAGAGCATAGGCATTGTCAACCCAGGTTCCCAGATTCAACCATGGCACTGCCAATTAAAAGTTTGGAACAGGTAACATGCCTGGAACAGACAGGAAGCCTGCGACATTGGAGTGGCATGGGAGACTTTAGGAAGAACAACCTATTTGCCAGTCCCACCAAATGGTCCTATGTAAGATGTGCAAAGGGAAAACAAAATTTATTCCTTTCCCTTTAATGTAAGCCTAACCTATTCATCACTTTCTCTTTTCTCTTGGCCTAATCAATCAAAAATTGCATTGATGCCTCAAGGATATTTATATATTTTTCATGGATCTCAGTAGGGTGATTCTGTGGCAAAATGCATTGGGGAGTGGCCCATTGTAAGATTTTTAGTTGGACCAACGCCAACAAACTTACTATCCACAAATTGGCCATCTTGTATGCACAGTAAAACAAGGGCCATGTCTTGACTACTATGGGTTGGATGGTTTAGTGGGGATGTGCATGACACTAGTCCACTGGGGTAGGATCTCATTTATTTTTCCTGAAGGGCTTTCAAGGCCTTGTTATGATCAAAAGGTAGCAAATATAGGCCAGATCACTATCAGCTGATGGATGATTATATGACTCACCAAACAAGAAGTGCACCTGCTCACCATTTTGCTCTTTGATTGCTCTTCTGTTAGCCCTAGATGATTCCAAATTCATTAAGTGTGTAAGTATCTGTAGCCATGAATTCTGCATCTTTTGTCTCAATAGGCATTTTAAATGTGATGTATATGAGTTGTTATTAGGCTAATTCTTGTATAAGGAAAGAAAGAGCACAGCCCTAAACATGTTTATCCAGAAGTAAGCCCAACATGGGAGTGCATAAGATTCCATCATAAGTCTCCAGCCTAAGTATCAATAAGCTGCTTTCCTCATTTTGCTTGCCTGTTTGGCTGCTTCATTGTGAAGATTATGAATCTTTGGACTACTCCACCCATTTTACAGCCGCAAACATGCTTACCAGTACTTCAACATGCAGTAGGAAGTTGCATCAATCCCTCTGTGATATACACAGTAAAATATTTGTGCACATGTGCATAAAACACCATGTGAAGCTGCCATAAAATAGCAGATTATTATCGGAACAAGCAGCACATGCTCATAGTTTGGATACCTCGTGATGCTGAATGTCTTTACCTCAACACAAAAAATGAACAAAAAATACATTTCAACATCCCACCAGGACCACAAGTTTGGCTTCATTCAAAGTTTGATTAACGGGGAAAGCAATAATAAGATCCAAGCTGAGGTGTGATTAAATAGCAGTGGAATATCATATATACATGTGTAAAACTAGACCTTCCAAGGATAATACAGGGATTCCAAATTGTTTATGCATTTTTCGGTTGTGACAGAAGCTTGCAATAAAGGGCTGTTTCTTGAGTGCTTCTTTCTATCTGAACCAAATGAACTATTTGCTCAAGAGTTTTAGCACTTGCCAACCAAAGCAAATGTAAGCCTTCCTGACTCACCTGTTCCACCTCAGCTTTCATGATTTGTAATAGCAGGTGTATCTAATTCAATTAGAAAGCTTAAAATAAGTTGAAGTAGGTCTCTTGCTTCAGCTAAAATGGTACTAAATAGGAATCAGCATTTGGTCTGTCTGTCTAAAATTAGGACTAACCAATTTGCATTGCAAAAATGTAGCTTTTCTCAGTTCAGAATTGTTTGTGCTCATCCTCAGCATGCTGTTTTCAGTCTATATTGACTCTCCATCCTGCCGCCTACAAAGTTTGGTGTGTTTACTTGATACATGTTTGAAACCTGTCCCCTTGACTAGGCTGTGCCTTTTCCTACTTGCATGTGTCCAAAGTGAATGTAGAAGGCAGTGGTGATTGCAGTCTTGGCATACGCCCACCCACAATGTCACTGGGCGGGTCTGGATACATCCTTCCCCATTGCCTGGACAACCTACTTCTGTTTTCTATTGGATACACTGGGGGGTTATCAAACTCTGCAGAATCAGTCTGCAGTGAACTTTGACTTTCAGAATGTCTTAAAAAGCACTTTTCATGGGGCAAATAAATATGCAGTACATCTAGATAGTGTGTAGACGCCTTTAGAAAAAAAACGCAAACGCAATCTCCGCTGATTCTAGAATAAATGCAGCCATAAGCTGCATCTGCAAAAAGAGCACGAAAGCTTGTATTACTTGTTGCACTGGCTCTTTATAACAGCTGACCTTTAAAACAACCAGATTCTTTTTCAAAGTCTGTTTTATTTCTAAGATTCCATTATTATATGAGTGTTCTTTCAGTCTCTTGCTGCAAGGAGAAGGAGGAGGGCTTGAAGTCCCCAGCCTAATGAGCCAGCTTGTTGTATGTTGGATCCACATCAAAAATGAGGCAGTAATTAATTAAAGTTGTACCTACTGCTTGACACTTTCTAATGATTTATTCCCACCCCATTTTTTGGCAACACTTGTTGAAGGGCCTGTTGTTCTAGGCAAGTACACACTTCAACTATTTTGATGATTATGTCTGCGGGGGAGAAGAGTTAAGCAAAATCACTATGAACTGTGCTCTTTAGAATTATATGTAGTCACCTACATGCCTGCCCTCTTGGCAAATGTAGGATCAGTTCACCCAGCTAAGAATGTGAGTTGAATTTAGGCATATGATGCTCAGATTTTTAGGTGCTTTGGGTTGTGTTTTAGTGTGTATAACTGCCTGCCTGTCTTTCTTAGGTGATAATAAGCATACACAGAAACTACGAAAAGCAGAAAGGAGGAGTTGTTTTATTTGACATTAGTTGCTTCCTACAAAATAGTCTTTAAGTGACATACAAAAAGGTTGAATATCAACTTAAGGAGCCATTTCTAGATGGTAAATATCCAGTTTGCACGACTTTTTGATATCTGGTTGCATGGGCTGACTTTGGGCATGGAGCGAAGCAGATCTATGGTTATATATTTCATTGCCTCATCATTTTTGGAAACATTTGCGTTAGGAAAGTTATAGTGTGTGTTCTAAACAGCAGGAACTTTTGACGTGGTGAAATATTTGCATGGGCACTTTGTCTGCTCATACTTGATTCCGCATCATCTCTTAGGGTTGTGTGAGCTGGCTTGAAACTCCCTATCCTTCACACACTTCGATATTCGTCCTAATCCTTCTCAGTGCTCTTGTTTTTTTAAAAAAGAATCAAAAATCTATACCAAAGTTGCAATTCTTAAACACCTAACTACCAACAGACATTAATGTCCAACCTTCTGTGTCAACATATGAAGAAGGTAGTATAATCGAACAAAAAGTGTACAACGGTGCTTTTGGTTTTACATCTCAGAGGCTACATTTTCAAACTCCACTTACCACAAACAGATCAAACTTCTTTGTACAGTGATGCATAATTTGCCCAGTTGACTTGCAGCACATTTTTCCATCAGTGTTATGTTTTGGAAGCCACAAGTTTTAGTAAAACATCAGAGCTCCATTTTTTCCTGTTTCTTTGAATGGGTCTTGTTCCAGGTTCTCTGCGGTAAGGGGAAGAAGGACCATAGCTCAGAGCATCTGTGTTCTTGGTTGTTCCCCTTCAGCTGCATTCTTGGTGACTGTCCCTCAAATATAAGTTATGGATAAGGCCAGACTAGACACATGAGGCAATTATGTCTCGGACAGATGTGGTGCCCTATTTACATATAACTCAGAGGTGGAATCTACTTTTTGCACAAAAATAGAGTGCATTGAGGAGGGGAGCAAAACCTGCTCTTCTCTTGCCTTGTTTTGCCGCTCTCTGTAGGTTTAAGCCAAGGAGGCGGGTGCAGGTGGCATCTTTTCCAGCCCCGGGGCCATGTTTCCTTCTGAGCAACCTTCCAGGGAGCCACATGTCAGGAGTGGGCAGGGCCAAAGACAAAAGTGCGTGGAGAAATGAATATAAATGTTACATTTGTAAGTAGTTGCCACACATGCTCATTTACACCTCTCTAGCCATCATCCAAACAAGTAGAAGTTTGAGGCCACATTTCAGCCGGGAAAATGTACTTGGGAGTGCAAAGTAAGAGGTATGGCCTGGGGAGATTTCTGAAGGCCAGAAAGAGGCCCAGAGGGCCACAATTGGGCCACAAAGTTAAGAGCCCCTTTCTGGCTTAAGCATTTATTTTTCTGCCCACATCACAGCTGGGCTTAGGGGCAGAGTGCTTAAAAGAAATGGAGCAAAGCCATAGCGGTGTTAGCCATTCTTTTTACCTACCTGCTACTTGGTGGTAGTTTTGGTTAGATGCAGACACTTCAATCCCTGATTTATATGGGAACAGGGAAAACACATGCTTAAGATATCATATCTAGTTTGGTCATGTGTTTTTATAATAATATAATAAATATACACGGTATTAATATGTATTATAAATGCAGCTCAGGCTGCTTTAAAACTTTTGCACAGCTGTTGTTTCATTCACAGCTATGAACATTCAGACTCTTTTAGTGATACAGATGTTTGTAAGTACTGCCTAATAAATTTATTCATAAGTGCATGCTATGTTTGCTACTTTCAGTTTTTCCTTTAAAACAGTAGAGCGGGGCAGCTGCGTGAAATAATTTCCCTTGAGAAATCTGAGATCTAAAGTTGAGATAGGAGTGTCATGAAAACACCCTTATCTCCCCAAACTTTGTGCTATAGCGTCCTGGTTGACTCACCTGCCAGGGCAAGTGGGGACTTGTTCATGTGTTTCTGGGAATTTACAGTCAAGCAGTTCTGGAGTTATTTGAGTGCGCATTTGTGGGGAGTGGAGAAATATATCATTATCTTAATGGCATGTACCAGGAGATGGACTGGAGAAAGAGGGAACCAGAGCTGTTTGAGGAACTCTGTTGTTGTTGTTGTTGTTGTTGTTGTTGTTGTTGTTGTTACCGTTGTTACCTTCATTTGGTTAAACAAGGAATGGGGAACCTGAGGCCCTCCAGTTGTTGCTGGACTACCACACCTGTGTTCCTTGGCCATTGGCCATGCTTGTTGAGTCCAATGGGAACTGGAATCCAACAGCATCTGAAGGGCCACAGCTTCTCCATCCCTGGGTTAAAAACAGAATGACCTGTCCTGTAGAGAATCAGCCCTTTGAGCATCAATTATGTTTGTAAAATATAAGAAACTCGGTATACAAGTGTCAGGCAAATGTCCAGTATTCAGCTAGTAAAATAAGAGATGGTGGGATTTGACTCTCCCTAGAAAGCATATGACCTCTGACGTAGGGACATGGACTGTGGTTGGCAAGGAGAAGCACTTGTGCCTTTTCAAAAGTACTCTGCTTGAACTACCAGTTTGTAGATGCAAAGAACCACTTGGTTAATACATGGTATAGGAAAATGAGGCTCCAGGGCATCCCAGAAGCCTCTGGAAAGATGTAGGGGCCAAACACCAGCAGTCCTATGCTAAATACGTTTCTACGGTTTTTAGCTCTGACATTACTTTTGGCCAAATACCTGAAAGGATATTAATCACTATCTCAGGCTGTATCCAAGGAGCTCGATGTAGCAAATGTTGAGTTCTCAGCTTGCCTTCCATTAGGTATTAGCCAGGCTCAGATCTACTTGCCTCCATTGATAGACCTATGCTGTGTGACATTTTTCTTTATATATCTAGTCTATCTTCAGCAAGAGATGCTGATCCGTAGGCATTAATATGCTGCTTCCCAGGATTCTAGCGTAAAGCTTATTATTGAAAAACAGTGCTGAACCAGAGGAGCTCAAATGAAGCTTTGTGAGTTGGTAGATGGGGCATTATATATATAGCATAGCACATGATTCACAAACAATAGATCAAGACTCGCCAATGAGTCATGGCAGCCTTACGTCACCAAACTATAGTTTCCATGTACAGTTTAAATGGAAAGTTTTAGCTACAGTAAACTTGGGCATGAGCCAGCTAGATAGAGGCCAGATCTTTGTTTATGCAAAAATGTCATTGCTGTTTAGAGCAGCATAAGGAGGTTTATAAGTAGCTCATAAAGTTAAATGGTGCTGATGTGTGACGTACAATCAGAAAATGGATCTGTTTGCAATTGTATAGTGTGCACCAGCTGCCACTAATACCCTTTGATAGTCAAGATCTTAAAAGTCAGATAATATGTTTAGCACCTTTCCTAGAAATAATACGTGCCTTTTTACCCCGCAGTGCTGTCATCATGAGCCTCTTGATGTGTCTTACCTATGCTTGCATTTTCCTGTTTTCCCAAGGTGAGTATACAAGGTAAATAGTCGTGGGTGGAATGTGGTGTCCTGCAAAATCTGCCCTTTTAAACACAGGAGAAAGTTGGTGATGGTTGTAGAATAAGGAATAAGGCTGCATCCACTTAGGCACAAATTTCTATGGTACTTGTGCATCAGCTCCACACAAATGTGTGACCAAATCATACACTGTGCTGTGCTGGGCATGAACAGAAAATGAACAATATCATTGGTACAAATCTTATAACAGCATTTGTGTGGTGTCCAGAATGGTATAAAACCAGGTCACTCTCTTCGTTCTTTAAGTTACAACATGCCACACAATCCTTCTTTCTGATCCTGTTGTCTCACAGCAACAGGAATCAAGCTGACTCACCTAGCCAAACTGTTGCTAGCCAAACCGTTGCTTACTGCAACACACAGGAGGATGAGAGTTCCCCAAGAGGAGATCATACTTGCTTCACACCTCCTCTGGTTCTCCTATTGCTGTGCTGCTGCGAGCTTAACCATGGTTTGGTTTTAGGGTGTCATCCAAACCTGGGCTTGTGATTTGTTTTGCTGGAGACAAACTACAAGCCCAGGTTTGGATGACAAACTAAACTTGAAACATCTCAACAGGAGTGGGAACAGCAAAGACTAGCTGCACTCTCATTTTTGGGAGCCTGTATGCCTAGGGACATTCATATGCCATAGTTTGGCATGGCATTATGTCTAAACCTTCTCAAAGTTCTAGTTTATCAAGATCTGTCCAGAGGGCCCAAGCAAGACTTACCAATACGTGAGTCACAAAACTCTCCAGTGAAGCCCATCAAACAATGCTGTGACCTGGTAAAGTTTTAAAATGATTAAAAAATATTTGCAACTGTAAGGAAATTACTCATTTTATACGCTGATAGCAGTCAGATTTAAGTCAGCTCCGTCAATTCCATAACATTTTGTTCAGTGTTGAAGCAACGTGGGTGGTATTTAACCCAGAGTAGACCCATTGAAACTAATGAGCATGACTACTATTAATTTCAGTGGGTCTACTCAAGAGTAAAATTTAGTTGAATACCACCTAGTATTCTTTTGTGTCTTGCGTACCTTGATAGCCTTTCTACAGCTGAAAAAGCTAGATTATTGTGCTTATCGTATGACCATTTGCATCTTTAAATGGGTGCCAAAGAGAAAACGCACAAGCTATCCTGTCCTCAGGGGCGGAGGAAGGGGGTGCAGTGGGGCAATCCGCCCCAGGTGTCACCACTGCGGGGGGTGACAAAATGGTGGGCGACAAAATGGAGGGGGGTGACAAATGTGGGGCCTGCGGCGTGCCTGAGCCACGTGTCTCTCCTGGGAGTGACGTGGTGGCTTGGGCGCCCGCAGGCTCCGTGCTGCCCCAAACTGTCTGCCCGCTGCCTCCCCCCCAACTGTGGGGCGGCTGAGTGGGAGGAGGCAGGCAGACTCCTTGGAGGCCCCGCAGCGCATCCTTCTCTGGCTGGCCCCACCCTTGGGCGCAGGGCATATGTGCCGCCTGGGTGCCCGATGGGCTTGCTCCGCCGCTGCCTGTCCCTATCCTGATATTTTCTGGAAATCATATGAAAGCAATGCCTTAAAGAGGTTCTGTTAAAATATTTTGGTAATAGCTGGTTAACTGTGTTGACGACTTGATTTTATAGCACTTGTGTCATGGAGCATCCAAGAACTGCACGTCAGCCAGGAAACCATTGAGAAAATTTCAGCAGCTGGCCAGCGTGAGTGTTTTTTGTTTGTTGCACAAAAAGCTCTTGCAATGCCTAGTTCTCCCGCCTGCAGATTTGTACCCTTCATTATGTGATCAACATATTTTTATTCACCCAGGTATTTAAAAGAATTTCTGATCTTTGACTATGAGCTCCTAATGTCAGTTGTGCAATTTATTCTATATTTATGCTGCCAAGCTGGCTTGATCTGCAGGCTGAAAAGTTTTTATGTTGCTGTAGTGGGAGGTGAACTTGGGGAGAAGAGCAGCTGTGGAAACTGTATGGTTTATACCCATTAATTGTGTGTTTCTCTGTTAGTTGGGATGTGTGCTTGACACCTTTGGCTGTGCATTCTGAGTATATCTCTTTTTTCCTAGCGGATTAATTTCAGCTATAGTATTATCCTCTGTTGCTGAAACATCTCAGTGTTCCAGCAACCGTTTAATGAGGGGTGCAGTGGACTATTGCCAGATAGGAATTAACAAGGTTACTGTATAACATGACTCAGTGGCTTTCTGTGGAATGCTTTAAAACTTTCAATCCCTTTTAATCTGGGTTTTTTTTGGGGGGGGACTGATTTCAAATCTTTTTAACTAGGCAGAAATCGAAGCCGAAGGGGATAATGATGTGCTGTCCTGGAAGACAAAGTAAAAGAGAGAGGGAATCAAGAATAAATACATGGCTGCCTTATTTAAAAATGCAAATTTCTCATTCCTTGCTGCATGAACTGTTCCTACTTGTTTTTTTTTAATTAGTTCAGTTTTTATATATCAGAGGAGTTAGGATGGGTAACAACGGTTTAAGGTGGGAGGGGGCTATAAAAATAAACACAGTACACCATAATATATAAGTTACGTAGGATTTAAATTGACCCACTGTGCCTGTTGAATGTCAAAATCTTTTATCAATTAAATGCTTCTTGTCCCCCTAATGCATTTTGTCTGCAGTGGGGTTTCCCCTGCATTGAGGGGCAGCTGGGCCGTACCACTGGTCCCATTCACAGATGACACTGTTCCAGCCACCTACTGTTCACAAGTTGAGTCTGGAAGTCTGAGCAAGGAAGCATATGCATGCAGACCTCTATGCAGTGCGTTTTTGCTATAAAAAAAAAATTTTAGGGGTACTCTTTTTCCTACTTATATTGAAATACTGTCCCTCAATTTAGATACACAAAATGTTGGGGGGTATGCATACCCCTGTGTCCCCCCCGCAGAAGAAACACTGCCTCTATGCAAAGTACAATCCTATATGATGGGTAGTCCAAGTCAGTAAAACCCTACATGCATAGAAATCATAGGGTCCAGGGACCTGGGGACAGGGTTTGGGCCATCATGTGAAGGGGTCTCTTGCAATAGGCCAAACAAAAATATAGGATGTAGGGAATTCATAACTGGCTTCCCCAATGTTTGCTTTTACTTATAAGCAGATGGTAGTGGAACTCTGAATTTGATTGGAGCAGTATGGAGCAAGGCAATTTAACTCTTCCCTTAAAGATGGCATTTCTTGTTACTTTATTAGAATAATGTGTGTCCCACCTTTTACATCTACCAGAGTAGGACTCTGAGAAGCTAAGAACATTCAAGAAACAACAAAGCAATCATTAAAAATTAAAATGGGGAGGGGAAGAAACAAGACACAAGAGGGCAGATAACTGAGAACATCATCATCTGCTTAAAATAAATAAGGCTAATAAAAAGCCGGGCTCCTCTACTGCACACAGCAACTTCCGAGGTGTGGATTGAACGCTGGGCGGGGTGGAAAGGCTAGCAGGACCCCTTCTCTTAGAATAGAATCATAGAATCATAGAGTTGGAAGAGACCACAAGGGCCATCGAGTCCAACCCCCTGCCAAGCAGGAAACACCATCAGAGCACTCCTGACATATGGTTGTCAAGCCTCTGCTTAAAGACCTCCAAAGAAGGAGACTCCACCACACTCCTTGGCAGCAAATTCCACTGTCAAACAGCTCTTACTGTCAGGAAGTTCTTCCTAATGTTTAGGTGGAATCTTCCTTCTTGTAGTTTGGATCCATTGCTCCGTGTCCGCTTCTCTGGAGCAGCAGAAAACAACCTTTCTCCCTCCTCTATGTGACATCCTTTTATATATTTGAACATGGCTATCATATCACCCCTTAACCTCCTCTTCTCCAGGCTAAACATGCCCAGCTCCCTTAGCCGTTCTTGGTGTCACTGCTGTAATCAAAATTAAGACAATCATTTCTCCTGCATGGCTGCTGTTAAAAAACATAGCAATAGAAACTTTAGGAACGCTGATCTTAGATTTCTCCCACATTTAATGGAATTTAGCCCATATAGCCTGGGGGAATACAATTTGTAAGACTCCATTTCTGATTTTGCCCATTGTCTCTGCTGTAGTTGGGCTTTCAGTAACTGAATCTGATAGCTTTTCTGTGCACTGTTTTGAGTGTTGTAGCATGGAAGCAGCCTTTACTTGCTGACATGCTTATTCCCTATTTATCAGTGTAGTCCTTTTTCTTTCCTGTTTTTTTTTTTTTACTAATTTCAGGGATGCAGAGTATTTACAATGACTGAAACAAATGTTTTCCAAATTTCCAAGAGCATGTTTGTGCTTTCCTCATTTTCACAGGCCCCTCCCTGTAAAATGAAAGGACAACTTTAGCTTAATCCAACTCTGTCAACTTGAAGCTTCTACCTTGGCACACACTCCCAGCAACTAGTAATTGCCTTGCAGGCAAGTTTGTGCACGCTCAGGTAACACCAGGACATGGTCTCCGGAAAACCTGATGCTAGTATGAAACTGACTCTGTGAAACTTGTTTCAAGCAAACCACAAGTGTTTAAACTTATGGATTTAATAGAATCTTAGAGCCGCAAGAGACTGTAAGGATCATTAATGCCAAGTCCCTCAGGCAGAATGCAATGTACCTAAATCATCCTTAACAAAGCTGTAAAGCCAAAAGAGGCTCCACGACATCTCGTTTGTGTTTTCAAATAATAAGAGAGAGAGAAAATTCCTTTCGGCGCATAGGCAGTCATTAATCAGCAATTTATGGCGGCTAGTACTGCAGATACAGTGGTACCTCAGGTTAAGTACTTAATTCATTCTGGAGGTCCGTACTTAACCTGAAACTGTTCTTAACCTAAAGAACCACTTTAGCTAATGGGGCCTCCTGCTGCTGTTGTGCCGCCGGAGCACGATTTCTGTTCTCATCCTGAAGCAACGTTCTTAACCTGAAGCACTATTTCTGGGTTAGTGGAGTCTGTAACCTGAAGCGTATGTAACCTGAAGCATCTGTAACCCGAGGTACCACTGTATAACTTCTGCTCCTCTCAGACTGCAGTTTCTATGATACTATGACATTTTTTCCCTCAGTGAGAAGGTTAGTTGAGCTTACTGGAATGATCCATCTTTGGGGAATATTAAGACCTGACCCTGAAAGTTGTTGACCCAACTAGGGATGCGCTTTAAGAATCAATACAGAATCTGTGGTTCTGCAAAAGCTGTTGGGCTGTAATTCCCATCATCCTTGAGCATTAGTCATCCTGGCTGAGGCTGATGGGAATCAGAGAGTCCAACAGTATCTGGAGGGTTGCAGGTTCCTCATCCCTTTAAAGGCTTTCTCAGGCTGGTGTTTGGAACCGCAAGGCAAGACAGTTGCTTTCAACATGTAACCATATGGCTACGTTCAATATTATCATCTCGCCCACTTATTGGATTTTGGAATGGTTGGAGTGATGCTGGTTAGATCCTGATTGCTTGTGATTACAGACACCACACAGAGGACAGAGAGGGGTGTGTGAGTGTATGATAAAACTAGCCTACAGTACAGAGATTAAATTCACAGTGATTGTTCTGCCTATTTTTGCCTGTGCCCCTTGCACTGAAAAGGGTTCCCCACTCGTGATCTAGAGGCTGAAAACTTTAGCAACTGGGAACAAAACAAAGAAGTGTAATGTACTGAGTTTTTGCTTAATGTGCATTTGAATTCTTATTCCCTCCTGGACCTTCACTTGCTAATGTATTACAGTGGTACCTTGGGTTACATACGCTTCAGGTTACAGACGCCGCTAACCCAGAAATAGTACCTTGGGTTAAGAACTTTGCTTCGGGATGAGAACAGAAATCGTGCTCCGGCGGCGTGGCAGCAGCAGGAGGCCCCATTAGCTAAAGTGGTGCTTCAGGTTAAGAACAGTTTCAGGTTAAGAACGGACCTACGGAACGAATTAAGTACTTAACCCGAGGTACCACTGTATAAGGAATGTTATCCTTGGTTTCTTTTCAGCATGTATACTTCACCCCACCCCCCGCCAGTCCTCTTCTCCACCTCCTTCTGTCCTCCCAGCCAACCTGACTTCTTAACATTATTACTATGTGTTGTGATTAAAACCCCTCTTTCTCTTCTGCCAGTTATGAATTGCTCTGCCCCAGTTGATGTCTTGTTTCTGTTCGATGGATCTTACAGCATTGGCAAAGGGAGCTTTGAAAGGTCAAAATATTTAGCAATCAAGCTTTGTGATGCTCTGGACATCAATCCAGGAAAGGTGAGCACCCTCCACCCCCAGTTTATTCCACCCACTGGGTGCCGTGTAGAATCTGGGAGATGAATGTTGTTTATGTCCATAGGATAATATAGGCAACTTGGGGAATTCTTGTTAGTTTATCTTTATGGGGTTTGCTAGTTCACTTCCCATATCTGTTCTTGCTGTAGCCATTTTGAGCATTCCTGGAATGGTAGCAACTGCATAAAAATAAATCCGCCTTGTTGACCTTCCCCTCCCCTTTCAGGTCAGAGTGGGAGCAATACAGTTCAGCAACACTCCTCATTTGGAGTTCCCTTTGGATGCATATTTCACCAAGCAGGAGATAAAAGACAAACTCAGGAAGATTGTGTTCAAGTAAGAATTATTATATGTGCGAGTTCTTATTAAGGAAGTTAAAATAAGTAGTTGGCAAGTAATAGTTTCATTCTGATAGTTGCATGTTCATGTTGTATTTGGAACATTTTACTTTCAGTGTTGTGAATGAAATATTTAATGATTTATTCATTGATTTATATCTTGACTTCATTATTTTATGGAATCGGGGGGGGGGGGGGGCATCCATTTGGTTCCCAGCTGGTCTCCTGTCAACCAGACCTCCAGCTTAGCTTCAGCAATATGATGGCCTTATGTACCTCCAGATCATTTCCTGGGACCTAACTTAATTGATATATTTAAGTTGATTTTCCATATCCAGCCATATTCGGTGTCCCATGGTGCAAATAGTTTAAATGTCAATCTAACTTAACAAAAACGCTGGCATGGGAGTAAGTTACGTTTAATCCAATAGGTCTTATTTCCAAGTGGATGTATTAAGAATCAGAGTGTGGGTCACCAACTACAAAGGTTCTGCTAGAACAGGCCAAAGGCATGGATCCAGCTTCCTATTCTCACAGTAGCCAACCAGATGCTTATGGGAAGTCAATAAGCGGGACCTGAGTGTAAGAGAACTTTCCCTATTTGTGATTCCAAACAAAACAGTATTCAAAGGCACACAGCCACCCACCCCCTAAGTGTGCTTAAGGCCATGAGATTACAAACATTACAGTGAATCAGAGATGGTCTCTTGGTGACAACCTTCATGTACAGCAAGGACTTACAAGGAATTGTTCTGGGTGGCCATTCCTTAGCTTTGGAATTCCTTCTAGTGTACATGCGTGTCGGTTACATTCTGGACCTCCACGTGCATCGGCAGCACCCACATAAGGCCACCTCTCCCTGTTCCCACCCCTTTTGTGATGTCATGCACGTATCAGACATGCCTAAGACAGTCGTAGGGGTGTGTGTGTGTGTTGTGGAATTTTTTTTTTGTCCCCAGGGATAGACATGAGGTCTCTAAGTGGCTAATTTATGCTGGTTTTGCATATATATTTCCCCATAACATGGTGTAGCCTAATATTTAGAAAGTTTTCCTCATTTTTACTTATTTTGAAGCATAGTTCCCCCCTTCTCTCTCAAACCCCAACATGTGCACACAGACACTCTATGCGCCAGGAAGATCTCTGCACACCTCCAGGGCTCTCACGCAGCCCTCCCTCTGCATGATCATTTTGGACACCAAGTATGCACCTACACCTGCCACCAGGAAAGAGATGGAGAAGAGAGAAAAATGGGGTTCTGTTGTGCTAAGTGGAGATTCCTCTCTGCCTCTTGTGGGACTGGACTGAGCTGTTAATGTTTCAAGAGAAGACAGGGTATGAAAAGCATACCCCCGATTCCTCTTTGACTGCTTCTGAAGTGCAACTGAAAGCAGAGGCTGTGAAATGGTATTGAATATCTGGAATCTAGACATGTGCTGACATTCCTTTAATGCTGAGAAGAGAACGTTGACAGCTCCAGCAGAGATAACGTCCTTCAGTTTGCCAGTAAATCCTGGTTTTAGCTTAAAGATATCACTGGCAAAAATAGCCAGGATGGCAGCAACCACTTCAGAGGGCAGAATTGGAAAATATGAAGGTCTACGTTCATGGCCACTTGGTTCTCTCCCTCCCTCTTCAATCTTTTGCCTGTGGCTCTTAATGCTAAGATAGGCTTCAAGCAGTTTAGAAGTATCACAACCAATGACGCATGCATTAAAATAGAGTGGGCCAGATTCAGCCACCTCATTCTGTTAGAAGCCAGTTCAAGGATTCCCGCTAGTGCATTGGGGCTGTGAGTCGATATCTATAGGGTGATTCTGGTTCGCATAGTGTCCTCCTTCATGGCCAAGCCCATTGTGAAAAGGATAAGCATCCTGCCACAGTGTTTTTAATCACTTGCATGCAAATTTTACATCACTTATGGGGTACACCATTCCTTTTTCTCTCTGGGTGTTAGTGCCAAGAAGACACAGTGCCAGAAAACAAAGAGGAGGCTGTTTTCTGGTGACAAACTCACACGCCTCACACGCAGGTATTCATATGAATGTGAGGTATGCGTGTGTCAATTTTGTCGTAACAAACAATGTGGAAAGGACATTCCTGGTTTGGTTGGTAAACTAAAACTGAAGGGCCTGCCAACTCATTGACTGAAAGGAACTCCCATCTCATCAATCGAAAAACAGCCTTGGTTGCACAGGATCTAAGAAATCATTTTTTAAAAAAACCTGCAGCATTTAAAATCAAAGCCGTCAAGAGTTTCGAGTCATTTGGAGATGGAAGCAAAGCAATGACAAAATGCAGCTGGCTAAGGAAGATTTGACTGCTACTGCAGTGTTGCTGATGCGTTCTTGACATGTGGCTCAAGAGAGAGAACGTTTAAGTAAGGGAATAAAGGGGAGACCTAGAAAAGATCAAAGCCGGCTCTGGCAGGAGTTTAGAGAACTGAGAATTATAGGGTGGTACAAAGAGAAGTGTGCAGATTAAAGAACCAAGCACCACAAAGCGTGAGTATGATCAAATACTGACTACACAAGGAAATACAGAAATCACAATAAGGGTCATTTTTTAAAAACTGAATAAACATGGCCCAAAAGAGAGAGTTGTAGGCATGTGGAAATGAGGGGGTAACATTGTGATTTATTTTAAAAGGAGTTTATTCACAATTTTGCCCCGATCATTTTGAATGGAAATAAAAGCAGCTCTAAGAAAGAGTAACTGGAAATGGTCAAACTCCCACAACAGGCATAGAAAACAGAGATAATCAAGGGAGTTTTGTTACAGAGTTAGTTGGAGTGGTGACTGGAAGTATGCAAGAAAATATAATACTGAATATGACCACTCTGCAATTCTCACCTTAGATGGCCTCTTCAGTTATGCGAAGTGTTGGCATTGTGGTATTGCCACCACCAGCACACTTGTTTTACCACACTGTATATCGTTTCCAGTCTTTCCTTGTGTTTGTTGCAGTCTAGATTCTTTGTATGTCAAGCATGATTTCTCACAGCAGAAGAAGAAAAACCCTGTGACAGCCAAAAGACTTGGCTAATAGAGCCAGTGACCAGCTAGTAAAATCCAAGGGGGCTTCCCAGAACGGCACTTAATGTCTTAGACTTCTGCAACCTAACATTTAACAGATGTTGGAGTGCAAATGTGGGGGCAGAGATGAAACTGCACCTGCAGTGACTCTTTAGAAATCTTTGTAACGCAGCATCCCCTGCAAGCAGGGCAATATGAATCATGGCATACATATATAACTTGGTACCCGATGACTCTGCATGTGTGAGCCGCCTCCATTGGATGTGGTGACTGTTCCTCGTGTGCGAGTCATTACTTGCTCTTGTGACTGCCAAGAGATGAACTTGCATCATACATGCACTCACCCTGAGTGCCAGGTTCAGATCTATCTCTATGAGAAGTAGCTTGTTTTGTGTTAAAACAAATGAACCAGAAGATAATAGAGTTGCTCCAGACTGCAACCTGGAGATTCCCCTGATTAGAAGGTACCACAGGACAAGTGTTTGTTTTGAACCCCCTGACTGTGAATGGGTGGGGCAATTTGGACCAGAGAAGTGGTGTGTGGAGAGTGTTAATGTTCCTCTCCAGAAGCTTGTGGGGTTTTCTCACGTGGTAGAAGGGCCGTTGGATTTCATTGTACAGTGGAACCTCAGGTTGCGAACATGATCCGTGCAGGAGGCACATTCGCAACCCGCAGCATCGCGTCTGTGCACACGCGTGACGCGATTCGGTGCTTCTGCGCGTGTGCAAAGTGCGATTTAGTGCTTCCTCACGAGCACCAAAATCTGGAAGTAACCCATTCTGGTACTTCCGGGTTCAGTGCATCTGTAACCCGAAAAAGCACAACCCGCAGTGATTGCAATCCAAGGTATGACTGTACATATGTAATGTGTAGTTTCCCCCCACTTGATAGTACAGTGGTACCTCGGGTTACATATGCTTCAGGTTACATTCGCTTCAGGTTACAGACTCCTTTAACCCAGAAATATTGCTTCAGGTTAAGAACTTTGCTTCAGGATGAGAACAGAAATTGTGCTCCGGCAGTGCGGCAGCAGCAGGAGGCCTCATTAGCTAAAGTGGTGCTTCAGGTTACGAACAGTTTCAGGTTAAGTACAGACCTCCGGAACGAATTAAGTACTTAACTCGAGGTACCACTGTAATGGGTTATTGGATAAGACTTACTTGACTCCAAAGCAATGTATGATGTCTGTTGCCTATACTGTCAGTAGGGAAAGGGGAGAAGAATGAAGTAGAAATTACATTTAAGAGGAACGTGCACCATCTCAAAACATTTTTTGCTCCTCTTTGCTGTCCTGCCTGCTGGAAAGGTAGAATGCATTCTCTTTTTGCTCTCAAACAGCATATTTGTGTATGTTGCACCTATTTTATCAAGATTGTTTTTACTTATGTGATACAGCCCTGCTTTATTCCAGTAATAGTCCCCATCACCTGCTGACTTTCCAAACAAACCGTATTCTGTATTCTAGCATTTTCCCTGAGCAAATGACAGGTCTTCTATTGGAAACGAAGCAGAGAGCAGTGTTAACTTATCCCCATTCTTCTTCTGTTTAACTCAGAGGTGGGAGAACAGAAACAGGACTTGCTCTGAAATACATTCTTCGGAAAGGATTCTCTGGGGGCAGAAACTCATCCATACCTCAGATCCTTATAATCCTAACTGATGGGAGATCTCAGGGCAATGTGGCAGTGCCAGCCAAGCAGTTAAAAGAAAGGGGGATTGCTGTGTTTGCTGTGGGAGTCAGCTTCCCAAGGTAAGTTTATCCTCTAGTCTAGAGTGGGAAGAAGCCAGGGGTGCTCCATTACTTATTGACTACCAGTGACTGAAGAAAAGGCTTGCAGTGGAAGTGAGATTTATCAGGCTAGAGAGTTGAAGAGAAAGTGTTGGTCCACACGCTAGAAACCCATCGCTAGGGAGAGTTTTAGGCATCGCTAGGGAGAGTTTTGTATCCCAGAGAGGTTTACATCAATAAATGAAGAAAACAAACAATATAATAAATAAAATATACGAAAACAATTCCATAACCACAAACACACAACAAAATCAACATTAAATTATCCACCAGTCTATAAGAATATTTGACTTTTAAAAAAAACCCCTGGACTCCTATGCCTCCTCCAAAAGCATGGAAAAAGGCATGTGTATTGACTTGCTTTCTAAAAGAGCATTATGAAGAGGCCAGGCACACCTCAGTGGGTTGCCAACTCCACAGGAGCCACTATCAAAAAGGTCCTTCCCTTTCCTTGCATTGAGCGTGTATATAAAGCTCCAAGGTGTACGTTTGTGTGCATCCTTTTTCTATTGGTATAGTGGCAAGGGTATTGTTGGGAAATCTTTTGTTAAAGAGAATGTGGTAAGAACAGAAAAATAATGTTTGTGTTTGGAAAATGTAGTAACTACAGCAGAGCAACGGCTGCTATTGGGCTTCAGTTTCACACACATCTATACATGCATCATGCTCTTTTAAACAGCCCCTGTTAATTATGATACCCATTGCCATTACGTTGTTGCCATGCTGCAGTGCTTTATTTGTTGTGCTGAATTATTTCTGTGCAGATGGGAAGAACTGCAGGCACTAGCCAGTGAGCCGGCCGAATGGCACATCCTCTTTGCCGAAGATGCTGATGACGCCTCCAATGGTCTATACACCACCCTTACAGAGTCTGCCATCTGCCGCGCTGCATTTCCAGGTAAAAAAGGTTTTTAGTCATCTACACACTGATTAAACAAGTCTTGCCATCTATTTTGTTTAGGCACTAGCTGTCACGTTCAGCGGTTTTTTTGTGTTCCTGGGCCCAAAGTCTCATTTGTCCTTCCTCCCTCCAGGCTGCTTTTCTAATCTAGGGCATTCTTTCTGTTTATCAGAAGGCAGGAAGGAAGAGAAATTCCAGACAGAGAGGGAGAAAGAGAAGCTTCAAAGTCTGGTGATTAAGGGTAGAGCTGCTATTTGCTTGTAGGGTTGCCTGTTTCTGAGAGCTTGAAGGCAGCAAGTGAGACTCTCCAGCAGTGGTGCCTCATACACGGCCATTCCATCCCTGCACACGCCTAAGAGAATTAAGCTGCATGTTAAATTTACTGTAGAGCGTGTAGCAATGTCTTCAGTTTTTGATAATTAAACCATTAGTGTGGTGGGATGCTGGTCCTGCTGTAAATGTCGCAGGTTGTATCTAACACTGCGCAGGCAGAGTTCCATTTGAGCAATGGGACTTGCCCTCCCAAAATCTGTTTTCCAACCTTCTGGAGAAGATTTTAAGGAAGCGAGCGGGGGGTTGCCAAGTAGAGGAAGGGAAGTTCTATTGTGGAAGCGGAATAGCAGCATTGGACGCAACACGTACGGTGAGAAGTCCCCCCACCCCAGATACTTTTAATCTGAAGCCCTAGTCATGGGGGAGGGGCAGTTTCCTTGTAGATTGGGGTTGGGAAGGCAAGAGGTAAGCTCCCCCTCAATACACACTGTATTTATGGTAGGAATTGTACTTCCGCCCCACCCTACACCTCTTAATTTAATTGACAGCAACAGCAAAAACCCAGAGTTTGTTCCATGCTATGCAGTGCCTATTAGGTGTAGTTTGACCCTTTATAATTGTATATCACAGTAAGCAATACAGAAGGCTGGGCAACGCATGGGGGGGGGGCTTCAAGTTAGAGAGGGGGTGCTACCTAGCCAAGTGTCCTGTGTTTCCCTTCCCTCCACTGCCCACTTTGTTGATTCCCCAGTTTTACCCCATGGCAGTAGCTACATCAAGTATTTGGGTGTATTGTTGGAAATTCAAAATGGTGGTTGGCCTCCCTTCCACTGCTATCAGAAAAGCAAGTGTGAAAGAAAGACAGAAAGCTACCTCATATCAGCTCAAGTGGTTTGTCCATCTAGCCCAGTATTTTCTACTCATCTAGCCCAGTATTTTCTACTCTGAAAGCCTTTTCATGTAAATAATGTGCTCTTAATGTTTTGCTGTGCTCCCTTTTTGGGGGTGCATAAAGTTTTCGATCTCAGGCAATGAATGCCTACTCTTGAGACCATTTTCTCCTTGCCCCAGGCTGCGGAGCTGAATCTCACTCTTGCGAACGCAAAACACTCGAGAGAGTCAAAGAGTTTGTTGGAAACTACTTTTGCTGGAAGGGGTCGAAGAGCAATAATGCGGTGCGCACGTCGCTCTGCCCATTTTACAAGTGAGTCAGCAGCTGTGTGCTGCCCCTTTAAACCCCAGTGGGGATCAATGAAACCTATATGTATTGGTGCCCTAGGGAAATGAAGGTGATGGCTGGGCAGGAGCTCAGCACTGTCCTGTCCTGCTGGCTTCTAAGCAAAGTTTTAAAAAATGAAGTTTAAAAAAGTGGGGGAGAAGCAGGAGAAATGGAGCCCATAACAAAAAAATGGGTTTCAGACACTCCTAGGCTACACCCACAACAGCACCTGGAAACTAGTGTCTCCAGCAGTTTAGTGATTTTTGCATTTGAATAAGAAGAGAGATAGAGAGGCAGAGAGATTTGGCTGAGTCCAGTTATAGTTGGAAATCAACACAGTATCTCTTGATTCAGATGCAGGGCACATCTTTGTATTCCTGAATTCCCTCCAGTGTCACAATGGATTGCTTTCCTTGAGGTAGAAAAAGAGCCAGGCCCAGAACTCTCACAGCTGGCCCTAGTACGCAACCGAGGCCTCTCCGGATGTTTTTCATGCCTCCTGGTTGGAAGAAACACTTCTTCTCTTGTCTTGCTCCTTTGACAGTGCTATAAGATCATCCCTGATATGGGGCGAAGGCTCAATCACTGGCAGGAAATAGCCTCTGCTCATATTGCAGCCAATGTGAAGCCCAAAGTCTGCAAACACAGGGCTATATTGTCAGCTTGGGGGCAGCAGGTCCAACAAGAAAATTCCCCGCATGCTGAGTTGAGGATATATCCTAAAATTATGCAAGATAAGTAATGTCAAATGCCTGTAAAAGGAAGTAGTTGCATGCTCAAATCTTTGTAAGAAGGGCTTGTACCCCTAAGTGAAATATTTGAGAAAGCACTTGGAAAGGAAAACAGATCTTTGTGCCTTTTGTAGTTTTGTTTTGTTTCTGTATATAAAGAAGTTTTAAAAGATGTAGTATTTCCTTTCAGCTCCTCCTCCCCCCCTGCATCCCCCACTTGTTTCCTCTATGAGAAATCTACCTTGGGACTAGCTAGGGATGGTGGGAGGAAGCAGGCTTGTGATAGCACACACACACATATCTTGATTGACGCATCGTGGGAAGTAAAGAAATAAAATAGCTTTGAAAAGAGCAAATTTTTATGAGCAGGCCAACAGAATTCTGAAGTTGGAATATCTTACATAGTATGTAGATTTATGTAAATGAAGAGCATACTTTAAAGATGTACTTCTCGGGAGTTACAGCAAGTGTGTGTGTATGGGGGGACAGAGCCAGCGATTATGCAGCTAGACATTGTTGGACTCCAGATCCCATCGTCCCTGTCTACTGGCCTTGCTGGGACGGATGGGAGTTGGAGTCTAGCATCTCAAGGGCACCACATTGGTTACCCCTGGTGTAAGTAAACGTGAGAGGGTGGTGTGGAGTTTAGAGACATCAGTGGTGAAATCTCTGCTGCCTTGGTTTTTTTGCTTTTCCATGGGCTTTATTTTTGCAAAGCTTTCTGGCTAGGCATGCATAAGATTGTGTATATAATACATTAACCAAACTGAAAGTTGTCAACTTCTATTTCATAGACTAAAGTTTATCCCAATCTCACTTTTTTATATACTGGCTTTTCTAATTAAGCTGGAGGAATACCTTCATCAAGTATCCTTCTAGATGCTACCGTACCACATGCCCAGGTAAGATACGGTCTTCTGAAACATTTCAAAATGAAAAATAATGAGGTATTAATTTCATACCTGGACTTGTCTTGACTAAATTCCGCAAAACAAATTATGGTGTAAGAATGTAAGATAAAGAGAAAAATAGAGAAGAGGAACTGAGAAAGAAACAGTTGACGAAGTATACACCCCGACCTGCATTGAGGATGAAGGAAGTCAAATAGAAATCAATAAGAACTGAATTAGGGATGTATCTGTAACATCTGCTTTGCATTTGTAGTTGTAGTATTTTTTTGTTAGTTTGTTTTGTGAGTGTTGTCTGTGTTGGTATCGGTATAATAAATCAATTAAAAAAGAGAGAGTGAAATTTTAAAAAATGGGGTAAAATAAGGTGGTGCCTCAATTAATAGACATTCTGTTTGCCAACAAAGGGAAACAGGAGAAGCCTAGTTTATCAGAAGAGTGTCAAATGAAGACCTTTTTACTGTGTTCCAGAGTCTATTTTGCTTTTCTAAAAGGCAAGATACGCTCTCGCTAGACACAAAAAAGGGATCTTGGGGTTAAATACTCTGCTTAGATGCCGTGTGAACTGTGCCTGAGTTTTCCTAGAGCTCAGTCCTGTTTACAACTTAACAACAAGAAGAAAGGCTCTATAATCATTGATTAAAAAATTAAATGGGTACCCTTGTCTTTCTCCTTCCTGGTTGTTGGTTTGTTTTTTTTTAGATCCTTGTGGTTCTCATCCTTGCCAGAATGGAGGCACATGCATTCAGCAGGGATTAGAAGGATACCACTGTGTCTGCCCAGTTGGCTTTGGAGGAGATGCTAATTGCGGTATGCCTTTTCATCTTAGGCACCAGTGCTTTGAGGTTGTTGTTTTTTAATGTGTCACGAACATCACTCAGTTTCCTGTAACAGTTCTGGTTGTTGTTATTTTTGTTTTATAACAGGGAAGAGACTCGATTTACAAAACAAAACATGAAATGTTTCAGAGGAAGGGGTTTTTTGTACTGCTTGTTTCTGGTGACTGAGACATGGGGCTCATCCAGATTTCCTTTTGCACCACATTTCTAGGCACAGGTCTGGGCTTTAAAGCTCTGGATCTGAGCGATTTTATTTTTGCCCCTGCGCTTTCCCCAGGAAAACGTGTGTTTTACCACTGAATAAGAGCAAACAGCAAATGGGTTTTGTGTGGATTGCCATTTGCTCCAAAAAAATAACTGCTTGGACACAGAGCTTTAAAGTCCAGACCTGTGCCTAGAAATAGAGCACAAAAAGAAGTCTATATGAGCCCACGGTGAAAGCTGTAATCTTAATCACATTCACTGGGAAATAGGTCCCATCAAGGTTAATGGGAATTACTTCCATGTTAGTATAATTAGGAAAAGGATCTGAAGATTCTTGATGACAATTTCAGGACATTCAGGCTGCAATTAATTATTTGTTTTTATTTACATCACACACACACACACAATTTGCTTGGAAGAAAACCTCAAAGTGGTTTAAAACATTAAAATTATCAGTTAAAAACAAATCTTTAAATTGTTAAAAAAAAAGATTAAAATCAGTGCAACGCCAAAAACCAGATTAAAACATGTTTATATGTCTGGATTGGCTTGCCTAAACAAAAATGTTTTTAGCAGTCACCGAAAAGAGTACCATGAAGGCGCCTGCCTGGTGTCAATTATAAGCCAGTCTTCCTGGAAACAAGCCCAATTACACTCACTGGAACGTATTTCTGAGCAGACATGTATAAGATAGTGCTGTTAGCTTTGCTTTATGTCTTTGCAGCCAACCTGTCGTTGCTGCTTATTTCTCCACACCCAAAGAGTTGGCATGTCTGCAAAAGGCAGCAAACATCAAATAATTGGGGAGGCTGTTAAAAGGAAGTGCAGCATTCAAAATCGCAGGCCACTCTTGAACTGGCTCTATACATAGAATATTGTTGTGGAGAGCAAGTGTTATTTTTGCTAGGAATTTCTATGAAGACATGGATCAAGCAATTCATTTCTGGTTGCATATCTTAGGCTGGATCTAAGACACTTCAAAAAGAAGGTTTCAGGAAAACGCATTGTGAACCTCATAATGGGAAATCACGTTGGCAAAAGACGGAACTCTACAGTGCCATCTGGTGTCACAACACTTTTTAAAAAACTAACGTAGCTGAGTCGTTAGTGGCTCTTTGTTTGTTAATTGGTTCTGCAGATTCTGCTTATACTGAGATTGGGAGCAAGGCTCAGGATTCTGCACTCTCTCCACTGTGGATAGATCCTACCCTGGCCTGGGGTGAATGTTACTGTAATTAAAAGTTGGCAAGCCTAAATTATCATAGCTTACTGATTTCAACAGGCTACTCTAGACTCCCTATTAGAAACATCTTGTTACATTTTTATTTGGACTTCTTAACCCTTTCTTAATACTTTTAAACAAAATTTCCAGCACCCAAGCTGAGTCTAGAATGCAGCGTGGACCTTCTTTTCCTGGTGGACAGTTCATCCAGTACCACCCTCGAAGGCTTCTTGCGCTATAAAGCTTTCCTGAAGAGGTTTCTCCAAGCCGTGTGGAGTAGAGAGAGCCCAGGGAATGTGGGTGTGGCCCAGTACAGCAACAATGTCAAAATGGCCGTCGGCATTGGAGACCACCAAGATGCACTCAGTCTGGTGAAGGCTGTTGATTCCATGCAGTTCAGAGGAGGAAGCACCTTGACTGGCAAAGCTTTGCGGTACGTTACACAGCATGGCTTTAAGAGCGGCCCAGTCTTTGCTGATACACCCGATGACCTCCCACGTGTGGTCGTCTTGCTCACGGATTCAAATGCTCAGGATTCGGTGGCAGAGGCAGCTAGGTACAGCAGAGGCCAAGATGTCTTCCTCATTGGAATTGGCAGCGAATCTTTGAAAGCAGAGCTGGATAATATTACAGGGAATCCAAAGTGGACACTGATCTACTCATCCCCACAAGATCTCTTCAACAAGATTCCTGAACTACAAAGGAAAATATGCAGCATAGACAGCCAAGGTAAGGGTTCTAGGTAAGAAAGCATTATCATTTGGTATCTCAGCATCTACTATTGGCTGTCAGGTCCTGCTATCCACATACTTGCTATCCAGAAATTCACTTATCTGCACTTAAAGAATTCTGCCCAAACCTCACTATATGCTCCACAGATTCACTTATTCGAACAGCCAATTTCCTTACTCGGTTTGGGTTTTTTGTTTGTGATTTGCTGGTCATCATCCCAGCAGCTATTTTCAGGCAGGAGCTATGGAGAGAGGGAAGGAAAAGCAAGATCAGATGAATCCGAGGCCAGGAAAAAATCTGACAAAACTATGAAAAGAGTGGACAAATTGCACATTGGAAGTGTTTCCATAGGAAATAATAGAAATCGTGGACTTGTTTATGTGACCACTTGCCTAACAATTTCCTGGGAACACATTGTGTCCATAAATCAGTACCTGCATGTATGACTTAAAGAGACACTGGTATATTCTGATACATACTTGAAGATGTATGATGGAAAATGGGAACAAAAGGCATCACTTCTCAGCAGTTAATCAAGTCTAGTTGCCTGCAATCAAAATGGATCTGCTATTTGCTAAGCCATCTCAGAGGCTTAGCTGAGCTTTTCTTCAGAACAAATTCTGAGAAGGTGGTGCTAGTGAATGCTTCCATGGCCTTTGCTGATCAGAGGGAATTGATTCAGATCTTTATCTATACCTTCTAAGATGATGAAACGTCTATAGTTTTTCTAAGCAAATTATGAGTTAATGAATTAGAACAGGCATCCCCAAACTCGGCCCTCCAGATGTTTTGGGACTACAGTTCCCATCGTCCCTGACCACTGGTCCTGTTAGCTAGGGATGCTGGGAGTTGTAGTCCCAAAACATCTGGAGGGCTGAGTTTGGGGAATGCCTGATTTAGAAGATTGTTTTAGTTTGACTGAGCTATTTAGAAATGAACTAAATGTTGGGTTTATTCTGATATTTGTTACATTTTTCTCCCTCCCTTCCTTCAGTGGCTTCAGGCTGGCATACATTTTAATTCTAACAACAGCCCTGTGAGGTAGGTTAGACTGAGAGGTGGTCGCTGGCCCAAGCTCACCTTGGTGAGCCTCAGAACCAAGCAGGAACTTGAATGTGATCCAATATTCTAGCACTGGGTTTGCCTCACCTTACTGCTTGCTCAGTGCCGTTTAATTTTTACAATTCAAAAGAAATCTGCTGTTCTAAGACTCCTGCCTTTCTAAATTTAGCCCAAACTAATGTCTATATGACCTTATGCAAATACCATTCCCTTTCATTTGACTGTGTTTTAGATGCCTTCCAGCTATTCAGACTATTGAGCCATGTTCTCAGAAGCTTAATGCTGCTCCTTCCTTACTTCCTTCCTTCCTTCCTTCCTTCCTTCCTTCCTTAGGCTGCCCATCTCAGTCTATGGACTTGGTATTTGCTTTGGACTCTTCAGCTTCTGTTGGAAGGAATAACTTTGTGCAGCTGAAAACCTTTGTCAGCAGCCTCTCTCTCCAATTTGACATCAATCGGGATGTGACTCAGGTAGGCCTTGTTGTCTTTGGGAAAAGGCCTCACTCCACGTTTGGGCTGGACACACACGTGACCAGCTCAGATCTCCATGAAGCCATCAGTCAAGCTCCCTTTGTAGGTGGCTCTGCCTCGGTTGGCAGCTCCTTGCTCCATATTTATGACGATCTCATGACTGTCCAAAAAGGAGCGAGGCCTGGTGTGAAGAAGATTGTGGTGGTGGTCACAAGTGGAGCTGGAGTGGAGGATGCCGTTGTCCCAGCTCAACAGCTACGTAATAATGATGTATCTCTACTGGTTATTGGGATGGAACAAGTTCAAGTGAGCTCATTGCTGAGGATTGCAGGTTCTCACAATAATCTCTTGAGGATTCCTTCCTATGAAGAGCTAAAAAATAATGAAGAACTTATCCTTGAAAGAATATGTGATGGTAAGTTGATTATTTTGACTTTAGGGTTGTATCTGTATACAATGAATAGAATAAAACCACATTTCTTTATTAATACCTTTATTTTATTATTATTTTGGATAACCCTTTGCCCAGTGTAACCTGGAGCCAGCCCTTCTTTCCCTGCATATGCCCATAAGCCATGGGTTGCTAATCTGCAACCTTCCAAATGTTATTGGGCTACAGCTCCCAGTATTCAATTTGTGATGGTTCAGGGTGATGGGAGTTGGAGTCTTAACATCTGGAAGGACTACAGGCTTGTCACTTCTATCATAATAAATCATATATTATTATTTTTTAGAATTCACATTTGTTTCTTGGTTTATCACCAATATCAAGTGTCTGAAGGGGCTGGCTAAATATCAATTTACAGTGAATTAGAAGTGCATTGTACATATCAAGTACCAGTAAAGTACATTACTTGAAACATCAGTGCAATAAAATTACAGTGCTAGTCTGGACATTTCCAAACTTGAGCCATATTTAGTTCTTGAATTTGAAATGCCAATTGATTTCAGGGCTACCTTTTCTGATGTAAGCATACTTCTAAGAAAAAGAAGAAGAAAAATAAGATCTATGCTTCAGCACTACCTAACAACCACATATGCCTAACCCCCCCTTCTTTGAAGTTGAAAAGAAGCCACATTAAACACTTCTTCCCCTTCGTGTTTAGTTTAAACCATCTTCAAATCAGTATTTGCCATGTGTCTGATTATCTGTTTCACCTTTTAAGCCATTGTTCATCCAAGATTAGTGCGTATTCTTAACACATCAAACAGGGATTGCTTGTGGTAAATGGCAAAAGGACTAACTGGTCTTTCACGGGCTGGTGTGCTTTGTTTACAAAACAACTCAAGATGAGACTGAACTTGTAGTCTTTGAAGAGCTGCAGCTTAGTCATTTATTTAATGACTGGTAAGGTGATGTACTGTCAGATCCTGTGTGTGAAGGAAGGGCATGTGATGGTACAAATGGGGACCAGGAACAGTAATTGTGAGTTGAGGAGGGTCTGTAGAAAGTTCTGGAGCAGGACGCTGGCATCCCTAATTCCAGCAAAAAAGTTTCAGCTGTGATTTTGGCTGTGTGAAATTTAAGTAATGCACTCAATGTATAGCTTTGTCCTAGGTGTGAGACTTTCCCTCTTCTAAGGCTGTAAGGCGTTTCTGCAATACCAGGAGATGTGTTCACTGATTTCCATCTCCACAGAACAACTGGAATCCTGCGGCATTAAGAAAGCTTTGGTTTCTTTCTTTCTTCTTGCGCCTGCCAGTCAACATGACTTGTTGTTTTCTTTTGTCTGTTGCAGAGGCCAAGAAGCCAGCAAACCTCTGCAAACCCAACCCCTGCATGAATGATGGAGTTTGTGTTTCTGGAAATGGCAGCTACTGGTGTCGGTGCCAAGGCTGGGTAGGACCTCACTGTGAAAACAGTAAGCATCAAAGTACAGTAGCCAAAAGGCATTTAGGCCTCCTCCCTCATTTAGATTCATTGTCCCCATCTGAAACAAATGATCCCTGAAGAATCCACTTGCTCCGTACCTTTGCCCCAGATAAAGTCAATTCATTTCCATTTAGATCACATTCCTAAAAGTATGCTGAAAAAGGGAGGGTGGGGAAATTAAATAAGCTTCATAGTATCAAATTTTACGGTTGACTGGTAAATGTACTTTTGGCTTGTTCTCTTCACAAATACTAATCTTAAATGACTCAGTGCAATCTTCTTAAACCCATATATTTCTTAGGTTTAATTGGCACACTCTTTCACTAAGATCTTGTTGGATCTCATTCCAAAAGAGTCAGCTTGTTACAGCAAAAGCAGAACAACCGAGCATGTAGTGCGCACTGTATTTGTTTTGCTGAACAAGAGGTGCTCTGCATGTGCAATGCCTCTTTTCTGCATTGACCTATTTGGAAGGATCAGGAAGCATAGGAGGAGGCCTACAATTGTCTTCCTGTGAGGTTGGCGCTTTGAGCATGTCCTTGTTGCTGCACAGATGACACCAGCCTCACAAAGCAGGTTGCATCCACCAGTCAAGGTGCTCCTGACATCCTTTAGGATGTTTGAGACCAAATACCAAAAGAGAAGAGTACTCACATATTTGCTTCCACTCCCACATATCTTTATCTGTGAAAATGTCATTGTTTTCTGGGATTCCTTTTTGATCTCATAACTTACCCCTTGCAATATTCCCTGCGTTGTATTACTAAATTGCCAGAAGCATGACAAATGGAACTTGATTGCTGAAGAAACCTTAATAATCGGTAGTGCAAACAAGACCTTACCTCATTGGAAAATATACTTGTGAAATCTTTGGGTGTTGGGAGGAGCCATAATATGGATAGTCTTAATGATGAAAGAGTTAACTGATATATAGCTGAAGTTGACCTTTTCAGTCCCTGCTAGGTTGTCAATGGACTAAGTGAAGCAACTTCACTACAGACCTACAGACTCATTTGTAGGCTTCATTCAGGTGTCCTACATGCCAGGAAATGAAATTCCTGCTGATCTGTTGCCTAAGGTTGTTAACAGAGAACAACTTAAGGTTTACGTACAAAGGTTGCAATTGGGTTAAACCACAGGTACTACAGGTTACACGGAAAGCGGGAGGATGTTAGGATATTTCCGTATCCTAACAATTTCAACCTGTTGGAAAAATGAAAAGGCTTCATTTAAAATTCATGTTTCATTTTTGTATGTAGGAAAACCATATTTGACTGTTTGCTCTGGGAAACAATCATTCTTTATTTTTAATATAGGAATTCAGAGGGGTGACACTTCACAGATGCATCCAGCCATGGTCCGTGCTCCACAAAACCGACGCGGCTGGCGACAGCTGTATCGATCTCGCAAGCATTCCAAAAGGCAAATTCCAGAGACTCACTGACTATCTTCAGCTACTGGAAACATTGTATGAAAGAACTGAAACACAGTCAACGTTTGCAAGCAATAATGCTGTTCCCCAAAGCACAGGAGTTTTGCACAGAATCACTTCCTGGTACGCCAAATGAGGTGACCAATATCTAGTTTGTGTTGATATTAGATATTTATTGTTGCTGTACTGACACTTTCACCATTTAAGGTCAGCGTTTCTTCTGTATGGTGAGTTCCATAGCTCTGAAGATTTCAGTTTCTGTACTGGATTGGACATTCTTGGGAAAGTTGGTACCATTTTAAAGTTCAGATGAAACCAGCAAAATGACTAAGGTTTGATTTATATTGTTTACAGATACCTGAATTTCCCTGACCATCGAGAAGTTCCAGGCATGCAGTGCTTACTTGGGTTTGGTTTCCTTGGGAAGGAGGTCACTGGAGGCTTATGCCTTCTTTTAATTATTTGAATTTATTTACAAATATGCAGGTTAAAAAAATGTGATAGCTTTAAGTTTAAGCCTTAAACTCTAATATATAGCCAAAGTCCACTGCTCCCCCATTGGATCTTCACAGCGAAGCCCCCTCCAAAGGCACTTCCCTTCTGTGTCTGACATCCCAACTCAGAATGAAGTCCACTCACAGCTAAATTGCCATCTGCCCCTGGATTGAGGTGGAGGAAATGAGGGTGGCTCATTTTCTCCAATTAATTTTTCTAATCAATTATCAAGCTTCCCAATCCACTGGCTGCAAGAATCCTTTTGCAATAAATTCTATCAGTTTGACTAAACAGTGTGCAACTATTTAGAAAAATGGGCACAACCTCATCACTTTATTAGGAATGGCTTCCTTTGCAGCATGCAACCTGTGCTTGCAAAAGCAATCTGTTGGCTAGCTCTGGTTATTGGTTGTACGTCGCTTGTGGTACAACCAACACCCAGAACATGTGCCATGCTCAATTCTTTTCTGTGTTGTCCTCTGTATGTTGTTGTTTGTTTGTTTTTCGCTCTGCATCTTCTGTCTGTAGGAAGAAAACTTGTTAAATTGGGCCTGACAAGCATTTTGCAGTTCTAAAGCACCACATCAGCAGCTCACCTGTTGCAATATTTAATAAGCATTTGACTTTCTGCACCAGCTTCATTTAGTTATGCCATTCCATCGTGCAGTAACATGATGTGAAAAATAACTTGGGAAAATGCTGATCAGTAATAAGAGGAGTTGGGTATGAGGTTAAGATGGGTATAAAGCTGTTTTGAACTGTTGAATCTACTGGATTGAGGGTTTTGTTTGTTTGTTTGTTATACCACCAAATCCATATCAGTTTTCTATTTATCTCACCGAAGCAGTGCTCTTAGTTTTGCCAGTTGCAGCCCTACCACATTTTATCTGTGTTAAGGATATAAACATGTAAGGTTTCTGAAGTAGGTTTCGTTCTCTAGTGCAGGGGTAGCTTTCAGTTCTTGGAATGTATTTTTGCTTATCTGCAGATATTGGGACAGCTGAACAGAGGGAATATAGACACAGCTGAGCTATTCAAACAAGGTACGAAGACAAGTTTCACCACTCTGCTCCCAGTGCCCTTATATGCCATTCCAACCTTTCTGCACTGTAGTGTTGTTTTGTGTTTTTATTATACCTTTTTAAAAAAGTTTATGCTGTATGAATAGACCCACTGAAAGCAGCAGGCTAAAATCCATTTATTTGATTGGATCTACTCTGACTAAGGTTGGGCATCCACCCATTTTGATTATATTGGCTCTCCTATTGAGGCAGATAGGAAAGTCAAAATGGTTGAAAATAAAGAGTAAATTTCAGAGTGCTAAGATTGCATCCATCACTAGCAAACCTATCTAAAATGATGAAACAGTAGGCACCCAAAAATATTTAGAACAAGGTGAAAATCTGAGGCATCTGCACCCAGTTTTGCCCATCTTGGGAGTCGTAAGACATTCCAGCGCTCAGCCTTCCCTTGCAACAGTTCCTTTTTCCCAGCATGTACAGCATCCAACACTGATTGCAAGTAGGCCTGATGCTTCTTCATAGCCGCAAATGGACACTAAAGTTTGCTTCTCTGCTGGAGTTTTGTAATCAGAAGAGTTTGTGCAATTTTCTCTTAACCTGAGGTTTGCAGTAGGCTGCTCCCTCCCTAGGCTGCTTAATCAAGCCTTCAGAGCAAGCTGGATGAGAAGTGTTTTTTATTAGGGGAAAAAGATAAGACTGGGCTTTCTACACAAAACAGCAGCAGCTTCTACTTACTTTCCATTCTAAGAGGGCCCCCCAGTGGACAAAAGGGCATTTTTCCGCCCTCCTTTTTGAACTCCCAGAGAGTATTTATTTTCATCAAAGAGAGTTTTGGATTATGTTAACAGGGCCACACGGCAAAAAGGTTTGGCTGTATATGGGCCTGCAAAGTTAAACGTTATAGACAGACACTGCTTGGTTTTCTCTCTCTCGTTTTTTGGACTATGTAATGATTTTTACACGCACGCTTAGATTATAGCCAACCTTTTTCTTTATTAAAAAAAACTTTTCTAAAATAGCAATGGATTGAAAAGACACATGTACAACAAATAGAAAGTATTATTTTTAGCTAGGAACACAGTAACAACTTCATTCTATGGTGAGTTAAATGAAGGCTTTGGGTCTGAAACTGCCTGCTTTACATATTGACTTTTTGTGTCCCTGGCCCGCCCCCCTACTATCAGCTATAGTGTTGAGGTGGAGGAAACACAGCGCTGTGTGTCAGGATGAGATCTGTGGCACAGATGCTGGGGTACACCTCTGGCACCTTCCCCCTTGATGCTTCCAGTTTCTCAGGGCACCTGAGGACCAAATCTTTATTGACCCCTCTGCCTCCCCTGCCCTTATTCCCCCATCTTAAACACTTGCGCCAGCAAAGAGACAAAAATGCAGTACAGACACCACAAGACATGTACAATGGCAGTGACAAGGCGCACACTGGCACAATTAATTCCTAGGGTCAATGTAGACCCATTACTTCAACAACTGTGGATGCTACTTGTATGACAAATGGTAAAATACCTGTTGCTTTCAGAATGGTGCCACACATGGTGTAGCTCTTTCAGATGGGCCTGTAACCTGTGGATAGTGGATATGCTTGTACTGTGGTTTTAAAAAGCCTGGTTTTTTAAAAAATACACGGTGATTACATTACACAGGTGGCTTTTTAGCTTAAATGATATATTGTCTGCAAACTTAAACTGTTCTCCCCTGATATGAAGTAACCCCCTGGAGATTGTTTCCCTCTCAAAAGAAGAAAGGAGAAAATGTATACTCACAGATCTAGGGTTTCTGCCCGCCTTGTGAGTTTCTGGCCTTTCCAATTGATGCCCCAATGATCCAGACAGCATTAAGTACTTCTAAGACTACAATCCTATGCATGCTGACCTGGCACAAGTCAATGGGGTATACATACTAAGAAAGCAAACATGGTTAAACAGCAAATTCTTCTTGATTGTCAGGGTACCTGCTTAGGCACATGCTTGACTCAAGCCATTTTGGCTGAATCTTGGAGCTAAAGGGGGGTGGGGGCAGAGAGATGGTTTACAAATGGCAGAAGACTGGTGTGGGATGAAAAATCCTGTGTGAATATTCCTTTCCACCCCACCACCTATTTCTGGAGCAGTAAGAGATCTCCCAGCAAAGTAGTAGAGCAGGAGTCACTCAGTGCCTAGAAGTCACAGCAGTTAATTAAATCAAAGTACACCAATTGCTGTACACTGCCCTATGTTATCAGTATTTCCCCAGGGGCAAATATCGCTTCTACTGCTGAGGGGGGAAAGCTGTTTTTTCATAATAAACTACGTAGTTTGGGGAAAGATGTTTGGAGATCCTGCAGTGACTGACCAGCAGGAGTGCACATTTATTGCACAAGAAAATGTTCATCTGAAAAGGCCCTTGGATAGTGAGATACTGAGCTCAAGCACCTGTGGTCTTTACAGCATTTAGTACTGTGTTAGTACAAACAATTTAATAAAAAATTCTTTCCTTTGTATACAGCTAGCTTTGAAAAATTATTCATATTCAAGGTTAAAATTCAGGAACCTGACATTTTTGGCACAGAGTCCACACCTAACTCTGCCTTATATACATAATTTAATCTCCTTGGGTTTGGGGAACACAGCTCAGTCAACTTCTACCTTGGTCTAATTATACTTTTGTTTACAGAAAACAGAATGATAAGAATATATTCAAGGGTAAAGGGGTGGAATTCCCCACTCTTCCAAATGTTTGGATGATTAAATTCACCATACTTGGGTAAACAAATTCTCCTTCGCTTTTGTGCACTTAACTTCCATACAGTATGCCAACTATTGTGCAGAATATGATGATGTGGCATCTGTTCCTACACGCTACTATTACGTGTATATTATTAACCTGAAGCATTCCAGAGTAACTAAAGTGCATTCAAATCACCCCACAGCATACTTAATCACATTTTGGAAGCTAGGACAGAAGATTCCACCCCTTTATTCCTCAAATGACAGATGCAGTGGCTAAAGAATTACGTTAAATGACTTTCTGGCCCCAATCCACAAAGATTTAAGTTCCCATCCATGCACAGCCTCTAATCTATAGCATTTAAGTGTAGATCCTTAGTCATAATGAGATATCTCTGCTACTTATGCCCACTGGAAAGCCCTTCTTAATCACAGGGGTTGTCTGTGGGTATTGGAATGTCTAGTCACCTGTGAACCCAGTGCATTGCTCTTGTGCCGACAACTGATAATAGCTCTCTTCAGTGCTATTTTTCTAGAAAAAGAGATGCCAGAACTGCCCAAGAACACCTCCCTTGTTCTCTTATATTGGCAATGGCACCCACCCGAGAGGTGCTGGAACTGAGTTCCAGCTGAAAAAAGCCCTGGCTTTCCTTGTACAAGCATTAAACATTGAAAATTAAGAAGCTGTAGCAGTGGTTGTCACCCACTGGGACTAGTTGGATGGGAAGCCAACAGTAGGTGGTGCCAGAGCCAATGAAAGACATAGCCAACTAATTTTAAGTTTTGTCCCCATCCTCCTGAGTGCTACAAGGGCAGAACTGAGGCTAAGGAGGAGAATGTTCACTGCCAGTGCCAGTCCTGGACTGGTTATGAGTAAGAAGGCAGGCAGGCGGGTGGGAACTGGCTATGGGTTGGTGGGACACTGCCCCCATTTGCCCTAACAAATGAGCCTCCACTGAGCTGTACTTGTTTTTTGGTCAGGAATTCTTTGTGGAAAGTCAGGCTGCATTGTGTACAACAATAATAATACCTTTTAGCTGTGTCTCTTGGTCTCCCTGGCCAAAATTTTCTCCGTTGGTTGGAACAGCTCTTCTCCAACAGAAAAGTCTGACACAGAGACTTGTATTTACTTAACCAGCTTTCAGGATTTTAGCTCAGGAAACTGAATTTACCTCCGTGATCCCCAGGCCCTGGTGTATCAGAAGAACATTAAACAGATCTGGCAAGAATTCAGTCCTTGCTGTTCTATTGCTAACAACAAATCCTGGATTGGACAACAGTAAAACACCAAAATAGAAATACACAAAGGCATCATTATGTACATTGGCCGGGTTAAAAGCAAGGTTTCCACTTGGGTTAACTCTCTCAGCTGCACGGCACTCCTCTGCTAAAAAAGGAGCAAATTCCTTAGTCTGATGAAGGCCATGTTGGGTTCTGACCCTGGTCCCTCCATTATTTCTTGGTATACAGCTGGCCATGCTTTACCTCATCTAGACCATTCTGTACTTGCAAGAGAATCCTGTAGTCCACGAATGGCCACTTCTAATATTGAGTCCATTATTGGTGCTAGGATTTCCTAACTAGCACCTTTCTTCTCCCATTCCTGCAAAACAAAAATGGAAAAATAGGCCCCACTTGAGGGCTTATCCTTATCTTTATATATTTCTTTCCAAAACCCCAATAGTTTTAAATATGCCATAGGCCATGGGCAAATTATTCTTGCCATAATAAGCACTACAGGCATGTCTTACCTTAGCTTTCTGTAGAACTGTTCCTTTCCCTGTGACCATGACAGATAAAGGCCGGTTTTTTAGTGCCATTGCTGAATTGACAGGCGAGTTTTCTGTGCCATTCATAGGGTTGGCAACCTTCATCTGTGTTTATGGGGGAAAGATAATAGCTGTGGTCATACACAATTGTCTAAAATAGTTCATCAGGCACAGGTCAGAGAGCCCTTCTTGCCGAACATTAAAGATCTCATATTCCATCATCACAAAGCATCAGCAATAAAAGTGCTGTTTATTAATGGCTTATTAGATCTACCTCTGGGCACTGTTTATTGACTTTATGCTTTTGGTTTTAATTATGTTGCTTTATCTGTTGTTATCAGGAACGGCCAATGAGGTGCTACATTTATAAGCCACCCTCCCAACTCCAGCACTGCTGCGTACCAGGACAAGGTGGGGCAGAGCAGTGGCAAGGTCAGAGCTCCATGGGGTGCTCTGGCAAAGGCAATCTGGCACACCCACCAAGGGGAACCCACACAGCCCTGACTGTGCTGACAATTGGCTCCACCCAAAGACTGTTGCAGGACGTGGCAGTGACACGAGAGGGGCTCGGCAGCCACTTCTGATGGCAACGCATAAAACTCATAGCTATGTGGCAGTCTGTAAGTCTAGGTGTATTCCTCAAACTGAACAACGTTCCTCATCCCTGCTGTAACTGGATCTATAGCTCCATGACAATATGGCTCCTTGGGGTATCATAACTGAGGTATCAATCAACCCCACATGCTATTTAGGCCTAGCTGTTGGGAGACACAGGCATCCATATTGCTATTACCAGCCTCCAAGGGTGGTCATGTGCAGTTCTGGCTAGGAAAATAGTGAGGGAGAAAAGCATTAAAGCCCCTCCTTCCTCAGTGCTGCTATTTTAAGCCCCCTGCCCGCCCACCAAATTGCCTTTTGAGCTTTACAAAACACATCAAAAATGCAATCATGGATCTTCTGCATCATGCGTAGTTTGAACCAGCTGCTGGCTTCAGCTGCTTCGCTTTGCTGAAAAAGACCCTGCTAACGATGCCAATTATAAACAGCCGCCTACGTACTTTAGGGCTTGCGTTCTCCAGGTGTGTGGTGTCCACCGCAGTGCCAAGTGTTACAGGCCCAGACTCTGCTTTCCGGAGATTCTCCTTCACCTCCACGAGACTCAGCTCCAAGTCCACACGCTGATCTTCTTTCCTTTTGCACTCCTCCTCTATTTCCTTCAGTTTTTGCTCCAGTGTGGGCAAAAGGCTCTTGTCTGCCGAGGAAAGAAGCACATGCAGGTGGAAATCCAACAGTAGATGGGCAGTGTGTACCCTTCCCTATTGCCTGTCTGTCTCCTCAGATGATGGTGGCAGACAAGAGGGTGGCTGCTGACCTAGCCCTCCCCCCGCGCCTAAAGTGGAGGCTTTTCAGAGCAGATTACATGTCAATGGAGCACACGAGACCAAAACAATATGCCCCGTTCCACTGATCTCTGAAAATGAAGTGGAAATGAGAGGCATTTGTTTACCTGTGCAGCTTATCAGCATCTCTTTCAGCTCCCTTCTGTCTTTCCGTAGCTGTGCCAGCTGAGAGCGGATTTCTTCTTTTTCCCTCTCCAAGCGATCTCTTTCTTCCGAGTATCGCTTCACTTCAGCCTCAGTCCTGTTCTTGCCGAGTTTGGTTTCTACAGGTGCTACAAATAAAAGATGAAGAAATTAAGCTCAGGGACAGAGACTGGAATTCCAAGAACTTTCCCTTTAAACCAGCAGCTAAATACACTAGCGCCATGTTTTAAACATGGGCTGAAAAGCTAATGATAGCAGCCACTGCCTCTACCATAAGTCTCCGTCATGAAGCTGTTGGGTAAAGAGAGATTACTGCAGACAGCAAACACACCTGAATTCACCACCTTGGAGCGTTCCATTTTCTCTTTGGATGCAATCATAATTGTGGTGGTGTCCTTAATTTCAGGGCCACTCTGAGGAAAGGCAATTTGCTGCTGTTGTGCCTGAATTTTGATGGTTGTTGTTCGTGGTGGGAGCGGCTCATCAATGTCTTGAGTCCTCTGCTAGGGATGTCGGATGAGAGAGAAGGTTTCAGAGGTTAAGCAACATAGAAGGCTAGCAGAAGCTGGCTGTCCATTTAAGATCCCAGCAAGCTGCTCAATGCTAAGTTTTGTCTAGTTATAGAATAAATAATAAAAATTATATGCCGCCAATCTGACTGCATTGCCCCACCTACTTTGGGCAGTTTCCAACAAATCAAAACATCAAACAGTAAAATATCAAACATTAAAAACTTCCCTAGCATCTGGCCTGACTGGCAGTGCCTCTCGTACACCTGAGGCCTTTAGCTAGAGATGGTGGGGATTGAACCTGCGGTCATCTGCATGTGATGCTCTACCACTGAGCTATGGCCCCTCCTCGATATCTCGGATTTGTTTTTAAGCATTACCGGGTCTGGAATCTCCAGTGATCTTCTACTCAAATCTGCTTCTTTATGCAAGATGGAGGAGTCTCTCTCAGAGTCCGCTGAGCTCTTACTGGAAGCTCTTTGCAATGATGGAGAAACGGATGGGGAAAACTGGTCCTGCTTCTTGGCAGCACAATGAAGGAAGGATTTGACTGGCGTGAGGTCTAGATAGACTCTGTCCTGATCCCCCTCATCTTTGCCTTCATTTTGGGGCACTTCCTCCTGTCAAAGATAAAAAGCATCTTCTTAGAAGAGCGCCCAAGAAATGCCACTCTGTTTAGAACAAGAGAGGCCAGCATAAAATTCTTTAAACATTACATACAGTTAAACAACAGTACAGACCTGAAACAAGGCAAATTGCAGACACCTTGCAATTGGGATCACTTGTTATTTCCGGCATTATAAATACAAACTGCAGCCAATGGAAAACAAAATGGTCCCCTCCCCCCATCAACATGAGCTGTAATTGCAACAAAACAAAACCCTCACCATTGTTGTTGCCTCTGGAACATCTACATCATCATAGAGCTCCTCTAGTCCCTCCTTCCCCTTTGGCAAGTTGTCAATATAAGTGTTCGGCTCAGAGTACTTCCTCTGCATTAAGCTGGAAAAGATAGAAGCAGATGTGCTATCAAAAGAAGTAAAAGCTACACGAGACGATGATGTGATATTAGTCTATACTCCCATAAGACTTCCTAATATGCCAGTTACTTTGGGTAGTAGTCAACTAACATTTACTCAGAGCAAATCCATTAATTTCAATGGGTCTACTCTGAGTAAAAGCTAGTTGATTGCCATCCACTGGATGTTGCAAGGCACCTGTTGCTCCTGCCTACTATCTTGTCTCCAGCATCCACAGGTCTGCAATGTGAAGAAGCCACTAACCACAGTGTAACCTCCCCTTTTGTTTGAGACTGAATATGTTAAATGCCTGGAATATACTCATTCTCTAACACAGGACAAGGCATAGGTTTCATCAAGCCATAAGCAACATTGTGTGTGTGCTGCATGTCTTAAACATTCAGCTAGGAGTTCAAAGAAAAACAGAGATTGCTAGACTGCACACAATTACCACATCAGAAAATAAGGAGAGCTAGTCACCATCAATGCAATATTTCACAACAACCATCTCACGAGTGGATACTTCATTTGAATGCAAACATGGTGGGTATTTACATATCAGAACCCTTTCCTGCTTCTTTTCGCTAGCAATTGTAACCTCATCAAAATTGTTCATTACATACTTTTCGGATAAAAGCTACTTGTTTGGTAGGAACGACTAGAAATCATCCATCAGAAGACAGGTCAGAATGTCAAATATGCTACCATAGAAACTTACAGTAATGAATTCTTTGCTGCACTGACGATGCAGGAGACCCTGTCAGCATCGACATAATCATAGGTTAGCTCTTCAGGGTCTGTTTTTGAGCCAGATTCTGACAAAAGGAGACCAAGCCAGTGGCCCATTTCGTCACAAGACTTGGCCTGTTAAACCACCAAAGAAAAAAACAATCATTAAGGATATAGGCCAAACTTACTACAAGAAGCCTAAGTTGCTTTCATCAGAGTAAGCAGAAATGATGGAAAGAAAAATCAATTTAGGGTGTGCCACCCTGGGCTCCTTGAGAAAGAAGAGCAGGATAGAAATGTGAGTAAATAAATAAAATTCTATGCATCGTAATATCTAAAAACATCTTCAACAGTCTTAAAAAAAATGTGTGTGTGTATGCAAATACACACACACACACACAAATTATAAACACAGAAAGCCAGAAGAGGGCACCAGTTTACCTTCCTAAAGTTCCTCTACCAAACTGGCTCAGAAGCAATTATGATTAAAACTTTCATCTTGAATGGTGAAAGCACCCTGCAATCACCCTGAAAGACCCACGAAAAATTATTTATAACCTCCAGCTGGCCTTAACTAAAATGCTGAGTCTAACATGCACCTTAGCTTCACAAATTGAGATAATCTGAGTAACTTTTTGAAGCCTTCCTTATTTTGTTCCATCAACCTCAGCAATCTTAAGTGCTAAACAAAACAACATCCAGAGCCTCTGGCAGTCGCTGGCAAGTGAGCCTGTTGTTGGTAGCAAGTATTCCTCCCACTACAAAATGCAGGAAATGTGTCACATTTCCCTTCTCCCACTCTAAGGGTGCTGATGTCAGAGAATCTAAGATTAGAGGTAAACAAAGAAGGAAAACAACTCTGATCCAAGTCAAGTGAAAGTTACGGATAGGAGTGGCTTGCTTTTTCCCCCCAAGGCAGCTTGTCGGCTGAGGTGACTGGAGGTAGCTCCAAAGAAAGTTACACTGTGTGTGTGTTTGTCTTCACCAGTCTTATCTTTCTTTTCAGTGGTGAAAACCAACTACTCTTATCAACCCATACTGAATCCAGCTGGCTGCTTATTTCAGAAAACATTTCAGGTGTACAATATTCCAATCAGAGGGCAGGGTGGGGATTCAGTATTCACTTACTATTCTGACTAGTAAGTGCTGCTTTCCTGCCTTGAGTGTTTCTTTGGATGGAAAAGCAGAATAGACGTCTATTCATTTAATAAAAATAAGCTGCCTGGTTAGCTGTTTAACATCTTTTTGCATAGCATTTTGTTCAGACTGGCTGCATTCAGGTGTCACACTAAACCATGGTTTATGACAACATATACAAGCAGCCTGCAGTGAGCCTTGGCTTAGCATGACATGTGAAGTAGGTTAGAATGCTGTAAGGAGAAGTGTTGAATGAAGTCTACAAGCAATTTTCGTGGGGTTTTTTTAATAAAAGTGAAAAAATCAATACATTTACTTATTTGGGGCAGGAAGGTCTCTCTCTTATATTTCCACACTCCTCAATGAAATCTGCTTCAGGAATGTGGCAGATTACCCCAAACAGGCTATGTACATAAGAGAAAATAAATCTACACCAATAGCTATGTTCCCTAGACTGAACCATTCAATTGTGTGCACTACAATGAGTTGCAATGAGTAGCTGTGTTGCTCATAAACAAATGACTCCTACTTCTAGAGAAATTGGCAACCCGTACCTCTAACATGGCCCGTTCCTCTCCATTATGCAGGATACGGAATGAGTAGAGATGATCAGGAGTTGGGTCTGGGATAATTTCACAGCCCGTCAGGTTGAGAGGCTGCTGAGCAGTTTTATTTCTGTTCTTGTCCTGGTAGAAATGGAGCTGCCCATCTTTCACATGACACCACCGAGATCTCCACTGGCTGTTCACAAGGACATTCAGGTACGCTGCAAAGAAGGAGACTCTCCCTTAGTGACATCTAGGTCACCCTCTACGCTGGTCTTTCCTGCTAGTCGCAGAGACCCAAATGAAATGTAAATGTTTCACAAGGCTTTGTTTGGGTTGCTTACTACATGTATCCAAAGACCTTTCCGGACTGTCCAGCGTGGCAGATTTCTTCCTCCCAAGGTTCATCAGGTTGCTCAGTTTTAAACCAGACGTGCCCTTCTTCTTAACTATAAATAAATAAATAAGAAGGAATAAACAAGCCATATACAAAGCTGTACTTCTGAATATCTAATGCAATGGCCAGGAGACACATTACACACAATTTGCATCTGATGTTTGTGTGCGGAATCTTGCTTGGTGCAATTTAAGAAGAGACTCATATAAGCGGCAGCATTAATAATGTACACTTACATGACCCACATCAGTTATGAATAAATGTGTTACTTTAATGAGCCAGGCATTAACTCCCTTCTGCAACTACTGGTGGAAACAAAAAAGGGGCAGAGTACCGTAATGCTGTTCTCATCTCAGTCCCTGGAGATTCCTGGCTCTCCGTGAATAGAGGTACGAACGCAGCAGGCTATTAAGCTACAACCATATAATATGTCGTTTATGGATGGGACAGGTGGGGGCCATTCATATGTCACGTGTAGGAAGGCTCTAGTCAATTCAGTAACAACCAGGCAACCGGCAAGCTCAGTTTGACTTATCAAAGGCAAGTGCACTATTCCATCTTCTTTTCACTCGACAACCACGTTATCTTTTTTGAACGGCTATTACCGTCTTTGGTTTCTGTCAGTTCTGTGTGACCATCAGTGCTGCTTCCGCTTTCTGATGCGACTGAGTACCTCTCAGCCGTCTCCACCTGCAGACAAGAAGCAGGGATGAGGTCCACAGCACCAGAGATAGAACAGCAGCATAGTAATGGCTGAAATGCTGCTCTCTCCGATGAGAAAACGCCTTTGCATTCGTGAAAATTAGGGGCACATATCCATAGCTGAGGAAATGAAGACCCATTTACAAACTAAGATTAATCCACAGGAAATAACATTTGGCCCATAAAGATGGATGCTATAAAGGCTCCTCTAGCTCTTGGGAAAACCCCTTTGTTCTGCTGTGTGTAGTTGCTCTGGTTGGACACAGTCTTCCTTATTCATAATGGCTCCTGGTGTTTTGCTTTTTGAAGTAAATTCAGGCAACCATATTTGTGCCAACTCAAAAAATAAAATTATACACGAGAGTTTTATTTTCCGTCCTCATTGCCATATACTGTGAAGCTTTCTAGCTGTGAATGTTTCTTTGTGGTTTACGTTCGCATCTATAGCTCCTGCCTCAGTTGTACATCATCAGCACATGCTCATTTACATTGTGGCAAGCTGTGAGAAACAGAATGCTGGACTAGGTGAGCCATTGGCCTGTTCAGCAGGCTCTTCTTATGTCACAATTTCCCCACCCTTAATTTATCTGGATCAGGCCCAGTGCTTGATGACTTTAATTTTGCGCTCAGTATATCATTAGAGCTTGAAACTCTGGAACAGTCAGTCTACAAAGAAGTTCTCGTTTCACCAGATGCTTTAGGGATATCTAGAATTCTAGCCCTATTTAAATAATACTTTCATTTGGATTTGGCCAGGATTAAATCTATAAACTTCCTAGAATTAGATTTATGCTTGAAACAAACTTTGGGGGGGGGGGAGAGTAGCTATTAAAAGAATTGCTGATGTTAAAATAATGCAAAAATGGCTTGACACTGAGCCAGTTGTGCTTTAATCAGAAAACAAGTGGTTTGTTGGGTTTTCTTCAAGTGTAAGTTTCAACCACATTCCTGTTTTGATGGTGGGAGTAACTTCCTGTATATTAATCAGAAGTATTTTTTTAAAACTTAAAATAATTTGATGCAACAGGAAAAAATTTAATCTTTGAACAGCACTTTTGTTAAGAGATAAAACATACCTGAGGCTCCAGTACTTTGGCCACCTCATGAGAAGAGAAGACTCCCTGGAAAAGACCCTGATGTTGGGAAAGATGGAGGGCACAAGGAGAAGGGGATGGTTGGACAGTGTTCTCGAAGCTACCAGCATGAGTTTGACCAAACTGTGGGAGGCAGTGGAAGACAGGAGTGCCTGGCATGCTCTGGTCCATGGGGTCACGAAGAGTCAGACACGACTAAACGACTAAACAATAGCAAAACATACCTTGGGATAGCTAAGTCTCTGGGAGTCTGGGACATACTGGTTGCCTTCCCCTTGCCCATCTGGATAGAGACCGCTTGTCTCCTGGATCACCTATGGTGGGAGAGAGAGAAGCTGTGAGCAAGATCTCATCCTGCGGCCATTTATATCTTTCTGTTCTACAGTATACATTCTGCATTTAACTGACACACAGCTCAGTTCATAGAAAGCCTCTCTCATTAACATGCAGAGAAGCAGAGGTCCCTCAAAAGCTCTGGTTGAGAGAGTAGCCTCGAATGACCATATAAACCAGGGATGGAGAACCTCTGGCCCATCACAGGTTGTTGGGTTCCCTGCTCCCATCTGGCCCAGCCAACATGGCCAATGGCCAGGGATGATGGAAGCTGCAGTCCAGCAACATCTGCTGAAGCACAGGTTCCCCATCCCTGGTATAAAGAAGGCACAAAAGTAAATGACATGCATGCCCAGATCAAACACTATTCCAAGCAAATTCAGGCTGGATTCTGAAGCAGCAGTGCAGAAATGCCACATGTGCCATGTAGAGTTGGCAACTTTTAAAAACAATTTCCCCTCCATGTTCCTTTAATATCAACTTTATCTGCAAAATACTAGCAGATGATAATGCTTGAAACCTCCATGCTAGAAAATTCCGCACTGACCCTAGCTGATTTCTGTGGATCAAAGAGCTGTTAGAGTATCAGGCCAGTATTCCATCTGAGTGTAATTCGGGTGTAGTAGAGGAAGAACAAAGGGGAGTGCATCTCAGGGGCTTTTTCAATGCAGTAAAGATTATATTCACTAGAAATAATGACAGACCCTTCTTGTAAGTGAGTTGACAAGAAAGCTTTCGCATTTTACTATTGTAAAATTTGGTAAGCATAGAGGAAGTCCAAGAAAATAATCAAAAGGAGGTTGGGCACTTCTTCTCTTTTCTATAATGGAGTGCCATCTGAGGAAGGAGTTGAGCTCTTACTTACTGAAGAAAGACTCCCTTCATTACTGCTGGAAGGGTTGGGTTAGAAAGTTCCCCTTCCCCCTCCTACGTGCAAAGGGGAAAAGGGATTTTCTCAGTTGTGCTCAAACGGAAAGGATCCTTCTCAGAATAAAGGCGCTTGTGGAAGAGCTGCATTTGGATGTAAGCTAGAGATGGGAGCAACACCATGACATCCTGAGAAATATCCTTTAGCATAATCCTGTGTAGACAGAAACCTAGGAAGCTGCCTAGTACCAGGTCAGTCAGGCTCTTTGCCCATTGAGTTCAATACTCTCTGCTCCGAACAGCAGCAGCTCAGCAGGGTCTCGAAATCTCAAGTAGTTAAATTCTGGGCCAGATCTTGACTTCTGTGCTAGCATGGTATGACTGTGGGCACATTAAATCCACACAGCCTGGGGACAACGGCAGAAGTTGTCAAGAGAGATTGGTCCACTCACCCTGAGCCACTGCTCTGCCTGGTCTTTACTCTGCAAGCCCAGCACAATGACATCTGAGTTCATGGGGATGATCTTCAGCTTATGTTCCTGCTTCCTCACATTCTTTTCCTTGTGGATGACGCTGCACCCCAACAAATTAACATCCAGCTGGGGATTTTGGTCCTTGGAAGACTTGTAGCACTGGAAATAGGAGGAGTCAGGTGGTTTAATGGAGAGTAAACAGGAGATGTTGCCTACTGGTAAAATATCTAAGAAAGGACAGAAACTTGGCATTGAAATATAGATTGGAATAGTTCATTGTAGTAAATAATTGTGAGCCCCAAATCCTAAGGTTTCTGAATAGATACAAAATTATATATGTTTCAGGCTTCACCAACCAGTGAAGGAATTACTTGGTGAAATTACCTTAATCCCACAAAACGGGAATAGTGGGGACATTCCCAAACTTTAAGACCTGTTATATAGCCATAATACTAACAGCAGAAAGGGAACAGCATTGGGTTTTCCCTTGCTTGCACTCTGAAACATTCACAGAGTAGGTACTTTCTGCAGTGCAGATGTTAACAGCAGGCATTGGAGGTGGGCAGCTGAGCTCCTGGAAATGGCAAACCTACAGTCCCAGCAGATCTTCATACCAGTCATACACTTCTCCAATCCAGGCACACCTTCACTCACCCATATCCTAAGGGAATAGTCCAAGGCTGCATCTGCTCTGCCCCCTGTGGCAGCTTCCCATTACCCGTTATGAACCTCTTCAACCGGCAGAGCTCCAGGATGCTCCCTCATGTGCCGTTCCTTTTTCCAAATGCCTGCTCTGCAAGAACCACCAGTCACAGAATCTCTCCCACACTGCTGCCAATAATAGCACCTTCATCACATTAACACTTATCAGCAGCAGCAATGGTGAATATTGATCCTAGTCTTTGATGTTAGTCCTTTGGGAGCATGGGAGCAATGCAAATGCAACAAACTAAGCAACTAACACCATGCATGTAAAATAAGTCTTACAGTAATTCATCAATTGAAAGTAAATAGGAGAGCAGACAACCCAAGTCATGTCCTGCTTGTCGGCTTCCCATAGGGATCTGGGATTTTAAACAAGATAGACCTTTGGTCTTACCCAGCAGGCTTCTTCTTGGGCTTTGAGGAACATCTAGATAGAGCTCTTAAGAATTGCTCTCGTTTTGAGAAAAGGTATATTAGACACCCTGTTCCCTGCTTGCTTACCAACAATCTGTTGTCCTTAATGACGCAGAGCTGCTTGGCCCACTGGCCCAGCCATTTTTTTCTCCAAAGGAAAGCACAGATCCGGGCATCTTTCATGAGCTCAATGGAAGCTTCAGGGGAAGGCCACTGGTGAGGGGCTGACTTGCCTTTGCTGCTCTCTTCTTCATCATAGGATTCATAGGAGCTGCTGACTGCTTCCCCATCATCTGCATCCATGGGGGCAAAAAAACCATCATTATAAGCACTTCCGGGTGACAAAGCCATGTGTTACTTCCATGTTCCATTAGGCAAGCTCAAGAACAATTATAGCATGCATGAAAGAGACACAAAAGTAAAAGGCAAGGAGGTCTAAAGGCCTGCAAAGTTTAAACAATCAGACCTGCTCCATTGAAAAGGCAATTTCCCTTCATCTTCTGTCTGTCTCCCACACACTAAGATCAGCATATGCAAGCCAGAATCAGATCTCAAACAAGCCATCCAGAGCCAACCCCAAACATTTTGCTGTCTGAGGTGAAGGACAAGATGGCGCCTTCCTGCCATTTCATGAACAGGAGCCAACTTGACAGACAGTCGAACTTTTCTTCACTATGGTGGATTGGATAGCATCCTCTCTGCCGTGGAGAACAGCAGGTTAGTCTGAGGGTGCAGGACAGGCCCTGTGGCACACACAGCTCTGTGCTTCAAAGATGGAACAGCCAAAGGATGGCTCCCCAGCACCTGCCTCCTGAGGCAGTTGTTTTGCTTTGCCTAATGGGAGGGCCAGCCCCGCAGTGGTCATATCAAACGATGCAGGAATCATATACATTTTTGATTTGAATATATGAAGCTGCAATGATTGATGAAACCCTAACTTCTCCTGAAAGGTGAAATGCTTAAATGGTATTCCAAAAAAAAGGTTAAATGCTCTGTTAATACATTTCAGTTCTGCTCAGCTTTCCAGATGCAGCAAATACATTGGATGGAATGTATATTTGCAAATGTAAATGTAAATATTTGTACATTCAGCACATTTTGCTGGGAATATTTTGCTTGGCTAATTAATAAAAGCCAAGCAGTAGTGCTGCAAGGTAATCCCAAAATCATACAAATTGTTTGAGGTTGCAAGCATGTGGCCACCAAGACTTTCCTTTTGCAACTTTGGTACAGACACACCCAGCTCAGTCTCCTACTACAGACACATTCCTCAAGTGCTATCAAATGTTTTCTGTAGGTTTTATACACCCAGCTGAAAAAGCATAGGACTGTGGAGGGTGTGCAAGCTGTTATCTGCCAAATGTTAGTTGCTGCTCCCTAAATATCAGGCAGATAACAGCTTGTAGCAACATTCTGAAAAACAGGTCCAAAATTCATGCATATGCTCACTCCAGTCAGCATATGGAGAATGACCAATGGGCAGAACCATGCCGAAAGAAACTTAATTTGAAATTTAATTTCAAACAACTGATAAATGGCAAAAAATGTAAATATTTGTTTAGAACAGTGGAAACCATGATACAAAATAGACAGCAAATTAAAAATGATATAGAGGTTATAAAGCTGTAAATTATATAAAACTGAGTACATGAATAGTTGAAACAGTTACAATGAGGCTACTCAGCAGAAGTAATATTAAGCTGTTCGCATAAGCTGCTTAAGGCATCTAAATCTAGCACCCTCCCTCCAATCCAGCAAATTTAGAGGCAATAAGAAAGTTTCACTACATTATAAAGGCATTCCAAAGCAATATAGGGGAAGTTAAATGAGATATAGGCTATTCCACAGTATTGAGATAACTTGATCACAGAATGGAAATGATTCATAATTCATAATAACAGAGAACAGAGCAGTTTCTAAGATCCCTGCAGATCATTGACAAATCCCAGACTTTTCTGCATCTCCCCAAAGCACCATGTCTTCAGCACTCAGGAGAAATGCTATTAGGAGAAAGGGAAAGGAAACAATATTGGCCAAAAGAAGATCAGATTAGAAAGCAGAGACACTTTGAGCGAGAAACATCAAAAAGGTACCCCCAAATAGAAATGTATTATAGTAAGATATTCCATTCCCAATTAGGTAAAAAGTCTGTTTTGTTCCAGAACAGGCTTGAATGGGTCACAGAGGTAATTATCTAGGTTTTTTTCTCTTGTTTTTAATTGGATTATAGAGTAACCTGAATTTACTCATTCAGGTGATGCTATCAGAGAACTGGCAGCTGAGTCACCTATCTCCAAAGCAAGATATAGGGCTCGTTGCTGTGTTTAATCTCATTTGTATGATAGGAAGAATGATCCATGTAATCAAGGATGCTTAGCCAGCATCTTTTGTGCTCTTCCAGACTCTGGCCTAGGCACAAGATAATCATGGCTTCCTGAAACCAAACTTCGGCTCATTCAGTATGTGGATCTGCTCCTTCTGTACCAGAATCCAGAAATTAATTCCAAAAAAGAACCTAATTTACACATTTCAATCCCCTTTTCTTTCTCTGCGATAAACTGTTACGTCACCCTCATTGTAAAACAGTGATCTCTCTGTCTGCCTGCCTGCCTGTCTTTGTGTCTGTCTCTCTGTATTCAGCATTTAATTCTGATGGGCTGGGGTGTCTCATCAGCCTATAGCTCCAGCACCATTCCACTCGCTTCGTTTTGTTTTATTTTTTTAAACGGTCGCATTTGTTCTCTAAATTAATATCACTCATTGCATCCCTGGCTTCTGTGTTGCTTATTACCAAGCAAGAATATTTGTTTGCTTATGTCCTGCCCTGAAGCCCACTCAAGTTGAAGTGCATGGAAATGACAAAAGCATTTTGGAATAAGGTAAGATTCCACAGGTAAGATTGGCTAGCAACATCTACAGTTCTGTAGCTGCCTACTAAGAGATCATTCCTGGCTAAGAGATCGCAAAAGAATAGACAGCAACTTTCCAATCCTTTATCACCCCTTGCCACACATATGCATTCAGGATGAGAATGTGATCATGCGGTGATCCTTTAACCATGTATCAATGGTGAAAGACCATCTTTGTTCATATGACAAGGAAGTCAATGCATGAGTGGTAAGTTTTGAAAACATGCCATACCCATAGTTATTGTGGCATATATTACTCCCTCAGTAACCTGCAACCCTGGTCTGGATCCAGTAGCTGCAAGCCTACCGTAAAGACCTGCACAAGCACACATGGAAAAGAAAGAGAGGGGGAGAGAGGAAGAAAGAAAAAGACCTGCAAATGAACCTCACTGATCATTAAATTCTTTTAGAAGGAGAAAGCATAATTTATATGATAAACTATCGAATAATTGGAAACAGTCTGCTTAGAACAGTCTCTTTTGCCAAAAACTATGGTGATAAGCACCATAAATAAAAACAGTTGCAAATTCAGTTTGAATAATTACAATTCAGTGTTCAGCCTTTGTGGTACCACTCAGTTCCATTATATATATATATTTTAAAAATAAACTATTCAATTATTTTACAGCTCATGACAATGCCAAAGGTAGTAAATACCAGTTGCTGGAAACCACAGGAGGGGAGAGTGCACTACAATATGCAGTCAACAAGGAAACGAAGGACCCATACCGAAGAAGACGGAAGTCTTGATGTATGGGAGAACTTTCTTTTACAGTGGTACCTCGGGTTACAAATGCTTCGGGTTACAGACTCTGCTAACCCGGAAATAGTACCTCAGGTTAAGAACTTTACCTCAGGATGAGAACAGAAATTGTGCAACAGCAGCACAGCAGCAGCAGAAGGCCCGATTAGCTAAAGTGGTACCTCAGGTTCAGATATGCCTAGGATTGCAGTGTGAGAACTTCAACAATCCTCTTATGTCCTCTTTGGTGTGGTAACTTATGATTAATCATGATGTCCATCCTAGGTGCTATAGAGTAATGTACGTGCAAAAAAAAGGGGGGGAGGAGGAAAAGGAAAGCTGGCCAAATAAATTCAGTCTGCTCTTCGAGAGACTGGAGCCTAGACCTTGTCTAGAACATGCTTGTTCATATCAGCAACAGAAAGCAAGACGGTTGCTATTCACTTTTACAAAGACACTACAGTCCTTACCTTTCTCACTGAGCCCTTATTCAGTCATTAAACCTTATTCAGCCAAGGGCAGTTTTGGTGTGGAGATCAGGCTGAAAATGTAGCATCAGTTACCATGTTCAGCTCTGAATGAACTCAACATCTTCACTTATCAGCAATCTCTTAAAAATCTTTGGATACAAGAATATTCCTTTAAATTATCTGGTATTAAACTGACAATGTGACAAACACTAAACATATAGATTATATAGCTCACATTTCCAATATTTGTATCTGAATGCTTTATTTATTTATTTATTTTCCAACGCAGTTGTATTGCCTATTTCTAGAAGTAATGAAATACTTGGGAGCACACCTACGTACCGATCAGTGAGACACCAAAGGGCTCAGCTTCTTCATAGTATCCTTCTGGAGACTCAGTTTTGGATCCTGAATGTTGCTTTGCTTCTGAAATCTGAGGAATGCAAACAAAAGCTAGAAAATGTGTAGATAAAGACCCAGAGTTCTGAAATAAATTTTCACTATGGTATCTGTAATTCAGAATAAGGAAGAATTGAGAGCAAGGTTCAACCAAATTCCACAAAGCTGGAAAACCGGAAGCTAATGCTGAGGCCTTAACAGTTGTGCCCAGTGAACAGTGTCACAAATTGTGCTTGCTTACAACATACTCCCTCCATGCACACACACATTTCCTTGGTCCTTCAGGCTCAAATCCAGATGGGGAAGACGAAGTGCCTAGGGTCTAGCAAAGGCAACCCACATCATTCTAGTCCTCTCTGTGTGTGACATCCATGGTTCTATGGTGTGCCTAAGGAATATGTGGTGCTGGGTGTGCATGCATGGTTATGGTGTGCATGGTTGTGGGTTGTGCTGGGCAGTCCCCAGAACAGTCCCAAGGTGCCCACAAGCCCAAAAAAGTTTGGCAATCCAAGGTCTAATCACTGCTCCACACTGTCACGTTCAACAGCTAGTGAAATAGGCACTGCTCATAGCATCCTCTAGATGGCTTCCATTAAAAATATTATCATAATGGCAAAATCCCTGCTTCAAAATTTAATCTCTGTGTGTACCATATTATTTTGCCTATAGTTAAGAAACGCCTTGCTGAATCAGACCAAAAATTATTAAGTTGTTGTGGTCCTCTTAAGTTTTGCTGAAACCACAATAAGCCACACCTAAGGAAACCAAGCAGAGACCTAACCATGGAACACTAAATGGATAGCATACAGTAAGTAGGCAGAATAGAGCCGTCCCTTATTTCTTATTTAAAGCTGATCTTATAACTGGAGAATTGTATTTGAGTTTTCCCTTTGCAAGAGTAATTTCAATGGTGATGGTGATAGGAGTCAAGCTTAGAAATACACCAGACATTTTCAAAGCCAGTATAAGTGAAAAAGGAAATAGATAAATAATATTGGAGTAAACCAACACTTTCAAAAGATTCTAAGCACTGGAAAGTCCCTGGATGGCTGCCAAATCTATCCTAATGTGCAGCCCAAAGCTGAGGGAAGAAATCAAGACACAAAATACTTTGGAAAGCATCCCAAAGGACAAGCTAAAAGTCAATATTTTCAGGATAAACTGCCTAGAGAGGGAAACTGCCATGAACGTTTTAGGGGTCCCAACTCCAGGTTCCTGAATGTACCTCATTTTCTGCTCCTCCACAGGAAGAGTTGTGTATGTGCTCCTACCTAGACAAGTTGTGTAAGAATCTCTGTGCACTAGCATTGCCAATTTACTTTGCATATTCCTTTCGAAACAGGCAGCTGGAGAATAAGGACCCCAGAACCTTGCATGTGCCACCCTGTCTACAGCTGCAGCTTCGTCTAGCCTGCAAGGCTAGGAATTACCCATTCCTAGTTACCACCAGGAACAAAGATATAACTGGCAGCTTTTCTGTGGCATGTAATTGCTAGTAGCGATAATATGAATACTATGAATTTGGTGCAAATGGAATTTGTCCTCACATCTGCAGAGAGAACCATGACTGATGACGTGACAAGTATGTATTTGAGGTTATCCCTCAGCATCTTCTGTTGATCTGCCCTTTTGTTCTTCTATTGATCTGCCAGTTCGTGATGGCTTCTTGGCACGAGACAGATGCACTTTATTTCGGAAGAAAATCCCCGCTTAAAGAAGATCTGATGCTTTTGAAACAGAGTTCACTATACTTGGTTCCACAAGTGTTGGGAGAGCTTTTAATATTTTAAATCTTAAATGATTCAAACCATTAAAAAATTAATCTTCACCAATGAATCTCATTTGTTGCTGAAGTTTCATCTTACAACACCATTTCAAAGATGATGCAGCTCAAGATAACCACAAGATTCTCCAAGTAGACAAACACACACACACACACCTCTTCCAATTGCCAGCAGATAGAAGTATATAGTGAACCTGCTCATTTGAGTATACAGAATGGCAGATATGTGATTCAATATAACCACAGCACTCTCGAGTAACTTGTCTCCATTGATACCTTGGCAAAATATTTACTCACCTTTGCAAAATGGTAAAATGGAAAGTAATACCCAATAGCATAAAGGTCAGCTGTGTGTGTGTGTGTGTGTGTGTGTGTGTGTGTGTGTGTCAATACTGGTGAACATTTTGGAACCTGGTTAAATATTTAAGTGCTTAAAATCCAAACTGGAAAATAAAGCCAATTTCTCGATGGGGGCCAGGCAGGAAACATATCCCTGAGTTGCAGCTATTGCATGCTGGCGCTGAAGCCAAGTAACATCATACTTTGTAGAAAGATTAAAACATCAAGTTCTGCCTACGTTTATGAAATAAACTGCAATATTTTCCTATACAGCAAAATGAAGTTTTGGATGAGGGGAGAAGAAAGTGACTACTGGTCATTGTTTCTTTCTAACAATGGACTAGGTGGTGCGATAGATGCATCTGGTCCCAACCTGGTGCCCTTTGGATGTTTGGGATTACAACTCCCACCAGTCCCAGTCAGCACAACCGTGCTCATGGGAGTTGTAATCCAACCTATGAGGAAGGCTGCTTTAATGAGTTAAAAGTGTCATTCATTCTTTTCTTCCAGAGACACAGAAGGTTGCATCCAATGTGAGTTCTATTCAGAGCTGAACCACTTAAGTTAATAGACCTGAATTAGAAATGTCTATTCATTTCAGGGTTGCTAAACTACAGTTTCCTGTTGTGTCTGAACTGCAAAACTGGTTTAACCCTACTACAAACCAGGCTCTGATTCTGGGTTGACATCTTGGGTCTGCAGTTGACATTAAACCATCATCATGCAATTTTTGAAGATGAAGCAAGACCAATGGAGGAAACCGTATTGCAGAGATGTTGACACACGTGTGTGTGTGTGTGTGTGTGTGAGAGAGTTGCCAGTGCCCATAATGCTGTAAGTGCTCTATAAATGTTTAATAAATATTGATGTATCATTTGAGAGAGAAAAGGCAGCTCTAGGATTTTTTCAGATCTCTGCATCTTACATTACAACTCACTCCAAAGGGTACTAAATTCTATCCCAGAAGATGAATGGCACTTGTATTATTGTTATGCAGAGTACATTGAAAGGAAGTAAATGAACAAACAAGAACTTACTATTTTTGAAGGTGGGAGGTCTGGCAAACTCTTCTGAGGTGGAGACAAATGCTGTTCCACTTCCCCATTTGTCAAGGAGTCTCTGCAACCCAACACTGCAGCCCAAACAGAAATAACAACATGCAAACAGTCCATCACATAGACCAAGCTCAGAAACATTCTTGGATGCTGTGCTTTTGTTTTGGAGGAAGCATTGCATTAAATTAGAGAGCATATTACAGACCACAAAAATGGCATTTGATACCACCTCCAAGAATATGGCGAAAAAGCGGCTAGGGACACGCTCTCTTGCTAGTTGTGGGTTTGCTGGCACATATTTGCTTGACACTGCAAAGACCAAGATGTCTTAAAAATAATCTGTCTACTTGCAGGGCAAGGCTGACGTCTATATTGAGCAGTCCTAAGTATTCACCCTGTCATTACTGTTGGTTTTAACTTGCAGGGACAATTCAGTCTTTTCCTAAATCCAAGCAAACAGAACTCACACTGAGAAAGAGCTACAATCTCAGCAGGTGGGGAAATACTTCCAGCCAATTTTCAGCTAGTTGGCAGGTGAAGTGCTGCCTCCATAATCCTGGGATCCATGGTGTATTAACAACCTAGGGAGGTGTGGAAAGGTAGTACAGGGCTCTGGCTATATTAGCAACTGAAGGGAAGAAGCTCACTTCTCCTCTGCAGGGCCTGACTATGAGTGGAAACAGACGACTGCTAATCACACAGTAGCTGCTTAAAACCACATGACTCTTGCTTAAAGATTTCACACAGAAGCACATAATGGAAAGCAGTGACCTACAGACTTCAGAATGGCTGCAGGGGGCTTTTGAACATAGGTAATCCTAGGCAACATAAACAGTCCTGCCATCCAGGGGCAGCTGGTGGCGAGGGCACTGTCATGCAGCAGGGCTCCCCCTTAGTGGTGTCACTGTGCTCACTGGGAGGGAAAAGAGGGACACATCAGGGAGATCACTGCTGTGCTGGAGCAGTGGCTGGAGGGCCCTACTGGTTCTGCCACTGCACCTGCACAATGCTGACCTCCCTGCCACCTCACCTCTGCCTGTAAGCACAGTGGTGCCTTTTTACACCAGCCATTCTCCCCCCCACCCACTGCCATCTTCAAATATGGTGGTGGAGATGCACATTCTCATCCATGCCCATATGGAGACTGCTTCATAGAATAAGCAATTCAATGTCTGAAGTGGCCCTATGATTCCCCCAAACAGCCCCAGCAAACCTGGAAGCACAGATACCAGCCCTGGAAAAACGGGCATGAATTTTGCTGCACAAACATACAATATAAGATATTAGAAGCACTGTTCTTTTCAGACTAGCTGGGAAGCCACAATAACAGCTGTGCATCCACATCCTTTCATGGGGGTAATAGGGTTCTGGTGTAAGGCTGCGAGCAGCAAAGCAAAATCCAGAGCACCCAGTGATGTTATTAGCCAAGTAAATTGGACATCTGCCTCCCTTCCCTTGGCTTCTTGGATTTCCTGATCTTTGTTTCTACACATCTTAATTAAGAGGCCCCTGAAAGCAGCTCTGCATCCTGCGTTTCTCCATCTATATCTGCATGTCAAACCCAGGGAGGGTTGCCGCTAAAGCTAAAATGGATCAGTGAACATGGGCAGAGTTTACCATGTCTGTCTGGAAGATGGGTAGAGGAAGCACAGACTTAACAGTGAATTGGTACTGTGAGCTGGATGGTGTTTCTTTAAAAAAACGATACATGTGATCCTTTCATGCGTAAGAAGCACATTCAGCAGCGAAATGGGGAAGGGCCATAGCTCAGTGGTAGATGATGTGCCTTGCATGCAGCAGGCCCCGGTTCGATTCCCAGCATGTCCAGGTAGGGCTTTGAGAAACCCCCCTCTGAAATCTTGGAGGGCCAATGCCAGGCTGTGTAGGTAATACTACACTGACCTAGATGGACCAATGGTCTGACTCTGTATAAGGCAATCTTACATTCCTACCTTTGTCTGGTTTCTCTGGTTCACCGTGTTGCTTATTGATGGTGACTTTGTTCATGTAAATGTATTCCTCATCACCACCTATGAAGCGAAGAATATAAGCTCATTATTCTCTTGCGTATACTTGCACTGCATAGAAAATCATGCATTGTACAGCAGAGCATCTCGAGCAAAGCATCTCCTGGAGGAATTTTTAAACCATTTGCTTGGTCAGAATGGATATCTGTCCATCTATTTATTTATTTTTTTAAAAAATATTATGGTCAGAGGAGGCTTGTTCTACTGACTTAGCTCAGTGGCGCCTTAACTGACATTGCTCTTGCACAGTTTATCTTGATTGCAGCTAAGAAGCTGTGCACTTTCCACCCCTGGCGGTGGAAGTTTCTTAGAGAGACTCAGCCCTTTCAAAGTTTATCTTCTTATCATTCTTGCAAATTAGATTCAGAAAATCTTGAATGAATTTAAAAATACATTGAGATTAAGAGCAAATGGAACAACAGCTCAGTTGGTTAGAGCATCATGCTGATAACACCAAAGTCACAGGTTCAATCCCTGTAAGAGACAACTGCAGATTCCTACATTGCAGGGGGCTGGACTAGATGGTCCTCAGGTTCCCTTCCACCTCTACAATTATATAATTATACGAAATGAGATTAGCTTCAAGGGCTTTTATATTCACTTCTTTTCTCATGTACCGTATTTTTCGCCCTATAGGACGCAATTTTTCCCCTCCAAAAATGAAGGGGAAATGTGTGTGCGTCCTATGGGGCGAATGCAGACTTTCGCTGAAGCCTGGAGAGCCCCACCGCCAGCCCCACAAGCTCAGGGGACAGCGGGGAGGCGGAACGCCGCCATCCCGCTGTCCCCTGACTTTGTTAGAAGGCTGGCGGGGGGGGGGAGGGAAAGCCTGCTCCTCCCCGTCGCCAGCCCCGCAAACTCGGGGGACAGCGGGGAGGTGCAGCGCGCCATCTCACTGTCTCCCGACCTGGTTTGGAGGCTGGCGGAGGGCTTCCCCCTCCCCCAGCCCCGCAAGCTCCCAGAGCACGCAGCTTCGGCATCACTCTGGGTCCCGTTCTGGGGGCTGGGGGAGGGGAAAGCTCGGGCTTGCGGAGAGCTTCCTGTTCTGGGAGCTGGGGTCGGGGAAGCTCGGGCTTCCCCCGCCCCAGCCCCGCGCCTGGGGGGGGGGGAAATAAATTTGTTTCCCTTTATTTCCCCCCCCCCAAATCTAGGTGCGTCCTATGGGCCGGTGCGTCCTATAGGGCGAAAAATATGGTACATTTGGGTACTGCATAGCAATTTGACAGAACAACCAGCACACATTGAACGTACTGGACTTTTGGAACACGTTTTCTGTGTACCCATTTGTGCGTGTGCGCACGTGTGCATGTACAAATGCATGGGTAGGCAAACTAAGGCCCGGGGGCCGGATCCGGCCCAATCACCTTCTAAATCCGGCCCATGGGCGGTCCAGGAATCAGTCTGTTTTTACATGAGTAGAATGTGTCCTTTCTCTGGGTTATTTGTGGGGCATAGCAACTCGTTCAATTTCCCCCCCAAAAAAATCTAGTCCGGCCCTCCACAAGGTCTGAGGGACAGTGGACCAGCCCCCTGCTGAAAAAGTTTGCTGACCCCTGTACAAATGCATGCACTGCACATATATTCCTGCTACCCAGGGCTAACTCTTTGTGCAAAAAGTAGACTTCAGATTGTGACACAATAAGTAACTTTCCCTTTAACAAAAGACTGTTGGCTGTTTTTACGTGCAACTGGGGAGGCCGTAGTTTAGATGCAAAAGTAGACCAGTATCGGTATCAGCAAACGATAGCTCTGAGAAGCTCTTCTGAAATTAGCGCCCTTTTACACAACTGTGCTTACCACTTGTTTTTGTGCACAGCCTAAGGAGGTCAGTGAGGAAGCTTTTTTTTACAACGGCAGTGCTGCTGAGGTTCTCCTTGTCCAGTATCTTCAGAAAATCTTCAAGTTCTGTAAGCAGTTGCTCCAGAGCTGAAGTAGACATAAAACAGATTTGCAAATGCTATTATGCCCTGTACAGTGGTTAAATATATAAAAGGGATTTATAGCGATCCTTGAAGAACCCAACATTTCTTGAATCAGTTTGCATTTTAAACCAAAACCTATACTTTTAGAATCAGCCCATTTTCCACTGTCCATTTTACCTTACATCTCATGCATTAAATGCAAAATATAACAGCTTGGGACCAGTTTATCTGCAAGATCGCCTTACCCCTTATGTCTACTCAACTGCTTTGATGAATGGAAAGGGCACTGTTAAAGGAGACTCTTGATATTCCATCCACACTTACGGGAAATGGATCTTTTAGCGTGGCAACACTTTTCCTTTGGAACTCCCTGCCTCCTGACATCAGGCAAGTGCCTTCACTGTATTCTTTGCAGTGCCTGCTTAAAACATTTTTACTGAGGCAAAAGTATCCAGACACATATAAGTTACATATGTTTTACCTCTTTTTTTACTACTGTCGATTTCAATCCCCTTTTGAACATTTTTAAATACCTGCTTTTAACTTTTATTCAGAATTTTAATGTTTTATTTTATGTTTTCATAAACCACTTAGAGGTTTTCTCTCAATAAAGCGGTATATAAATTTTATTAAATAAATAAATACATGCAAAAGATACTTTTGGACCAAATTTTTGACTCTCTATACTAAGAGTTGCTGGACTATCTGAATCTTGCAGGAGATGATTCAAACTTTTCTTTTGAATGCTGGAATCTCAACCAACATTAACAACCTTTTCAGTATGCGCACACATAAAAATGACTTATTACAAAACATGTGAAATGTAAGATGTGAAATTTCTCTTGTTCAACACTTGGTGCAAACCTTTTCTTTTCTTACTCCCATTGGATATGCTACTAACAATAACAGAGATTGGATTGAACATAACACATTCAAAATGCTACACTATAATCCACAAGCCAGTCCTTTGCTATTTGTATTCCATTTCATCACCCTTATAACGATGCTCAAACACAGGGAAGATGGCAACATGAGAGACAAGGCCCTAATACTATTAGCTGGGACAATTTAGACAGCTGTGAGTGAAACAGATCTCTGGAACGCTTGCATGATTTAACAAATTTGATTCCCCCAAAGCACCATCCTTTCCCACAAAACAATGCAACATTTATTTGTACGGAGAGATGAACACCTTACGGACAGAATGACTTCTAAAAGTTGACCCAGGTCAGTGTTCTTCAAACGGAGCTATGAATAACATTTCTCTGCATCCACAAATCTAGCCCAACAAACCTGAAGGGGAGATTTTCCCAGACCCTCCTTTCCATCTCTTCCTCCCCTCCTCTTCCAAACATCTGTCTAAAACTTTCTGAGCTGGCACCATTCATTTCCCTAGCAGACTGCCTTGGCAGAAGGCACTTGACTTGCAACGGCTCCATTCTTTGTCTGCTACAGAAAAATCAACAGACCAGCTGATCATTCGGTGCCGGTTTAGAGTAAGCATTCAAGTTGCTGAATGGTGGGTGCTGCTGGCTTTTTGTGGATTTTCCAGTCCATCCTGCCAGGCACATTCCAAGGCTTACAGGGGTCGGCTGCTGCTGTAGGGAAAGGGAAAGTAGATTTGTGATGACAGAAGGAGAAAGCTATTCTCTCCAACTGTGAAAAGAAACAGATGTGTTGGTAGGGGCTGCCGAAGCAGCTGGATGACTTTTAGGAGGACAACGGATCTTCCAAAGGGAACAAAACATGCACTGATACAGAAAAGCAGGCCCTCTGGTGCTACCCACTCGCCTGAGACCCCAGAGAAGAATAAAGACAATGGTGAATTATCCACAGCAGAAGGAGAGGGATCGTTATGCTCATTGGTCTGCACCAGTCGCCAGTGAATTCAACTTAAGCAAAATCAGAGGCATATTTCACAAGATGTGTTGAATTTTTGGGGTGGGGTGGGGGCGGGGAAGGAGCACTGATCTTGAACTTGTTTTGTCTTTTTAATTTGTGAAATACAGCAGGTCGCTATAGAAGGCAATTAGGTGGAAACAGCCATTTCCCATTTTCTTTCTATTTTCTGGCCATGTGGCTATTAAATAAGAATGATCTGGAAAATGAATATTATTCTGTTCCTGTGGTCTTTTAAAAAAATGCACACTATTAGTCACCAATTGACATTTTTAGCACAAAATTATCTTTTAGAAAAACCATGTGGCAAATGAACTCTACTCTATCTCTGCGGATGCGGTCTTAAACGGATGTGCACTTTTAGTCACCAGTTACAATTTTTATCACAGAGAAAAAACATATAGGCTTTTCCCCAAGTATATTTGTCTACTATGGCATGAGGTTGTGAGATCTTGCACTGCAAATTATACAGTGAGGGGGGAAAGTATTTGATCCCCTGCTAAATTTGCCCATTTGCCCTCTGACAAAGGAATGACCAGTCCATAATTTTAATGGTAGGTTTATTGTAGCTGTGAGAGACAGAATAACAACAGGAAAACCCCCAGAAACCCAGAAGACAAAAGTCAGAGATTGATGTGAATTATAATGAGTGAAATAAGTATTTGATCCCCTATCAACCAGCCAGATGTCAGGTTACCTGGTATCTTCACTGTACGTAACGAGCTGAGATTAGAAGAACCTGCTGTAAAGGAGAGGTCTTACCTGTAATCCCAGCTCGTTAAGACACCTGTCAACAGAAGCAATCAATCCAGCAGATTCCAAAGTAGCCACCATGACCGAGACCAAAGAGGTGTCCAAGGATGTCAGGGACAAGACTGTAGACCTGCACAAGGCTGGACTGGGCTACAAGACTATTGCCAAGCAGCTTGGTGAGAACGTGACAACAGCTGGTGCAATAATTCGCAAATGGAAGAAACACAAAATAACTGTCAACCTCCCTCGGTCTGGGGTTCAATGCAAGATCTCATCTCATGGAGTTGCAATGATCAGGAGAATGGTGATGAAGCAACCCAGAACTACACGGGGGGAACTTGTCAATGATCTCAGGGCAGCTGGGACCATAGTCACCATGAAAACAGACATATTATGCTTTGGGGGTGTTTTTCTGCTAAGGGGACAGGACACCTTCACCGCATCGAAGGGACAATGGACGGGACCATGTATCGTCAAATCTTGGGTAAGCACCTCTTTCACTCAGCCAGGGCATTGAAAATGGGTTGAGGATGGGTGTTCCAGCATGATAATGACTCAAAACACACGGCCAAGGCAACAAAGGAGTGGCTCAAGAAGAAGCACATTAAGGTTCTGGAGTGGCCTAGCCAGTCTCCAAACCTTAATCTCATCAAAAATCTGTGGAGGGAGCTGAAGGTTCGAGTAGCTACACATCAGCCTCGAAATCTTACTGACTTGGAGAGGATCTGCAAAGAGGAGTGGGACAAAATACCTCCTGAGATGTGTGCAAACCTGGTGGCCACCTACAAGAAACATCTGACCTCTGTAATTGCCAACAAGGGTTTTGCCACCAAGTACTAAGCCATCTTTTGCAAAGAGATCAAGTATTTATTTCATTCATTACAATACATATCAATCTCTGACTTTTGTGCTCTGGGTTTCTGGGGGTTTTCCTGTTGTTATTCTGTCTCTCACAGCTACTATATACCTACCATTAAAATTATGGACTGGTCATTTCTTCGTCAGAGGGCAAACAGGCAAATTTAGCAGGGGATCAAATACTTTCCCATCTCACTGCATAAGCTCAACACTGACAATATATACCAGGAAACACAGACAGACTGAGAAAGACTCAATAAAACATGGTTTACTGGAACGGTGGATAATCAGTTTTGTTTGTTTCTTTGTTTGTTTAATTTTTATACCACCCTTCATCTAAAGATTTCAAGGCAGTTCACAGAAGATTATGATGCAGCAATCTGCAATAACAAGACAGAACTTGCAACGCTAAATAATGTAGATACTTCTCTAGTCAGTTTCTTTTTTATATAAAAGGAAGTTGTTTGTTTATTTATTACATTTATATCTCACCTTTTCCCAGGGAATTCATGGGATTCCTTGATATGACCCTGCATTCAGATCATCACCAGATCCCAGTCAGCTTACTTTTACCAATGTTGTTGCATCACGTGCATTTAGACTGCTGGTGAAGGGAGTTTTTTTCTCCATTAGGGACCCCTGGCCCACAGAAAACACAATGCTCGGGGCCTGATCCAGCCTTGTCAGGTGAGCCAGACGGAAACAGCTCTCAAGGGCATTTTCAAAGCCTATTTGAGAAGCCTTCTAAGCATTCCTCCCTACTCTGGTCCACATGATTCAACGTTGGCCAACTGGTCTCCCTTTGGGCTGTCTACTCCTCCCCCTGAACCCCCTGCCAAAGCTTCACTGCACAGTGACCACAGACTTGAGCCAACTCTACCTCTCTCTGAACACATTCTCTCTCCTCTCACACACACCGACACATCTGCCTAACAGTACTTGTAGGATGTGAGCTTGTGCTTCAGCACTGCTTCCCAGAGACTTCAGAGCTGGCTGAATTTACTGAAAGACCAGAGGTAACACTGTGGACCAGATACAACCCATGGACTGAATCCCCACCTCTGCTCTAGGCTATGCCTGTGGAACCCAACGGTCAACTCTGCATGCACAGAGGGGAGCAGGATCATGGACCCTACGTGTGTGCTCCCAGGTCTTCAGCCAGGAACTATGGTTATGCCAGGGTTCCCAAATACATACAGGCCTTAGGCATCTACAGTTCTAAGTGCTTTACTCGTTCTTACATTCCACATGACATGCAGAGGTCAGGACTGACAGGCACATCAAGGCTGAGGGGTGGGGCCAGTGGACAAAATCCCACTCCTTTCCATGCACTGATTGAACACATGAACAGGAGAACATGAAAGCAAGGTTTAGGTGAGTTATTGAAAAGTAGTAAGATTTCAACCAAGATGACAACTGAAATACCCTCAATAACCTGGCCCAGTCCAAAACACCCTAGCTTAACCAAGTTCTCCCAACCGTTTATGGTTGCCCACTAGGCTCTAGTACATGGATGTGGACCCTCAGACCAAATGCTTCCATGGGTTTCCATTTGGTCCTCAGGACTCTCCCCAGCCCACACCCTTCATCAACACTCCTTGGGTGCTTTTGCCTAGCTGCAATATGTCCTTGCAGTGTGATAATGCCTCTTGCTTGCCCGGTGCGAACTACACAAGCCAAGCCAACTAGAATGGATGAGGAAGACAGTATCTATTGTTCACAGGACATTTGCAGGAGAGCACACAGAATTCCTTCCTCCCCCTCCACTCGCACAAGGGACTTTCCAATCTCAAAGCATCCATCAAAAAAAATATTAGCCTTGTCAGTTTCAACAGCCAAGAATCTGTGGAAAGCATAGCATTTGTCCAAGGTACAGAATTTTGCAGTTTAGGTGCTTTGAGGAAAATGTGAGAATCTTGCAACAAAGGGGGCAAACTTGGGAGAAGTGCAACACATCACAAAGCAACAAATGAACATCTAATATGCATTTATTGTGCAATAACGACGGTGAAAGCAATTCCAGCAACTCTAATCATACCTCAGAAAGATTTAATGTCTGGTTTTGGAAACTCCTATTTGAACAGTTTGGCCTTGTCTTCCTATACAACATGAAACATGGCGAGGGAGACAATGGGCCTTGTTGCTTGTGGGCAGAGTGCCCAACTGCTGAACCCAACCAGCACAATATGGGCCATTCTGGAAGTCTGGACAATCATCTTATTGATGAACTGTCATCTCTAAACCAGGAACTCTGAACTTTAAGTAAGAGACAGCAGAAAAGGCAGACAAGGCTTTCCAGTTTGCTGAACAAATGACAGACTGGCTCCCCTCCTCCTTCACAGGGTGGTGGGAGGACTCAAGAAGCGGAAAAGAGAAAAGAGAGAAAGTGCTTGAAAAATGCCCAGAAGGCTCAATGAAGGAACGGCACTCCTGTCCCCTGCTCCCACACTATGAACAATCACATTCTTCCAAGTGCCTTATTGCAATGCTCAAAATTAATATAGTGAGATCCTTCATAAATAAGTGACTCCCAGTTTTCCATTCTGAGCCTTTGCTTGTAGTTTTGCTCTGGATTCAGATCACAGCACAGGGAGGGTTCCCCAAATTAACATCCTTAGCCTGAGGTTTGAATTTTTGACTGGAAGCACACTTCCCCTTCTTAACAATGCTTCCTCTTTTTTTGCTAGAAAGCTTGACATCCGAAAGTTGACTCAAAGCCTTTGGCTGTCCAAGTGCTGTCTCAGCTTCCGACAACTTTTTCCTCCAGCAAAATCAACCCAGCATATTGTGGCATGTTTACCAGCTCCAAAAAACTCTACATGGAGAAGACAACATCAACTTGATGGTGGTCCCATTTGCTTCCTCACCAAGGTTGAGAATGTACATGCATTGGGTACCAAACATTCTGCCTTTGGCCAGATTGTCATATGGAGAGATATATGGTCCTTCTATGACATCATTAAAAGTAGGGTTAGTGTCTTGCCATCAGTGCAGATACTTGTGGAGCAGCGGGGAGTGGTGAACTTCAGCTTTCTGTACACTAACTACTGCAGTGTGTGGGCTAAAGACTTCACATGTTGTTGGCATCCACCTGTCTCAAGAGAGAATGGAGTGTGCCTCTGGGGGTGAAGTCAAACTGCTGCATTAGCATCACTGAAGTGACCTTTCTGGGGCACAAGCCTCGGCAGTGTGTATGGGCTGCTCAGACAGCAGGACCTCCTTCTCGGCCTCGCTGATGTGGCCCAAAGGAAAGCAGAGAAATACGTTTGGCACCAGCTTGGCTGCAGGAGTTGCTGAAAGGAGGCATACAAGGTGCCGTCCAAATCCCCTCTATTTGTGTAGGGTTTACTTCCTAAGCCTTTTCTTCTCCCAAATATATCCTGTAAGGCAGTGGAGGTTTAGAATCAGAGTTTTCCTTCTCCTAGAGTCCCAGGTTGATGAGCCCCATCTGCCCCTCACTTCCCTCCACAGCAGCCTTTCTCAACCTGTGGGTCCCCAGATGTTGAACTACAACTCCCATCACCCCTAGCTAGCAAGGCCAGAGCTCAGAGATGATGGGAGTTGTAGTCCAACACAACATCTGGGGACCTACAGCTTAAGAACGGCTGCTCCACAGCATGTGCATAAACTGCGTTCTTGACTGTTGGAACCAGTATTGATCATATCTGCTCAATCCGCAGTAGCCTTCTTAACTCACCAAGGGCTTGAGACCCATCCTCACCTGGTTTATCCAGCCAATTGAAGCTGCTTCCCAGGGTGTGGCCACTGTTGCATGAAGACAGCTTCTAGGAGCCACAGGCTTGACATGCCTTCTCGCATATTACAGGCACAGAAACCAGGTGACAGATAGGAAAAGGGGGAAGTAGATGCATCAAACAGGTATGAATATCAGAAATTAGAATAGAGCGGTATATTGCAGAAGGAGAAAGAACTTGCCAGCAAAAATTTTATTTCATATTCTATCCAGGAAAATAAGGGAACTTTTGTGATCACATATTCTTTCCCTTTGTTCTACAATGTAGCTATGACTTGAAATTCTATGTTAAACCAACAACAAGCAGCTTGATGGCATTCTAGCCAGGGTTGTAACTAATCAGTTCTTTGCCACACAAATGGCAATTATGGACATTAAAGAAAAAATGGTTGCCTGGTCAGGGAAAACAAATATTTTACAAGTGATGGTAACTGCCCCTAACTAAATTTATTTCCTCACAGTATAACTCACTCTGTAAGCCTGCCTTTCTTGTTGAATCAAACACCATCATATTCTCCATCACTGTAAACACTTGTAATTAAAATCCTTGTAGATTAAAAAAAAAAGAATTGGGGAAAAGAATTGCACGTGTTTCACTGCAGTGCAGTTTTCTTTATCAGTGTATTCACTGGCAAATGACCAGCTATTTTAAAAGCCAGCATACCAATTAATAATTCAGAAACATATAATTTTCCCACCATCAAATCTGACCTAGTAGCACAGAAATTAAAAATGTCTGAATAGTTTGAATTTACATAATTATGGATTTGGGGTGGATTCTGTTTGGCTTATGACCACAGGGGTGTGCGTATGTTACATGCAATGAGTGTACATAGAACACAGCAAGTTTCTACTAGCTCAGTAATGTCTAGACTGTCAGATAGCAGCTCTCCAGCGTTTCAGACAGGCTTCTCTCCCAGTTCTACCTGAAGATGCTGGGGACTAAGCCTGGGCCTTCTGCATGCAAAACAAATGCTCTGCCACTGAGATATGGCACTTCCCTATGCAATCTCTATACTTGTCTATGTGAATGAGTTGAGCTGTACAAGCTTTCAAACCCTTAACTCTCCCACATACACCATGCAGTGCATGGGCAGTAGGATGTGACTGAGTGCAAAAAACAGTCTGTTATTTGTTAATGTTCTTCAAAGACTTAAACCAGCAACCATGTCCTTGTGCTTTATTAAGGGCTGCTTCTGACACTGAGACAAAAATGTGACTGTGCTCACATAGCAAGAGGTGAGAAAACATCTTGGGTTGGATCCAGAACTAGCCATGCTTAGAGAAAACACACTGAAATAAATGGCACACATTATCCATCACGAACTTAAGGCCTACTGATTTCAACGCACCCCTCCAGGGCTGGGGATGTTCTGGGGCTCAAAACTCCCATAATGTCCAGGCAGCATAATCAGTGGTCATGGAGGATGGAAGTTATAGTCTCACAATATCTGGAAGGCCACAGGTTCCCCATGTGCAGTCTACTCTAAGCATGACTAAGTCTGGCTCAAGCCCAGGAGGTAGCAAATATAGCACAAACCCACTTCTCAACAAGGATACATATTTTGTGGGAAAGTATCCAGAGTCTGACAAATGTACATGTATGTATTTTAAGACACAGATGCTTGCATCTGCGTCTTTAAAAAGTAACACTGAAGGTGGCCTTTAACTGCCCTGAAGTCCCAGACTTGGCAAAACAGCCATTTATCGGATAGAAGAGATTTTGTTACTTAGCCTAGCCCAGACTTTGTTTTATATAAACAGAAGCCTATTATCTAGAGAGAATGAGAAGTTGCATTAAACCTCTAAAAGGCCATTAGATAAAACACTCTGAAGGTATCACTAATCTTGCCCTGGATTTAAGAGCTAGGTTATTGTTTTTATGCAGTGTTTCAGCATAAAAATCATTGGCAAAAAACCCCTAAAAAACTGCTGATGAATGTGTTTGTGCTCTGTCAGTAACTCTCATTAACTCAAGCCTTCTTGAAACATTTGATGCTTATGTTTTACTCTTTAATCTCTATTTTGCACTAACAAACCTCCAAGAGATTATTGCAGCTCAACTGTAATTTAGTGATTTCTCTTTTCTCAGCATCACTGTTTGATTATTGCTTACATTGTACACTGTAATTTAAGGACTGCCTCCAGAGACAGTTTCTGAAGCTCTTCTCACTTTCCAAATTCAGAATTGGCAGAAGTCAGCAGAGTTCAGTTCTACAGCTTGGTCTGAACTTTACCCAAAGGTCACAGAGAGAAATTTGGAGGTGCTTGACTGGAAGACCCATCTCACATGATTTAAGATCATCCATTCAGATAGGTGAATCAATGTAAGAATTCAGTCCTTTAATAAGAAGCCTGAAATGATCAAAGCTGCTGGGAAGTCTATAAATTACTTTGTAGTAAAACCACCCCGTCGATAATAAGTAAAATTTAATGGTTCAGCTATTCAAACATCAGAATTTGAGACATTATTTATGGGAGTTGCAGTCCAACAGCATCTACAGCAGGGATTTCCAAATTGTAGTCTGCGGACCAGCAGTGGTCCACGAGCTTCATTCAGGTGGTTCACAGAATGTAAAAATAGACAGAAAAATCTGCCAAGGCCCTCAGCAATTTCCAAGTGGTCTGTGGAGGACTACTGATCTAGAGGTACACAGGTTAGCCACGCCTGTCCTATGGTGCTAATGGGTTATAAAGGAAGACAAAACATACAGCCATGAAAATATTGTTAGCACCTAGCCTACCGTATTGTTATACTGCTATTGTTAGCACCTAGCCTATAACTTAACTCTCCAAACAAGCTTAATGGTTTACTGTATGTTCACTTTTGTGCCCAATACAGAGAAGCTATCCCTAAACTCTAGTGGCATTAGGATGTTAACAGACTCACAGGTTTTCTGTAAAGGGAGACACCTCAATTCAGTTTTAATAAACCCCATTCTGAATATCTTAGTCTAGTGAAGGTTCACATTCTAGGTACCATGGCTGTTTCTTGGTGGGTCACTGCTATCTAGAACCAGTACAAACAGATTTTACTTTTGCAGGAAACAGACAAAACTGATACCTCTGAAGGGTCACACACATTGCTTTAAAAATTTCAGCTGCAGGGGGAAAAACACAAGTAACTGGAGATTACTTCTGCTTAGTTTCTTAATAATGATCTGGAACAACTCCTTTCAGTTTCAGGCTTAATTCAACCCAGGATGTAGTTATTATCTTACAAAACAGGAAACACCCTTAAATAATCATTACATATTGGGGAACAAAAATATATTGTTTCTTCAATCTTCAGAGGACTTGAAAGCCAATATCTAAATTAAAACTTGGAAGCTGGGTAACGTCACTATCCTATTTTAGGAGCAGGGCAGACAGGATTGCTTTCTTTTTTATTGTCTCATGAAAATCTCAAAGCAAATTGACAGTACAATTGAAGTGCAAAAATTATTGAGCCTTGAGACCTTGCTCAAAACACACATTTTGATCTGAACAAAAGACACCAGGAAAGAAGAAGCAGCAGTCTCAGCTATCGCCCTCTCCTGCCCGAAACAAACCAGGACTGTGCCAAGAAAATGCACGTGGCAAAAAGGAGCACTAGGTCCTGGTGGGCTACCCCCTTACCCGCTTGTGATTGGCCAAGAGGGTAACCAGCCAATCAGGATTTTCATATATATTTTTTCCTTTCCCCCCCTTCACTTCTCACTTTCCTCTGCGGCCCCCTAGCCTCAGGCTATGGCCCCCCATTTACACATTTTTCACCTGGGGCCTCCTTGGAATATCCTGGGGCTCCCCTAGAATATCCATGGGGCCCTAGGGGGCCATATGGCCCCGGGTTGGGAAACACTGGCCTTACCTATATGTAGTCTATTTGTAGCTGGGCACATCAAAGAGGACATTAATTCAAGACACCATTAATTCAAGACACTCAGTGGAGCATATGCTTGTACAACAAGAACTATGGGTGGTATACAACTAAGTTCCATTTAAATTAATGGACCTAACTTAGTCAAGTTCCTCTGTTTCAGTGGGTCTACTCTGAGTAAAAGTTAGTTGAAAACACTCTGTATATTTAAATATAAGCTGATGTCCAACCATCATAAAACCAAAACATGGTACATACAGCAAATAGCTCCCGAGAAGAGCACACTTGTAGTCCTAACTGTTTATTTTCTGTTTGTACTTAAGGTAAACCACACATTCCATTTTTAGCCAACATGCAGACACGGAAGCAGACACAACTCAGCTTCGACTGCATGGGGAGCTTAGAACTATGAAGATCGGAGGAGCATTGGTTCATTACATGTGAACAGAGGATGTGTAGCCTACACACACACACATACACACACTGCAAGCACATTCCAGAATGTACAAAATGGGCCAACAAAAATAGTAGTCAGAACATGAACAAGTGGGGTAGAAGATCCCCCTAAATAACCTGAAAACAAACAAAAAGAATGCAAGGAAATACAAAGTAGCTTCAGAAGGAGGACTAACTTTACCAGTGTCATGTTGTTCTGACATACATAGAAAATGGCCTTTTACCAAGGTAGAGCATTGGTTATTCTAACTCAATGTCATCTATACCAGGGCTGGGGTTCTTGTGACCATCAAGCTATCTTGAACTCCAACTCCCATCCGCCTCAGCTAGCATGTTCCATGGTCAGGGGTGAGGGAAGCTGTAGCCCAATAATATCTGGAAGGCCACTGGTTTCCCACTTCTGACCCATGCTGAGTGGCGGCAGGGATTTAAGATGGCAGTCTTTCCCATCCCCAACTTGGAGATGTGAGGACTGTGTCAGCATATAAGATAGTAGCTCTGCCTCTGCGCTACCCCACTCCCAATTACATTTCTGTAGCAAACTTTAATTAATTATAACAAGGTTTTCTGTATCAAAAGGAGTCTCAGTTGTTTATTCCCAGCTTTACAACCCATGGTTTATCAAGTCTAGAATGACTGAACCAGGTCATGAGCTTAATTTGATTCCATTACGGCAAACTCAACCTAGATTAAAAGACCTCTTTGCTTTTACATATGCATGCATGCATGAAATGTGTGTCAAAGCTTCCATGATTAAAAACTGAACTTTTCCTCATCCTTTTCAACTCCCCGCACCCCCAAGACATAAGTGATCAAGAGCGCGCAAAAATATTTCCACCTTTCTTTTTATTTGTATAATTCTTCTTTGATAATACTGAGACAGAAGATTACTGAGCTGACACATTTTGTTTCCAGAAAGCCCCCATTGTCTGAGCTGCATTCAAAAGAGATTTATGTAACATCTACGACAAAAACAGGAGGAAGATGGAAAGCCTGAACAAAAGGGAAAGGAGCTGAAAATGAATATTAAACATGGACTTTATTCAACCACCAGTTATTAGGGTTCCCACCTTTTTCATGTAGAGGCAGGAATTAATCTTTCCCAGTCACTACAGTTTTAAGTTGGGGAGATACTTCACAGGTTCACTTTCATCTGACATACAGCTAGTGAGAGCACCATGACTTCAGAAGATCCTTCAGTTTCAACTCTCAGAAGCAATAACCCATCCTAAATAGCAAGAAGAAAGCTTTTTTGGGGGTGGGTGGATTCCTCGTTCTTATAGAATTGTACTACCCATAACAAAAGAGATCAGTTATATGTAGAATGTAAGGCTGCAAGATTCGAGTCTACTTGAACTCTGTGCATTTTGAAAGCTTGGTCCAGAAAGCTCAGGTGCTAGCGGAGGTACATTAGGGCCAATTCAGATAATCAGCAACCACCTTGTATCCACTTGGCATGTGCCCCACATATTGCGGAAGCTGTCCCTGCTAGCCTCCTTCCATACAGTGAGGTCAGCATCCCTACCTCTCAGTATCTTTCTGCTTCTGTGAATTTCCATGTAATTGTGAAGGGATACTAAATGCTAGACTTAACCACATGGCTGGAAAGTAAGCTACACTTAGGAGCAGACTACAAACAATGGGCTGGTTTGGGTGCAACTCTAAACCCTAGTTTAGCATTATGAGAATTATTATTATTATTATTATTATTATTATTATTATTAAAATCAATCAATCAATCAATCAATCTTTATTACGGTCCAGAGGCCCAACAAATCGTTACAAAGCAATGCACAATTCAGACAGCCTACCTCCAGGTTAAAAAAGCATTTTGTTCTGACTTAAAGATAGGGATCATTGGTTTTTGCAACCACCAATAAAAACTTCGCCACTGCTAATGTTCTAGCGTTTGTCCGGACTTCCAATAGGAACCTGACATAGTGAGCCTCTGATTTTCCCAGGAAAGGTACCAGCAAGGGTAATATCAGTTCAGCCCTGGCTTGCTCATATTTCGCACAGTGCAGCAAAATATGTTTTATAGAATTGATGTCTTGATTATTCAAATTGTTATACTACCCTTCATCCGAGGGTGGTTTACAATAGAAAAACACACAAATACATAACAAAGTAACAAACAAAAACAATTACCCCCACTACAGTTTAAAAGGACGAGGCAGGTGGTGGATCTAAGGGGGAAGGGGGAAAATGCAGCCACACAAATATACCACAAACATATTTGCAGGAGGGACAGCAGGAACCCATTCATTTTAGGTTAAAGGCACTTAAAACCAAAACAACAACAATAAGGTTCTGACACACATCCAAGATCTTCCCATAATCCAAGCACATTAGACGAAGGCGAGAAGGCAAAACAGAGAAAGCTCAGGGGACGTGGAAACACCCAGCCATTCCCAAAATAGGAATAGATCAGATAATCACAGCTGGAACATGCATGGGATTGTACTCCCTTTGCATACCGTGGCCTAACAATGCCGAGCTCTCACACGCAGCAGTGCAAACAACGGGGTCAGGAAGTCCATTCCTTCACTAAAAATACTATGAGAAAGAAGGCTGAAAGCAGACTCAGACTCATGCCACTCACCACCCATTTTCCAGTGGCATAAGACTGAAAAAACCGGCAAGGGAAAGGCTGTTTCTTTGGAACAGAAAACTCTGTTCAAGAGGCTATGAAATCTAGGTATCTCCATGGGAAATGAGACCTGGGCCGTGGCAAGCTAAAGGAGAGGGAGTCTCCAGTTTGGGTGAGGGGGATGGACCTGTGGCCCTCCAGATGTTGAGAGTTGGGAGTCAGACAACATCTGGGAGGAACTCAGGTTCCCTATCTCTGATCTAATGGAAAGTCCTTCAAATAACCTTTCTATCTGATTATTAATTTATACAGTGCGTGTATGAGAGTCATATGTGATGATAGACCAGGGATCTGCTAAAGAAGTTGTTGAGAAAAGCAGTGAACAGGAATGAAAGAATGCAAAGAAGCTGGGGTTTTTTGAGGTTGGGGGTGTATCTGTGGGCCATCCCAAACTCCCTTTTCTTATCACAACTGCTGACCTCTTAAAATCTGACTCACGCCTAGATGCCTTTTGGTCTTTTCCAAGTGAGTCTGTCACTGCAACATACAAAGGGTAATGGATTTCTTAATATATGGTGCCTTATCTGACAATTTGCCAAGAACCAGAACCTCTCTCTGTGGTCTGCATGCAAATAAAGTGCCCTTTGCACACAAGAGACCCCAAGACGGGACCTGGCAGCAGGACCACGCAGAAAAATAAAACAACACAAAATTATTGTAAAACCAAATCCTGCCTTAAATGCCTGACAGGTGTAGCCATACACCTGGAGTTCAGAAAGGAGGATGCCTGTCTAATCTCATTTGGTAGGGACATAGGCCTGGACCCACCACACTGAATGCAAACAAATGCAAATCTTCAGGTCTATCTTAACTACACAAACAATGGGTAGGGCCGGTGATACAGCTGTACACCCAGCCCAGCAGTGGAGCTCTACTTCCCAGTCACTGTGGCAATTAACTTCATGCACATAAAGCATGGGTGGCTAAACCTGTGACCCTCCAGGTGTGGTCAAACTAACTCCCATCAGCATGGAGGGAGCTATTATTTTATTTTTTTAGTGTTGTCGTCTGAAAGCCAATTCTCTCTCTACTATTTTTCTCAGCAGCTCTTCCATGTACCTGCTGAGAGCATAAAATGGAGGAGGAAGTGGGAATCCAGGTAGGCTGCCCTGTGCTCCTTGCAGGAAAGATGAGATAAAGATGCTGCTCACATGAAATGGAAAGCTGGAAACAAAAGTCCCCAAAGTTAGTATCCCAGTTCCTCCTCAGGCTTAGGAACTAATTCTCCATTCACTTCTCACACATAAAAAAGATGAAACAAATGGCATTCTAATCTTTTAATTACATGAAACACAATGACTTCAGCAACTAGAAGTTTCCCGCACCACTCAATCGCCCAGGAGTTTTGATCCTGCAGAAAAGGGGGAAAATAGGTTTCTGAACCATTTTTATAGGCTTCTGGGGGGAAAAAATATATTTAAAAGGTACTTTATTATTTGATCCTGGTCTTGAATTAACTCCATGATGGGAAAACTAGCCAATTAGTGTAGGTTTCTGAATTGCGGGTTTATCTGGTGGGTGTGTCTATGTGTTATGAACTGCTTAGCATTTTATAAATGCTTTTGGTTGGATAGGAGTTGAAAACACTGCATCCACTGTTCTTCTAGCTTCCGACATTCTTATGCAGAGGACTCCCACTTCCCCACATGCCCTTTTGAAGGGTTTTCCAGCTTTCCTCTTGAGTAAACAGTGTAAGTCAGAAAGCTTCTCTCTGAATTGACTCGGCCTATTTTCCCCATTGAAGCTTAAAGCTGTGTTATCAACTGTGGGGTACAAGGGAGTGCAGAGTCTTATTACAGAGGGAAGCCTAGTTTTATTTGCTTGGATGGACATTGTTTTGCTATGCAGAGTCCCATCACCTATCAAAGACAATTGCCAAGCACAAATGGAGAGGCTGAATCAGCACTAGTCATTTATGCAGGCAAGAAAATCTTCTTCCAAGGTGCATGATTCCTAAACCGACTGCCTTGGGGACAAACAGGACTCTGCCCAAAACAATTCTCCACCCCAGTCTTTCAAATGCAGCTGCCGATGTAGACTTTGAACTGCTGCCCATTACAACAGTGTATATCAATTTCATCTTGAGTTAAAAAAAAACCCAACTCCCATACTCCAGCTCAAACATCTGAGGTGTTGGGGCCTTTGGCACAACCCCACTGTGCTAGAGGGATGGAAATGATGACAGTGGCAACACTTAAAGAGGAACAGATGTTGCACTTATGTGGGGATCTGATCTGGCCAGCTGACTTTTGCATTATTTGTACGAGACCTTCCACTGCCAGGTCATCTGGGCAGGAAGATCCCAGTGAAAAAAACAGTGAACATCCACACATTTAGAAAGTACATCATCTTTCTACAGTCTTTACCAAGATGAACTCTGACAGCTTGCCCGGAATGCAAACCCCAAATCTACTCATCATAATTTACATAAGAAGGGCATCAAAAAGGCAGCAGATGTGAGGCTTTCAGTGTGTTAGGCAGATGTATTTATGGACATGAAGAAGATGCTAAGGACGTAGGAATTCCTTCCTGAGCCACCATCTCATTCGACCGAGATTTTGGATAAATCTTAACTGGAAAAGTCAGAGTATGGACCAGTAGCACCACATAGATACAGAATAATATAAACACCCTAGCACTGTTTTGAAGTAAATGCTGTGTAAGGTAAAGGTAAAGGGACCCCTGACCATTAGGTCCAGTTGTGACCGACTCTGGGGTTGCGGCGCTCATCTCACTTTATTGGCCGAGGGAGCCAGCGTATAGCTTCCAGGTCATGTGGCCACCATGACCAAGCCGCTTCTGGCGAACCAGAGCAGCGCACGGAAACGCCGTTTACCTTCCTGCCGGAGCAGTACCTATTTATCTACTTGCACTTTGACGTGCTTTCGAACTGCTAGGTTGGCAGGAGTAGGGACCGAGCAACAGGCGCTCACCCCGTCACGGGGATTCAAACCGCCAACCTTCTGATCGGCAAGTCCTAGGCTCTGTGGTTTAACCCACAGCGCCACCCGCGTCCCAAATGCTGTGTAGGTGTTATGTAATAGAACCAACTAATGTAAGACTATGGAAGTTCATCCTCTGAGAGCAGGGATGGGGGATTGGTGGTCCTCAAACTCCCATCAGACTCAGCCAGCATGGCTAATAGGAGTCAAAGTTCAACAACATCTGGAGGGCCACAAGTTCCTGATCTCTGTCATAGGGGATTCCACTGATGATCAAACACACTTGTGATTTTGCCTGTTTTACTACAAGGTCATTGTTGAGGCACAGCTGCTAAGCAGCTGTGGAGAATCGCAGGAAGTTATCACTTCAGATCACACTCATTCTCATCGCACAGAGTCATTTTCCCCTTTATCATGCACTTTCACTTGAGCCACTGAGTTAGAGGAAGTTAAAGACGGTCACTCAGATAGGATACATACATCAAAGCTTCGTGTATCAAGCTCTTCCCATATAGTCATGGGAGATCACTACCAGCAACCCCTACGTGTGAGGCAGCGAGCTAGAGCTACTTATTGTTTATTTCATTTCAGCCACCAACTACACAGACCGCACCCATCATTGTATTTGATACAAACAAAAAAGAGACACACGGCATTACACCCAGGCTTGCAATCTACTAAACTAAGGGCTATTCCCTTTGGATTTGTTCTGAGAACAGAATACATCAACGACTCAGTATTCAAAGTCACCCAGACTGAAACACTGGAAGTTCCTTGGCTTCTGGGTTGTGACCTGCTGTTACTGTACATTTTGACCATCCAATTAAAAATTGGCAAATCTTTGCAAACAGCTGGAGTTTTTTGTGTGTTTTTTTGTAGAATAGGAAAAAATAACCACCACCCTTCTAGATTTCTCAGCAGCTGCTTTTCAGGAATGCGGAGTTAAACTTCCAGCAGACAAACTTTGAGAAAAGAAGACCCTCTCCTCAACACACACTTCTAGGGGCTGTTTAATATGTTATGATCTACTTCCATGGGTGTAATATCCATATTGGAAAACACCAGTTTGCCTCAATGTGTGACTTCTATGCTACATGTGCAAATGAAGGCAGCACCTGCCCAGTACATGAACTTTCAGAATGAACAATGGAGATTGTCTCTGAGCAGGAAATTAAGATGTCTGCATAAGCATTCACTTGCAGAGTGTACTGTGACTTCAAAGCAAATGATGAAGTTGTTCGAAGAAGCGACTGAGTACAAGTATATAGTTTAGTCAGTTCAGGTCAGAGCATACTTTTGCAACAGGAGATTCTGCTGAAATGCCATCCTTCACAATAAGTTCCTACCCAAAGCATACAGTTACATTCCTCAAGTCCTGTGAGATTATGTCACAAAATTTTGCAGTGTTATGTTCATACATATATTTTTTTTAAAAGGCAAGAAAACCTCCACATAGGTAATTTGAAATGTAAATACGTTTTGCAACTCCCTTTATCATCAGGGGTACCTGGAACCTTGGATTAATGGGAAGTTCAGACAAAGGGAAGCAGTATTTGGGTGTAATTAAACTGCCATGAAACCACAGGGGAGCTATCTAAGGAAACAATGGTCCTGAATCCTTTGACATCCATCACAAGCAGGGCAAAGGCTCTGCTGACACCATTGTTCACTACATATATACTAGTTGATCTCCAAGGAAAGCAGATGCAAAAGCAAATAAGGCAGTTTCTTTGACCAGGCAAACTTTTTGTAACTGTACGATATTCCAAGCCTTTGACTTCTACTTTGTGAGGCAAATTATAAAGTTGACATACCTCACCACAATAGACAAATCAAGCCCCAGAGAGCCGGACTTTGAAGGAGAATATGAGGAGAAAGTGACATTGATTCGCCACGCATCTTATTTATCCCTTCAATTATTTGTGCCATCTGTCTTCAGCATTTGACTCCCACTAACCCACTCCCACATTCCCTCTTACAATGTGACTGCTCCTTCCAATTACGTTTAAAGACTGGTATTTATTCATGCGCAGTTTTCAGAATCAATGGCATCCTTTCTTACTTGCAAACTGGCAGGCACCAATTTCAGAAGGACCATTGTTTTCTCCCGATGAGGAACTCTTTACACAACTTCTGCAGAATAGATAGCTAGCCCTCTTTGTTTAGAGTGCCAGTGGATCCCTTACAGCAACCCGGTTGTTCTCAGACTGTCAAAGAGTGAGGATTTCTCTCCAGTATAATTATTCATTCAGTTCTTCCTCCATTCTAATTTACATCAAACACGTCCATCATTTTAAAAACCGAATTGCCAACAAGAATTTGCAGTTAGATCTTCAGGACTGGCAGGCCAGACGCTGCGTACCTTAAAAGCATCCTTATTGAAGAGGCAAACTTCTGATTAAATAACTCCCCAATACCTTAAATAATTTGGTTTCAGCTAAAAGCCTTTGAGGATTTTAACCAGGAACTATTTCCATTAGTGGGAAATCCCTAGGCAATGTCCACCAGAGGTACCTTCAGCACTCTCTGAAAGAATATTTATGTAAAGTAAGCTTGAATTAATTTGCCACTTGTTTTGAACACATCTCTTTCAAGGATGCCTTCATGAAATTCCCCCATGACCAGTTCAGAACTAACTTCAGTTACTTCCATTGATCCCAATCATCCCAATTCATTTTCATATTCACATTATCACTCTACCAATTCTTTATTAAAATCTTTATACCTGGCATCAAAAGCCAGAATGTACAGGCACCAGACTTGTGGAAAACATTGATCTTTGAATATTCAGCAGATGTCCTCTTAATTAATCTGGGGAAGGGTGTTATTCTTTTATCAGTTATAACAGGGGTAGTCAACCTAAAGCCCATGGGCCACAAGCGGCCCACGGGGGTCGTTTAACTGGCCCATGAGCCACCCCCAAACCAAGCCGCCCGCTCGTCTAGTCCCCGTGTGCTGTGCTAAACCGGCGCAGCACGGCGGGGGACTCGCTTCCGCTGCACCGGAAATCGCGTCTGCGCAGACACAGACGCTGGAAATCCGGCCCACAGAGGGATCTCCACTAGAGTGAACCGGCCCAGGCGAGGTAAACCTTGCCGACCCCTGAGTTATAAAGTCCACAGTGAGGGGTTCACTTCACCATTTCAAAACATGGTTACAGAATTATTCCACACCACTTCAGTGGCATCTTAAAAAGCCACATTAGCAACATCAGTATTTCTTATTGACAGATTTCTGAAACTCAAGGTATGTGTTACTGACATCAGTTGCATATATTGACTCATTTGCTGCCAATAACAATTAGCTGCTTGTTTCAGAGAGGGAGAGGGGAGAGGCGGCACGGAGGCTGATGTGGTGCAGGTGCAGGCATGGGAACATCGGCAATGAGCCTGGCACTGGGAAGCCAGGTGAGGAGCACAGCCCCACCATGCCCTGCCCCACTGACTAGTCCTCACACACAGAGCCACAATCGCTTGTGAGCATGCAGTGGGGCCAGAAGCTTAGAGCAAGGGATTCCTAACATGACAGCTAGAAGGGGACTTGGGGGCTTTGCATTCAAAGACACAATTCTAGGGATCTCTCTGCACAGCACACCTGCAGTGCTGGCCATTCCAGCTATGAGGAAGCAACCTGTGTCCCATCCATCCAGAACAAAACTGATCAGGAATATCCCTATGATCAGTGGGTGAATGGGGAACTGTCCCACCTATCTCAGCCTGCCCTCAGCCAACCCCACCTTCCTGCCTTACAAGTTGGCTGGGGGTAGGGATGGCCCTAGATATTAGCTTCCTCCTCTTGACCCTGTTTTGCCCTTGTAGAACTCAGCAAGGAGGAGAATGGGGACAAAACATTTGGCTCCACCTGCCATTGATTCTGGCTCCCCTGGCTCCTATTGGCCTCCCTACCTTAAGCTCTTCCAGTCCCAATGGACACAAGCCACCACTGCCTAGGATATGTGGCTTCAGAGGATGGCTGGCCCTGTATCAGAGGGACTGTTTCTCACTTGTGGAAAGTGAAGTGGAGCAGATCAGCACACCCACTACATTCTGAAACTTGAGGCTCGCACAACAAAATGCAGCAAGCTAAACTTGTGTGAGTTCCACTGGAATGAATGCAGGTTTTTAAGCAGAGCTTGGATGGCCATCTGTCATGGATGCTTTAGTTGAGATTCCTGCATTGGGGTTGGACTAGATGACTCTTGGGGTCCCTTTCAACTCTACAATTCCAAGATCCTATGAATGGGAGCAGTGGAGCAGCTCTTGGGGACTTCTTTACTTTCTTACATGGTCTTAGGATGTTGCATTCTGACCATAGTAACATTTAAACATGATTTAAAGCAGAGTCTGTTGTGCCCAGCGGAAGGATGAGGAAAATGTGCTCCATACTCTATATTGCTTTATTTACAGTTCAAAGCTGGTATATTACAGAAAGACATCTTGCGTCTGCAGGAGCAGAAAAATGCATCCTCTCTCCTCGACAGCTTGGAGAGAATCACACAGTGAAAAACAGGAAACCAGTGTACGTCACATCCAGTCTCCCTTTCCCGTGAGAAACTCCAACAGTAACTCTGACTGTGGAATGCAAAACAATGTCTTGTGACTGCAGTTGCTGCCCAGTGAGGAAATAGAAACCAACATCCTCCCCATTCTGTGAACATCACTGGGCAGCATGTTCGTACAATATCAGTACAAACCCAACTTCTGCACATAGGTACAGTGTTGATCCCTTGATACAATCTTGGACAATACATCAGCAGGAATTTCATTACCTGGCATATAGGACACCGTTACGAGTCCCTTCTGAATACATTCCCTAGCATGCTGCAACTTTAATTGCAAGTGCTTTGTGCTTTGCTTACAACCTTCAGACTTCAGCAAAGCCAAACATGCTTTGTTGTCCTGGTAAACCTGGATTGGACATTTGACAGGAATTTTCATATCTTTGCACAATTGTACTAACCATTCACAATCCTTAAGTGAATAAGACAGTGCATTCAGTTCGGCTTCACAAGTACTTAAGCTAACTGTTGTTTGCTTCTTGCATGACCAATCAAACAGACTCTGATTGTACATGTAGCAAACTCCAGACGTACTTTTCCTGTCTGTAGCGTCACTTCCAAAACTTGCATCTGCAAATATCTCAAGACCACCAGACTTCTGATTGTTAAATCTCAGTCTGTAATGCATAGTGCCTTTCAAATACCGCGCTATGCGTTTCAGAGCTTTCCAATCCTTGACATTAGGATTGTTGACTTGTCTGCTTAGCAAATTACAGCTAACAGCAATGTCTGGTCTTGAACATCTGGCAATGAAGTTTAGCTTGCCTAGCACACTCCTGTACAGTGTAGTGTCAGAAAATGCTTCTTCAGTGTCATCTACCTGATAACCTGTTGTCATCGGTGTGTCTACAGGGTTAGCATCCATCAGATTTAGTTTACTTAACACATCAGCAATTTTCCGTGACTGGTGTACTAGAATGTTACCATCTTGATCTCTCTCTATTTCCAGAGATAGGTAGTTGTTTACCTCACCAAGATCTTTCATGTCAAAGTGCTCTTTCAGTTGAGCTAGGGCGCTATTGTACATCGCAACATCTTTCCAAAAGAATAATAAATCATCAACATAAAACAAACAGTACAGTTTCTTTTGCCCCTCCTCTTTGACAAATACACATGGATCAGCTTTCCCTTGCTGAAAACCTAGAGAAAACAATACTTCAGTGAGTTTTGTGTGCCAACACCGTGCACTTTGTTTGAGACCATAAAGGGATTTCTTCAGAGCACAAACAAATCCCTGTTTTACCTGTACGCCATCAGGTGGAAGCATATAAAGTGATTCATCTAGAGATCCGTACAGAAAAGCTGTATTAATATCATGGTGACTAATGTGTAGATTTTCCTCTGCAGCTAGCTTGAGCATAAGCCTAATGCTTTCATATCTCACTGTGGGTGAATAGGTCTCGTGATAGTCTTCACCTGGTACCTGTGCAAAACCTCTGGCTACCAATCTGGCTTTGTGTCTGACTATCTTGCCATTTTGATCTGTCTTCGCTTTGAAGACCCATTTGCTTCAAGCAGTTTCATTCCTGGAACTACTGGAACTAGCTCCCATGTTTTGTTCCTTTCTAAGGAATCAAGTTCAGCCTTCATGGCATTTAACCATGGCTCAGCTTCCTTCGAATCCAAACCCTGGATTTCTTGGAAACTTGAAGGTTCAAATACCTTCTTGGAGCTTTTAACAGCTGTTACTGCTATCGTAGCAAACTCATCAGCAAATCTCTTTGGAGGTTTGCCTTTTGTGGCTCTCTGTGACCTACGAATTAGCCTTAAGTCTTCAACACTCTCCTCTTCCTTCTTAGGAGAAAAACGACCTATTGTGAACAATGGTTCCTCCAATTCTTGATCAGAGCTTTCAGAGGGTCGCATAGAGGCTTTCGCACTCTTGAAATCCTCTGAATCACCCGATTCAGTTTCAGATTCAGACTCAGAACCTTCATCAGTGGGTGTGGGTTGTTGTGGTTGCTTTTGACTATCCTCAGTCTCATCACCGTCATCAGGATAACATTGGAAAATTCCCACATTCTCCCCCACTTTGCATTGTACTCAACACTTCTCGTGAGCTTAATTGTCTTAGAGTCAGTCATCATTATTCTGTAAGACCCTTTCTGATAACCTAGAAAGATACCATGCAATCCACGCTTGTCTAACTTGGAGTTTTGTGGTGAGTGAACCCACATGTCAGAACCAAAAATCTTCATGTGTTTGATGTATGGCTTCTTGCCAAACATCTTCTCATAGGGGGTACATCCAATCGCTGAAGATAACCTGCGATTGTAACTGTAAACAAAACACGAGAGAGATTCGGCCCAATAACTCTCTGGAAGATTGGCATCATGCAGCAAGGTTTTTAATCCTTGAAGCAAAGTCTGATTTGCCCGTTCCGCAAGTCCATTCTGCCATGGCGAGCGAGGACTAGACAAATCGTGTTGAATTCCTTTCTCAGTCAGAAAAGCTTCAAACTGCTGAGAAGTGAATTCCCCCCCGCGATCACTGAAAAGAGTCTTTATCTTCTTACCATGCACATTTTCCAACCAAGCACAGAATTCCTTGAACCTAGGAAAAGCCTCTGATTTCTGCTTGAGATTGTACACAAAAATATATCTAGAAAATGCATCAATGAGAACCATGAAGTATCTATTTCCACCCAAAGAGGGCGTTAGTGGTCCAACCAAATCAGCATGAACAACCTGGTATGGTTCTGTAGCTTTCCTACTAGACACCTTACCTTTCGCAGCCATTTTCACCTTGTTTGCTGCGCATGCTTTGCACTTCATGTGGTACCTGCAGGGTTTAATAGTCATACCTTCAACCAAGGCAGGCATTTTAGATACTGCCTCAAAATGCAAATGACCAAATTTGCGATGAAAATCGTGAATACATTCTGCATGCAAACTTTTGTTAGAACCTGCAATGCAACAAGTGTCATCCTGCACCACATCATCATAATACAAAACAAACAAACGATCAACATATTCTGCATGCAATACATAATCATTTTTCTTTGTGATGATGCACTTCTTGTTCTTGAAGGAAACGTCAATGTTCCGCTCATTCAGCTGTCCAACGCTGAGCAGATTATGTTTGGCGTCTGGCACGTAAAGCACATTCTGTATCGATAAGTCCAACCTGTGAAGACCAACAGTTCCGTAGCCTTTACTGGGAATAGTGTGGTCATCCGCCTGGTGAATCGCACCTTCCTGCGGTGTAAAAGACACAAACAGTTTCTTATCGTTGCACATGTGGTGGGTGGCCGCTGAATCAATCAACGAAGAAAGATCTAGACGTCTTCTGGACCTCTGCAACCTTTGGAGTGAAGCGTGAAACCATAGCCTTGTGCTGCGTTGTCCTAGACACCGGACCTTTGCCTTTGCCTCGGCCTTTCCGCGCGATGAGCTTTCGCTGCGCTGCTCTGTCTTGGCCCTGGGATGTCTGCATTCCCTCTTCATATGGCCTAGACGTCCACACGAGTAGCATTTTACTGCCTTCAAAGCTTTGGCGCCATCTGGTGGTTCCACTGCACTATGGGATGACGTCTGTGAAGACTCTCCCTTGCCCATGCAGCTAGCACCCCGGCGATCTGCTTCATTTAAAATCACGGCAGTAACAAAGTCCACTGTCAGCTGAGCAGTTGGTTGCACAGCAATCTGGGTTGCAACAGACTCCCAACCTGAACCCAAAGATTGTAGTATCATGAAAGAATACACAGCCTCTGGAAAGTTGAGTCCTCTCTGTTGCAGCTCATGTCTCAGATTTTGCATCTCCATTAGATGTAAACGCACATCTCCACCTTCAGCAAGAGCCATATTATGCAGCTTGTTAAAGTAAAACATAGTGGATCCAGCTTCTGTCCTTAAATGAGCCTCTCTCAGAGCGTCCCAAATTTCTCTGGCTGAGGTCTTATCACGCAATAGACAGAGCTCTTCTGGGGATACTATCAATGTAAGAGTTCCCCTTGCTTTGGAATCCTTAGCTTCCCATGCATCTGTAACTGGAACTGGGGGGGTTCCTGTAATCACCTCAAACAAACCCTCTTTCCGCAGAATTGCCTCTGCATACTGAACCCAGTCGCTATAATTTTTCTTGTTGAGCTTAGGAATCCCACAAGCATCCTGAAGGGCCATCATGACTCTGGCATTAGCCTTCAGCGTCATATGCTGCTTTAAATCTTGCTGCGTCACTGCTGCAGCTGCCTCATTACAAAGGCACACTTAAAAGTTACTTTCGATTTCCCCAGCATAGTGACTTGTGCCTGGGAGCCTTTTGCCTATTCCCGGCAAAACCGGCTTTAAAAGTTCAAAGTCCAGCCATAAAGCCATTAATTTGAAGCTGGCAGGCTGCCCGGAGCAGTAGCACATACCTCATCAATCATTTCTACGCGCAGAGCAGATTCCGTTCCGATCTGTCCTCCCTCTGCATTCCGATCCTTTGCCGGCACTCCGATTCGACCTCTGGAGTCCATAACCACGTGTTGATTTAAAGCAGAGTCTGTTGTGCCCAGCGGAAGGATGAGGAAAATGTGCTCCATACTCTATATTGCTTTATTTACAGTTCAAAGCTGGTATATTACAGAAAGACATCTTGCGTCTGCAGGAGCAGAAAAATGCATCCTCTCTCCTCGACAGCTTGGAGAGAATCACACAGTGAAAAACAGGAAACCAGTGTACGTCACATCCAGTCTCCCTTTCCCGTGAGAAACTCCAACAGTAACTCTGACTGTGGAATGCAAAACAATGTCTTGTGACTGCAGTTGCTGCTCAGTGAGGGAAATAGAAACCAACAAGTAACAGTTCAGTACGCATTTCTTTATTTCTTTACGAGACACCATTTTCCCTCTCCCTGCTTGTATTATAGGGCTCTGCTACAGACGCCCAGTAACCACAGGTAACCACAAGCCCATGGTGCAATCAGCATGGGCTTAATTAACTGCCTCCACACTACTGAAGATAACTGTATTTTCCAGCAAAGTTTTTGGTTGCTGAATTCTCTCACTAGGGTGCTTTCTGTCCATTGGCTCCGGAGAATGTGGTGGCTGCTTTGATCTGAAAATGGGATTTTCCAATCCTGCTAAGAAAGCAGATTATTTTAATCTTTTGCGCTGTGCAGATACATGCCTTGTACTGTCAATTGCCAAGACTTTAAAAGGGTTGTGTGTTTTTTCAAAGGGAACAAATAGTGTTTAGGAGTCATAAACAGTGATTGCGTTGCATAGGCCCCCAACTGTCATCGGAACACTTGAAAGCCAACTCCTATATGTGGAAGACGGATGAGACGCTAAAATGCTGCAGATTAATCTTCTAAGGAAAAAGGTAGGACCAACATGTGACTTGGAGCATTTAGAACTGCACTGAAAAAGTGAGAAAATACACTTCAGGGAATAAAGTAGTCCAAGGCAATAAAAGTCACAGATCAGGGTCCTCTAGCTTCTTTTACTCCAAATAATAGGCTATTGATTTAGGTGTGAACTCTAACTCCAATTCACTGTGTGAGTCACATGCCCCTGCTTCTGACATTACATTGGAAATGGGAATGATTCATGGGTCTGCTATTCCCTTTTTTCTGCAAGGTCCAAATTGACTTTAATTTCCTGCCTGGAAAGATTAATAGGCACCCTGAGCAGACATGTGCATTATTTGACTATCCTATCATAGATCCAAGGATGAGTGTATGGTCTGTGCACTTGTTTCAACTTGCTGGAGGAGTTGGGCCACTACTGGCCTTCATGATATCTCATGGCAACCATTGGCAAAGTTCCTGTGCTTTCCCGTAAATCGCAGCTTCTGAATTTAAACACAAAGTAGTTCAGTTTGAAAGGTGAAGTGCCACACATACTGACTAAGTGGGAATGCTGGCAAATTGCACCCAAGGGGCACATCCTATCTATGTAAACAACAGAAGCAAGAGGACCAGATACATGAACCATGTCTCACTACTTATCAGCTGCCCAACCATAGATCATTGATCACATGTGCATCACGTAATCCTCCTGTTGCAGAATAAACAGGGTCCCATGCTAAATGAAGTTGAGTGTTCCTAACTAACCGAGAGCAGGACTGTGTACAGAATCATCAGACTGGCAGCAATAGCCTGCTCAATATGCATGTGGGTGCAGTAGGCAAAATCAATAATGTCCTATTCTTTTGTATCAGTGGCTAAGAATCCAGTGTCATCATGAAAATTGTAACAGCAAGATATAGGTGGTGGAGACCAGATTCTGACCATCTTTCCATGCTCTACTTTAAATTGAAGCTTGGCTGTTGATTCACAGAACACTGGGTCCATATTTGACTGTCACTGCTTAGATCTAAATGGTGTTACCTCCAAGAGAGAACTAAGACAGACACACCTCGTCACAGAAACATAATAATTCACCTCACACAGCTTATTCCTGCAAAATGAATCAGAGTGTTAGGAATTTACCTGCTCCACAAGTCATGTGGCTACACATCTTTTGTGAGAGAGCACCAGCTAGCTAGCATGTGCGTGACTCAATGAAGGCAGCAGACTGACTGGCTTTGACCCAGGCTAGGAAGTGCCCAGGATGTTAGCCATTACAGAGCTTGGGGGTATTCTTCTTTTAATAAAACTGTCTGGTGAGTAAGAGAGAGAAGTTAGATTATATTATTTATAATAGCAACTGTGACTGCATTCTACATCCTGCCTAATCAAAATCCCCTCTTAGCAGCTACATCCTGCCTAATCTAAATATCCTCTCTGATTTCAAATAGATAGGGCTTTGTTCTTTTGATTTCCAGAAAAAAGCTATGAGCAGTGGGCTTGAAGGTCTATCTATAGTAATAGATTCCTCTTCGTCCTCATGAAATACGTGTTACATTGCCAACTCCTAGGGGCCCAAGATCCCTTCCAATAAAATATGTGAGGGGGCCACCCCCCACCCAATTTGATGGGCATTGCCATTCAAATGGTTTGCATGCACCACTATTTGTGATCAATTATGCAGGCTGGGGCTTACCTGCCTCCCCCCCCCCATATTGGCACCCCTGTAACCAATAGACCAGTGGTGGAAGCAACACTTCTTGAATTCTTATATAAGAGAAAAAGACACACAAAGGAAACCGGTGGTATTGCACCAAGTGGCAATCATGCTAAAGCATTTAATAAATAAAAAATACTGTACTGTATATAGGAAGCTGTCATACACACAGAAACACAGGAGGATTCCCTATATGCATCCAGGCCATTGCTCCACCCATCTAGTTTAGTACTGTCTCCACTGACTACCAGTGTCTTCTGTCTGAAATAGAAGATGGCAGGGATTGAACTTGGAACCTCCTGCATATAATGAAGCTATAACTTGAAAGGTATGTATCATTTCAAGTACCAGACACCATGTCCCATAGTAAATGGATGCTTCCATGCCATCAATGTCCACTGCATACAATGTTGGGTGTATATCTTGGAAACTGAGGTTGAAATCCAAATCTACTAGGGTCCCATGTAATGGTACTGAGCAAACCTCGCCTCCATTTATTTCTCAGGGAGTGAATGGAGTAAAGAACTGCTGTTACCTCATCTGCCTTGTGAACCTTTGCGAACAGGCTGTAGATCTGCCTCACATAACAGTTTGGCATCTACACAATATCATCCTAATGAAGACCATATGATTTCCATATTACAGATTAAAAGGAGTCAAAGGCATAATTTGGGACCAAACTCTTACATAATATCCATTCTCTTCAAGGAAGTTAACAGTGCAGTGTTCATTAATAACAAAGACTGACTCAAGACATTTTGGGTGCCTGAGGCAAAGGGGAAAAGGTGGCATCCCCCCCCCTCATTTCCACATCCAGAAGTTGGCTGAACAACAGGTGACTGTCACTTCAACTCTGGTGATGGAAGGGCATCCTCCATCATGCCTTAAGGCAGCAGGGAGGGCAGGTCATATGGCAAACACAGCTGTATCTTCCAATGTCTCACCACCGATCCTTCCGCTTATTCTGCAGCATACGTTGCCTGAGGTGGCGGCCTCACTCTGCCCAACGCTAAGACTGGCCCTGTCAATAATTGTCTTCAGAGATACTGATCTGAGGTCTTCAGATGATGTATCAAGCCATTTTATGGGCTTGATTTAAGGCAGTGGTGAGGGAACTTGGGGCTCTGCAGACCCTGTTGGTCTCCGTCAGCCCCAGGTAACAGAGCCAAAGGTCAGAGGGTGACTGGAGCTCGGAGTCCAACAACATATTCAGGGCCACAGGTTCCCACTCCTGGCCACTAGCAAGATAATAAATGGGCCTCGACGACACAACTTGTTTCCTTGCCGCTACATGGTGAACTAATACACACAGAACAGTTTGCAGCATGGGTCACAGTGGACAGCTGAAGCACCTCTATGCAACAGCTGTGTTGTAAGATGTGGGGGCAATAAAAGCTTTGCCCAAGAAATGGATTTCTATGAATCTGACCCGAAAGAAATAACTTTCCTCTTATTCAAATTATTCAAAATCAAATGTTTCCCACTGTGATTTCATGCCAGTATAAATCTAGGCAAACGGACCCTATGATTTAGATCACCAGATCTGTTCTCTCTGAATGAGGCTGTGCACTTTTAAAAAACTGATTACCAAAAGAAAATCTTACTGAACTACTTAATATTTTCTGCATAACACAAATAACAAGCTTGACAACAAATCAGTGAATTAAGTTCCAATAAAAAACATGGTCTACCTGATTACACAATACAGGCTTTACTTTTCCAATTTTCTTAACAATCCTGGGTTGGATCCAGAATTAGCTGAACTTAGTTCCCTTAGAAATCAATGGTATAGGTCCCATTGCTTTAAGTGGGTGCTCACTGCAGCTAACTGAGCCTAGGAACTTTCCGTTTCTAGGATAATTAGGTGCTGATATTTCAACTGATTTTATTATATATAAATTGTGCAACAGTCTGCAAACTTAATCTATTAGCAGCAGTGTCTCCTTCTTTGCAATTATATTTCCTAATTTATTCAACAGCATGTATCAAAGACAAACATAGATGTCTCAAAGTTAATATAACTGTAAGATTCTTTTTGGACCACAATGAGTCCTGAAATCATGCTCTTGGTTTTGCTGGAGGGACATCAGGACAAATGTTGGCCTTGCTGGTGTTTCCCCTAGATTCTGGCCAACAAGACAGTTATGTTTATTGAGAGAAACAAGAACATATGTTGCAAAGAGTCAGATTCCAACAAAAACTCAGACTAGCATGGGAATGAAATTTCATGGCAAAATCTGTATGGTTAGCTAAAGGCCTGCTCAGATCACTTTTTATATTTTATTTTAGAGTCTATCTGCTATTCTATCAGTCCTTCCGCAGATTACCAACCATGAGTCAAAATCTAGTCTTGAAACCTTGGATTGGATCCTTATTTAGTTAGCTGAATTTAGGATTGGATCCATATTTAGTTTAGCTGAACTTAGGTCCCATTGAAATCAATGGGACAAGTTAGTCATACCTGAAGTCTCACCAATTGCAGTGGGAACTAGCTAACCTAGACTGCATACAAATCATTTAAAGAACCCCCCTCCAAAGAATCCTGGGAACTGTAGTTTGTTAAGGATGCTGAGAATTTTGACTATGGGGGATAAACTACAGTTCCCAGGACTCTGGGAGTGGGGGAAATGTGCTTTAAATGTATGGTGCACATGGGGCTCAAATCAAGATGCAACTCAACATGTGTGAGTAGTAAAGAGAAACTAGTTTGATTTTGAAGGGCAGTATAATAAATATATTTGTGTAATATAGACAAGCAATTCACGAATTAATAATTTAATGGACCAAACTGTAATTTAGAGATGCTATGCCAAATGTCAGATTTCATTTCAGTCAAAATGAGCACCAGATTAACTTTAAAAAACTAAAACAATATGTTTTATCCTCATTTTGGTGCAGGTTTATGCTGCATCTGTACTCAAAATGCACATAATGGCTCCATAATTATTGTGAAATTTGCAAAGTGGATGAAAGCTATACAAATTTGCACTCATCGGTTTCCACTCTCTGCCACACACTGCTTTGGGCTATGGGGAGGGGAGTATATCATTTGTACTTTGATTTGTACAATAGTGCATAGATCAACTATAAAAGCTGGGGAAGAACAAAGGGAAAGCACATCTGGGAAAACAGAGTAATTTAAAACAGCATCAAAGCACGAAAGATATACAGGTTAGGAATTCAGGAAAGTAAATACCAAAATTACATGTTCTTTTTATTGGAAACCTTAAACTAAATTAATAAGTTTATGCCAAGATGCAGTCTGTTCGCAAGTTAAGTCACTTCACAATAGATTTATTTGTGTAGCCTTATCATAATCTAGGCATGTAACTAAAATAAATTGCTCATTTAAACTGCTAGTGTCAGCTACACCTATAGTTCTAATCTAAGAATTCCCTGCAATGTTGTTGCTTTTAATAAAATGTCACCTGCAGGACATTGACATTAAGCACCAGGTTGGACATTTCTACATACGACAGACTCACTCTGGGAATCTGCAGCCACATGACAACTGAATGTTAAGGGGTGCAGGCATGTCTTCACAGTTTTACTTATTTACAGCATGGGACATTGGAGTAGCTGCAACTATCAGGACTGCTGCATTAGCTGTTAAATTGGACCTTCCCCGGCAATGGTTGCTGCCTGCAAACTCAGAAATGATGCATGAAGTACCTTCTAACGTCCAGGGTCTGCATGCCAGTAATCCCCAAAGTGCCACATTCATGGGAAATGCCTTTATAGTTAGTTTAAATTGGGAAGTCCAGTCGTTCCTTGGTTGTCAAACGGAATCCATTCCGGAAGTCTGTTTGACTTCCAAAAACATTTGATAACCAAGGCACGGCTTCCGATTGGCTGCAGAAGCTTCCTGCACCCAATCAGAAGCTGCAGAAGCTGTGTTGGATGTTCGGCTTCCAAAGAAAGCTTGCAAACCGGAACACTCACTTCTGGGTTTGTGGTGTTCAGCAGATAAACCTTTGCGTCGCAAGGCATTCGGGATCCAAGGTACGACTGTACTCACTTTAAACCTACTTTCTAGGAGACCAAGCCCAAGGAATTCAGTCTGAGTAAACATTTGAGTTGCTGTATAATCTGGTACTGTAACTACCTAGTCACGTGACCACAAGAATCTGCAATCATGCCCATTTTGCATTCTTCTGCACCCTCTTACTGAAGTATTTTCTAAAGTCAGAAGCCAACTCTTGAAGATGAGAGGATTAACACTTGAAACTCGGGCATTCTACAATCATTTGCTTTCTTGAAGTACAGTGGTACCTCGGGTTAAGAACTTAATTCGTTCTGGAGGTCCGTTCTTAACCTGAAACTGTTCTTAACCTGAGGTACCACTTTAGCTAATGGGGCCTCCCACTTATTCTGCAGCATACGTTGCCTGAGGTGGTGGCCTCACTCTGCCCAACGCTAAGACTGGCCCTGTCAATAATTGTCTTCAGAGATACTGATCTGAGGGATGATGCCATCTTGCCATTTGTCAACCTCATAGCCATGCAGTGGACATCACATTTAAACTGAGTCTAGGTGTATAAAGAACAAGAGGTTCTAATTTAATTACAGTAGTGTGGTAATGTCAAATTTAGATTTGCACCAGGCACACAAAACTTGTGAGTGCTGAAGTTGAGTAATGTCTTGGTATATTCTGGGAGAGGTTCAGAAATAAGGAGGAACTAAAAGAAGTGTCTCAAATAATAAGGGGTCTTTGGGGCTCAGATATTTACTTTTTCCTGTCTATGTCGTCTGCCTGCTGTCAAGCTATATGCCTTTCCTCTCTGCCATCCAAATATATGCCCCATAATCAAAATTATTTGAAATAGCTTCCCTGAAGCTTGGCAGTAGAATAAATTATGCAAAGTAATTAAGAAAATGCAAATGTGCTCACTTCACAAACCCAAAAGCTTCTTGGCAAGAAACTCACATTACTCTGACAAAGGCTGCACACTTATTTGTCCATAGATATGGTGAGGTGGAGCAGAGCATATGGAGTTACCAGTGTAGTGAAAAGGTCATTGTCTGGGTTACACGCAACTAAAATAGAACTCTTAACTCTGTTTCTAGGCTATACAAAAATAGCTTGACTGGATGTCTAGCAACCCTAACTCACATTCTGCATATTTTTGACACCTCCCAATTAATCAGTTATTATTATTACGCATGCTGTTTAGAAAAAAACAGCCACAAAAAATTATCTGTTGTTGCTCTTGTTGTTGCTATTTCAGCTTGCTGTGAATTAGTGCTTTCTGCTTATATTTGCTTCAGAGATACATTGCAATGACTTTCTAATGAGTTTTTCACTTTGGAAGTAGAATTCTTTATTGTGCTGTAGAGAGCAGAGTGTTGAACCTGGACTGGAGAGGTCTGGGTTCAAATTCATGTTTCAGTACTGGGTGGCCTTGGCAGGTCCCAGCTTAATCTAATGCACAGGATACACTTCCTCAAGTTCCTTGCAGGATGCATAGGACTGAATAGTGCTCTTCGTATGTTACTGATGTTTAGGAGGCAAGCTGATCAGGGTTCTCAATTACACAGGCAGCCTCCATACACAGAGAAAGCTCCCTGCTGCAGGCATTATCCTCAACACAAGGACCTCAAAGGTGGATGGAGGAGAAGCAATGTGACTCTTGTGACAGGGCTAAACAAATGGTCCAAGTCACTTTTCAACACACTTGAGCTCTGCACGCGAGTTTTGCATAATGAGGGCTTGTTCATCTAGTACCAGTGGCCATGCGTTAAGAATAACAGCACTTTTACAGCATTCAAAGCACTCCACATATATGATCTCAGCAACTGTTATATGAGCCCTACAAAGGAGGCTATCATTGCTATCTTTGTATCCAGGGGTCCACAGATTCATGTGCCATCTTGCTAAGAATGTATAAGAACATAAGAAGCCGCCTGCTGGATCAGGCCAATGGCCCATCTAGTCCAGCATCCTGTTCTCACAGTGGTCACCCAGAGGCCTGTGGGAAACCCACAAGCAAGATTGGAGCACAAGAGCACCCCTCCTGTGGTTTCCCCTAACTGGTATTCAGGAGCATTACTGCCTCCATGATGGGGAGTCCCTGTCCAAATGCCTCTGCATCTGGAGGACCACAGATGGGCGAATGAGAGACTGGGGAGGGGGCTACAGGCCACACTGTCCTGTAGTGTACTGGGGGGGGGAGAGAACACCTTAATTTAATTCAGTGTGTGGCCCATGGGTTCTGCGTTGAAGTATTTTTGCAGCCCACTTGGTCTGAGAGGTCAGATTGCCCTGTTATAGTAAGACAAGACCCACACTTACCAGAAGCCTGGATGTTTTGGAAAGGCTCAGAAACCACCCTGGGCTTGAGAGTAGAACAGGGAATCCCCCAAATCTTGCAAGGAATCTCCAAGAAGCTGTGAAAGTGCAAGACATCTGGCAGCCATTTAAGCCTTTCCAAAGTCAGTGTGAGGCTAGGGGATTTCCCCATCCTTGTCCTCAGCCTGAAGGAGAGGCAGGGACTCTCCCAGACTATGAAAGCAGCAAGTTGCCTCACCGCTTTCCAAGCCTCTTTGAAGTTCAGCTTGGTAGCACAGCCAATGTCATGCCATGCTCCCCCACATTTTGTAGTAAATAGGCCATTGAAGCTATGCAATTTCTACCCATATGACATATGAAATGGACTGAGGCCAAGAATAGCATGGCTATTCTGCCCTGACCACTGACCATACTGTCAGGGACAGATGGGAACAGCAGTCCAGTGACATCTGGAAGGCAGCGTGTTCCCCATTCCTGACCTAGGCAAGCGTGATCATGGCAGCTGCAAGATTTGCATTTGGGACTTCCTGGCTCACAGCTTTCTTAATCATTATACTGCATTGCTGAAAATAGTACGTTCTGCTTGGAACAGACTGTGGGTTGCTACCTTCATGATCAGATTGTGCTCGGTGCCACCTGGGCAAAAGCGGAGCAGTTGTGGCAAAAAAGTATCATATCGGTTCTGATGAGCACGTTAGCTTTAGGCTTTGAAACCTCATGTTACACCAGAAGGCAAAAGAATATCTTAAATGTGACCTTTTAAAAATATATCATACGATTTGATGGAAATCTTGACATTTAAGCACTGATGGTGATGACGATGATGATGCAAATATATGGTATTAAAGGATCAAACTGACCTCTATATGTTTATTAAGTGTGTGTTTGCTGGTTCAGTTATAAAACAGGAACTTTTAACACTATGCAGACTATTAACATTAATCAGAACAATTGAGATCTGGATAACACATGGGGTCACACACCCCCCCATGCTCCCCTGCTTTAAGACATCCCCACACCCCTTTGCTGGACCATGCTCACTTTTGATTTTTGACCAAGCTGGGGGGGGGGGGACCATCTTAAAATCAGTGGCATGTGGAAAGGGAAATATTTCATTCCATCCCTAGTATGCTTGTTGTTTTGACAGAACAGCAATTGCATGTTTAAGAAGCACATATGCCTCTCATTTAGCTCCAAGTGATCTGTTAGTTTGTGAAGTTCATTACAGATGTAGAAAATGAGGGGTATATTCATTCCTGCCAATTATGATTAGTTAGTTACTGGTCATCACATTACCAGTGTTTATTACATTTATATCCTACCTTTTCTCCAAGGATTTCAAAATTATCTACATGGCTGTTCTTACCCTGAGTTGCTTTTTATCCTCACAAGAACTCTGTGAGGCCAGTTTGACAGAGAGATCATGCCATGCTAGCTAGGCTTTGCTTGTCTACAAATATCTTCAGCAAGGTGCATTCTGTTCACCTATTCCTTCCAATTATATAGCACATTATACCCCAGCAACCAGAGTCTAGTTGATATGGGAAAACTCATAAGATATGATTGTCTATGGCGTAAGTCAGGATTCTTCAAAGCGTTGGACTGAATAAAAGATCTCCAGTTACTTCCCAGCCCTTCCGTCCAAAGATTTTATAATGCAGGAAATTATGAAAAAAAGGATACAGCTAAAAATTAGATGGTTATCAGGTTCTCTCTCCCCCACCCCACCCCTTTCTCATATTAAAAAGAACACTTTCTGGAATCTATTAATTGTTCTCTCAAAATTACTTCTGGGGTCTTTTAGAAGTCTCAAGGGGGCATGTTAAAAAACTGGAGGAAGGCCTAAATAACAGCACTGAAAACCGAAGAAAGCAAATCAGCACATCATAGAAATGCCAATGTTGTGGAAACACTTCCTCTCATAAGAACAATGTCCTGAATACACACAGTTTGGTAGGAAATGAGGAAGCAGGGCAGTACAACATACAAAGGGCAAAACAGTCTCCAATTGTGATCCACACAATGCAGTTTTTGGCCTGTCACACAAGACCTTCAGTCATGTTCGTCTTAATATTCTTCTCAGGCTACAGATCTCACATAACCTATTAGCTTCAAGAGATACTCTTGTAACACAAGCCTTCCCAGACTGGTGCCCACCAGATACTGCTAACTATAACCAGTATGGCCAGTGGCAAAGGATAATGGGAGTTATAGTCTAAAACAGCTCTAGGGCATCACATTGGGGAAGGCTGCTGCCTCTAGTGGCTTGATGATCTGTATATTTTGAGACCCATCATTCCCAACACACATGATCCATCCAATTTGAAACTTCAAACTCCACAGCTGCAGTGGAGAAGAATAGGGCAATATCTTGTCATTGTGCTCAGAACCTCTCCTAATGGTAAGTAACTAAGAGCTAATGGAAAATTAATAGGCCAAAATAGCACATTGGAACTGGCTAGCCAACTGATGGAAAATTGTTAGATGCTTCCCCCATGTGTAAAAAGACATCCTTTAGCATGTAGAAGAACACAAGCATATCAGAGAGAAGGGCTATAAATTACCCTTCTTCCTGGCATGCTAGCAGTTCATGTGAAGTAGGTTTTTATACGCAAAACAAAACAAAAAAACAAAACAAGGGAAGCTGGACCAGAAATCCACTAGTGAATAGAATACTGGCTGTAATGCGGAAACACTGAGCCGGTCCAAGTTGTGACTCATTTCTTTCTTCTTTACATCTATTTACCGCAAACCTGGTATCTTTGTTACTGCCTCTGCCACTTCCTCACCGATTCACAGCACAGCTGGGAGGGCAGAAGGGCTTGCCTCAACAGGCTGGTGAGCAGCCTTTCAGGGACACAGACTTCCATGAGCGGCCAGACACATTCCAACCCAAGAACTGGTCAGAGGCAAGAGGAGAAAGCACAAGTCAATATATCTCCCTGTTTGCAAAGCCATTTCTTCAGCTTCTGCTTCTGTGCTACAGCAGCACTTGCCACCCCTAACAGTTGACAGTTCTGGGCTACAAGTGTGCTGGCTGAGGCTGATGGCAGTTGTAGTCAAAAACATCTGGAATACAGTGTGCTAAAGGTAAAGGTAAAGGGACCCTTGACCATTAGGTCCAGTTGTGACCGACTCTGGGGTTGCGGCGCCCATCTCACTTTATTGGCCGAGGGAGCCGGCGTACAGCTTCCGGGTCATGTGGCCAGCATGACTAAGCCACTTCTGGTGAACCAGAGCAGCGCACAGAAATGCCGTTTACCTTCCTGCCGGAGCGGTACCAATTTATCTACTTGCACTTTGACGTGCTTTCAAACTGCTAGGTTAGCAAGAGCAGGGACTGAGCAACGGGAGCTCACCCCATCGTGGAGATTCGAACCGCCGATCTTCTGATCGGCAAGTCCTAGGCTCTGTGGTTTAATCCACAGTGCTACCCGTGTCCCTTTAGACAGTGTGCTAGAGGGTGGCAAAGAATCAGTATGTTGCAAACTGATTACACCTTACAGAAGCAGGCCAGCAAAACTTCCATCGTTGCAACCGAACAGGGTCACCATTATGACCTACAAAGTGTGTGCTATAGGATCTTTGTCTTTTAAGAGGGTGGTGGAGGGAGGGAGGGTGGGTGGAGGGAATCGGCTACTATATATAGATTATACTCACTAGCTAAAAAGTCATATCCACAAAAGTTTCAGAACAAGAAAAGAAATCCAATAATTCTCGTGCACTCAAATCCCTTGTTGTTCAAAATCACCTGGTGAATGCAAACAAGATAGAGTAGTCATGCCCTACACAGAATTAAAAATCAATAAGCTGCCGGGTCCATGAAAACAGGCATATCGATTCCACAGACAAGGCTGTAGCAGGACATTTTGCTACCTGAGGCAAAGGTCAAGACAGTACTCCCCCTCCCATTCCATGTGCAGATGACGACCAGGATGGCAGCTGAAACTTGTTTTCAAAACCAGGGGCAGAACATCCTTCACCACACCTGAGGGCAGCAGGATGTCACACAGGGCACAGTGAAGATTGTGTGGCACACACAGATTCTGTCCTCCAACACTTCGCTGCCACTCAGCATCTGCTGCCTGAGGCAGCCACCCCACTCTGCCATATGGCAGGCAGGCCCAGTCCACATGCAACAGTCATTCAAGAAGTGGCCTTATACATATCTGTGTGTTTGTTTGTTTGAAGACAGTTAAAATACATGCTCTTTGAGAATATAACAAGCTACTCATCGGTCTGTTCCATTAATACTATCGAGGTTTAAAGCTAGGGTCTCTAGGACAAGTGGTTTCACTACAAGTACTTAAGTCCTGGATAGAGAAGGGAAGCTTCAAGCTTACTTGGAAGATACAGCGATGGCCAGTGTTCAAGAGCTACTCGGTATGACTAAGGGTGCATTCAGACAAGGGAATTATTGAACTGATTCTCCTAACTATAGGGCTAGGGCTTCTATCCAGGATTCTAATGTTCCTTTTACACTGCATTGCCAGTCGTGCTATGGAGCTGTGGCTGTTAGACTAATACACCACCGTGTTGTGCTAAATTTTAAATGCTGGGAAAGAACAGTATGCTGGAATACCATCTGAAAGGTCATCACGTAAAATTACAAGGCAAAGCTCCAATGACTTTTGGAGTTAATGGGGTTGCAAACAAATTTATTCTGGAAGCAAATTAACACAGACATGAGTGCTGAACTTCCGCTAGTTTGCCAGAAGTGGCTTTTACATCGCCAGAAGTGGCTTTTAAAGTGGCTTTTTAAGATCACTTAAAACATGGAAATTATCAGCTAAGGAAGCATTGTGAAAATGGAAAAATGGAACAAAGTTCCGTCTGAATGCAGCCTCCAATGCACCTGTCATTAATTTACATGTTGCAGGATTTCAAAACACATTCCAAGGCTGAGTCCAAGTGAGCCTCAGTCCAAGTCCAAATTAAGGTCCGCCTGTTACAGTTACATCACAGGTTGCTCCCTCCACTCACAGTGCAATCTGATAAATAGCAAGTCCCACTGAGCTCAGTCAGGCTTACTCCCAGGCAAATGAAGCCTTATTATCTCCCCTCCCACTTCCCAGTGTGCCTTAAACCAGGAAAGGATCCTAACCAAAAAAGTAAGAAAAAAAGACCCTTTGAATCCAAACTCTAGGAAGTGCAGTTTCTCAGATTCTATGCATGTCTCTTACAGCCCCCAAACTCCCTTGTTCAACGCTACATAAGAAGCCCCTCCAAAAGGAAGTATGGCTTCCTGTTTCAGTGTTTGTTGAAATCACCCCAATAACCTGGGAGTTTTTCAGTGTTCCCCATGAAGTACAGTAACAAATGCTTGCACTGGGGTGGGAGGGAGTAGGAGGGGGAAATTTTGCTGCTAGATCCTTTAAGCTACAAGTTAAATGACTCTAGTGTTGCCCTACACTAAATTTTAAGGCCACAAAACCTACACTAGTCGTCTTCTGAAGGAAGAACACATATAAGACACAATTGGTAGACGGCCTCTGGTAAGCATCAATTTTTAAAAGTCTGACCTAGATAAATTAACTTTATGCAGCATAAGTAGCCTGATATGTTTGCTTCATGGGAATCACAGTCCGATCCCATAAGATCGGAATATTTGCCTTTAGGCAGAATTGTTTGTAATTGGATAGTATTATTATGCTGCCATATCCCAAACCATCATCAGATGTGCTTTCAGTGGAATCCTGCCCACAAAGGCAAGAGGTCAGGGGTGGAGGGAGGGAATCTATTTCTGTAGACACTGACCCTTCATGTTTAGAATATTAGATCAAACACTCACAGTTTTCCCATGATGCTGATACTCAGCAGACCTTTTCTTTCCACTGCTAAACTTTCATTGTCATATTTATAGCCCGTGGCTCCTTAGAAGACATGCAACCCCATCCTATGCATATTTACTTGGAAGCAAGTCCTGTAAGTATTCAGTGGGGCTTACTCTCTGGTAAGTGTGCATAGAATTGCTGCCTCAAGGCAGTTTACATGGGCCACCTAAGCACTGACCAGATTTGCACCCGCTTAGCCTCAACAGGTGTTCCCAATTCAGAAATATTATTTGACATATTCAAAACCTGACTCTCCACCTTGCAAGGCCCTTAAGGATGGTTACAATCCAAAAACAGCACCTCCTGGATTTCTGCATGGGTTGGATCATGGTTTTCTTTGGAATCCAAGACCCATAATGAATACTATGAGGTGGTCTAAGGGCTTTGTTGAAAATCCCCCCCTTTAAAAACAGCTACAGGGTTCGGCTCCTGCTGTGAGGTTTGAAAACAAGGGCTAAGAATGCCTTAAGAACAATGTCATGTGCTGCTGCTCTCAGGGAGATTGTACAGGGTGGGGTGAAATATAGCTGTCCCTGCGGATCCACGGGCAGAAAAGCATGGCTTCACCCTCAACACAATATCCCAGAGAGAAACAACACATCACCACACACAATTGGTCCCAGGTGCATTTACAGTCCCATTTTTGAGCTGCACTGTTGTAGCTGTTCCAGGTGGCTACTATCTGTTTTCAACAACAAAAGTTTTATGTGGACCACTTCAGTGAGCAAACAGCTAAGTTTATACATTGCAGGGTTGTTGTTTAAGTCCACACTTTACTGTATCAACAGAATGAAGCAGACTTTAAAACACATACACACAGAAGTGGCACAGGGTGATTTGGGACTGATCCATGCCTAGTCCCCAGTCATCAGCTTCATAACCATTTTAATCAGACAGGTTTAGAGGGAAGAAGGCATTCCTTCATTTTAGCCATGTACACACTGTAAACTTTGTGGAAGCAATTCAGGATGCCTGAATAAGCAGGTCATCTGGAGCATCCCTGTTTTGTGGATGGCAATGGGATCCACTGGACAAATTGTTCCCTTTAATCCTGGTCCTCTACATGAGTTATTACGTGGACAAACAGACCCAAACAGTTCAATACAGATTCAATAACCAAAGAGCACTTCAGTGTCTCAAGACAGTCACACACAAGCAGCCAACAAACTTAACTGCAACAAATAACTAACCATGTTGTGCACAGAAGGCTGAATGGACTGGACCAGTGTTTTGTGCATGAATTATAAACCCAAGGAGCAGTTACTCAAGTAATTTGCACACAAAATGATTATAATGCCATTACAGTTCCTTAATCTGACAGCTTTACTTAACTGACTGGTCTCGTCTGTATACCCATTGTATGACAGATGATAATTCAGCATTCCTAACTAGGCAAATAAAATGCCAGTTGCGTGAGCAATTTTAGATGCTTGATATGAATCACCTTGCTTCCTCCTTAGGGAAGAGCACGCCCTTGTTTTGCCTTCTTTTCCAGCACACTTACTTCCAAGATCCCAGGTGTTGCCCCAACTCCTCGCCTTCTCCACAAGGCACATTTTTGTTTCATCTTTTCAACCTAGACATTTTCACAAGCAGAATTTACATACTCTCCAACAGAGGCTGGCTCAGTGAAATGGTATTCACTGATTTCTGTGGAGAACAGGCTGATCTTAGCTGAAGGAGACTTAGATTCAGATCTCTGTTCAGTCCTGTACCTTTTTAGCTGATATTGGACAAGTCAGTATATATAAAACAGTAACCTTAAGCAAACAAAACTGAATATATATTGTTAGGACTACATGGCCTGTTTAATTTACTACACTGCCCCATATTATGGGAAAAGGCAAGAAGGTGCATTGAGTGTAGTATGGAGATCATGGACACTGCTGCCAAATGTGGCCTCTCTGAACCATCACTAGGGGCAGAGACGTCATTCACATGCTGGGGCTTAGTGGGTTCCCTGAAGGACTGACCAGATACCACACAAAATACAAGGTGGTTTGGCTCACTGGTCCCATGAGAGGGCATGGTCTGGATGCATCTATTTGTGGCTCCATCCAAGAGCTGGATGTGGCTTGTCACAAACCAGTAAAAGCAAATACCATCTCAACACATTTCGTTGCACAGTTGCGCTTATCACTATTGCTCTGAAAGATCTCTTGCAAAAAAGGTACCGAGCCTCTCTTTTTACAAAGCTCTTGTGCCGTCTCAAAGAACTTAACTCGAGCAGGACATGTTGTTGTTGTTTAGTCGTTTAGTCGTGTCCGACTCTTCGTGACCCCATGGACCAGAGCACGTCAGGCACTCCTGTCTTCCACTACCTCCTGCAGTTTGGTCAAACTCATGCTGGTAGCTTCAAGAACACTGTCCAACCATCTTGTCCTCTGTCAACCCCTTCTCCTTGTGCCCTCAATCTTTCCCAACAATAGGGTATTTTCCAGGGAGTCTTCTCTTCTCATGAGGTAGCCAAAGAATTGGAGTCTCAGCTTCACGATCTGTCCTTCTAGTGAGAACTCAGGGCTGATTTCCTTAAGAATGGATAGGTTTGATCTTCTTGCAGTCCATGGGACTCTCAAGAGTCTCATGGACTGCATGCACATAAATTGCCTTCAGGGTTGTAGCTTAAGGACTTGCATCCACTGGAAAGTCACACAGGGACTGGTTCAGATGCTTGAAATTCCTCCATGTGAAATACCCACATAGGCACAGCTGCATTAAGGAAGTTAGCATCCGTTCTGGTACAGCCACGATTTACAGTCCTTTCTGAGGATAATAGATTTAAGCACTGCAGCTGGAAAACACACTGCTTTGCTCATGTGGCTAGTGGTATGTGCACCCAGGGTGGAATAAGGCAGACGCTACCTCTTCTCTGCATTCAAGGCTATTTTCCATGGGAGAATTTCAAGCATCTGAACCAGCCCAGTGACATACATTATAACAGGTTGGTCAGTTGAACATCTATACAAGCACTTAGGTACTTCAATTAAAGACTTTTTACTTTCCCTGACCCATCACAAAATGATTACTCTTATTCCACAGCAATATCATGCTTCTAGTTAGAAATCCACAACTTAATGATGGTCCCATGACAGTGTGCCTGTCTGGGCCAATCAGCAGGCCACCCTCATGACTCACGGGGATGCAGAACATGCATTAATAGAAACAAGGGTGCCCCAGTTGCCTCGGCTGTGAAGCGATAGCAGGGGCAAGCTGAGAGCACTAGGACAAAGAGGTGTGGCTTTCTTCGTGCCATGATGGATACACCTCCTCTACTGCCAGGAAGCCTGGATTCTGGGAATGTGGTTTCTGCCATGCCTATGGCTGACATGAAGAGGATCAGCCCTAAAGCACTCTTGATGGCGCACCTGTGCTTAAAGCCATCTAAATTGGGGTCATCACTACATCTCGTGGGAGTGAATTCTATAGTTTAACTGTACACTGCATAAAGAACTTTCTTTTGTCTGTTCTGAATCTTCCAGCATTCATTCAAAGAGAGATGAGGGCAAAAGAAAGCTCAGGCACAACTTAATGCTTTACCCCCCACATCTGATGCTATAGCTAAGGTAGCACAGGTACAGGGCAGGTGCCCCTCCCTGTCACATTTATCATGCCAAATCCTGTGTAGATAAGCCTTAGATCTTGTCTAGTCAATGATTAGTTGTTCTGTCTTGTTATGAAGTCGGTTGCAAGTTAGCCAACCTGTTTACAGACACCAGGTTAGAATCCAGTCTAGCAAGCTATAATAAACATTCATTTTCATGAAACAAATGTTGGTTGAATGTCTAGACTCACCTTGAGATTGTCAGTTAATTCATTTTAATTGGGATATCATGATCCAGCAAGGCAAGTCTGCATTGGGTCATCCATACACAGTCAAGTACCTTGCATTCAGCATCTGGGGTTGCACAAACACCCAGGGGATTATTTAAGTCTACAGGTGCAACTTTGAACAGGCAATCAGCATCATCAGATGTGAGAGTACTGTAGTCATATCTTATTTAAAGAGCTACAAATCCAGTTTCCTTTCCCCTCTTCCCTTTAAAAGGTAGTAAGTACTGCCAAAGCTGGTTGTGTCAATTATATATTTAGTACGTACATGCAGATCCATGAAAGAGGCCTGTAGCTATAGGCAAAGGCAAGCCTTTGAGTCTGGAAACCCTGGGGATCTCTCTGCATGGTGGAGTGAGGGAAAGATCGCTGTCTTTCGCTTTCCCTGGCCTGACCTTCACATCTTCTTCATATGTGTTAGGGGGGAGGGAATTGGTTGCTGCATTGTGCCTGCCCACCAAAATACCCCACCTAGGTGGCAGCCCGACCTAACAAGGCTGGCTGCAGAAAGTGTCACTCATTCATCTGTTCCAAGGTAGAGAGACAGGGCTTTTTTCAGCCAGAACTCACAGAAACTCAGAGGTGGGTGCCATTGCCATTATAAAAGAACAAGAGGTGTTCATGGTGAGTTCCGGCAACTTTTTCTATAAAAATAGCACTGGGGAGACTTAATGACACCAGTTGGCGACAAGCTCAGAGCACCATCAACTGGTTGCCACTGTAACATTCTGAATAGCACACTTTTTAGACTTGTTCTGGTGCATGCATACTTGTGTGCAAACTTTACCAGCATGGGTCAGCCAACCGACCAAATCAATTCCAGGACCTAACTTGAGAATTCAGCCTCACATCACAGATTTCCCTCTGAGAAAGTTGCATGGAGAATTCTGATGATTCCATGGGAATCATCCCTAAAGCCATCAAGTGCAGGCTAAACATTACATCATTCTTAAAGCAGTTGGAAATTATACACCAATTTAGCTGAATTCACAGCATGCCCCATCCCAACATGGCAGAGCGAATAACAACAGATTAAAACAAAAACACAAAAATGCCTCTCTAAAATCCTGTTGCGATCCAAGTAAAACAGCCAAAGAACAAAACAGCAGCTGAGTGTCCCAGTCACCAAGCAGCTTCTCTTTAGCCCACCACAAACCAACCTCAGCAGAAATGGACTGCTTGCAAGTGTGCTGAAAGTCATACTGGAGCTATTCCCCAGCCTTAAGTATACTTTCTGCCTTTGAGGAGTTAAAGCTTCTCAAATAGAGACACTTACTGGGTTGATTCCTTAGAGAAGTTAACAGAGCAATCCTAGTCACGTCTACTCAGAAGTAAGTCTCTATTCTGTCCAATAGATCTTACCCCCAGATAAGTAAGGGGGCATAGGACTGCAGCCAAAAATGTGTTTATGGACTTATTTATTTATTGGATGAAGGAGAAAGATGGCCACCGTGTAAGTTTCCTCCTTCCAGTTCTCTCCGACCTCTTCTCCTGACTTGGATTTTACAACCGCTGGAGTAAGCTATTTACTTTAGTTTTGCCTTTTGCTAGACAAGTAATTGCTGGACTCTCCACTGGTGTGATGCCAGATTTTAATTAAGTTTGACGAAGGAGGATTGCTTTGGATTGATCTGGGTGGTGCCAAACTTGTGTGCTTCATAGAACAACGATCCTTCAGACCTGCACCGCCGGCACGAAGAGAAACTCCCCTGTTTAAGGTTTCTTATTGCTAAATGATTTTCTCTTCTGGGGGACACTCGGACAAATGACTGAGAATTGTAAGTAAGCAACGAACTTTACCTTACTTTTCTTCGCTCACCACTCCCCTGCCTCCTGCAATACTCTCTAAGGTGCATTAAGATATTTCCAATTATTGCGGATATTTCTCCTAATCTCCACTATGGGCCATGGCAAGCGGCCAAGGGACCTGGATGAGGCAATGCCTCCCCCGAGGCCCAAACAGTCCAAGATTGATTCTTTCTTTCTTAACTGTAGCAGAAATAACGAGGAAGATAGCTACACGGTTGAAACCCACAATCGTTTTAATCCTTTAATTGACCTCGCAGCCGATATAGAAGTGGAGGGTGAACTCGAAGGCAACGAATAATGCTAATGATAATGACAAAGAAGTGAGAGTCACCTCGAAGGGGGAGTCCGAGTTGGCCCTGGGCGATGGCATGGGATTCAATCATTTCCAATTAATAATCAGGACCCTGCGCTGCATCTTTAAGAGCATAAATGGGATCTCCATGCAGGTGAATAATCTCCACCAAAAGCTTGAGGCCCATTTGCTGGAGCTGCAGCACAACCTCACTCTGCCTCCGAGGGATTTAAAGGGACAGAGGTGTACCTCCCTGTTAGACATGAAAGTGGTACTGGTGGTCACCTCTTAAAAACTCAACTGGACTCTCAATCTCTGATCTTACAACCAAACAAAATATGTCTAACTATACGCAGCAGTGACCCCAGGTCCCCAAGGTGGAATAATCCGAGAGATGTCAAAGATCATCTAAGGCAACTCCTTCAGATTTGGCCTCCGCTAATAGATCTCAGTACAGTGAAACTCTTATACTACCACCATCGGTTCCAAAAAGTACTGCTCTCCTTCCAGTCACCTAAAATTCCCTCCATACTGGTTAGGCATAAAGCGTTTTTGGCCACCTGGGGCATCTTCCCAACGAGAGTCTTTAATGACACCAGGATTAAACCTCTTTTCCGTAGCATCGTACAAAAGGTATCCGCTCGCCAGACAGGCGCGACATAGTCTTGAAACTCAAGCTGTCCACCCGGGAACCTCACCCTCCCTCTCAGCCCAAGCCTCCTGGTTTATCTATTCCAGCTACAGAGAAGCATGACCAAAGCGGGCCCAGCCATCTGGCTGCCTCAGAGGAGAGGGACCTTATTTCATCCTATGGCGAGTTGCCATTAGTAGAACAGCAGGAAGTTATAAACAGGCTCGATACACTTAAGCAGCAACTTACACATGTACTTCAAGAGAAAATCTCCTCAAAACCTGGTCATAGCAACCTATTAAATCAAAGGAACGCAGTCATGAAGGGGCTAACACCCCAGAAACCCCTGCCAATCACTGGGACTCCAATAACGGATGATATGGCAGTCTGCCTGGCGGAAGCTCCTCATACACCGTCGCAACGCAGACCCCCTTCACCTCTACTAATAGATCTGCAATCAGCTACCTCGTCCTCCGCCTTAAAGAGCAATGCGCCAAACACCCCTCATCCTGGTAATCTGTCAATGTCCTATTCTTCTATGCCTGACCTGGAGTCCTCATTCAGTGTGGTCCAGGCAGATGACTGTATATCCTCGTCCTTTGCCAGTCAACCTCTTTTGGTAGAACCTCATGTATCCGCAACCTCTTCAAGCCAATATATAAACGTTAAGGAAGCCACTGCGCAAAGAGACAGCTCAGGCTTTATTGAAGACCCTGCTGGCCACATCAATCAAATTACCACCCCTTCGATACCTTCGGCTGTATCACGCCTGGCGCTGTCTCAGACCCTTGGCAATGCTTCTCCCACCAGCAACCAGAGTAACTGACTAGCACATAGTCCCTCCTCAAACTGCTTCAATGTGCTATCCTGGAACGTGGCGGGATGGACGTCCAAACAGGATGGCGGGGATATGAAAGAGTTTTTAGCGAAATTCCAGATTATGGGTATACAAGAGACCTGGTGCTTAGAATCGTCACCCCCCCCTTCCCTACTGGGCTATGACGCCTTTGTGATTCCTGCGACCAAAACACATTTGTTTGGGCGCCCTAGTGGAGGCCTGGTAACATTTGTTTTGCAGGAGCTTCAACTTAATATCTCTCCTCTCTTTTGGTTAGAGAGTAATTGCATTCAAACTTTACATATCACTAACAGCCCGGTTGGGGACTTCATATGTGTAAACTTGTACAATCCATCTACCTACTCCTCTTCTCATTCAAATCAGCTTTGGGAGGATTTAAGATTTATCCTCGATAAATCTGTGGCTGAATTTCCAAAGTCAGAGATCCTTATAATGGGGGACTTTAATGCCAGAATCGGAGCAGATATAAGCTCATTCACCGATAAGTCGCAATTATTCATAGAAGAGGAGTGGTTTCCTACGTGGAATTCACATGATAAGACCATTAATAGGGCTGGCATCATACTGCTGGAGTTTACCATAAACTGCGGGCTGCACAGCTTGCATGGCACACCCAAAGACTGGTCCGGGGGATTCTATACTTTTCTAGGATCTAGAGGGGCAAGCGTTATAGACTACATCTGGTCCTCCTCGGCATTTAATGATAAGGCATATTGTTTCAATGTGTTCAACAGAACCGAAAGTGACCACCTGCCAATCGCCATCTCCTTCCTCCACACACAGCTGGGGTTTCCCAGCTCACTCCACCCCCAGGATCCACTGATCTTAGCTCCTGGACGTAAGAAGTGGGATTTCTATCTGGAGCAAGACATAAAAGTCCTCCTAAATTCCCCTGAGATCCTAGCCCTGAAAGCTCAGCTGTTAACAATGAATGTGAATCATTTCTCAACTTTCCAGCAAATTCTAGCCTTCTTGCTTCCTTCACTTACGAAACCTTCCCGTGCGATTCTAACCTGGAAGAATCAAACTTGGTTCGACCAAGAATGCAAACAGTGCAGAAGTAGGCTTAGATTTCTTCAGTCTGATATGAAATCAGACAGCACCCAGAGCAAAATCAGGGAGTTAGCCCAATTCCGTTCATACTACAAGAAGCTGCTCCATCATAAGAAATTGCTCTTTGCGAAAGAACGCTGGACGGCACTGTCAGTGGCCATTAAAACCCGTGACGACAAGAAATTCTGGAATTTAATTAATGCAGGTTTAAGACCCCCCTCATTCATCGCTAATAACATCACAGCAGCCAGTTGGCACTCTCACTTTGCTCAGCTGTATTCCGCCCCAGATCCCGAAGTAAATGTTGTCTCCACTCTTCCAGCATCTGCCTTGCCCACCTGGGAGCCAGTCTCCCCAGAGAGATGTATACAACTAATCAGTACGCTTTCAGGGGATAAATCCCCGGGGGAGGATATGATACCACCTGAGGTATTCTTGTCGAACCAGACATGGTGGGCCCCTATTTTAGCATCTCTCTTTACCACTATTAATGCTACTCTTAAGATTCCACCTAATTGGAAACAGAGCATAGTCATCCCAATACATAAAAGGGGATCCACAAGATCCGCGTAACTATCGACCTATCAGCCTGCTGGACATATCATACAAGGTCTACTCTAGATTCTTGCTAGAGAAATTAATCGAGTGGGCAGAAGAAACAAAGCTATTTCACCCGGAACAGGCTGGCTTCCGTAAAGGTCACAGCACATCTGGCCAATGTCTTGTTCTATTTACCCTGATTGATAAATATCTAAACAGGTTCAACTGCAAACTACACGCGGCTTTTGTGGACCTGACCTCCGCTTTTGACTCCATCCCCAGAGATAGGCTATGGCAGAAGCTTAGTTACACTAACATAGATAAGAGACTCCTCCACCTTCTTATGGAAATTCATAATGACATATCGGCCAGAGTAAAATTCGGCCCTCTGGGAGCTCTATCTGATCCTTTCCCTCTGAATAAAGGGGTCAAACAGGGCTGCCTCTTGGCCCCTTTTCTATTCAATTTCTACATCAATGACATCGTTACAACCATGAAGGCCCTAAATCAATCTGTCCCCTCTTTACAACAGCTCAAGATCCCCATATTACTCTATGCGGACGACATGGTGATACTGTCTTTAACCAAGCAGGGCTTAAACAACATGCTCAGAGGGCTCATGACATATTGTGATACCAACTCCCTCAAAATCAATTTCGCCAAAACCAAAATTCTTACTTTTGGCACGAAAACTCGGAAGCCTTTCTGGAATTTTGAGGGCCACTCTATTGAATATTGTTCAGCATTCAAGTATTTGGGTATCACTTTTCAGCATGGGCTTAGCTGGTCAGCTCACCTAAATATGACCATCCTGGCTGCCCGTAGAACCATCAAAGCCTTGGAGAAATTCTTCTATGCAAAAGGCGGCCAGTTGGTTCCACCAATCAGAAAAGCATTTATCAGCAAAGTCCTCCCGATGTTACTGTATGGGGTTGAAATCTGGGGTGGAATTTAAAAACACTACAATCGCTGGAGATTCTGCAAAACTCTTTTGCACGAAAGATACTGGGCCTCCCCAAGGGCTCAGTTGCTGCACAGTTAAGAACAGAACTGGGCCCCCCTCCATTGTTGCAAGAGCCCACATTAGAATCATTAGTTTTTACTGTAAATTATTCAATGCCCCAGGTTCCCTACTAGCTAGGCAAGCCATTTTAACTTGTTCTCATACCAACAAATGGTCCAAGGCCATGGAGACTATTACTGCACGCTACTCCCTCCCAGATCTCGACACGCTGTCATCTTGGGACCAACATAAAATCCGGGCCTGGATTCTTACAAGAGACGAGGCCATGGACCGGGCACAGTCCATTACAGCTCGCCTCTCCATGTGGCTCCCTAAAGTGAAAGTGGTAAGATCACTTGCCAACTACTTGATAGACCTGACGGAGCCCAATTTGAGAAGAGCGTTTACTATGGCCCGTTTCCATTCTATACCCACGGCCTTCCTGCAGGGGATTTACTCTAAGACCCCTATTACTCAGCGTTTATGTCCATGCACAATGAATGAAGTAGAGGACTTCATACATTTCTTTTTCTACTGCCCTATTTATGAGCCAATAAGACCTAAGCTCCTCCTCTTGATCCCGTCCACCATTACATCTAAGGAAGACTGTTTGAAATCGCTTCTTGTGGACGCAAATCCCCAAATTTCACGTGGGGTGGCAATCTTTATAGTGCAGGCTCTGAAACTCAGGGCTACTCTGACTGGGTAGTGTGTCCTAGACCTGGACCTGTTTTAATTCTTTTTATTACTTTTTCAACCCAATGTGCCGAGCCTATTTTGGGGCCATTTTATGTTTTATATACATCCGCATTTTGGATTCTTGGCGCTGGCAACTAAATCTTTACATTATTGTCTTAGGGTAATTTAAATGTCATTACGCCAGTAATATTGCTTTGAATTTTGTTTGGTTGCTTGTCTCTAGTATTTTTGTCTTATTTTGCTATGGCTGTATGCTAATGCAATAAAGGTTTTGATATTTACTTGGCCAACCCCAGAGAGCACAATCAAACATCAGAGAGGAAGTTGTCTCCCCTAAACCCCTTTCCCCCTGCCTATGAAGCTGTCAGCCGCCTCCCCCACATTCCCCTCCTGACTCTTCTGCCAGCGCTCACTCCTCCTGGTGGGCTGCCTTGCCAGCCGCTGCTACTGCGACAGCTCCTGCACTTTCTGCAGACACAACCCTTGCATAACAGGAGAAGAATGGTGCTCTCTGTTCCCACAGCACAGCCCGTGCATCTGCACCAAAGGCAAAAGGAACCACATCCCCAATGTAATCGGGCAGCCTCACGCTTAAGGCCTTACGTACACAAATCCTTTATCGAAAGGCATTTGGGGCTTTCATTTTCACATCACTTTTCGTGTGGACATTTGCCACTCTTCAGGTTTAGTTATTTCGGCAAACCACTCCTCAACTTTACCCGACTTTCTTCAATGGTTGCTTCTGCACTAAACACACATCTGGAATATTTCCAGTTCTCTGTATACATTGGGGATAACCAATATGGCACCCTTCAGATGCTACTGAGCTCCCATCAGCCCTAGGTAGCATGGTGAGAGATAATGACAGTTGTAGTCCAGCAATGTCTGAAGAGCCCCATGTTGACTATCTCTGGTGTGCATCCTTGTTACACACAGAGCCACCTGTAGGACGCACGGCACTTCCCCTTGCCAACATAAGGAAAACAGTAAGATGCAATTCTTCAACACTTCAACACTACGGCTTGGGGAATGTGCTTGAGGCAGAAGCAGCAGTAGTTGTTTCTTACCCATGAGAGCTGCACTGAAGCAGCTCTCACTTCAGAAACTATCCACAGTTTTTAGAGCTTTCCATTATTTCTTTTCTTTGCGCTAGCTAGTTTCATCCCAAGGGATACGAAGCTGCACTGTACTAGGCACTGCTTGTCAATCTTCAGGGTCAATCCAAGACACTGCCTACATTTGGAACAGCAAATGGCTGCCCCCCAGATCAGGTACCCACTCCCTTCTCCCCAGTTCAAGTTGCATATTGACCAAGGTTGGTCAAGTTATTTGGGCACCTGGTTCCATTCCCAACAGAGCAAAAACACAATAATAAATTAAATAAGGGGTTTCTGCCTTTTCATGTTCGCCTGATACAACTGCCTCACTGGTCATGATTTTCTGGAAAATGTTGACTAGGAAAAAATTCAAGAACATTTTCCTATGCAAATGAAGTTGATTTGCATAGGGTGATTTGAAAATGGGGCAAGTAGAGAATGGTCTAATTCACATGTTTTTTTTTACTTGCATTTAGTAAACCAAACTTTTTAAAAGTACCCAATTTCTTACCACAAATGTCTGACCTGAAATATATGTACCCTCTTCACATACTAGCGATAATCACCTGGAAAAACATTAATTGAAACTTCGGAACTCCCAAGCTTGCCTCATAGCGTATTTGCAGTAGGTACCCATTTGTGGTTACTAATGAAATGGGAAATTTTCCACAGTAAAATGAAGCACTGAGGAAAACAATTCCAGAATTACTTCCACTCCACATCACTGCCTAATGCAGGCTTCCTCAAACTCAGCCCTCCAGATGTTTTGAGACTACAGTTCCCATTATTCCTGACCATTGGTCCTGCTAGCTAGGGATCATGGGAGTTGTAGGCCAAAAACATCTGGAGGGCCGAGTTTGAGGAAGCCTGGCCTAATGGTATGGCCAACCCTCTACATCTTTCCTAGGACTAATGTTGAATGGTAGGCAGTAGCTCTTCAGTGTCTCAGGAAGAGCGAGTGGTGTAGTTCAACTCTAGATATGAATGGGCCAAGTTCACATTGATGGCTAATGGAAGCCAGCACAAGTCCCACTAGCACAACAGGTCACGTGTGACCCCCACAAGTCCCCCCAACCCCAGAACAGGACACGGGGCAGGTGAAGGGAGATCATTCCATCTTGCAAGCAGAAACACTTGTACTGAGTGAATGATCACCACAGTGAGACCTTGAATCCCACCCAATGGTCTTATATCCAAACCCTTTAGGTGTCCTGCTAAATTTGGGGCCTCTCATGCCCTGCCCACTTTGCTGAGTGGGACTCTGGACCCTGCCTCCAATTCCTGTGTTGTTGGCCCTACTAGGCAGTCCCTCGCCTGCTGCTTGACCCTTTCAACTGATAATACCAGGGACTGAACCCAGAGTCTTCTGAATGCATTGGCATGTGTTCTTCTCCTGAGCAATGATGGTCACTTTTGAAAGCCAGTCACCACCTCCAAGGTGCAGGGAGAAGGCAGGGAACTCTCATTTCAGGGCTCTGTCTCACTCAGATATATTCAGACAAACTACAGTAATAACTATAATGAACTATTCCCATTGTGAATGACTATTCCCATAGTGAATGAACACTGTTACTATTATCCAACAGCAAAGCTGATATCTGGACACAAAAATGGACATATACAGTGCCATAAAGGTTAACAGGAGGTTACATTAAGAGACCTAGGCTGCAATACTAGGCCCACATATCTCTGCGGGAGTTACTTTTGAGTAGACATGAGTAGGATTGCACTATACAGACCTCGATTCCTGAAAACTGCAGATTCAGGAAGTGCTGGACAATTGTCAACTACTATCTATTCAGATTACATATACATAAATAAATGACTCTTTGTAGACTGGTCAGTCACCATTGGAATAAGGCAAACCTATGAGAGCAGTCCTGTCGAGCTCCGGAGAATGAAAAATTCATTTTAAAGGTTTGCATTATAAATGCAGAAAGCCAGATCCTCAGGTACTGATGGAAACTGGCCTCACCAGACTATAATGTCAGCTGGTCCAACCACCTCCTAAACTGGTAAAGTGAGTAGACATTTATTTATTATATTTAGATTCCTTTCCTGCCCTGGCCCTAAGGCAGCATGCTGGTTGCAATGCATCCAGGGATGAGTGGTGGAGGGAAAGTTTCCAGTGCTTTTCCAGTGAATTTTTTCCTTGTCATAAGGTCATTATTGACAATAAATGAATGCAGGTTGCAAATACAATGTTAGGTAACCTTGGCAGTTTTAGTTTTGTTTACTGAATGCAAATGAAAATAAACAAGCATTCTATATCAGAACACCCTGTAGGGCATCAGAAAATTTTCTCAGTGTAAAAGGAAAATTTTCCCAGTGCAAATTGCTGTCATGTGTAGACGTAAAATTTCCCAGAAAAATTCCCAGTTCAACATTTTCTGGAAATCCCACATCACTGAATGCTGCCTTTCCTTGCTGCATCTTCTCAATAACCCTGCAAAGTAAGACAGACGAAATGACAGCCATTCGATAAACTGCATAACTGAGCAAATATTGGAACATTTGGACCCACCACATTGGCTTATATTGTATATGAACAAGAAAAAAGATAAAATTATAGTACAATCCTGTGCAAAATTACTCAGAAGTAAACCTCAATGTGTGCAATGCAACTTACTCCCACCAGGTAAGAAAGGGGATTTTAGGAATAACTTTCTGACAGCATGGGCGGTTCTGTGGTGGACCAGATTACCTAGTGGGCTCACCTAATCTTTGGTTTTTAAGCAGAAGTTGAAGAGATGCTCATTTGGGATGATGTGGAGGTAGTTTTCCTGTACCTGCAAGGGCATGGACTAGGTGAGCTTTGTGTTCCCTTCCACCTCTGTGACTTTAAGCATAAGTGCCTAAGAACATAAAACAAGATCAGCTGGATAGGAAAGTGGCCCCTCTAGTCTAGCAGCCGTTCCTCACCCTGCAGCAACACTCTCCCCTCCTGTGGGTTCCAGCAGCTGGTATTCGGACTCGAATATTGGACACAGCCTTATCCTCCATCTATCGTGGATTTGTTGAAGCCTCTTTTAAAGTCATCCTAAATTGGTGGCCATCACTGTTGCTTGTGGGTGCTCATTCACATTGCATAAAAGGTGTGTAAGGTTGCAACCTTAATGTATTTCCAGAACGGCAAAGACAGGCTTGCTTCACTTCACTTGCAGAGCCTAGTATGTGTCTAGACACTCAGCTGGTTTATAACACTGGGGTTCACTCTTGAGCTAATCAAAGAAAAAAAATTGTTTCCGAGAATGTGCAGAGTACCTTTCCCTCGCCACTGAGTAACCATATCGGTCCCCATTGCTGCCAAACACTCAGGCGTCATTCTGCCATAAGACGACACCTCACCTCTCGTTAGAATCGTAGCACTAAGCATTGCGTCCCTTAATACTTAAAAGGGCTTTGAAACAATTCATTAAAAACACAAGGGACACTCAGCTCTCCACCCACCTCCAGATACCATTCGGCAGCCACGCCTTCCCCTTCCTTATCTTCCCCCGCACAATCTTGCAGACTAAACTTAAAAAGTCTGCGAATATTTATTACACGGGGGAACTAAATACACCCCCCCTTACAATTCTGTTTTGGAGCAACAGCAAGACCGGAAGCGAAAGAAGGGGCGGGGAGGGGGGGGGTCGGTCCTTTGATCTCTCTCTCTCTCTCTCTCTCTCTCTCTCTCTCTCACACACACACACACACACACACACACACACACACACACAGGTGCGGGTACTGAAATCCTCCCCCGCTTCGCGCCAAACCGTCTCCAAGTCTCGTGTTCACCTTTTCATTTCCTACAGTTTCACTGGCCCTCACCTAGAGGGTTTTCGGAGCACCAGATGTATGTCAAGGAGGTTCAAATACTCTCTCTCACACACAGTATTTCTCTTAATCCTTTCAAAAAGAAGCCGGTTGTGTCACAATTTCACACACCCACACACCCGATGTGTTGTTTCTGTGTCCCAGCACCACGAGCATCAGAACCAAAATCCTCCCCCAAGCGGCACCCTCGACTCCTTCTCCGTCGGCGGAATGGGGCTCCGTGGACCTCAGCGAATCCCCCCTCTCTAGGGGTGGGTCCTGGAGGAGGGAGACGGACCCGGCTGCGATTAGGGACTCTTCGCTCGCCACTTTCCCCCCGCCTCACAAACCCAGCCCCGGCGTCCTGGCCAGTCTCGGTCCCGAGGCAACGCCTGTGGGGCAAAGATCCGTCTCAACCCACCCGCCCATTCATTAAACGCTATAGAGAAACCCACGTTTTAAGGGACTTACGAGCAACCACAAGTCACATTCGGCTGCTTAGGCAGGACAATCCATTGAGGACAAACGAACTAGCAATCTTTTCCGAAGTACCGATACTGCCCCTTTCCCACGATGAGGGTGGGGGAAGCAAGCGAACCATTCCCCCTTACCTTTATATTTATCCATCCTGGATCCTTCTTTTCTTTTTATTTAGTTTTCAATTCTGGCCGCGTAGGGCAGGGAGACCTTGCATAGGGCGGCGGCGGACTCGGGCTTCCCACGCTCGCCCCTGAGTTAAAGCCCTCTCCCCGCGGGACGCGCCGGCTCGCTCCTTCCTCGCCCGCGCCAGGCTGCATTGGCGTCCCAAGCAGCTCTGCCTCTGCCTCTCCAGTTCTCCTGGCTCCGGCTGGCTCCCTTCGCGCCGAGCGCCGCCCCTTCCGTGACGTCACGGCAGCGGGATCTACTGGGGCTAAAGGAGCTGGCTTCCCCGAGGGGGTCTTTGGAGAGCGGCGGGGCCTCTGCGGTGGTTGCCCCTCGAAAGTTGCATCATCATTATCATTATCATCCTCCTCCCTTCTTGGTCAAATACTTATCCAAACGTGGCAGAAGCACTTATGTATTAATTTAACGTTAATAAGGGAACAAAAAGCAGCTGTTTTCGCCTCGCAGTGCCAACGCCTTGGAAACGGAGAGATCGGCTTCAAAGAGAATGATCAAATTCGGAAGGTGGTGGACTTTTCCTTGGAGGTTTTTAAGCGCAGGTTGGACGGCCACCTGTCGTGAATAATTAGCTGTGATTCCTGCATTGCAGGGGGTTGGACTAGATGACCCTCAAGTCCCTTCCAACTACTATTCCTCTGTGCTAGATAAGGAGTAATAGCAAACTGCAGGAAGAAGAGGGCGCGGGCGTTTAATAGGCGAGGGTGCTGCCTCCCTCGCTGGAAACGGGCTTTGCAAAGCGAGAGAGAAAATCAGAAGAGTTTGCCAGCGGGGATGCAAGCTGGAGCGCGGCGTTGGGCAGAGCTGCTGCGAAGGTTAGAAAGTTGGCCAGCGGAGTCGGAGAGGACGAAGGCTGCAATCCCACAGCGCTGTTGGAAGTGCTTCCCTGCCCTTCCGGACAGGTTAGAAATTGCAGCGACTTCCGCCTCAGCCAGGGAAAACACTCCCTTCCCCCGAACCCTGAGTTATCTGCAAGATTACACGAGCTGAAGACTTTGAAGCCAGAATGTTTGCTGAATATAATTTGTAGAGCAGGAGCGATTTTACGCATCTTTTTAAAAAAGGCTTTCTGTACAGTTGCAGAAACGGGAGAGGGATGCTCAGCACTTTCTGGGAGATGCATGGGAATAAATCAGTGGCTGTTTGTTTCTAGCCTTAGAACAGGAGAGGGAATTCTCAAGCCCTGGCATCATGCAGCCCTCAAAGCTTCTAGATCCAGAGACTCCTCCCAAGCCCAACCCGCTTCTGATTCTGAGTGTTTTTGCCTGCCTGGAATGTGTCCTTGGACTCTGGTGATTCTTTTTGCTTCACCCTTGCCCTAGGTTTCCCCTAGACTAGAGCAGCCTTTCTCAACCTTGGGTCCCCAGATGGACTACAACTCCCATCATCCCTGGATGCTGGCCCTTCTCACGGCTGCCCTAGAGTCTGTTGGGATAGAAATAACTACCGTAATAATAACTAATAATAATAATAATAATAATAATAATAATAGGAAAATACAGCTCTGTTGCAGGTTCAATGGTTTACATGCCCTGCCCTTCCTCTTTTAGGCCTGTTTAGCAACCTTGCCTATCTGTGCTTTCTTCAAAAAGCAGGCAAGAAATAACAGAAAAATACTTCAGAATTTGTCCAGCAGGGTTGGACAGAATGAGGGGACTGCCTCAGGCAGCTAACACTGCAGGACAGCAGCAGTCCCTTGGCTCATCCTTCTTGAGTCCTGAGCCTTGTGTACTAGAGGGGCATGCTACACTTCCTGAACAAACCTGCCTCCCTCAAGTGCTAGAGCCATTGTTAGGACCAGTTTGCATGCAATGCACGATTGAGCAAATGTTCAAGTTCCTAGAGAGATGATTGTAGTCACCATGGACCTGCTACTGCCAAGCTGCCTGGACCTAAGCCATGGTTTGGCCTACTGTTGCATCCCAGCTGAGGCTTGCGGTTTGTCTCCCCCAGGTAAACCGCAAACAGCAAATCAAGAACAATACTTGGTTACAGCTCATTGTTTGCCTGAAGGGATAAACTTAAGAAAACCTTGTGATTCACCTGTGTATTGAGCATACTCTCTCACTTTGTCTATTCAGTATTCCTAAAGGTTGCATAAGGACTTGGGTTTGGGACATCATTCTGAACACTAGAAACCCCAAGCCTTGGTTTCCAAGTAAATACATTTAGGAATTGGGACTCGGGGAGAATATAGAAAATGCATGGTAAGCAGTAACTCTAGCCATAATTAACTCAGCAGGACAGCATCACACATTTACTGTTTTAATTGGTCCTACTGAGTTTACTGGGATGACTCTGAAGTAAATTTCCTAAGCGGTGTAGTTTTAATTTTAACATCCTGGTAAATAAAAGGAAATCCTTGTTTCAGATGTTGATTAAGTCCTTTGAAGGCAATTGCATTCTGTGAAACATTCGGATATTCCACAAAGGATTGGCAGCTGGTTATCTGGGTGGGATGATAGGCAATTTAAAGCCAGAGGCTCCTGAGGAATTGATTCCTGCTGTATTTTTAACTGAAATGTAAATTGCAAGGTACTAGTTACATAATAATCAGCAGCATAACTTTTGCACCAAAAGGTCTTTCCTTTGCCTAAAGTGGAAAAGCTTAATGAAAGCTGCTTTGCTAGGGAGCCTAAAGGAAGGATATGGTTTCTCAGAACTGTGAGGTTACCATTTGTTTACTAATGGGGGGAAAGGCCATCTGTTAGAAAGACATATTTAACATTTTCACGCAGTATAGTTTGAGACAACTACATAATAGGATTAGACAACGGAGGTAAACTGGCTTTGTAAAAAATTAACGCGTTCAAGGCCCTTCCGTATTCTGGAATGTGTACGTTTAGAAGATATTTTGGTATATGCTGAAAACATGTACTGCTAGTGTTTCTTAGAATTAAAAGAAAGCTGACAGTAGCTCCTGCTTTTTCTCCTTTTTATTATTTGGACAAAAAGTGAAGACTGCCATGTTGGCCCATAAAGAACATTTGCAAAATATATTTATTAGGCTAATAGTGAGCAATCTTTAGAGTCCTCTAGAATTCTTCATGGTAGGAGGAGAATGAATACACCTCATCTCCAGTTAGAGTGCCCTAAGGGTAAGTCGTAGTTAGAAATAAGTACCTGGAACAGAATACTCTCTGTATTTTCAGTACAGAAATAGCAAAATATAATGGGTTTTTTTAAAAAAAGAAATACTTGAGGTCTGTGCTTTCTATACACCATCTCAATCAATACTTCAAGGGCACCAACATTATACCATTATAAACAGCCAGGATCTCCCACCTGGAGCTCTTTCTGCCTCTCTGGTCTATCTAAAATATGATACCTGTTTGCTTGTGTGTGTTTTATAAAAGTTTATCCAGGATCTCCTGCACTAGGATCTCCTTGTGACCCATTCTCCATTTCAGAATGGCAATTGGACCATTTGCTACCTTCCTTTTCTCCTTCTAGTGATACTAGTTCTTTTTAGCGTAGATGATGACCATAATGATACATTAGCCCACAAACCAATAATTAAGCTTCCTGGCTGCCATTTTTAACCTTCAAATATCTCAAGTTAAGAAACAAGTCATGGCAAAACCTGGCATCATAAAGTCATATTAAACTAATAGCTCTGGGGAATAATCCTGAGTCACAAGAGGTAATTATGAACAGTAGTCAAGGCATAAGAGCCTCTGGCATTCCGAAATTGCACAAATGTGATGTTAAACCGCTTTGGGTTCCCCAGGAGATGAAGTGTCAGGGTCAGTATGAACATGCAGTAGAATAAGAAGTGCTTGAGTGGACTGTACCACTGCAGAGGCCAGGGGTGTGGTGCCATTTTAAAAGCTTCCGCATGTAAAAACAACCTTTAAAAACTCTCTGCAAATAAATAAAACCTAGTTCATTAGGGAAGTGTAGCTCATTATCACTCAGGAACCTAGTCCCAATTCCATGGCACATGTAGATCAGGCTTTGGTCTGCAAATGGACTCAGGTGTGACAGAGTCACTGTGCTTTCCGTAAGGGCATTCACGCCTGCCATTATGGTCCTATCACCTTCTTCCAATTATGCCTTAATACAGTCCTGCCCTATGAAATTTGCCTTTGATTTACAGCAGTTGAATGTAACATTAGACTCTTGTCACTTAGGACGGATTACTTGTATCCAAAGAAAGGCAAACTAGGGGCCTCTCCAGACATCTTTTCAAAAATGTATTTGTTATTAATTGGGCTTGTGATGTTATACATTATCTTGCTTTCAATACTCTTTGCACCTGCAAACGTTTAAGGGTCAACAGAGTGCTTCATTTCCAGTCAGTGTATGTCCCATAACTTGCTGCTGACATCCTGTACCCTTTTATACCATAAATGGTTTTTTTCTGGGTTGTTGTTTTTTGTCCCACTTTCGTTGCACTATAGTGCAAAGATGCCCCTGCAGACAAATCGCAGAACAACTAATAAAGCGGAATGATGTGTGGATGGTACAGTATAAATCCACCACTTGTTGGCATCCATCTGTCTTGGGAGAAAAAGAAAGAGTGCGCCTTTGGGGTCAAGTTAAACCGTTGGATGTTGCCAGCCTTCATGTTTGCAGACATCTTTGTAGTGCGGAGTTGGTCTGCCAATGGACCTGATGCCTGAAGCCAGCTCCCCATAGAGCATGTCCTTGGGGATCCACCGCTAATGCACTATTATTGCTTCAATTACATGTTGCGGAATACACCCCATTAAAAAAACAATAGTTTGGAAGGGCCCTGGGAAAGTCAAGGAGGTTGGTCCTGGTCTGTATGTTATTTCTGAGCCTGTCCTTGCAATTCAGGTCATATGAAATGCACCTCTCCAGCCCCATTTTCCTTGCTGCCCCCTTTCACCTCTTTCAACAAGAACCTTTGTTATTATAACACCAGATAAAGCCTTCTAGTCTTCATTGCACCTGAAACTCAGCACTGGCGGCATCTGACTCACCTTGCCTCAGGATAAGGC